GTAGTAAAAACAATGATATTGAGAGTGATTATCGTGTACTACAGGTGTGATGTACATAAATTACTAAGTACTAGTAAAAGGAGCGAATGTGCACTCCCATCAAGACAGGCAACAAATGCCATTCTAGGGGAGGATGTTAGAGACATAACATGTGATGCAAAGGACTTGAAGCCTCATGGAGGAGGGTCAGCGTACCATCTGCGTACCATCTCAGGATGGTGGTGACGAGGGCACCTAGATGGCGATGGGATGCCCCTATATCCTATTTGGGTTACAGTGGAGGGGATCCTCGAGGAGGGATCCCCTCAGACCCATTTCGCACCACCCCTAAGGGGGTCTTCTTGACGTTGACAGGTCCTGCCTGGGGTGGGATGGTGGGCTTCGATTGGCCGCTGTTGGATGAGTCACTATCAGAAATAGCCACTGATAGTGTGAATTTCTGTCAGTACCTCAACCATCTGACCCACCAGAAATAAATGATGTAAATGCGGAACACGTAAGGGCTCTTGGGGTTCAAGGGTGATATTGGTGCAGCCATAGATCTCAGGCGATAGCTGGTTATTTCATCGACGAGGGAAGGCGACTTACTGGCGGCTTACAGCAAGTATACACATCGGCAAAGTGGGGCAGAAGCTCGCGGCAGGTGTCGGCAGTGGTGCAGAGACGTCGACGAGCGGCCGATGGGCTACTGAGGATCGTGAGGTAGACGCTCGCTGTAATCCTCTCGTCCTCTCGCCGTCATTGTTAGGATGGGCAATATATCCCTCCTCAGAAAGAATTTGGTGTATAATACATGTCTGACTCCATGACTAATGTCCAGATTAAGGAAGCTACTGGTATCGCAGGGTTTGTCGCTGTCTACCTTTGTTTGCAGAAGTAGAGAGCGACGATGTAGACCTCGACCCATAGACGAATATCGAGACATCGGCGTGGGTTACGACTATTTATGGCTGCCGTGAACAATACTGAGATCTCTGGGGGATGAGGGTACGTCACCCCCGAGGTGCCGAGCGCCGCTATGCTCCATGCCGCCTATCTGTACTTTTTGCGAGGGAGGTCTATCAATATTGGTTTTGCTGTAAAAGGGGCCCTTCCGATCGTGTTCACAGTGGATGTTGTAGCGTGGCCCTAAATTCCAAGCACAATATAAGCACACCATGATTCAAGCTCAAGCACGGTATGAGTGTGAAGCGCGAAACGCAAAACGCAAAACGCAAAACGCAAACCTTAACCCGATAATTGATGGTGATGTCACGGCGTCCACGCGTTTCGAGGCGCATGTTTGCACTCTCACGCCGGCTGTCTGCTTTCTTGCGGCCCGCTATTGTCATGAGTGAGCAGACTGATCGTCCTGGTTTTTCTCATCAAGGACGTGGCGAAGGACGTGACAGAGGGCGCGGCAGAGGACGAGGCGGGCGCGCACAGGACACTTCGTTCAATCATTCCAATACCCCGAACGCAGTGCTTCAGGCTTTCGAGGACATAGCAGGTCCGTCAACGCACATTCCACGAGGTCCCCGAAACGCAGAGACAAATGTAAGGGTGCCCAAGCCGCGATTGACGCACTGTCAGTGGTCTCGCATCTACATCCCGCCGTGGTACGCCAACTGAACCCACTTGCGCAGTCCTCGCACTCCCACTCGTATGTACTGTCTCCGCATTGAAAATATTTATATTTTCGAATATCCTGACAATGATGTACATCTACAGGGCCACCATGCATACCTCCGCGAGACGGTTCAGGCTTTCACGAACGCGCTCCTCATGACGGAGCCCGCCATACCGGGACTCGACCGTTCGGTCATCATCCCCGCACGCAGGCTACACCTCACGCTCGGCGTCATGTCGCTCGATGCCGAGCCCACATCTCGGACACTGGACGGCGCGCTCGCATTGCTGCACCAGGTGCGACCGCAGGTGATGCAGATGCTGAAGGGCCAGAAGCTGCGCGTCGCATTCCGAAACATAGACATCATGAAGCCGGAACGAGGCGATCTGGAGCGGGCGCACGTAATGTGGGTGGGCCCATCTCCGGAAGATAACAGTGCGGGACTGCTGAAGAGCGTTGCCGGTGCGTTCGAATTATTGTGATTCTACTTCCGCCGAACTAAACTGGGGGCCAATGTTGTCAGAATTCATACAGAGAACATTTCAGGATGCAGGCTACGTGCTGGACAATCGCCCTTTAAAAGTGAGCCACAGATTGGGCGGCCACGCCTTCATCGCGTCGGAACTGATCAACGTCCGGTTCAGCTCCATTGTACCGTCTTAAATACAATCTATCGAAAGCCGCGCGGAAAGATCCGCCAGCCGTTCTCGTATGCCTCCGTACTGAATTCAAGCGCGCTGCGGTCAATTGCGATCGAGCGTTCTGAGACCGCGAACGTAGTAGAGCCTCAGGCACCCACGAGGGGCCCCATGCGGGTGAACTTGGGCGAGTGGGACGTTGAAGATATTCAAATATGCGAGATGGGAAGCTGGGGGCCAGAAGGGGAATATGTGTGCGTTGGGCGGTGTGGCCTCACATGAAGTCTACGTCGATAAGACGAATACTGGACTGCAAGCTGTGCAAGGCGCTGCCACTGGAAAGAAGAAGATGCAAGCTGTGTTTGCTTCGTGGGCGGAGTGGCCGTAGATAGGCAAAGGGTTCTCACGCACAGACCCGGTGCTTACGTAAAAGTGGGGATTGCTGTGTATGGCAGTGGGTTGAAGTTGAAACTTGAAAGGCCGCTGAAAAGCCCGCCTGCTATCATTGCGCGTGTCGGTTACCTGGAACTGAGGCAGGTGAGGAGGGTCAAGGAGAATACCTACTGTCCCTCCCGTTTTCATAATGCTGTTGATTAGACATTACAAAGAGCGGGAAGCGTCTTCGTCCTGGTCGCGCTCTTCCCAAAGGATCAGGATGAGTGGACTTTCTGCGTGTGTTTCTACGTCGACTCTTAATTCAAGAGTCAGCACAGGCCGATCTGCTATGCAAACATGTCCCTTTGCCCTTTGCAGGTGGAAACTGCGAGACCATTGCGTCTCCGCAGTTGCCACACTGACGCATATACATTCCTCATCACGACAGGACTGACGTGAACATAATCCGTACTCGTGCATCTCTTGAGTGTCTTCAATAACATTGTATTCCAAAATGTACATCGATTTTCAAGGGCCTTTACCGATCAGGCGGATTGCTTAATGGCTCAAGGGTTGAAATGTACGCTACAGGTGATATCCGCGCTCGTTTCCTAGGTATGCAACCTTGACTCGCTTTCCGCCTAATCCCTTCGCTTGTATACACTGCTTGTCCCCGGGCATCACATCCAACGCATTGTCACTCCAACGCACGTTGTTCTCCCCAGTCTCGTCGTCCGTGCTAAAGAACAAGCCCTTGACAGGCTTCTCGACATCAATTGCAATCAACTCGCCATCTATCTTGATGCGCAATCCCGGGTCGGGCACGTCAACATGGCGGTAGGGCTGCGGCCAGTCTGCATATCGCGCAATGACCTTGTCCGCTGACAGTTGTGGATCGATGAGTTGAGCAGCCACGACGACCGAGAACGACGACGTCACGGAAGGGGCATCAGACGACTGAGATGGAGGCGGGCATGGGCATGGAATCGAAAGGAGCTCCGTCGATTGGTTAGGGAGGAGAACAACCTGCCGAACGTCCTCGCGAGTCCAGTCGGAAAGCAGATCGACACACTTCAAGACTAAAGTGGCATTCTTCGGCCCCAGAGACCTATTGGTGCCCCACACCTCTATCGTAGCGTCGACTGATCTGAAAGCTCCAAACTCATAGAACTGTGCCCATTCGCGTCAGATGGCATGAAAAACTGGTAATTGAACTTCGTACTTGTACGGGCCTGTCGTTCTCCCTATTCTTGACCACCTGATGGATACTCGTATCAGCACTCCGCCACGATATTGTCCGTCCACATCTTACACGTCTGAAGATCCCCACAGACACTGGAGCAAGTTCACGCGCGATCGAATAATAAACCGGCTTTGCTCGCAACTACCATCAAACTCAACAACCATTTTATAAATCGTAAGCAAGTCGCAACTACTCACAAAGAAATCCGCTATTGCCCAAGACGTTACAGGCCAACAATCATTCAGCTGCCATACAAGGGCTCCTGCCGTCTACGGATCCTTATGTTAGAGGTCGCGCGGAAGGATGACAAGTCGGTGACTTCACGTACAAATTCCTTCCCTCTGCCTCGCCACTCTCTTCTCCATATCCTATACGCGAGACTGACGGCTTCAGACTGCATCAGCTGTGTATTATACACGTGTCTATCCGCCCCGTCGCGTCCGGTAGAGCGCACTCAACATTAGTACTCGTACCAGACCGAGTGGGCCGACAGCACGCACGTCTCGAGGTCACTCGTAAGCCTAAAGTTCTCGTTCATTAAAATCGCGAACCGCCGTTCATGGTTTCCTGCACGATTATGTTGCGCTATCATCTTCGACTGAGCCCAACGCTCCTTCGTGTTTCCCGCGAGCCAGTAATCCACTGTGCGTATGTCTGGCATCGATGGGATTCCAAACTCGCTGTGTGCCCCTTGTCAGCCACGAGTCAGCAACAGGCTATGTGTCAAATGTACCTCACGAAGCGCCCGCCCATACGTCCATACTCCTGCCACGGCCGCTCGCGCCCGGCCCACACGTCCCACTGATGGATATCGCCCACGGTTGGATCTGCAGTGTTCCAGTCTTGGCCCCCATAAGGTGAACCGCGGTGATATGGGAGCGGCGGATCGGTCAACGCAGCAACGACAGATGGGAGAACAGATTCGTAAATCAGCCGTGCAGGGAGGTCGGTGATTCCTAATAGCGCGCATCCTCTCAACAGGGATTTCTTGGGCTATGAGAGACGGCTTACCTCCCCATTGGAGGACCTGCTGGTAGTCTGCCGCAGATTGTTTGATCGTGCAAGCAGCGTATTGAGCCTGAAGGTTACTCACCTTCGTTGTTTCCGCACCACAGAGCCATCGCGGGGTGATGTCTCAATCGCCTGACGTTATCTTCAGCCTCTGCTTTTACGCTCGCAATGAACTCGTCGTGCGCGGGATATACTCCACATGCGAACTGAAAGTCCTGCCATACCAAAATCCCCAGTTCTATCAAGCAATTAACTTCACGATTTGGCATGTTACCCCTACACGTACCATCGCAGGTATCGTAGAACACATCCGGCTCGTATACTCCTCCACCCCATAGGCGGACCATGTTCTGATTGCCGTCTCGTAGTAAAGTCAGCCATGCACGGTATCGCTCAGGAGTGATCTGCGTCAAGAAATTGTGCGCCGGGATCCAATTCGAACCTATATTGCATAGTTTCGGATGGTCAACATGCAAGAACAAGCATGATGTGTATATACATACGTACCGCCCATGAACATTCGTACACCATTCACCTCGAAGAGGAACGTTGTTCCCTTACCGTGCTGGTCAGCTTCTCCCAGGGGCTCTTGGATGAGCTCGACGCGACGGAAGCCAATACGCTTCGATTGCTGATCAAGTTGCATATTGTTCTATGCGCGCAAGACACAGATCAGCTGATGCTCTGCTTTAGCTGAGGATTACCACCGTCGTACCTGTCCGAGCAAAACTACTTCCAGTATGTATAACTTCTGCTTGCCATAGCCTACCGGCCACCATAGTTCGACCACGGTGTCTAGATCCCATGACACAATGTCCGTGACCTCTACCACATCCCCATCCCGCGGTTCGGTGATGCTTAGAGGTATATGCGCCTCGCGGACAACAAATCCGCCGTCCGTGTCCTTCAATACGACATGGGCAGCCTGAGCAGCTGAGACTCGGCCTGCTATAGTTAAATTGAGCTTGAGCGAAGGCAACAGCGCTGGACCGGACGAGACGCTAACGCGCGGATGGACATCGGATAAGCGCGCTGTGTAGGTGATTAGGCTTATAGGGCGGTAGGGCCCGCATGTCATTAGCTCAGGGCCCTGCACATAAGAACATTAGCGAATACTTGTGTCTGAGTCAGCATGTGTAAGGAGCGCACCCAATCCCATCTACACAGAAAGTCAACGCGTTAGATGCTGTCATGTGGAGGAATGCCGAGCTGAAACTGTGACTTTGTGACTTACCGCCATCCATACTGTGCTTTCCGAAGGTACACACGACTAGGATCACCAAGATTGGCTGACCCCGCCCTGACGCGTCCGTAGCGCTTCTCAAGGTCTTTCGCGGCGAGCTCCGCAGACTTGAAGTGAAGAAGTAATACGTTCTCCACACGGAGATCAGACAGCTGGATCGCAACCTGCGCTTATGTCTAAGTACATTCTACAAGTGATGCAACAACGCTCAGACGTACTGAATACGACCGGAACATATTGTCCGCCGTCAGGACCTTAGTGTCATTCTGGGCCGAATCCACATTTGTTGATCATTTCATATTCCTCAGCATAGGCACTACTACGCTTACCAGATATACATCGCAGACAGTATCGAGGCCCTCGAGAAGCAGCTCGGCGTGCGCCGCGTTACCTCGGGAGAACGGAAACTTGCAGAAGTAGAGCCATTCTCTCTCGCCCACCCCTGAATTGCCGATTACCACAACGCTAAGACTGCAACTTGATTGTGGGACTTACATTGAACCTTGTGCTCGTTGAAGCCAAGGAATGGGTCAGGAATGCGACCATTTTGCATCAATTCCACGTGTATTTCGGAAGGAAACGACCGAGCTATAGTCCAAGGCAGCCTGCCATTCTGCGGCTCATCGAGGACCGATTGTACTGTGGGATCCCGTTCTTTCCAATGCCACCCGTCTGTCAGGATTAGAGTATGAGTCTCCATGGTAATGTGTAGGGCTCAGGAAGTATACCTGCCTTTGAGCCATGAGGCGAGCAAGTTATGCACTTTGGGTCTTTACGTCCAGGTGACGACTGCGTGGACCACCAGGGATGGTTTCTCCGAGGAAATGCCTTGACGGACCGACGCCGTCGGCATGATCATATATCTATGTAGGACATGGGGCTCATACCATAAGTAATGCCACTTAGCCATCGCCCACAGACGTCCGGGCATGATGGCGTGTCTTGAAATGATGGACAAGTCAGATGATGACTCGTGGACGAGTTCTGCATGTGCGCCATAACATTCGTACACTTTGTGTGATGGTACGTACTAGTAGCACATCAGCAAAAGTTTGCTTGCGACTGGGCCACAAGACTGCAATCTGCGCCTGCAAAAGCCTCTGATCTAACCTCCTTTCCAACGCGTGCGAGGAAGCGGCGGAGGCCCAAATGTTTGATCGCACCTGTCGTGCAGCGCACTTGAGTTTGTGCCTACTTACTAATATTTGCTCTTGAGTATCTCGCCTCTTAGTAGTCTGCTATCGTTCGTAAAAAGACGACCCTTACTGTTAAGATCTCCAAACTTACCTCTCGAGCACCCTCGCGCTGCCTGGTCATGCGGTAGCGCAGCCAGTCGACAGATGAAGTGACATGAGACACGTGATTATTCTAGATACCAGACCATAAATACATTATCGGAAGCAGGCAGACATGGAAATGCTTTCTGGAGCATCGAGATGAAGACCTCTCGCTCAGGCTGGCATCGAACGTCCTAGCGCGAGCGTCCGAGGCGCGCGATGCGCGCTGCTTGCCTTTGTTTGTGCACATGCGTGATATGCCGGGTGGCGGGAATACGGCAATCGACCATCTAAAGTTGTTTTCCGTAAGACAGCGCGTTGGGTAGCAGACGCATCGACATTCGGAGCCGACGCAGGTTGACAGCGGGCGAAATAACGATAGGCCCCGCGACCACTCTGTGCTGCGGTATTGACATCTCGGATCATCGGCCGGAGAGAACAGTTACTTTAAGTGGTCGCGCCTATCGTTATTTCGCTCGTTGGAAGGAATTATCTAATACTCTGCTCTCAGGCTCAGGAGACTACTCTCATCGACAGGGGCACTTTGGGAAGCGTTGTCAGTATCTGGATTGATTCCACCATAAGTGAAGTTTGTGTATGTGTTCTTTTCATCATTTATACGCGATCCTAGTTTTTACTTGTATGTGGGAGAAAAAAAGTGCTTACTCATATTCTAACTATATTTCATCCGCAGAAGCCGTTTACTGCGTACTGCACCTAGGCGACCAAACCAGCGCCAGTAGCTGCTTGCATTCACACGTCCATGCGACGAGGATTGTGTTTCAGCATGCATTTGAGGAGCATAACTAGACCAGAACATCTCAGAGATAGAGTTGGAAAAAACGATCAGAACGTACAGAGGTTGTAATGACATGCTGCAGCGTAGACTCGACCGGTGCAGATGAACGGTGTTCGTCTCTTGGCGTGTATAGTAGGTCGCGCATCGCTTCACCAATTAGTGTGTACTGAACTCATGATTGCAGCTACAGTCATACATTCTCTGCGCTTGCTATAATTGGATCCCAACATACTGCTTGCTCATGAGCAAGGACCGAGTCAGATACGCTTTTGAATCACCGGAGAACATGAGCGTGACTCAATACTAGATCGGAGTTAATCGCGCGGACTTGAACAAAAAGCTGACATTAGCCCCACCACCCCACAAACACACAAGTGATGTGTCCTCAACTTGATCTTCTATCTCACGTCGGCCGATCAATTTTACCCCAACAGTGATCCGAGTGTCAACACTGTTACAGAAAAGGAAATTCGAAATCACGGTTTGGGCAATTATTGAATACAAGTCTTGGGTATGCAGTCCTTCAAAAGGTCAGTAGATTTCACGAAGGGCCCCCCAGACCCCATCGTCTACGTTGCACAAGCCCCTTTGCTATGTCTTCGCCGAGAACTTCCCATCCGCCTCAGTCAACTCTACTCGAGCCACAGGACAATCTCAATGACAGAGGGGTATTGGCGGCAGGTGGGTCCACTGCCGCGACGTCGGTCGAATTTCTTTTAGCCTGAACAACGTCGAACAGATATCCCATACGAACAGAATCCTCCAGAGACGGTGGAGCGGCCATACAGCGTTTACACGACCGGCGAGAAATGGTTCATCGTGATGATGTCGGGGCTCGCTGCGATGTTCAGGTAGATTTTCCATACTTGTACGCGACAATACCGATCCTCTAACATCGCTTCAGTACATTCACCGCCAACATCTACTTCCCTGCGATCCCGACCATAGCGACGGCGTTTCATAAGTCAACGGAAGACATCAACCTAACGGTGACCGTGTACATGGTTGTCCAGGGTGTCTGTGAGTATCTAGGACATCTTAGTGGCGATGACATGACCCTTATCACGTATATCATAGCCCCTATGTTCTGGGGAACGCTGAGTGACCGCTGGGGCCGACGGCCGATGTTCCTCGCCTGCATGCTTGTGCTCACCCTTGCATGTGTCGGCCTCGCGCTCACTCCGACGGACGCTTACTGGCTGCTGATGCTTCTCAGATGTCTCCAGGCCGCTGGGTCCGCCAGCACTGTCGCACTTGGTACGTATGAACGGAATTGTGCCGGGCATCATGTCATGACGAGAGACTTGTAGGTGCAGGTGTGGTTGCCGATATCTCTGCTCCTCACGAGCGAGGCATGTTCTATGGCATTTGGAATATTGGCCCTATGGCGAGTCTCGTGCTACTGCGATTATCGCTTCGCTGTATAGCTCTTACCGTCTTTTAGGTCGGCCCCTGCCTTGGACCCGTGCTCGGAGGGCTCCTATCCCAGGGCTTAGGGTGGCGGTGCGTCATCCACCAACGTCTTCCAATAAGATGGATCAACTGATCTTCCTCCGGGTTGTAGGGCTATCTTCTGGTTTCTGGTGATTGCAGCTGGAGTATACTTTGTCGTCATGCTTCTGTGAGAGCTCTCTACTGAGCCATCGGGAATGCATACCTAACGATTACGCCTGTAGCCTCATGCCAGAGACACTTCGTGCGTTTGTTGGTGACGGTAGCATTCCACCACCGCGGTTCTACTCGCCTCTCATTCCTATTCTCGGGCGCAGCCGTCCAAGGAGTTACAGCGTCGATGCGTCCACACGTCCACCGCCAACGCGTTTCCGCAATCCACTCCGGTTGTTCCTCTATCCCGACATCACGTTCTTGCTTATCTTTACCTCCGTCGTATACGCCGTCTTCTACGGCGTGAACACAAGCATATCGACGCTTTTCGCTACCACATATCCGTATCTTAGCGAGACGGAGATCGGGCTGTGCTTCCTCGCAATCGGCGGCGGAATGCTGGTCGGCGGTCTCGTCAATGGTAAACTGGTTGATATGCAATACCGGCGCGTTCAGCGCCGATTGGCTTTGGCAGCACAGAAGGAAAAAGATCCAGAGAAATCTAACAACATGACGAAGGAGGACAATTTCCCCATCGTTAGGACACGCCTACAGCTGATGCCCATATACGTTGCTGTCTTCATCGCGACATGCGCATGCTATGGATGGACCCTCGATAAGCGCGCGACCATTGCGGCTCCGCTAATTCTACAATTTATTCGTGAGTCAACGTCGTGTCCTGATAGTAGCATACATAGTTGACGTTGTCTTGTAGTCGGATGGGTCACAGTCAGCACAATGAACATAACGCAGACGATCCTCGTGGATCTCGCACCTGGCCAGGGTGCTTCTGTGACAGCTTGTGTACGTCCATTATCGCAACGTTTGCCTTTCACCTCGCTATAGCTATCCTATCACGCAGTACAATCTCGTGAGGTGCGGCCTTGGAGCAGCGCTAGTCTCAGTTATCGACATTATCATCGATCGCTTAGGCGTAGGCTGGACGTATGTTCTACTCGCAGGCATATGCCTCTTCTTCACACCTTTACTAGCTATACTGTGGCTCTTTGGACCACGTTGGAGAGCGCAACGCATAGCACGACGTCAGGCTATGGAGAATATGCAGTCGTAGACACATCGGGGCTTTGCTACTCGATTGCGCTTTCCCTTGTATTTTATGGTCTTTTTCAATCCCTTCGAGTACCTATCGTTGGTGGCATACTGATACTAGTACGTGTGGACTCACTATGAAGATAATGCATGAATAAAGAGGCCTGATGTGTGGTCGCTTGGCCTCACGACATGCATAAGGTAATCCTTATTTTACACATTTGCTAATCTTCAAAGATGAACAGATGTGCAGGAAAGGGTAACATAATTCATCAGGCCAAACGTGCATCAATGTGGGGCGACTCCTAGAGTGGTCAACCTACGTCAACGTGAAGTGCATTTGGAGCGATGCCAATGGGGTAGTGAAGTCTCCTGAAACATGATTTTAAAAACGGCCGAGAGGAATCTCTTCAGAGTATATGCTGAATATTGCGCTTAATGAAATCCCTCTGAACTCCTCTCTACAAGCTTGAGCTGCCAGAACACAAGCGCTGGGAGGGTCCAGTTCAGTGATAGGCGACATCTTACGAGCCCCTACTTTGTGTTAGCTACACTCACGATCGCGAGCACATAACGTTCATCGATAGCTAGCTACGCACTCTGCAGAGAATGTATCGAGGCCGCCGTTGGCTATTGAGAAGTCAAGGTACAGTCCGGTTGCGTCGAGACCATAAAGTCGCATCTAGATATCGAACTCTACATTAAAGGATAAGAACCACCTCTCTGGCGTCTAACTGTGCTTGAAGATGTGGCTTCCGTAGAATGATGGATGAACACGATGCACCAGCGCCAACCCTCTCGGGCTAAAGTTCGTTCATAGATCAGTCCTCGTATACGGTATATGATGACATAGTTTCTCTGTACTCGCTACTGTCAGTCATCAGCTCAGTGAATAGCATGGTCTTTCGGGACCTGCATATCGTTATTATGGTTAATGCAAGTATTGCAGGGATCGGAAGCAAATACACTTGTCTTCGGTGTACACATACCAAGTTCGGATTGTCACAAGACTCGACGTGCACTACATCATCCTTGTCACTGGCAGTTTTACAGGTCCAGAGTTGCTCCAGTCGCCAAAGTTCATAGTGCATCATTTGAGTAGCTCTCCGCATTCTCTTGGCAGCCACGGCACCGGCATGGCTAATTTGGGGAAATCAGTAGGTTAAAAGATTGAGTCGTTAAAGTCCAAGACTCGAGACTTCGAAATGCGCTGCAGCACGGTGAAGGCTCGGAAGCAACTCGAAAGGTGGGAGACCAATTCGGCATCAGCCGACTGCCCTGACTGTTCCTGTCAAACTGTTGCGGAGACAGATGGATCTGCATCAACGATCGGTAACCACCCGCTTGCTGGTGGCCGGTGTTCTTACCCTCGTCACATCTACAGTGCTTTGTAGAAAACCAACGCGCTGACACAACAGATCTATTAGCTACTTATCAAGATGAAATACAGGGTTGTCAGAACATGGCGAACTCTGCGATACGCTGGTGCGTACAACATCTAAATCACTGCGACCCTGGTAGAATTCTAGGCAACCATTGCCGAGGTGGGTATATCCCCGCGCCGTGGGGCCGTCAATTGATGGACCGATGTGACCGTGCAATGGTCATCTGTGCTGCTTGTCTCTGTCCTCTGTTCCTTTGCGCTTATAGCAGCTGTTCATTATCGAATAGCTTAGTCAATCCGAGTCGTGTCGCTCAAGCTTGTAATATAATGTTGCCAGAACCGGCCCAACCCACCCTTGTGTTCATGGACTCGTATCCGACTCGTGATGGTGAGTGCGGGTAAGTAGCCGGATTCGGATGTCCCCGAACTCAATTTTGATCAGTCAGCCAAGGCACTGGAGCGCAACAGCATGGATTAAGAACTTCTTGTTGCGGGCCATTCTCTGGAGCCTGCAGGCTAGTATGTTATGGTATATCGATATCGTTCAGAATTGCCATCTGAAGGCAGACTTCGGCTGATGGAACTTACCGTAATTGGGCGTTAGGTGTAGGGAGGGACAAATTCCAGAGGCGCCCGATTCGAGGTCCGAACTGCTTCGAGAACCTTTCAAGCTCTTTCAAGAAGCGGTCACAGCGGGTAACGCTCATAGATTCCCGCTCGCGGCAGCGCTTTACGTACACGTCATATGGTCCCCGTTAGACGAGCGGGAAGATTTCACGGCGAACCGCCGTATACATATACGCACCGTCGCCGTCGATGAACGCTTCTCCGTCCGCGATACGCTATCCCCTCGTAGACCACGATGACGGGGCCAAATTTGAATCTGAATCCCAGCATGGGCTGTTTCTTCATCGGAATTCTCTTCTCGACCATGTAAGTGCCGTGATCAGCTTGTTCGTATGCACCGCTTAATGGGTCTTTGCAGCCTCTACGGTGTAACGTGTGCACAGGCAATATACTATTGCTGGCAGTACCGTACCGACAAATGGTACATCAGGGTGCTGGTATGTCACATGTATACCTTCCGTGCTCAGGGATGAATGCAACTCGGCTTTTGAAATGTAGGTTGCCTACTTATGGTGCGTATCTAATATCTGGGCATTGTTCGACTGATTGTATACCGTCCCACCTTGCAGGTCCATGGATACTGTGATAACAATCGTGGATATATGGGTATTGAGTCGTCAGATCTGTTTTATCGGTGTAGTATCCGACGTGTGCGCAGATCCTTTGGGACTATATCATACACAGTCATGCCAATCCCATGGCTCTTGCAACACTCGACACGTGAGTCATTCTCCACGTTTCAATGATTCATATCTCACCTTGTTCCTAGTGCATTCATCGTGAGTGGCCGGCTACTGCGATTGGACAATCCCCAATTGATGATTTCTGTATGATGTATGGCGGTGGTGAAGGTTGAGTACGGTCTCTCAGTGAGTCTATCCTATTATGCGTAGCTCCTCAAAAGGCTGAAGATCTGCAGGCGTTCACCGTGCTGGCGGTCCAATTGTACTGGTCTTCGACATGTGTTTATGTATGGTTCTGATGATTACTCTTTCAGTTATTATTTGCACAATGCGTGGCAACGTGAGTGTGATTCGAGCCCGACAAGACAGTTCTAACAGCTATTTATAGTTATGTCGAAGCGATGGATTCAGATACCGTTGACGGTCGCCACGGTAGCTTTGGTCAGACCTTCGCTAGTGTTGCGTTCTAATTCATAACACATCAGGTGATACTTGCAGTAACCTCGTGTGGTAAGTCAAGCCTCATGATCCACTGCTGTCAGGGTGTATTAACGCAATTTTGCCTCTAGCATGCAGTCTTAGTACGTATCCGAAAGGTCTATTACACTCGCTTATCTTGACACTTCTCCGGCAGCAAACGTGTTCATGGCGTGCGTGCTTGTACGACCTGTCTAGATATCAACTAACATTGTTTTAGAAATGCCGACCGTCATCTGCCAGGAATCTTCCAGGTCACCGAGGTAAGGGATCCCTATAATATTAGACGGGCACTTGACATATCATCATCACAGATTCCTATAGCGATGCAGACTGTCTCGGCCTCAATTGCGGATGTCTTCCTCACAGCGACGCTGACGCTGGCCCTGCGCAAGGGCCGAACTGGATTCAGACAGTGCGTGCATCTTCGTGCTCGAGCTAACCGTCAAACTTATGACCATGTTCGCAGCACCGAGGCGCTGATTCACACCCTCTCCGTCTTTGTCATCAACCGCGGAATTCTAACCACGTAAGTTATCATCGTGGTCATCCGGTGGTGGCGCGATACTCAGATATGGCACAGGATCCTTCAATCCACTCAATTCCTTACTGTATGGGCCATCTAGCGTCGGCATGTACACAGGGACTAACATTAACTCAGTATATTTGCCTTCCCGCCACAGACTTGGCGTGGGCCCTTGTTCATTTTCCAGGTTGCAAGAGTGCGTACACTATTGTCCTTCTTTGTGTATTCTCATTTCTTCACTTCTTAGTCTACGTCAACTCGTTGTTTGCCATGTACGTGCTTTCTCATCGGTAACTCCCAAGGCTGACCAATGTTCTTTCGGGCCCCGTCCAGCCTGAACGCTCGTCGTCACTGGAGAGAAAATATTGTCAATGCAGCAGAGACGGGCCTCTCGGTACAAGACATTCCACTCGATACCGTTGAGAGAATGGGGCAGAAAAGCTCATGGTTCCGGTATATTCTATCGGTATCAGTCTTGCTAATGCATCCTGACGATCTGCCTCCGTCGACAGATCGCGGGAATCAAAACGCTCAAGCACCAGTGGACCCAAAGCTGTTATCCAATTCACAACGGAAGTTGTGCGCGATGACGGCGGGCAACCAGCAGACTCACGTGCCAAGTCTCAGCCGTTTTCATAGGGTGATGTTCCTCGACGATCGTCGTAGAGGATCACAACGTAGACACGGCATTATGAGTGTAGCGAAGTAGCCCTGATCGAGATCGCGCATGGCTCACTGCAGTTCGTCCACGCCTGTCCGGCAACGCCGCATTCAATCCCGCGCACTGGTCCATCTGCCTGTAGGACGCACTTCCTGTTCACGACTACTGTACATAGTTCTATATTGCTGTAGGAACACGGGCCTCAGCCCGAAGGGTTGTCCACAGCGCGTTTCGTTTGTATACCAGTATAATTCATTTGGGCGATAGTATGCTTGAAGCATGACTCTGCATCAGGTCTAGCGTGAGGATGAATCAGCAAGAACCTGTTCATTGTTGACAGTGCGGTAAGTCTCTGTAAAGTCTTTGATGATGTGATCCACAACTCCCCGACCTCAATCACTAGAGCTAGTCGAGATGGGGGTATTCATCCCCGGTTGTCCTAGAACATTCTCCGAGAGGCGGAATCAGCTGGATGGAGTGCACTCCCTGGGTATGGAGAATCAACTATATCCCTCCTCGGGGGATATCTCCAGCGTCAGAAACACACCATCAGTATTTCTGGCAAGGCGCTTACTTCCCACAATAGGGACGACCTCATGGGCATTCTGACGAAAAAAGATACTGTCGTCAGATGCATCTTCCATTTCAGGAAGACTCTAAACCGCTCTATTCCAGATTAGGAAGGCTCACCGTCGCCATATTCTATGATATAATTGCGCGGATTTCGTCGAAATCCGAACAAACAAGGAACTGTGAGCGGCGCTGAGCAGTTCACGCAATAGAAATATTCAAGGGGAGTCTCTGGCGCTGGGAATATTCCCGAGGAGGGAGATAATTGAATATTCGTTCCAGGGGGTTACTCAGTTTCCGTGTAGTCGGCCCCGGTTGTCTCAATATCTGTGCGGGATTGATGTGGAATTTGAGATCAACGGTCGTGACCATGGTCCCGACCTGGCTGGACCTGGCGAAGTATCGTCACCCGGAAGTCCGCTTACGCACACATCGAGTTCCACAGGTCTAATAATGTATAAGCAGCTGTGAGAACCTTCGGACTGTCCGGAATCGTGCTTTGTGGCTGCGGCAAGCCTGTTCAGCATCCAGACGTTGGTGATCTCTAAATCTGTTACTTTTGCTTTCGGCAGGTGCTTTGATGCCGCTGCACCATCTATTCAAGGAGCTACCTACGGCCCGGGGATTCAACGAGTTCGATGCTGAGGCACTGGAGTCAATCTAAATCACACTCGCATATTGTCACATTCGTTTTCAAGCTTGACGGCTCGCGTCTGAGCGCAGTGGCCGTACTCAATCTCACGATGTGGAAGTTGCTGCTATATGATCATCCCTCGCAGCAAACGGTCCGCTTGTAAACTGAAATCGTGGGAAAGGATATCACGCCAGCGTCATGTGAGGAAGCGCGTGCGCGTGTGATCTGCTTCCTTATAGCCTTTCATGTGTGCTCCTTCTACTCCTGGTCGCCCTTTCTTTTGGACCGGTCACCTCTGTCCGGACCGCAGAGTAGATGGACCCCAATTTCGCCGATGGAAATGTATTTGCGTCAGATGAGAAAGTCATGACTCTCCTTAAAAACCCGGCTCCAATACCATCTGGGTTCAGCAAACGCCCCGGGATGTTGTGGTATCGCGGACGCTTGTGGGCGTTCCCCGCCTTGCTTGCTGTGTGCTTAGTTTTGTTGACCTGGCCTCTGTCGCGAACTGCTGATGCGGCAAAGCTCTCCACGGAACATACTCCAGCAGCGAGTGTAGCAGCAGCGTCGGACCCTCCTCGTCAGTCTGATAACTATACAACCGTGGTCCAGTGGGACAACTACACGATATTCCTCAATGATCAGCGGATGTTCTTGCAGTAAGTGTTGACATTCGCGCACCTAGTCCTTTTCTAATTTATCGGCGAGTAGCTCGGGAGAGTTCCACCCGTTCAGGCTTCCTGTCCCTGATCTGTGGTTGGACATCTTCCAGAAGATGGTTGCAGCGGGCTTGAACGCGGCTAGGTATGTACAAACGCTTCTGCAGTTTGACTTCTAAATCGCGCGCTAGGCTTGTTCCGTCACTGCTGCCCATATGATCAATCTTCAGGGTAGCCGTTTGAACAAACATAGCTTTAAAGAATCTGAGATTCTCTTGTCCGATGCCACCCGCAGATAACGGACAGTGAGATTTCTTGGGCGCCCGATAGTGACTGCTTCTCCTTTGGACTCGATGATTCTGATAATGATACGTTCTCTCTGACGACGTTTTTTCGTATACTACAGCATCTACATACACTGTAAGAAGTCACGCTTCTGCAGAGCGGAGGAATATTCATGGTTGGGCAGGGACTCTGACAAACCCTGCGCCTGGTGTACTCGACTTCAACGACTGGCGCGCGCTTCAGCCCGTCTTCGACGCGGCTAAGCTCGCGGGTATATTCATTGTCTTGCGTCCAGGTAAGCGAAAGCAGAACATTCAACTACCTGATGTCACCTTACGCATGTTATCCCCGTGATAGGTCCATATGTGCGTCATACGCGATGTTATGACCCAACCTAGGGCCTTACGGGTGCTGTGGATGTTAGATTAATGCAGAGACGACTGCGGGTGGTATTGCGCTTTGGGCAACGAGTCTCGTAGCCGGAGAGCTACGCACAAACGCAACGGACTACAGGGACGCATGGACGCCCTACATTGATGAGATCGCTGCGAGTGTCGTCCCCAACCAAGTTTCCGATGGAGGGCCTATACTCGGTGAGTAAGAGCGAACACTTTTTTAGTTTGATGATTTGCTTATTGTGCCGGCAGTTGTGCAAATCGGTGAGTGATGACATGCTCACTAGCTCACCAGGTCACCTATGGCTCTGTCAGACAACGAATATTACCAAGACGCCTACACCGGAGAGTACTTCGTCGAGTTGGAGGAGGCATACAGACAAGCCGGCGTCGTGATTCCATTGTGAGTCCCGCTGAGATGATGATTGCCAGGCTCCTCTGACTGTCGTCAACAGGACATACAACGACCCAGGTGAAGGAAAGAACTTCGTGAACGGCACGGGCGCTGTGAACATCTATGGCCTGGTTTGTCACCGTCTTCTTGTGCTATGTCCTCTCCGGTACTCACCCTTCGGCTCGTTAGGACTCCTACCCCCAAGGCTTTGACTGCTCCACTCCAGAGGTCTGGAGCCCAGTTGTCACTAACTATCACCAGTATCACGAGGAGACAGACCCCGCCGAGCCGTGGTACATGCCAGAATTCCAAGGTCAGTTGACCATGATGTTGACCATGCCGGCACTGACGTCTAGCGTCAGGCGGATCGTTCGATCCATGGGGCGGATCTGGCTACGATGCGTGTGAAATCCTCACTGGCGCCGACTTCCAAGATGTCTTCAACAAGCAGAACTGGGCCTCAAACGTGAAGCTGATCTCGTATTATATGGTCTATGGGTCAGCCCGCTCATAGCCTTGTCCGATGGTACTGTACTCATACTATCTATCTCAGAGGTACCAACTGGGGAGGTCTCGCGGAGCCTGGCGTCTACACCAGGTATGGTTACGCTGCTTGAGCGTGTATTGATTCACGCTGAGAAACATCTGGCTATCAGTTATGACTATGGATCTTCTATTCGCGAGTCGCGTCTTCTCTCGGACAAGTTCGACGAGCTGAAGCGTCAAGGCATCTTCTTGCGGAGCTCTCCAGAGTTTTACAAGACTGACTGGGTAGGTGACACCGACACGACCATGCCCGGTGTCACCGTCAACGGTTCTGAAGCATACGTGACCTGGCTGCGGAATCCGGATACTGGCGCTGGCTTCTACATCGTGCGCCAGGCCAACTCTAGCTCACTGTAAGCTATGGCATTTGTGACAGCGTATGATGGATAGAGCTGATGGTTCAAACTCAGGGCGGACATCACGTTCCGCATATCCGTCCCCACTTCGGCTGGTACGCTATCTCTGCCGCGCACCACGGATTCTATTGCACTCGATGGACGGCAGAGCAAGGTCCTTGTCACCGATTATACATTTGGTACCAGCTCGTCAGTGCTCTACTCTACCGCCAGCGTCTTCTACGCAGGCACCATCGGTGGTCGCGATATCCTTTTCCTCTACGGCGACTTCAATCAGAGCCACGAGATCGCGCTGGAGTTCACCGGTACTGGCACACAGTTCGCGAAATCTACCGTATCGTTCTCTACCGGCGCTGATATCGATGGGTACACCACTGTGACGCTACTTCCTGGAATCGAAGGCTTCGTGCCGCTCTATGAATCCGACACGCAGCTGATCCTATACAGCGACTCAGTGACTGCGGCGACCTTCTGGGCCCCAGTCATCCCAGCTAGCGAAGGAACTGCCTTCCAGAGCTACTACCAGTTCGGTTCGAATACGACCGTTCTTGTTGGAGGGCCATACCTGGTCCGCAACGCGAGTATCTCCGATGGGACGCTCGCGCTTAGGGGTGATCTTAACCAGAGCGCCCTCCTGACTATCATTGCGCCCGACGACGTGACATCTGTGACGTGGAATGGTGCTCCTGTGTCAGCGTACTCGCTCACTGACGGTATCTTGGCGGGCTACCTGTCGACAAATTTGACGACCAGTTCGATAACAGTCCCTGCACTGACTGGGTGGAAATACGCGGACAGCCTTCCTGAGGTACAGAGCAACTTCTCGGACGCGGACTGGGTAATCGCGAACCACACGACAACGAATATCACTCCTGGAATGCTCTATGGCGATGGTCAGGTCCTTTTTGGTGAGTAGTCTTCGCTGTTCGCATAGCAAAGCTTATTCACGGACGGCTGTTAGGCTGTGACTATGGATTGTGAGTTGTATGATGAAAGAGGTTCGTTCTGTGAGCTGACGTCGCATCTTAGTTGCGAGAACACTGTTCTTTGGCGCGGTCACTTCACCGGCACGGGTTCGGAGACGTCTGTGAACTTGACTGTAAACGGAGGCACAGGTGAATATCAAAGTTTGACCCATAGAAGCTGTGTACTGAGCCATCGCAAATTCTGCAGCTTTTGCTGGATCCGTGTGGATCAACGATTACTTTATCAGCTCCACTTGGTCAGTGAGCGAAGAACAAACTACTGTGGTATACGCCTTCCCTGAGGGATCCGTCTTGGTGGGCCAAGATAATGTTGTGACAGTGGTACAGGTTCGTATCTAATAGCAGTGTATCCTATGCACACTCCATCTGACCGAGTCGGACAGGACGGAATGGGTAATGACGAGAGTCCGAATGGTGTGTTGTGTTAAATCATCATCTGCGGTGCTAATACATTGGTTCCAGAGAAGTCACCTCGCGGTATCCCCGGATTCTTGCTGAATGGCGGCAGTTTTACGGAATGGAAAGTCCAAGGCAAACTCGGAGGCTACACTGCGTGCGTGTCATATTTCAATAGTCAATACCTATTCCATTCAATTCTGCGTCCATCAGCTACCCTGACAAAGTTCGTGGGATCTTGAACGAAGGCGGTCTGTACGGTGAACGCGATGGATGGCACCTGCCGGGCTACGATACATCGAGCTGGACCGCCCGAGAACTATCCGAAGGACTGCCATCCAGTGGGGCGGGTATTGGTTTCTTTGTCACAACGTTCGACCTGTCGATACCCCAGGAAACCGACGCTTTGATGTCGTTCCAATTCGACACGCTAAACCAGGCTTATCGAGCTCTATTATTTGTGAATGGGTGGAGTTATGGGAAGGTATGGCGCTTGATTCGAGTCGTCGCTCATATTCCTGACGGGACATATTCAATGCAGCGAGTCGCAAACATCGGCCCGCAAACCATCTTCCCTGTTCCCCAAGGAATACTCGATTATGATGGCACAAAGTGAGTACAAGATGACTGCACGGACTTGATCCGCGTACTCACTGCTTACCCTTCGTTAAATAGTACTGTGGCCGTAGCCTTATGGGCCCTGGAGAACAGCTCTGTATCGCCCACTCTTGAGCTCGTCGTTGACAATGTATACGAAGGAGGTGTGGGTTCCATTGCAACGAACAACCCCAGTTGGTCTCCACGTAGCCTATTATAACGCTGTTGTAACACACAGAGTTGAGGAAGGAATAGGAAAAGCCTCGGGGTCTTAAGATGTGGAATCAACTTAACGTGGCATTGTTATGATCACTTGAGCTAATTCTTGGTCTATGCGCATCCAGTTCAAAGACACAAAACATGAGAAGCGCAGATGTTGGATCACATCGGATATTTATACGTATAGGTTGTTGGGGATACAAAGCGACAGATAAATGACTGCCGTGTATTTTCAGTCCTACTTCTTCTTCTTCTTGCCCTTCTTCACATGCAAGCCCAAAATAGCGTCTTCGAAGGCTGATTCTGAGCCCGGTTCTGAACCTTGAACCGACCGAACCGATTCCAAACTGAGCAAGCATGTCTGAAACAAAGACAGCAACGGGAAGGCTCCATGTGGTAAACCGCCTGCGGCAAGCGTTTCGAACTTCAACTGAAGGCTAGGGAGCACCTCGACTCCCATGCACTTTCGTCGGAAGAACCGTAATTGTGCGTTGAAGATGTCTGCGTGTCTGACCATAGCATACAAAATCACCGATGAGTGGAGATTTGTGACCCGTTGAGCACATACCGAGAAGAGAATTCGGAGAATAATTCATCACAAACATTTCCCACGGTTAGACTCGCAATTAATCGGTCAAGGGCAATTTGTTTCAGGCGATCAAGTCCAAGCTAGGCAACGATTAATGCAGAGCCAGGATTCCGAGCGCGAAGTGGGCTTACGATATCCGCCAAGCGATACATGGATTTCGGGGAGCAGGGCGTCGGATTTTGGGGCATGCTTAAGAGGTACTGTGCAATTTCTGCCTTCCGATGTTGTATCCCTTGCGATCTGAGGGGCGCGAAGACAATCTGACCCGTATACAAATAGATGATGACCCAGCGCCACCTGTTGATAACCACCGGGGGTTTGGCGTCATGAAGATGCATGCTATGAACTTCACGCTACCACGTACGTTATCAGTGCAGAATCTTTGACAACGATTTCGCGCCAGGGTCGGTCTTGAAATCGCTTCGATGGTGTCACGTCCCCTTCGTCGGGGTTACACTCTCGGTTCGATGTCGTTGCACTGGCAGTGGATTCGGAAGATACTGAGGCCTCTGGGAAGTCTTGAGGATCGGCAAGGCTCGGGACCTCATCCTGGAACTCATCATCCGTATCCTCCAGGTCGCTATCAGAGTCATAGCCATAGGTAGCGGTAGATGTCGATTCATCAGCCACGGCTCCTAGTCCGTCCACCGTCGAATTGCTTTCCGCAAACCCGCCCCTGAGAACTGGGAGACAATATTAGTCGATTGAGGCGGACAGACATCTGGGTAGTCATGGAGTGATGTCACATACGTCCATGAAAGTAAGGCGAGGCTGTAGAGAGAATCGCACTGTTGGCGTATACCACTCCTGGTTTTCCTATCCTTCCGCCGGGAAGTCGTTCTGAGAACAAGGTCAGCTTCACGTCGGAAAATGTTCCGTGCAGTGCAGCCTGTGTCAGTGCAAACTGGAGTGTTGCGGTCCAGGCTTGGAAGCTAGAGCCACACGCCTCGCATAACTGACCCGCCATGGTTTTGGGAGAGCGGCGGTGTGCAGGCGGCGTAGACGATGCGAGGGTTGGGATGCTGTATTTGTAGTTGCCCAAAACACATGGGGAGGATACGATAACGCGGATAACATGAGGGTTCCATTACCGCACGGATTACGTATCGTGGCTTGATGCGTAGAAATGAATACCTGTTGTTTGTGTGCATGGGTGCCAGAACTGCTCTACGCTCCAAATGCAGAAAGCTCGATGCAATTCTTGATGGCCTCGACTTGAAAGCAGTTTGGGGTATCATTAGGTATGACACATATCACGTAAAACACCGGAAGGGATTAGCAGCTGCCAGCGCCCAAGTTGAATGTTTCGGCACTCGCACTCTAGCCTTTCACGCTGCAGTTACATGCATTTGGAAAACACAAGAGTGTGATCCCGGGCCTGTGCCATCGGAGGATTGTAAGATAACAAATTGGAACAGGATTCCTGTAAGCTGGTAGTATGTGTCTTCTCTTTGAAAGACCGGACATTGAGAACGACAGAGACACCAGAGATCCATCACGTGCCAAGTACGCGTCGCGCCTCGACTACGCGCCTGGTCACCCGTGGACCACCCGAGAGACACATCTGGACTCTACTTCGTCTGTGCTCGAGCTCGAGGCCTGCAGCGCCATTCGAACCAAAAAACCCTCGATACCGTCAGGTATCAAACGTTAAATTGCACCCAACATGACGCCCAATCGCCTTGGCATCGACATCTAAACCTATGCGCTAACAGGTCGAGAACTACATCTCTGACCTCCAGGAGAAAATCATTTCGGCTTTCGAGAAGCTCGAACCCAACTCGCCCTCGTTCAAGTGTGATGCCTGGACGCGTCAGCAGGGCGATCGCGGTCTCTCCTGCGTCTTCGCCGTCCACCCCTCCACGTCCGAGGCGGCGGCGGCGGCGGCGGCGCTGAACATCGTGCTCGAGAAGGCAGGCGTCAACATCTCTATTGTCCACGGCACTCTACCCCCGGCTGCCGTCAAGCAGATGCGCGCCGATCACGGCTCCATGGCGAGCCTCGAGGGCAGTCTCCCGTTCTTCGCGGCAGGCATCAGCCTTATCATCCACCCGAGGAATCCACACGCGCCCACCGTGCATTTCAACTACCGCTACTTCGAAGTGACTGAGCCCGCTGCTCAAGGTGAGGAGGCCACGGCAAGGTGGTCGCATGATGGTTCGGCGGCGGGTCCGACCTCACGCCGTCGTACCTGTGCAAGGACGCGCAGGACTTCTACGCCACACTCAGGGATGCATGCACACCACATGGCTCCGCGATCTGCCCAACCTCCAAGAAATGGTGCGATGAGTATTTATTCATTCCCCATCGCGACGAGGCTCGCGGCATCGGGGGGATCTTCTTCGACGATCTCTGCGACGAGCAGCACAAGCGATTCGGCGATCTGGACGCGCCGCGCCCCCGCACCTCGGACGCGATCTTTACTCTGCTGCGCAGCCTCGGCGATGCATTCGTGCCGTCGTACCTCACGATCCTCGAGCGTCGCATGCGCATGCCGAGCACGCCCGTCGTTGGCAGCTGCTTCGCCCTGGACGATATGTCGAGTTCAATCTGGTATACGACCGAGGGACGCGTTTCGGGATGCTGACCCCGGGCGCGCGGGTCGAGAGCGTGCTGATAAGCCTGCCGGAAACAGCGCGGTGGGAGTACATGAGCGATCTTGGCGGCGATGGTGAAGGGAACAAAGAAGGGAAGATTATCGAGATGCTCCGGAAGCCGCGGGATTGAGTATGATGTGGTAGCAGTTTCAATATGGATTTAGACAACGGTGTACAGTAGCAAAGAGCATAACCATAGGTCTATTATACTTGATCTGCCCCGCTGTACGTCTCCAAACTGCTGCGCCAGGTACCACTCTATATTATCATCCTCCACAGTCTGCCATACCACGTCGTTGGCGGGGGGTCATCGGGGAACGGCTCGGGTACATTTCCTCGTATGAATGACATTTTGTCCAAGGAAACCATTTCGGTTTGATGTATCAATTTATACCCGAGGATTAGAAGGGCAAAGCACGGCTATAGAGACAGCATGTCAGCGATCTGCTACGGTCGATAATTTGCATACCGACCAATGGAATGTATGCACCCATAAATGTGAGCACATGCTGACTGACCCTCTCATCGCGTGGCCAGGACTCTTTCGGGCCAGTGGTGGCTATACACTTATGTCATTCATATAGGACTGGAGACACACATATTCCCATGCTTACCAATAATCCAGTTGTGGTGTATAAATACTCTCCTGAATGTTGATTATCATGAGTGGCTAAACCATACTTGAGGTCGTGAGAGATCTCATACCATCCGTTTGTCAGCAAAACAATGACACAAATGGAAAAGGCATAGTATGCTAACTGAATAGGATGTTAGAATTGCGAATGATGGATTCATGAATAAATACTCACATATGGCTGCCATTTATGTCTATGCTCCTTGATCTTGTCAATTTGAGCTAGCACTTTGTTGGGATCACCAGTGGACCATTTTCTTTCTGCATGAACTGTTCCATGGTACCATCTATCAAATATTAGTACCAAATGGTTCAGCATATATACAGGTGCCTACCTGATGTATGTGAATAACATTCCTGACCATGATATCAATGAGGCAACACTAGCCATTGAAGCAAGTATTTGAAATGCCTATTGTTGAATTGATCGATTATCAATTGTAAACCATCAATGGTAACCATTCACCTCAGATACACCCATAGTGTCGCTTGTGTGAGTAGACAGGGCCATAGTGGCACCACGAATAACTATGGTTGTAGCAGTAGCACTTGGAGGAGTAGACATTCTTGAAACAACACTACTGGACTTGGAAGTGGCTGTGTAGGCTAGCAGGCCTATGGAAGCTGATACCAGAACACTTGCAAGGGGTATGGTCCAAATCATTGATGGTTTGTGGAATGAAGGGTGCTGAACTGCTTCTTCATCAGAATGTTTAGTGGAGTTTGCATTAGTGAAAGATTCTATGGCAGAATGCCAGTCTTCCTCCTCATCGGAATCAGTGTCTTCCTCCTCATCACTATCAGTGTCTTCCTCCTCCACTTCTTGAGCTGATGTCTTGTCCTGTGGATACTTGATAAGTGAAGCTAGAAACCCGGGAGCATGACCTCTGCGGGCCAAGAAGAACATGAAGCGGCTGCCGATATAAATATCAGAAGCGGCTGCTGAGAAGGCCGAAAGCATGATAATGGCATTGATGAAGTTGGCAGGCTGAAAATGAGAATTTAACTACCATTTGGTCTTTCAGAAACATAGCAACATCCACTTACAACTGTCCATTTAGCTCTGCTCAATGCAATGACAAACGGGGATGATAACCCATTTGAGGCATTTGCTCTCAGGTCCACAGAGGTTTGAGGTACAGTGAGCCCAACAGCAAAGATGCTCAAGATGTATATCAGAATGCTGAATAGACTTAGTAATCATATGCATCAATCACATCAACGTACTTACATCCTGACCCATACCCGTTTTAATGCTCGGGGAACATTCTGTAGAAGTAGAATCAGCGAAACTACAGCGCCCGCTAGTTCTGGCAGACCTCAACGTACTCTCGTTGCATCAATAACTTCTCCCGCTGCCTATATTCATGTCAATCGTAGCCTGAGAAATCATATAACAAGCAACCTACAATTCCGGGGACCTCGGATCCAAAGAACGAGAATGCCGCTTGATTTAGCACTGCTAGGAATCCAAGGAATTGACCCTTCACTCCGCGGATACCAAGATAAGAATTCGCAAATGGTGGGTCCCAGTTCTTGAACAGTATGTGTTGAGTCAAATGAGAGCTTGTCGGTGGTATTGCCTGGGCTTGGCCAGCTCCAATATCGATAAGGAGACAGGACAAGACTTGAGGATTGTGTGAACGTAACCGCAGTGGGATACAACCAAGACTACTCACGCAGAGTGGCAATTGTTCCGACCTTCAGGCACGAGAACCAGAATTCAAATTCGCCGTACATTCGCGAAGGTAACAGGTTCACCATCGTAGCGGTACCGAGCTGTTGAATATTGTTACTGAAACTGTAGGGGGAAATGGCCATGGACTATACGGCTTACGAAGACACTGATCAACGCATAGACCAAACTAGGAGGCCTAGTCAGGCATGTCAGTATCAGATGATAGCGCTTACGACGTAACGACGTACGGCGATTGAATCCAATACCCTACAGTAAGCGCTGCAGCCGTGATTTCGGCAGCTTAATAGTCACACTGGTTAGCATTCTAGCGAAGAGCAGCACGCCGAAGACCCTCACGAAGTGTGACGCTCCAGTTGTACTGAATGCTCGCAGTGAGAATATGCTCGGGTGTCAAGACTTAAACATACCCAAGAGGCCCAACCAAGAGCAAAGCCGAAAGCTTTGTCGACGTAGAGGTCAGCAATACCAACGACGCCGCCGACATTCGGGCTGGGCGCATGTAAATCGTCGGACAGCACTACCGGTCAGGCAGCTAATTTCACGTACAGATAAGCAATCATCTCGCCAATGGAGACGCATAAGCAGTACACTAGGCTTCCAATAATCGAATATCCAAGGAGAGCGCCCAGAGGACCACCGTAGACCAAGGATTGCTGTATTTTCGGAAGATAGGCACATTAAATCGCGGTCGTTTCTCCAGGAAATAGAGAACGTACGCCAGAGCCCAGAAACAATCCGGTACCAACTACTCCACCTGTAAAAGTATCAGTACAACTGATGAATATATAACGGGGAAGCACGAACCGATAGATATCATGCCGACTTGCATAGTGAAGTTCGTTAGAAGTTGCACATTTCTTGAATGATATTACTCACTATGTCGGCGAGAAAACTGAGGCGGAAGGTCGTCTTTGATGCTCTTCCATTGCCTTTGAAAATCAAGCACGCGCTGAGAGATACGCGGTGCCGCTTGACGAGGTGGCAGCTTGTCTTCAATGATTACGCGCCGAGAGACTGGAGGTCCTCGACTCGGCGAACGCCGCGCATCGTGGATCTGAACACGCCTCACAGATCTGGAAGACGCGCCCGACATGATCTCCGACCACGACCAGGGATGAGAAATTAAGCGTAAGTAGAGGTGGGCAAAGGCTGAACTGGCGCGACACAGAAACCGTGCAGCGGAGTGCCCCTTCACGCAGGTTCGAATATCATTATAAGGCAGCCTCATTCGGGCTTGGGTGTGATATGATTCTGTCAGTGACCGACACGCCCTTGAATTCAATCAAGACCAATACAGTGCTCTGTCTACCTGAACTAGCGGCAGCACATCGGTTGACAGCGTCGCCACCGAGATCAGTAGTGCGCTCGCCGCGTGCAGGCTTTCTGTCTTAGCTAATACTACCTCGCGCACACCGACTTCGGGACATAATGCAGGGATGCATTTGCATGCCAAGCGTTCGACGTTCTTCGGGTGCTCTCTTGCACAGTGTACTCTCATTTTCAAGACGCCGTACGTCTGGTACTCAGCTTCTTGACTCTACACCGCTCGCGGCAAGCCAAACCGGGTCTGTGGCCTCTCTCACGACCTAAAGTGGTGACAGGTGAGGGCATGATCCGATTAGTCTGTTTGCCTGTTGATTAAATTGGACACTTCTATCTCCGTGTTTCGTGCCAACGTCGCCACGACGTGACCGATTCCGACAACATCGCCCGGCGATGTGTCCGCCATTACATGTACATGTAAGTACCTTAGTAAGATTGGCTTTTTGACAGGTTGCTGGGCCAGGTCCGTGTGGGACGCATCGTGCACTGCTAAGCCCTTGTACTAAGGTGAGATAAAAGCTTTGCGATGTAGGACTTCTTGTACATGTACACTCTGCAGTCCCGCTAAGTGATTGCCTCATGGACGACTCAAGCTATCCGCTGGTCACTCGGCTCATTCTAAACTACTCTCAATGCGGTGTAAGTCAAAGCATCCTGAACAATGACACATATCAGGCGCTGCAATGCGCTGCGGGCCAGTCCATATCTCGGATTGGAACCTCATGTATTGTTTGCCCAAATTCTGACATCGCAGGCGTCGGCGTGAGGGCTGCCTTTTATATCCAAAGTCTTTTCAATAGTAGGTATCGTTTTATACATTCAACCGGACAATATTCTAATTCTGCTTGTTTAGCTCTCCTCGTCATCCTATCCCCAGAAGACGCGGCTGCTAGTGCCTGGGCGGGAGCTGTCCTGACCGCTGGTCTTGTGATCGCCGCGTTCGTGCAGAAAGCGGCGTCCCCTCCGAGTCTGACCCTGCATCATGCAACGCTCATTCTAAAGTTCGCCTGCGCTATGGTTTTTCAGCATCGTTTCTGACGCCGTCTGCATTAGTTACGCCACCCTCTCCTCCATCAGCTCTTTGGCTATCGCGCCCATGCTCCCCGTATGGGAACTGCCGGGAGCACGCAGAGCACATACCCCCCACAGCCAAGAACACCTGGTAGAGGGTAAAGACGCAGTGCTAACGCATGGATTACAACAGAACTTTCTCCGCAAGGAACGACGGAAGACACACAACAGACAACGCGCAGCCATCACTTTCGCACTCCTATCGCAGGTGCGCTCGCGCGACCGCTGCCTGTAACGTCTGTTGCTAACCCCGCCTCAGGTCGTCTTTCAATGGGCATGGGGTTTGTTCCTGTTCGTCGACCCGCACTATAGCCAGCCCACATGCAATCAGGACACAATCATATGGATCCTCTATTTCCCGCTCAACGTACGGAACGTCAACGAGGCCGGCTATGCCGTATGGCCAGCGTGGCTGTTGTTCTGCCTCGGTGTGACGCTCTTCTACACGATCGCGCTCGCTGTGTCCAGCGGCGTGCAGACGCACAAGGGCCCCCCGAGGATCTCGACAATTTCCATCGCCAGCTCAATTCAGAGCGCGCACACATTTGTGCCCGTGCAGCTATGCAGGGTCATGATGGCGGCCGTTCCGGAATGGGGCAACGTGCGGGGGAAGACCTTCGTGTGGGGCAACGTCGTCGCGGTGATCTTGTGGACGTCATATATCATCAGTACGTCTTCTCGCTGACGTCTATATGCGCGCGCGGCCCACACGCCTCCAGTTTCCGAATTCCAGATTCAGTCGAACTGCATATATAGCGGAGAGAACAGCCTCTCCGGCTTCGGCCAGGTGCGTCTCGCGCCCTCGCTCATGGTGCGCACCACTGATCCCGCACAGATCACCTCCGTGTTCCTTGCCTTGACGCCCGTCTGGTCGCTCATCGTCGCGCTGTACAGACTGCCGGGAAAGCTGCGCAAAGCTGAGCGCGGGCGCGCGAGAGGGCGTGCGCGGGGCGCCGAGGAGCAGTTGCTACTGGCACACCTGGACCACGGGCGAGAATCAAAGCCCGAGGACTGCGTCGCATTGAGCTGGCTGGAGGCCCACCGCGTCGTGTGGAACCGGGTGCGCAGTGCGAGCCCGACGCTGCACCAGCGGGCGATCTCGCGCTAGCGGCCCCGGCACACGAGCATCGACGGCGCACAGTATCACGAGCCGCAGTAGCTGACGCCTGCCTCGCCTCCTGTCGCGCTTGCTGCACTGTACCGCTCGGTCCAAATCGGCGCCAGTTACGGCACGGTGTGCCCTCATCGGCTGTTTGTATCTTTGCAACTGGTATCTGTCAGTTAGTGTATTTTTGCACGCTCCCCGCGGCAATGATCGGGTTTACGCTGTCAGTAACTCCGTGCGCTCGAGATCCGAGCAACGAGGTGTGGATCTCTGATCACTCCGCGGCGTCGGATGCCCCGACTGCGTATGTCCAATTAGGCAGTTGAGCTGCGGCTACGGCCTGGGTACGTCCCCTTGCAGCAAGAGTACTGCTGTTCTATGCGAGTCGACAAATGATCATGCGACTGCAGTCGAATCGGATCTAGTAGTGGTCCCTCCGTGAACGCCACCCCGCGACGCGTCGCTGCCTGTTCCGCCTGGGCTTTCCTTACAGTCCCTCTTCTAACGTTTCGGCGAGTAGCTCGGGAGAGTTTCACCCGTTCAGGCTTCCTGTCCTTGATCTGTGGTTGGATATTTTCCAGAAGATAGTCGCAGCGGGCTCAGTGAACACGGCTAGGTATGTACAAACGCTTGTGCGGTTCGACATGTGAATCGCGCGCTAGGCCTGTTCCGACACTGCTCCCGATATGATCATTCTTCAAGGTAGCCGTTTGAACAAACTTAGCTTTAGCGCATTTCAGATTCTCTCATCCGATGCCGCCGCAAACAAGTGACAGCCTCGAGATCTTATGAGCACCCGCTGCTCGAACCGCGAAGACCACCGTTTGACACTGAAAAGTAGCTTTACGTCCGCACTACTCCGACGAGGAATCCAAATTCCCTCCGTCTGTTACACAGGGTACCGGCCTGACCAAGGCCGACCCAGCTCTGATACGAAGAAGAATGCTTGCGGTCTGAAAAAGCTGTCACTGACGATTTCTGTGTGCAGGGCTTCATGGAGGCGTCGTTCTCCATGATCGGCCAGTTCGAAGTTTGCTTCACTCCGGAAATCGCGTCGCCCAACGTGTACAGGTCATTTCCAATTATGACGGCGATGAGCAGTGTATGTGAGTCCGCGGCCGTCGGAATCCTGGCAGTCGCTTTCGATATTGTCGACCAGTCCTCGGGCCCTGGTATTACGCATATTTGTCATTTCGTCTCCTGCCCAATCGAGCTTGAATATCCGGATCAATCCTTCCTTGATGGCAAAGGCGCCAATACTCCGTTCAGGAGATCCAACAGTTGCGTGACTTTATGTCCGGCGCTATCCGGACACGGCTTAAATGCTTTCACTTCGCTCTGGCTATCATCTGCGATGAGGTGCGCGCACAAATATAAGGCTATGCCGGCATATAGCTTGGAGAGTGAAATACTAAATTGAGTCATGTATGCAGCCGCCAGTGGGGCACAACTTGATAACATACACGCTTTCATGATGTCCCTCACCAGGGATCTTTGACACCCTCGACTGAGTAGAACTCCACCGCATTTTCCAACTTGGAATCACTGATGATCCGCAGACATCTTGCTGCAGATTGTCGAGGTGTGTAGCTCGGAATGTCTGGTGCTTTTTGTCGCATCCAGTCATCTATAGTATGGCCCATGTCGGTCGCAACCCACCCTGACAGTCGGCCAGTGTATCATATGTCGGCTGTGAGTGCGCATTGCAATCAGAGATTGTTCTCGCACCTGGATCAATGAGTATCATTGTGATACCTTCCGATTGAAGCATTGTACCCCACCGGCGGCCCAGCCTGCTCATAAAAGGAATCAGCCCGAAGAACTGTAGGTTTCACGCTGAACGCGCACATATTCAGGGCTGCCTTCGTGAGGGCGTATGTGTTGCTAATCTCACAATACGCAGGTGCCATCTCCAGTGATGCAAGCCCCGACGAGATTAGAGCGATCTTTTTCAAATCGCCCTGCCGAATCAAGGGCAGAAAGGCGCGGACCACTTTGATCGGGCCGATGGTATTGACTTGTAGCTCTTGCTCAAGTGCGTCGAGATTGCTTACCCGAAGAGATATTACACAGGAAAACGTTAGATAAGTGAGGGGTGAGCACATAATGCAACATACCAGTCTTCATAAGTAACTCCCGGCTGGAGAGCGACTCCCGCATTGCTGATGAGCCAATCGAGACCATTTGGAAGGAGCGCGGCTGCTGTTTCTGCCGCCTGCAGGACGCTACTGGTGTCCGCAACGTCCATTGGCACTATCGCCAGCCGATCCTTTGGATACTGCTCCTGTAACTGTCGGAGTCCTGGGGAGGCATCGGGGTTTCGTGCAGTAGCAACTACGATATTGCTCGCGTTTTGAAGCTGGAAACAGGCGACTGAGGAAACCAATCACCACAAAAACCAACACTTACTAGTTCTGCGACAAAGGCGAGGCCAATACCTCTGCTAGCACCGGTTATAAGGTATGAAGGCATGTCCGGGAACGCTACCTTGGACGAGTGTGTCTCGGTTTCAGAGTAGGATGGTAGGTTGGTGGATTAGTATCTCTCCAGGTGATAGGTATATATATAATCTCCGTAAAATATATCAATAGAACACGATAAGGAGAAACACCGGCAGGAATGGAAGAGCGACGTTAAGTCCGCACCTATCGTTGGTCTCGTACCGAGACCCGCCGTATCCGCACTCCATCACGGCGAAAAGGGGGCTGGGTATGAGACCACCTACAATTTACGGAGAAGATCACACGACCCACAGGGAAGCTATAGCTTAGACAGATTGCAGTATCGTAATCTCGTACGATATTCCACCACGGCCGTCGAAATCCAGTCCGCTTAGCGCTAGTACTGGTGACAAAGAAAAGTATAGTTCGATGCGAAAGGAAATCAGGCTCAGATGTTCATATTGTGGCCATGTTTTCAATCAATTAGTCATCGGAGTTCTTGGCTGAGGGCCCAAAAGTCAGCATAGCGCCAGGTGCATATAGTGGACACCAACCTGTGGAAGATTGGGCGACCTTCTCCTACATATTTCCACTTGCTGCACCGTTGTTCGATTAGAAGGGCTCGCGAAGTCTTGCTTCCACAAGCATAGTGTACGAGACATTCCATGACAGTACCCGAAGGAAAGGAAGTGTTCGCACACTAGTCCTGTTGTACAAAGGAAAGATATTCCGCGATCACTCCTAGAAGTACCACCGACCGCCATATAATAGTTTCATCCCCCAAATGTATCTACGCGTGTTCTGCGAAGGAAGGAGGGGTAGGAGAAGACGGGGCCTTCACTTCAATCAAGCAAAGGCAAAACAGGTCGACGAGCGCAGGGACTGAATGGTCGATATTTCCGCTCGAAAGAAGTTCGAGTTTGCTCCGCAGCTGTGGCACCATCTCGGTATTCCTGCAATGCGATTCGAAATATTTGACCTGTTCGTCCTTGATATCGCTGTACCTAAGATCGAGCTGAGTTAGGCGATCAATCAAGAGGTATATGTCGAAGCTTACCGAGATGAGAAAGTCGAGCACAGTTCATCCAGAATATTCTTCGCAGACAGCTTTTCCTTTATAGCATATGCTGCAGATCGTTTGAGTTCATCGAGACCAAGCTAAAGCCAATGTGAATACATGGTCAGTGGCGATACTAACATCGGAGTACTTAGCACGCACAATATCTGCCAAACGGTACATCGATTTGGGGGAGCATGGTGGGGGCCGACGAGGATGAGTCGCCCGATACTTGCGAGTCTCGGATTGCCTGAACTCTACTCCTTGCGACTTTAGAGGCGCATAATGGACCTGCCCCGTATAGAGATAAAAGAGGAGGGTTTGCCATCTGGCCAGCGGTTCAATTACGTTCACCTTTGGACTTATTCCTTGATACACGTACGTCGTGTATGCAGAGTCTTTGATCATGACTGTGCGAATGTCTCCACCTGCCGTCCCCACTGCCTGTATTGTAGGAGTAGTGGTAGCACCGGTTGTGCTACCCGTCGATTCGACAATCTTCTTCGGCCCCGGTTGCGCTTGAGTATCACTTGCCTCTCCTTCGTCTTCACCCCCATCGTCCTCCAAATCACTGTCGGACTCATAATCATATGCACTGAGATTGGTCTCGTGGATCTCTCCATCAAGAGCGCCTAAGCTCTCTGCGAATCCGCCTGCCAGTACTGAGAATATACCCATCAGCCTAATTCAGATTCAAGGAGGTCTTTGGACACATACATCCTTGGAAGTACGGCGACGCAGCCTTTAGCACTCTGCTATTGGCGTAGAGCACGCCTGGTCTATCGACGCGCCCCGAGGGGAGACGCCGCGAGCATGCATAGAGCTTGACGTCGATGAACGCTCCGCTGAGTAATGAATCCGTGAGAGCGAGCTGGAGATCGGTGCGGAGTGGGGAGACCAAGAACTTGAAGCCCCCATTTTTGCCGCCCCAACCGCCGCCCCCACCGCCGCCCCAACCGCCGCCCCCACCGCCGCCCCAACCGCCGCCCCCACCGCCGCCCCAACCGCCGCCCCCATTCTTGCCGCCTCGTGTCACGATAGGTACGCTCATCGCAGTGAAAATGCAAAAGCAAGGATAAGAGATGCACAATTTACCTCACAGAGCATCTCTTATATGCCAGGGGGAATGAGCGCTGGAGATATCTTCTTTCTGATCTAGTAAAGCAATTTGTAAAAGAAGAAGACGCTGTAGCGCGAGTAGGGGCACGAGGTCAGTGTATGTCTGAACTCTGTCTGACCTCTGTCAATATGGCACGACACATTTGATATCCTTTAGCTGTAAACGCTTTTACAGATGAATGTGCGCCCAACCACAGCGCCTTCAAATCACAACATGCGTAAAGCGAGACAGTCGAGGGCGCATGCGTGTGGTACACGTGCGGAAAGTCATATTCTGTGCAGCATATATAGACTTCACTTGTCATATGCCTTGAATTCTGATGTCACATGAGCAGAATACGCGATATATAGATGGCCAAACTCACGAGCACAGTACTGATCGATCACCCTGCACGCACGCAGGGATATCCGGAGCCTGCCTAGGTTGAAGGAAGTGTATTACGTCCTGCTCACAGGAGACTAGCACGCAAGGTTGGGAGGCCATCCGCTCGCGAGCAAGTTATACAATGCAGGTCCACACTCGCGGACATGCTGCTCGTGCAACGTAGTGATACTTTGGCCGTTGAAGTAGATGTGCCCTCTTGGGTAGTCGGCAAGTCCAAGTCGGCAGTCACGTAAAAGGAACGCACTCATCACGATCCGTCACGAATGCCGATGCCAAAGTCCGCTCGGCCAACGCTCGAGGACTCTGCCGCCGTGCAATGACGTCGCCTGCGTGGCGTCTTATTGATCGGAAAAGCAAACTCCGACACGTGCCGTTGCAGCCGAGGCGTACACCGGCGTGACGACGGCTTGAGAACGGCTTGAGCTGGTCTTGAGGAAAGGACTCCAGAAGTACTGCACCGTTCGGTTTCGTTCAAGCTGGAAATGAAAGCAGGCATACGAAAACCTGTGTCTATAAAAACCACGAAGGTTATCGAGCACTCGTAAACATTCAAGTCTTCAGCACTTCAATCTCCATCTTGTAACTCGTTTCTGAATGAAAGTCTACTCAAATATGACATTTGCTCCTATTCGGTTCTAAGCTTGAGCTATTCATCTTTGTCTTCATCCAGTAGCTTAGATTCGCGTAGCAGCCGTAGTCTTCGTTCATGCTCATGGAAGCCGGAGCAAAGTAAAGGGCTACACTTGTGAAAAACTCGCATCATCCTATTGGCTATAGGCGTAAACGCCCGTTCCATTTCGAGCGCTCCCCAGCCCGGCATATTCCGACGTCCGTCGAGGAGACCGCCGTCAGCAACGGGCGACACACTTGCTCATCGAGAACGACTATGTTCAGGCCCTCGTCGGCGACAAGTATGTGTCTCATCTGTGATCAAACGATCGGCATTGAATTCTGGTTATTTCTCAGAAGTCGCGCGGCCATTTCGCGCCAAGCTCCGACGCTCGTTCGCGACGGTTCAGGACCCCCCTGTCCGACATTACGGTGGTCTGAAAGATCAGGACCGCATTTTCACAAATGCATACTGCAGGCATGACCATGGTCTGAAAGGAGCCCAGGTGCGCCTCACACAGGCTTTTAGATGACATGCATCTCATTCTTACGTGGTTTGCAGGCTCGCGGAGACTGGCATCGTACCAAGGACATCATTTTGAAAGGTGATAGTTGGATCATTCAAACAATCAAAGACTCTGGCTTGCGCGGACGTGGTGGTGCCGGCTTCCCGAGTGGCTTGAAGTGGAGCTTCATGAACAAGCCGGGTTGGGAGAAGGACCCTCGGTGCGTACGTCGATCATGTCGTGTCAAACGCCGGCTGACAAGCTTCGAGACCCCGTTACCTTGTGGTCAACGCTGATGAGGGAGAGCCGGGAACCTGCAAAGACCGCGAGATTTTGCGTGGTGACCCGCACAAGCTCATCGAGGGTTGCCTGGTCGCTGGGCGTGCCATGAACGCAACAGCCGCATACATCTACATTCGCGGCGAATTCTTCCAGGAGGCATCGCATGTGCAGCAGGCTATCAACGAGGCGTACGCTGCTGGTCTCCTCGGCAAGGACGCGTGCGGTAGCGGCTACGCTTTCGATGTGTATCTTCACCGCGGCGCAGGCGCATACATTTGCGGCGAGGAGACCGCACTCATTGAGAGTCTGGAGGGCAAGCAGGGCAAGCCGCGCCTCAAGCCTCCGTTCCCGGCTGATGTGGGTCTGTTCGGTTGCCCTACCACTGTTGCCAACGTCGAGACTGTCGCCGTCGCACCCACCATCTGCAGACGCGGTGCTCCATGGTTCGCCAGCTTCGGGCGGGAACGTAACCAGGGGACAAAGCTCTTCTGTATAAGCGGTCACGTCAACAACCCCTGTGTTGTCGAGGAGGAGATGAGCATCCCGCTGAAGGAGCTCATCGAGAGACATTGCGGTGGTGTGAGGGGCGGTTGGGACAACCTGCTCGGTATCATCCCGGGCGGCAGTTCCGTTCCTGTTCTGCCCATCAAGAAGTGTGAAGAGGTCTTGTAAGTCGCTTTGTCCCCTGCCAAGTAACCATTCTCATTGTGTCTATTTCTCAAAGGATGGACTATGACTCTCTCAAGGATGCCCAATCCGGTCTCGGCACGGGTGCCGTCATTGTCATGGACAAGAGCACTGATATTGTCAAAGCCATTGCTCGTTTCGCTCACGTACGTGCGTTTTTAATGGAATGACGCTATCGTAGCTCAGCAATTTGCACGCCCAGTTCTACAAGCACGAGTCTTGTGGTCAGTGTACACCCTGTAGGGAGGGCACGACCTGGATGATGAATATGATGGACCGTTTCGTCGAGGGCCGGGGACACCAGCGTGAAATTGACATGCTCCTCGAACTGACGTGAGTTCCTGCCGCTACCTTCGTATCGCCCTCCCTTCTCAAGCTCCATCAACAGGAAACAGGTTGAGGGTCGTACTATTTGTGCATTGGGCGACGCCGCTGCCTGGCCGATCCAGGGTTTGATGCGCCACTTCCGCCCGGAGGTCGAGAAGCGCATCGCTGCGTTCCGTGCGGAGCACGGCCCCGTCCTATTCGGCGGGCGGCTGAACAGCCAGACGGACCCGACGCTCGCGATTCCGGATAACTTAGGAGCAAACCTGCCTGAGGTGGAGGCGCCAGCGCAGCAGTGAGCCAAAGCGGAGACGATGCAGAAGCGGTGGGTTGGGCAGCGCTCTGTACGTATGCCCCGTGTTTTGTATAGAAACTGGCAGATTCATCAATTTGTCTGTTGGATGGATGCTGGTTTTGAGATTCGCGAGCTCGTCCTCTCCTTGTGCTGCTGTGTGACACAACCTGAGCGTGTTAAGGAAAGGTGCGTGGTGCTTAATTAATCAAAATGACTGGAACGGTTCTCATACTCGTGACTAGTGCTGACTTTCTGCAGGTCATCTGGACATCGTTTGCCTTACCTAAAGGCACATCATTCTGCCTGGGTCTCCCCGTGAGAACCATTCGGGTCATGATGTTCATTCCACGGAAGGCCTTTCTTTGTGGGCTATAATCGTTGTTGCCATGAGTCCTTCGGCAGCCATTGTATGGGAAGGACATTCGGTCATATGACGCTTCCCACTTTGCTGGTACATCATCCGCGCGGATGTTGCCGTGCGCAATACATTCATTGAACTATCTGACGGACATCTACCTGCCGTGAAGACTCGGTTAATTGGTATCTGCCGGTCTTGGGGCCACGCCCTCGTTCGGACTCCTAGAAGGCGCCTCCCTGCTACTTTGCGACATGCCAGTTCGCCCTGAACCTTACCGTATTTCGCGCATGCATCCTTCGTCTCACAGTGCAGTCAGCAGTCAGCCTTGTGTATACTCCCGATCACAAGGACATGATCGCAGGCTCTCTCATCCCCCCTCTTCGACCATCAACAGACATACGGCACCGGCGAAGGCCACAACACTTGCCCTCGACCACCAGCATTTTGCGGTCGATTGACTTTGATTATATTGACAGTAGGGCAAAGTGTAAAGCGCTGCTAGATATTCGTGCTGTTTGAAAATGCCTGGGACTCACCATCGCCGCCCGACATCAGCGTGCTGCAGACAACTGCTCAACCATGTTCGTACGCAGATTATTCAATCATGGTGGCATTCCCTATAATTGACGCAGTCTTCCGAGAACCCGCGCCGACTGCTTGTCCTGGAAGTAGTTGCGGTAGGCATTAGACTTTGGATCTATGGCTGTTACGTGACAATTAATCTGGGGTTGGTGTGCCATTCCGAGTCTCTGGTTCTTCTCATACAGAATCGACATCTCGGCCAGACCAGTCCAAGCCACCATTCTTATGCTGAGTGTCAGCCGTGCCTGACCGGCACTGGAATGCTGACACTCAGTGACCGGCTACTGATCGTTGGGCGAAGCAGGGTCGGTTCTCGCTCCACACACGCTCCCACAGGACCCTATTGACAAAGTGTCCGACCTGCCGGTTCGCTAATTGCATCCGGGGTTCATAGTGCCCGCTCGCACCTGGAACCTTTCTGGTCTGGCCTCAATGTCAATTGGCGAGCATGTTTAGGAGCGGGAGTAGTCTCGACTTCAATGAGGACGATGTGCTTTGTGAACTTCGCTGAAACGTTCGTCCAGATATCTCACCACCTCTCCGCAAACGCTGGAGGCTGGATGGCCGAAACAAATCCACTGGCGTCATCGTTGTCTCGACGTATGCGTCTCTTCATTACCTCAATGAGACCTTGTTGGAACAAGGGTGCGAACGGCGCGGGGCGCGTTTGTCCACGGGCGTAGCGATGCCCGTAAGGGACAATCGCGTGCGGTACGTACATCGCGCGGGGTCGTTATATACTACGATAGGGGCCTCCGGCCCCCGGCTACTCGCGCGCCCGAGCTTTCGAGCTCGTTCCTGACCACGCGGGGCTGCGTGTTTCAACCGACCTGAGTAGTGCGTACACGCGGTCCCGAGCGCGCCGGGCTGTTCAGCCCATTGGTCTCTGCCTTGAACGGGCACGTTGGTCTCGTTTCAGTTACTGGGATCAACGTTCGCGTCTCCCTCGTAGACCTGTCTCTTCTTTTCTCCATGTGGATAACTCCCGTATGCTCCCGGGGAAACGTGGAAGCTAAGTGTGTCAACGTGCGCGCAACGTTTGTGCTGCCCCTCCGTCTTGTCCGGCACTATTGCAGTTCATGTTCAAAATTAAGGACAATGAAGCCCGCTGTACTATCTACTTGGAGACCGGTGACGGGTTTTTTTTATTGACACAAACAGTACTCGACTCATAGTATCACTACTAGAATCCGGTAGTATAAGTAGTATAAGTGGCTACTAACACCCATTCAACTCGGGTAGTTTTCAACCAGTAGTTATTCCTGGGACTAGAATCTGATCGCCGTTAGCTTGTCTGTGGAGTCTGAACTTCATCTAGCGAGTCGGTTCGATCGTACCAAGCTGTTCACTATAAGTGCTCTGCCTCCGATGTGGAGTGGGTGGAGCGCCCGCTCGAATAGGCAAGAGTTGTAGTACATCCTTCGACCGTCACTTGCCACCTCTGAATCGTCGATCCGAATTCCTATCCAGGCTTAGCTCTATCTGTTCATCAAAGCCAGGCATTACTCGCATAATGTGTTAAGCGGAATGGACCCCCTCATCTAGTGCCTTCACAGTGCAACAAAACTCATCAGGCTGAGCACGTTTGAAAAGGCTCTGTCTCAATCAGAAACATTGACACGATTATTGGTTCTGGTGACCGAGGTTTTACCCTGCCATTTACTCTTTATTAGAAAATCTGGATAGTTTTCGCACCCTTTACTCTATCGAGGACACAACCGCACCGCAAAGTCTCTAGGCGGGACTTTCTCCAGTCTCACCGGCACAGGAGCTCAAGAGCATACGCGTCTGCATTTCCACTATAGCTATATACTTGTGCTTGGGTTCAAACACTGGGTCTAAGCCTATAGGGACGTATGTATTACATCAGGGACTTCACTCTTCAATGAACTCGCACACTGGTAGGCCACGATGTCACGTCTTTGGTTGTCTCTTACCACGTCATAAGATTCACCAGACATGTTGCTAACTCCCAGCATTTTTCAGCCACACTAATGAAAAGCGAAGAAAGACTGCGTCAATAGCCCCAATCGCGTCATGGGAACTCGTGGCGGCCGAGCCGCCCCCGGATCGCTCGGTCTGCTGCACATTGATGAACTCGTCACAGACGTTTCACAACATACAACAACATCGATGCGGCCAGCCTTCAAGTCTCAGCTTTATCTCCGTTGGCTCGGTTCTGCACCACTGACGAGGAGACTGTCACCAGATGCGCGCCAACCACGTTCGCCCCTCCATGCAATGTAATCGCATAAAATTAGCTCAAATTCTTCTTATGCAATCAGCGCATCCCCATCTAGACTTCAGCAAAGCGCCCCGATAATTCTTGCGTCGGCGTTTGAAGACATGAAGAGAGGCCCCGCCTGTCAGGTGTCGAGACTATGCGTCGTGCACATGAGAATCTTGCGACATATGTCGGGGTCATGCCGTGACGGTAGTGCTACGGCAGCTGTTACACAATGCAGGACATTCTTGTCGATCAAGTCAACTTGTCGCCTTCGAATGGGGACTGTTCTGAGTCGAGCCATCTCGACCATCTCATGCCCGCATTCACGTCCCAATATCGTCCGGTGTGAACTCTCGTTAGTGCGCATGACCTTCTGAGTTTTCCTCCCACTCTCTCCGAACGTATTTGCGGTCCCGCCCTTGTCCCGCCCTTGGAAGGAAAGGTCAATCTGCGGCACCGATATGCCGGCGGTCATCGCATAGTCTTTGGGATCAGCATAGCATGACATTGGCCCATGTCTACGCTGGTATGTTTGTTGTCTCTATCATTATGTACCGCAGGCTCACGACTTCGAAACATTGTAGAGTGGTATCAGCTTAAGGCTAACATCATTGTGCCTGTATTTAGGTTCCGTATTCCGGCAAATAGGTATAATGCTAACAATGCCTTTTCGAGGCATATTGGTTTGATATCTCTTAGTGAATTTGTGCGAAGGGACCTCCACGAAAGTGACGGTCATGTGGGGTGCTAATGATTTCGTGGAATGCTCTTGTCGAGTTGCATATGTTCTACTCATGATATATGAGTTCTAAAAATGGTTCGCGTGAGAAGTACTGATCGTCTGTCTGGCTTTTGCAGATGCCTAAACGGTAACCCTGTCGTCTCTTCGGTGAAGCAAATGTCCTTTTTGGAATCACTGGGCTTGCGGGACTTTCCAGCCCCCATTTGTCGGAACGGGAATTCTTCGGTGTTTCCGCCTTCGTACTCGACTTCGTTCGCCAAGTCATTTGCACACATCGCCACTTTGCTCTCTCTATTCCGGACGGATCGAATGGATGCGAACGACCGTGTTCTTGTGCCTGGCGCACTTACCACTCCACTATTTCAATATTGGCCAACGTGACATTCGTTGCTCAGGCGCTCCTGTGTTCGCTAACAGTCCTTCCTTGTCGATATGTAGCGGCTTTTGGCTCTGAGAGGTTCTGCAAGACTCACCGGTTTCCCATGGTCAGACGAGAATACCCAAATGCTTCCATAGGGGGATCTTGGGGGTATATAAGGGCCAGTCTCTGCGTCGAATTCGAACAGTGCAGTACCAACCTTGTGCAGCATTTCGAACACTATGAAGCTCTTAGCATCCTTCGTCCTCGCTGCTCTGGCGGCCTGCGCTCGCTCACAAACTACCCTTACTGGCCAGTATACTTGTGCTACCTCCGGGAACTACGAGTTGTGCCAGGACCAGTGGGGCACTGGTGCGTTGTCGCTGCACATTGCAGTTGTCTCTGCTCATCGTGTGTATTGATGACGACCCCCCGAAGCTAACGGTGTGGGTTCTCAAAACTCCACGTTGGTCAGCACCAGTGGAAACACCATTTCCTGGACCACGACCTACACGTGGGCGAACAACGAGAACGATGTCAAGACATGTACGAAAAATCCCAATCGTATAGATGTATCCTTCTCTAATGTATACCTGAAGTCGCCAACGTTCTTCAAACCACCTATCAAGGCATCACGGTCAGACTTGTCTACTTCGCCGTCTCCAAGGTTTCTCATGCGATTGCTTAGCTTTCCACCATTACGTCGGCTCCTACATCCTGGACCTGGGAATACGAATCTTCGTCCTCTGGCTTGAGGGCTGATGTCGCGTACGTAATTTTAAGGGATCGTTATGGAAGATGATTGGCGACCCAATTATTAGCTACGACATCTGGTTTGGCTCCGCTGCTGGAGATGCGGGATCCAGCACGTCTACTTACGAGATGTGAGTAGAGTCAATATCTTCATGAAAATCTGAAGCCTGATCTTATTTTTCCTCCTAAAGCATGATTTGGCTTTCAGGCGAAGGAGGGTCAGTGATGTTCTTGTCCTGTACAGACTACAAATCTGATAAACCTTCCGCCCAGCATTCAACCCGTTGGTTCTGAGTCAACCTCTGGCATCTCGCTTGCTGGCTACACCTGGAATCTCTGGGCCGGCGAAAACACGAACTGGGAGACGTACTCCTTCGTGAGCGCCAGCGGCAACATCAACGACTTCAGTGGCGACTTGACCGATTTCTTCAGTCAGTACCCGACCCGTCTTAGAATTGTAACGGTCTCTCACGGCTCCCACAGACTACTTGTACGATAACGAGGGCGTGTCTGACTCGCAGGTAGGTCCCTATGGTCGTGCTAATGACGTCCACTGTATGGCTCACTGTTCACCAGATACTTCAAGCGATACAGACCGGCACGGAGGCCTTTACCGGAACCGCTACTCTCAACGTCGAGAGCTTCAGCGTCTCCGTCGAGACCTAAGGAATTTTCAATTGGGGATGTTGCCAGGCGGGATCTGCGGGAGGTAAATGAGGAGTGGTGTCCTTAGCTCTTCGTCTCATTAGTCGGATCCTGCATGTTGATTGCCTGTGTAACAATGAAGGAATTGCTCGCAATTTTGGGCGTGACCTCACAGAAGGCTTTGTAATGGAACTGGCCATTCATTATACGCAGTATTGTCACTAATATCAAATGTACGGGCACTCTATCCACGGAGTGTCTACATGACTCCTGCACGGGTAGAGGGGTGTCAACCTTCGCTGCGCTTCGAATAGCAGCGCATTGCGCCAGTCTAACAGTATGATGGCGATATATTGGAGGCCACAGATCTGTGATCCACTAGATAGGAAGCATGCGCATCCTCATTGGCTAGCTCTTTGCGAGTGAATATCAAACATACCTTCATGTGTGACAAACATGACCTCACTATACGTTTTTGATAGCGAGACGTACTCGTCATTGTCGTTATTCACGTCCATGTCGGAAGCCTCGCGTAAGTCCAGGAGAAGTCGCGACATTAGAATGGACGTGAGTCTGGTCAGATTATTTGTGATGGTTTCTGCTTGCATAATGTCGCAACACGTACGCAGGTGTCCAAAGAGCAGTGACCATCCAGAACTGCAATGTGCGCGCGTGGAGATCAACTAGAGGCGGATGGAACCTGCACTCTGGCACTTACATCGCTTAGATGTCCTATCGCTATGCCTATGACGTTTACAATGAAAAGAAAGCTTATTCATGTCCAATAGCTGCTGCTGTCAACGCACAAAGCAGGCCTACCCAAAATAAATAGCAGCTTTCATAGCACAGTATCAGAAATAAGAAACAAGGACCAAGGGATCAAACTCACTGTCCTTAAGCAAGATCTGCGAGAGGTGTGATCTCACACCTTCCACTCTGCTATTGTTCGCGTAATTCCGTGTTTTAATCCAGGTTAGAGCAAGAAGAAGCCCGTCTGCAGCGAGTGAGGATACCCGAGCTCCAGTGATCCCTAGACATAGTACAATAAGCTACCTGGATCAAATGAATTCAAATAGTACCGGATACTTACAACTGAGTTCATGATATGATGGCGTTGTGACTTATGATCAATATCTACAATAAATGTCCGAATTATCTCACCTTGCAGACTCCACTGATGGTGAAGAGCCACAAAATGCCTGTGAGGCGACGCTTTTTTGTGTCTGAGATTCGAGACCGAGCATCGTGTACTAAGGGGCCCTGGTTAATTCCAGCAAGCCTCTCGTAGGTTACCGAGGCCTCGCACTTACACCGGTCAGAACAGGATTCACCAATCCAACCAATGAGGTTACAAGGAAGAGCATTTTACTGTGGTCAAAAATAGCATATACACGAACTGCAGCAAAGACTACGGACAGCAACAATTAGGTTTCGCGGAGATACAATTCAATGACTCACTAGCAGCACTCGTCATGATAGCGCAATTGGCGATGACCAGCAATAGCATCACAATGTCGCACCTGGCTATTATTCATTCATGGAGTATAAAGCTTCGAATCTTACGCTTACCCCTGCAGTCGCAAATGAATACAATTAGTATCAGAATATCCGACATAGATTCAGCATACCTCTGATGAGCCGGTAAGCCAGCTTTCAGGCTGAACCCAGTCCAGAATGATTAGGACTATGCCACATAACGCACAATAGCGATGGGCGTAAAATAATATATTGACGAAGGAAGTTTTGGTTCTCCAGATGTACTGCACTTCGCCGCCGAAAGTAAGACAATAGTCGTATGCGACCACTGCTGCAAGGACAGATGTCTAATTGAGGAATCCTCCACCAGCGATAGATGAGCTATCCGGCTCACTGATTGCTGAGAAGTAGAGCGATGCCTCGAGTATCCTTAGGCATAAAACACAACGCCGTCTGATCGATAGCCGTATTGAACGATCCAGCTAAGTGGCACTCACGCTCGAGAATCGTAGAGCATCACGGAGGGTACGACAAGGGATGCGAGCTCTGTGCGAGTGCAATGTGTGAGTTGGAAACAGACTGTCGTTGGCAGAATGGTCCTTGGAGTGCGTATATATACCGCATCAGCTTTGCTGTCAACGAGGGTGCAATCAAATTCAAAGCCACACCTATTGCATCTCTTGTCCTTGCAGAGCGGACACAAATCGTCATTCGATGCCCATTTGGTCAGTTCCAACCACGAAAGGATAGATATGAAGTCGAACTCGCGGGCTTGATCTGATGATCACTCGGGTAATTGTTGTGTTTGGTGCGGTTGATATAGGAGCTGAGAACACCATGATCCGAAGTATCGATTACTACGGCGTGTAGTGGAAAACAACCCAATTTCCAGAGAGCGTCATTGACGACTGGCCGGAGCTGTAAAGGGGCAGTTAGATCTGAGAGCGCAGAGTTCAATCGCTGCATACCATGCTCATGGCCGTCGACAGTACACCGAATATGCGCCGTCGATATACGAATGATGGGAACTCATATTCACTCGTTGGTCGCATGTGCAGTGTGATCCAAATTACTCAAATGAGCTGTATATCCGCACAGGCACAACAATGCGAAGCAAAATCGACTACACGGCAGAGCAAGGGAAGAGGATGTCCGGGGCGGTGATAGTTGCCTGATTCAGTGATCTTCCTGTGACGCTTGACTCCGGACATTCCATTATGGGACCTGGATAAGGATGGAGTCCCAAGCAGCACTGTACAGGGGCCACATGCACATTGTCTCAGCATCAACCTCCGAAGTCCAGCGATACCTCCGGCATCCTTAGTACGGAACATAGCGATGTTCGGTAAATGGCCCCATTGAACGAGTAAGTTGAGTGGCGCCTACGCCAGGACGCTCGAGAATCACACAGCGGGTGGAGGCACACCGTCACGACAGCAGAATGATCTAGTGTGGCAATACATGTTTCGTATGCGGCAGTGTGTATCTCGCGAGAGGCCGCGAGTACAGGAGCGTGAGCGGATGAACCTAGGCGGCATCATGTCGATTAGTGTCGGCCTCGTGTGCGGTGAACATGGCGCAGAGTCCGCCAGTTCAAAGGACAAAAAAGGTCAAAGGGCCGCGCACTGTCGGTTATGCCTCGGTAACACCATTCTGGTCTCTCCATCTCTCGTACCTGGCGACCACCTCTGGGGTAATCTGCTTTTTCAACGCGCGGGCGGCGGATACGAATGCGTCGGAGGGTACCTACACACAAGCCAAGCGTTAGACGCGCCTAGTGACCACGAAGAAGGACTCACGTATGGTGCGTTCATGTCTTTTTTCATCGTCAGGAGCGCTGCCTCCTGGCAGAGCGCCGTCAACTCCGCTCCAGAGTACCCTTCCGTCTGCAGAAAGAAGCAAGAACGATAGCCATAAACTCGATACCGCAGTCATATGCGCGACAGGAGTACGCACCATCCTCGCGATCTCGGCAAAGTTGATTTCAGGCTCGACGCTCATCTTGCGCGTGCGGATACGCAGGATCTCTTCTCGGCCCTGCAAGTCCGGTGGGCCCACGTAGAGGATGCGATCCAGCCGCCCAGGGCGCATGAGCGCCGAGTCCTGCCACAGGGTCAACCACTTGACCGTAAGCACTAGACGGAGGAAGACAAGACGCACGATGGCCTCGGGCCTGTTCGTCGCTGCGACGATGGTGACACCGACGAGCTCCTGCACGCCGTCCATCTCGTTCAGGAGGCTCGTAAGCACGCCTTCGTGAACACCCCCAGTGCTATCACTTGAGGACCTAGAAGTCGCGAGAGCATCTATCTCGTCCTGGATAGCAAACGTCATCAAATGTCCAATGCCGCTAGCTGATACTTATTGTCACTTACGAAAAATACAATCGCCGGTGACGCGGCACGCGCCTTGCTGAATATTTCACGTACCGCGCGCTCAGACTCGCCCACGTACTTGTTAAGCAGCTATTGAACAAGAAATATTCGGCTCAGACAATGTCACTACAGCATGACCCAAACGCACCTCGGGGCCCTTCACTGCAAGGAAGTTAACACCACTCTCGGTCGCGCACGCACGCACGAGCAGTGTCTTGCTACACCCCGGCGGACCGTACAACAGCACGCCTTTCGGTGCACGCACGCCGAGACGCGCAAATGCGTCCGGATGCAGCAGCGGCCACTCAACGCACTCGCGTAGGCGCGCGATCGTGCCTGCCTGCCCGCCTATGTCTGCCCAGTGTACAGGCGTGGTGTCGAGAAAGAGCGAGCGCAGCGCGGACGGGCGCACGGAGGGTAGCGCGGTAAGCAAGTCCGCGTGGGTCAGCTGCGGTTGATAAGACGAAGGGGAGGGGCAGACAGGAGGTGTGTCAGTAAGTGGTTGAGTAGAGAGCCAGCGCTTAATTGCAAGCGTGCCCGCTTCGCGGACGACGGCGCTCAAGTCCGCGCCGACATAGCCATGTGCACGCGCTGCGATCGAGTGGAGGTCCTCTGATGAGATTGCATGAGGCGCTTTCTTCAGGAGCACGTTGAGAATTGAATAACGCGCCTCCGCGTCAGGTATGCCTAGGATGTAGTGAGCACAACGTCAGTGCCAAGATAGTAATAGCCTACCTATTTCAATCTCCCTGTCGAATCTGCCAGGCCTTCTCAGCGCTGGGTCAATAGCATTAGGTCTGTTCGTCGTAGCAACCACAACGACGCGTTCTTGCTCCCCGTCCTTGTCGTCCCCGCCCATTCCGTCCATAATTGTCAGTAGCTGCGCCACAACGCGCTTCTCTACCTCCCCGCCGGGTCCGTCCTCTCTACGTGGACAAAGCGCGTCGACCTCATCTAGCACGACAATGCACGGGCTACGTGCGCGTGCCTCAGCGAAGACATCGCGCAGCTTCGCCTCCGTCTCGCCGTGATACGCGGAGGAGAGCTCGGGCCCATTGACCACGAGCACGGCGGAGCGCGTCGATGCGGCGATCGCGCGCGCGAGGTGCGTCTTGCCTGTTCCTGGCGGACCGTGCAAGAGAACGCCACGCGGGGGCTTGAGGCCTGGGGGTGCTCTGTGAGAATGGAATCATAAAAACACGAGCAAAGAAGTGAGGCAAATGCAGGGTTGTGGAGCGATAGCGCCATTCGTGCGCGAGGAAGACGATAGAGTGCAAGGATGACGCACCAAAATGGCGAAAGAGATCCGGCCGGGTGAGAGGGATTTCGATCAGATCGCGAATTTGAGCGATCTGTTTGTCGAGGCCGCCAACAGCCGTATATGCCTGGGGAGCTTCGTCATGGCCCACAGCGACAATGGCCTGCTCCTCATCGTATGATAGTCGTGAGCAGACACAAGTGTGATGTCAAGCGTTCCCTTTACCTGTCTTGTTGTATCAGGACTCTGATCTTTGCTTTCCGCATCGACTAACTGAACCACAGTATCCCAATTCGCAATCCACAGTTGCGGGGAGGTCGACATTGTCAGGTTCCTTAAGCCATCTGCCAACTCATTTTCATTGGTGGCTTCAGCTTCCGATATACTGGTGTATACGGAAGATAGTCTAAACCGACGGTCTTGACCCTCGTATGTGACATCTAAAGTCTGTGTGGGCGTAAGGTACTTCAGGTCCACTAGAAACCGAAAATGACGGTGGGAACACATTTTAGACTAAAAGCCGAGCTTTCTGCGATATCACGAGGGACATACCTAGTGCTTCCCTGATCAGCAGAGTGAGCCAATCGCGGCGGCCGACGGCGCCGTGTCCCGCTTGTTTGGACGACGAAGATCCTGCCTGCGGTTTTGAATGTATGTCCATCTCGGCAAGGCGCACTCTCCGAGCCGTTTGTGCCTTGCGCAACGACGGCAGGTGCGGGGAGAGCTTCGAGCCATTCAGCGGAGTAACCTCGATCTTCTCGCCTTCCCTCAGATTCGCGGTTAGAAGCAGGGAAGAAGAGACGAGAACGACTGCAATGTGATAAGAAAATTTGTGAGCAGCAAGCACGTTTGCCCCGCAGTCGGATCGTGTGCATGCGCTACTTACAGTCTTGTGATACATCATGAGAGGGCCATGCGATACCCACTGCGAAGGCCTGTCAGGGTAGAAGGAGTTGGGTCAGCGGGTGCTGATACAGGGATAGCAACTTGGGTCAGCTGCTCAAGATAGAGGGTAGGATATTCCCACTGAATGCGACGGACCTTCGCTGTAGATGTTGCTCCAGAGACTGCGACAACATCACCTGCGCAAAGCTTTGCACTTTTTAGAATATCTGCGTGTATCGTGACGCGCCGTGCTGCGCGAAAGGTTGCTTCAGAATGGTCCGCGAGATGGACGACAAACGTCCGAGATGTGACTGTAGACATCTCAAAGCTGTCCTTTCTACTGGGCCTGATATTGTACGCTGGAGAGTCTATTGCACAATTGTACTTTATTTCAGGATGCGCATGACGCAGGTTTGGACGCACATGTATCTTATCCAACGGGCCTGCGGTGTAGAATTGCTATTTGAATTGTCACTTGGATCAGCGGTTTTCTTTGAGAGCTTTTCGCGGCTGACATTTCACATGCGTGTATGTGTTAGATCGAACGTAGTAGCAGCGCTCAACAGAATCGAATGGTCATTCACCTCGACAGCCAAAGAGGCTCAGAACCGGGTGAAGAATCTCAGCCACCTCGGGCACTGTGTATATGCGCACCACGTGATGCAGACGCGCTGCACGCCGACCACGACGCGTCAGCAAAGGCTGCGACCAGGTCTTGCAGCTGGACAGTCCGCATTTTGGCTTTCTGAAGCCCCACCCGATTCGAACTATTCCGCCGGATGCGTCTTGTTAAAATAATATACCTTCTGGGACTCTGTTTCTACCAACTCGCTTCAGCAGCGACAGAGGAGCAATTCGACGAAGAGCTCACTTTGCGACCCCTGCGAGATGGAAAGCTAGCGGCGCGGTTTTCACTTACGACATTACTCAAAGGCTCTACACCGCGCAGTCCGGAAAGCCTTGGCCTTGATGATGCGTGTACGTCGGAGCAGACTGATGACACGCAGTCACCCAATATATTTCGCAGCACAACATTACACCCTCTTCCCGCTGGCCCTGGGCCAGATACTACGCGAGTATGCAGTCACCGAAATGCATCTAACCTTGAATGCCGGTAAGTGGAACTATGAAGGCTGGGGGTATCCCGAGGAGGCCGGCGTCGGGACGGGTGGAGAACTATGGGCATGGATGGGAGATAGTGGTACTGTGACGTGAGCTGAACCTATCACTTCCAGCTACGGTCGTGTCAACAGGACGAACTAACTGTGCTGCGTCTATCGATCTTTGTTTACTCTTGGAGCAACCAAACATCATCTACTCAACCTAGAGGCTTGTTTCGATCGGCAGAAGCCCAAGCAGCTCTTATGAAAGGACCTGCTCAATGTGAGCCTGAGGAATTGGAGCAACGGATGTAGCAAGTGTGTTTAGTTGGCTAGCCTGACGTTTGATTGCTGTAAAAGTAAACAGAGATCGCCGAACCTGCACAGATAATTCGGACAATTGGCATGATTTTAGCTGGCGTCCATGACTTCTCTAACGGCTATTCAACAGAGTAGACGAGCGCTGGAAAGGACTCCGCAATGCTCTTGCCGGCCTATTCTGCGCCTCCTTGGGCGCGCTCGACGAACAGCGGACTACCTCGCCAGCCCTCACGTTCAGACCTGAGGGGCACCTGCCCAATGGGACTGCTTCCCACCAACTTCGCCACGCGACGCTCCCCTCCGAACACGTCTGCACCGAAAATCTAACGCCCTTCCTCAAGCTCCTCCCCTGCAAGTCGCTTTCAGGCATTGCCAGCCTACTCAATCCCCACCGGCTCTTTGACGCGGACTGGCACGGGCTTGGTGTACACGTTCGCTACCGCAGTGGCATGGGCGTCGAGGTCCGCCTTGCATTCCAAGCGGTGTTCGATCCCGTGCGCTATTCGACGGAGAGGCGGCGAGGTGAGCGCTCGGGTGGATCTTATTTGAATGGTAGTCCATGCGTGCTGACGCGCCCGCGTAGACTGGTCGTTCCATTCTGTGTTTGGCCGTGTCGTGAGGATGGCGTGCCCAGTGGCGCGTTCTAGTCTAGTCCGAGTACGACTGCCTGAGTCGTCGTACGCGCTTGCACCTGTGCCGACGAATGTGGTGGGCGACTATGCTGTGTATGATGTGACGAACAGTGCGTTTCATTGATTCTTCATGAGCACCACGTGTTGACTTTCCCCTTCGCAGCAAGCCAGCCCCTGGACGTGGAGCTACGCTGGCCGGAAGAACATGCGTTCCAGTATCGTCAGTGGCTCTGGTCAAATTAGTGTGTCTGTCATTGACAATGCGTGCAGCCCTCGGGTCCGACCTCATGCCTCTTACGCCATTATCCATCCGTCGTTCCCTGAAAGGTTCAAGCCAGTACACCGCGCAGCTAGCGATTGAATTGAAGAACAATCTCCCGGTCGAGATCCAGACGAGCTACCTCGAGACTATGCCCTGGCTTCTCCAGTTCGAACTGCACACATTAAAGTTGCACAGCAACGCTGTCCCGCGTGGTACGTGCGATCGGTCCAGTGCCACCGGCTTCCTTCCCGCTCTAAACCCTAGTGTAAACCTTGCAGATGATCTAGTCGAGATTGTGACATACACGCCCTCTGTGCCGCATGCCCGGCCCTCGCTCCTGCAGGCCGTCCTCACGCTACCGCCCAAGGCCACGTTGCAGCTCACAATGGACGTCATGAAGCCGTTTTTGCGCTATACCGAGCACCCCCCGGATGCGCAGCGCGGATGGGACCTACCTCCGGCCGTGTTCCTGCCGTTCTCCTTCGGGGAAGGGAACTATTCTGTCGCCCACACGCACGACGACAGAGACACAGGCGCGCATAGGGCAGGCGATCGAGAGCCCCAGGGATTGGCGCCCCATGCACAAGCTCCGGTCGAGGCACGGGCCCAGCGGATGTACACGCCGGTGCTGCTCGTCGATCTCGCGACGCCGGACTTCAGTATGCCGTACAACGTCATTATCATGAGCTGCACGCTCGTCGCGCTCATCTTCGGGAGCGTGTTGAACCTGCTGACACGTAAACTTGTAATAGTACGTGTCGGCGACGCGAAGACACAATGATCGAGATTGCGTATACAAGTGTTGGTGTGCGTTTGAGTGCCTGTGGGAGTTCAGGTACGTGTGGCCAAGAACTTAGCGCCCAGCACGACAGGGCCGATCCCCAGCCGCTGTGCGTCTACGATTGTCGCTGGCAGTGGTGGACAGCTGACCTGCCGCTCGTGTTGAATTGTGGGGCTCACATCGTATGCCCCTTGAAGAATATGCACCCCGAACACATCGTCCTGCTGACTTGATTGATCGGACTGAGGTGGGTAGGAATAGCTCATTTGGCAATAGACCCAATTGAACGATTTGCGGACAGACGTATGGCATCCGCGGCAGAAGTAAGTCCAAATGAGATAGCGTCTCTACGGAATATGGATGAACTGCAAACGTGAACTACGAGAAAACGCTTCAGTCATACCGGCGCGGCCATCACTGGCTCTGCATGCCGTGCGTCGGACCGAGTAATCGATCGATGAGCGTTGAATGCCGAATGCGTCGAACGTTGCACGCGGAAAGCCCTTCGGCGGGGGCGAAAGGGACAAGGCCAGCGGCGCCGGTGCCAAACCAAGCGTGATGTCCTTGCTTCCTCCGAACTTGCTTATCCTGCGCAGATTCGGATCCTACAACGTGAGATATGGCGTTCCCGCGACCCCGCCGGGCGCAATCGCTATGTTATCGATCGACGTCAACGCCAACCGTTTCAGGCAGTCTCTTGGTCTCCCTGGGTTCTGGCGTCAGAGGTGAGATATTCTGCGGTACTAGCCACGGCTGCCATAGTCTCGGCCACTGAGATGCGCAGGGAACACGTACGCTTATGGCAAGTAGCAGGCCTCGCACGTTGACCTACGTCTCGGCCGCCACGACATGCGGTTCCTTTCGGGACCATATGATTGTTCTGTATCCTCGTCATATCCTTCGTGCGTGAGAAATACCAGGCAACTCCACCTTCCCGTAGAAGGATATACTGCAGAGCGGCCATACGGTCAACGATAGAGGACCGGGGGCTGTGATACCATGAAAACTTCGTCCCATTAAGGCACGCCACAGTCAATTTCGCTATGGTCCACTTTTAGCCTGCCAGACGGGTCCCCGATGGCGGCAAACACAGCGGCCTCTGTCCGCGAGCGCTGCTCGGATATCCAGGTAACCAGCACGCGCACCGTCGTCATCGCCATCCGAAGCCGAATGCATCAGCTATGAGGACATTCCGACGAATGTGCTATCGTGTCTGCCGCTGGAATGGCGTGTGTGCTTCTGTTCGTTGCACCACAAACGACAGACGCGAGAAGATAAAACAGAGTGACTCAGTGCGCTGTCACATGATAGTACAGCCGAGCGTTTCCTGCAGAAAGCACAATGGGTATTTTTCTCGCCAGGCCACACGCCGGGACAATCTCACGACGCATCTTCCTTCCATAGATCAATGTGGTGCGTGTATATACCACTGTGCTGGTTCCGATCCTAGTGTAGGCATCTTAGCCCAGCGCTTACGCGGCACTCCCTTCGCATAAAAGGACAAAGGCAGCTTCGTGGGGGCTTCCTCTTCCTTGTACTCTGCCTCCCCGATTACCCGAGTGACTCCTGCTGGTATAAAACGCCGCGTTGGACGTCGTCCACACCTACCCAACTACCACCCACACTCACACACCCTCACCGAAACAAAAACAAAGAACAATGTGTCGCCGAATTGCGTACGTTCCCGTCATTGAGCTGTGGTTTGGTCGCTGATAACCTCACCAGCGAAGGAACACGGTGGTCAAAATGTGGAGTAAGTGATCGTTGCCCGCATCTGTCAGCAGCATCAATCAGCCGTATCAACTGACTCGTCCGCTCACAGCATTTCCAACGTCACCTCGTCGTGGCCATCATGGACTGCAACTCTAGCCACTGCGAGCGCAGCATCCTGCACCCCAAAAGTTGCAAAGACCCCAATTGCGTGAAGGTGCGCTCCCTGCCACACATGCCTCCAATCCCAGTATGAGGCTCACGTTCATCTCCGCCTCGTTCCCCGCCTGTCTTCCGCTTCAGAACTTCGGTGCAGAAGTGCAAAAAGACATAGACACCGTCAAAGACGAGTGCTTCCAATGTCGAGCAGCAGCCGCGCGCACACTGCCTTCCTGATCGCCGGCCAGGGCAATGCCACTCCTCCCTTCCCTGTCCATGCTTGATGCCCGTCGTCGACGTTCTCGTTTGCTACTCCCTCGTCATTGTCCTCCCGCACAGACCCTTGTATCATGACCGCTCGTACCTCGCTGTTCCACGTTCCATTTCTATTCTTTGCCCCGCACAGCACGTCCACTTCGTAATCTCGCACGCCTGTAATACTAATCGGAATGGATGTCGTTCGACGCAGCGGACAGACTGACGCGACGCCATGGCGTCACCGCCCACTGCTCTACCCACGGAGGTGGCCCACATGGGCCCGAACAGGTTTGTCGTAAGCACCGCACGTCATCGCCATCGCCCGCCGCGCGATGCACGTTCCCCTGACCCCAGAAGTATCATCGCGGAGCGCCAATCCAGACAGCAGAAATGTGCACACTCTCGGCCGGTGCGTGGCGCGAAGCGCGAAGCTCGCCCGCCCAGAAGCGCTGTGATGCTACCCACGCGGCACCTCGTGTGCCCCGCGGCGACCCGTGATATGCTCGTGCTCCGAAGGCTGCCGATTCTGCGCGGTATGTACACGACGGATTGCGCTAACAGCGGGGCCCTCGAGCTGCGCGGCGGTCTGAGGAACACGAGGCGGACGTGAGGTGTGGCAGATGAGGTCGGTCCCCAATTGGTTAAGCCCGTGCAATTGAATGCAGCAAGGCGATGCCTATAATGAAATTGCGTGCCTCACGATCACGCAGCGTTAGTGACCTGACACGGATGGGGCACACAACGGCACACAGTGTATACGCCATCTAAAACGGCAGTCTCACTGATTGTCCACTCTCCTGGTTCCGGGGTGCGAGCATCTGAGTCGATGCAGCCAAAGATGATTGGCGTGGTGTCCCTTGCACCCATTTGTCCGCGAATGAAACGACGCGACGTGCTGAAGACTGCATGTGATAGCGACGATCCCTGAGCAGTCATCATACCGAATTGAAGAAGCCCACAGTGTATTGAGCGGCCTGTGTGGTCCATGGATCACCACCGCGACTTGCGTCAGAAGTCGATATAGCATTCGAGAAGGGCTGGTCTTCGTGAATGCTTCTTCAAATACGATTGTTAGATAATGCAAATGAATCTCAGATTATGCTCGCATGAGCAACAGTAATAACTCACGCGCGAACATGATAACGTCGTGGCCGGAATTGCTTGTCTCAGATCGCGACAACGGCCAGTCATGTACGCAACTGGTCAACAGCGTCTCACGACGCTGCTCATGAACGCTACTCAATCCTAAAAACAGACCACGCGTCGCTCAGAAGGCGCGAAATTTGCACGATAAGAGAAAAGACCGCGCACCGTGAGCTGAGCCAAGTCGCGTGCCAAGACGGGGAGGCTTGGCAGTATCATAACACCAAAGACGCTGATACACAACTTCGACGAGCTGACAGTAAATCGCAGGAACAAACAAATCGATGTAGGTCTATTTCTTCCTGAAAAGGACCCTTGTGGAAATACTGTTAACAGCCACGTCAGCGATGACACAGCCGATAACAGACCTTGCCGCAACAAGGCATATCGCGCAACAAGGCAAGACGCTACGGCTCAATGGCGTGCACTTGATATCGCAGGCCAAAGCACACGTCAGGTAAGATCTTCTCCGCACGCGAGAGATGTCGAGGATGATGAGAACATTACGCGGGCGAAGATGACCGCAGGATAGCCGGATATCCAAGGCGACTAACGCGTCCGCGGCGAAGATTGAGGTGAGATCAGGAACGAATGGCGCCTGCAGAGGAAGTATCCAGTCATCTGGAATCGAGATATCGGTTCGCGCTGTATACGTCAGGATATCGGCAATGAAATGAGTGAGAGATATCACAGAGACGAAGGTTCACCGCAAAGTTCAAGAGAAGTACTCTGTACGTAAATGGGATGGGAGATGCCTTTAGGCGTAACAACCCGTGGTCGCGAGCTAATTGTCCAAGAACTCTGCATGACAGCCTGTTTTGGTGGTCTCCATATCCTCAAGGCGTATCAACCACCACTCCTCAAGAACGTACGCCCGCACAAACGCCGCGCTCGGGAATCCCACAACCTAGGTTCAGAGATAGCAAGGGCTCACGCACGCGTTCAGAAGACGAGAAGTGAGCAGAAACGGCTTCGTGATAGTCCTGTGTACATGCAGTCTCGCAATTCGCCCCACCACCTGGCGAAGCTCACTCTCCGTCGCCCCGCGTCTAGTGAGGGTGGTTCTTGTGGTGCTCTGCAGGAGGGATGAGATGACAGTGAATGGAGGATTTGCCAATTAAACCTTACTCAAATGCACTGAAGGTGTTTAAACTTGAATGAGGCTCTGCGACAAAGTAGCAACAGGAAGAAAACGTACTCTGATAGTCAATGGTGTACCCCAGAGCGAAGATACCAAGGACAGCGCCAAGAAGAGGCACCGCCGACGCGTTCTTGCCGTTGAAGAAACGCGCCTTGATCCCACCAAACGCAGATGCAGGTGCGGGTCCCTTGGGCAGCTTGGAGTAGAAGTTCACGAGAGGACCCAGTCCTGCCCCAGAGCCGGAAGACTACCATTTGCTTGCTCGTTAAATATCTCCTCAACCGGACGTCGGATTCATCTCACCAGAATTGACGGTGTGGCAATTTTGGGTGGGACAAGACCGCCCAGCTGACGGCGTATGAGAGTGGGCTGCATGATGGTGGAGGAAAGACGAAGACTAATGTCGGACGAACGTCTCGGACAGCGAGCTCATGTTTGCGTTGACCAAATAGCCTCCGCCTTTTCCCGGGTAATCGGGTATGCACACAATATACGCATTTTGGGAACGTCTAATGTCATGTGCCCCGTGGCTTAGTTGGTTACGGCGTCCGACTGTTACTTTCTTGTGTTTGCATTGGTATTGTGCATCGGAAGATCGAGAGTTCAAGTCTCTCCGGGGCAGTGTTTTTACCATGGCTCGTATTTTTGTTTGCACCGAGCGTATGCGAGGCGTATTATATCCAGTATCTTACACTTTGATAGAAGTGGTTGTCTAGCGCCTCCGCTTCGTTCTGTTTGTAGATCAAACTTTGTGCGTCGCCCATTGCTATGTAGCCTGTTTGCTCATTGCAACGATGATATGCCGCGTGTCTTTTCAGTCTGGAAACACGATGTTCGTGCGTTATGTTCTTACGAGTGACGCCCTTATACATCATCGACATGTTTGACACTTTTTGTAGTGTTTTTGTAGTGGCATATAGCAAGTTCCAACTCGAAATGCCGCCAGCCGCAATCTACATAGACCCTGGAACTCTAGCAAGGATCAGGTCTCAAGTCTTGAGCCAGCAGCTAACGATCCTCAATTTAGTTGTCGTACTTCTTGATATTTTTCTCTAGCCTTCCACAGGCTCGGAACAGCGAAGCTCTATACTTGCTACGAAGCGAGGAGGTAGAACACTGGACTAAGCGGCCGATGATGATTATACGAACATACTAGCGATAGTGTAAGTACATATCTGCATCGCACGTCCACGTCATGCGTCATGCACTCATGGTTCATTGGACTTTCCTCTACACAGACGTGTCACTTTGAACGGCAATTTAGACTACATAAGGTCGTCGCTTTCCAACTTTGCTTGCCAAATTGCAAATCGGTAGCGCCAGAGATCACCGAGCGCTTCCTGTTGACAGTGGGACTTGAGTGCGTTCACAACTCAAACACGACAAAAGCTCTCGCCCCGGTTCGCATGTGATGCCGTGCTTCCTCATGTCTTCTAGGATAACACTCAGGTTTCTCGTCAAGCCAATACAAGCGTCGCACGCAAAGAATGCGCGTGCATACGTGAGATCATCACTGCGCTGTCAATCAGTCTATAGTGGCAAGTTGTCCGACCGGAGACCAAACTCGCGTTCTCCGGCGTTCAGGGATGCGCGTCTCTGTCAATTCGGTATTTCGACGCCCTTATTTCAAGGAACGCAGATAGAAATAACCCTGCTTGGCGGGCAGCTTAATTCGCACAGGTGTCTGCAAGCGGTGCGCACGCAAGTTTGGAAATCCCCGATGATGTCGCACTTCCGAACCCGACGGCTGTACGGTTCCGCAATGTGTCCGCCAGCGTGTTCTAGTCATTGCACTGATGTGGGCGGGTATACACGCCTGACAGGCATTTCATAAATATGTCTTGGGCCGCTGCTCTGCCTTTTGTTTTGTTCTATCTGCAGACGCTCTTGTCGCTGGCTCCTACTTAACCTCATCGTCGTCCACCCCTGAACTTCCCTACGCCGGGACTTCTGGGCGACTCCACGAATGGCCGACGTCGAAAAGTCCACAGAAATTAGCGCGTGTGAAAGTGTCAACGACGAGCTGTCCGAGACGCTCTGCAACGCAGAAGCAGACTCTGATGGAGGATGGCATGGATGGCTCAGCGTGTTCGGCGCCTTCCTTGCACTGTACTGCACATTCGGCCAGTTGAATGCCTTCGGCACCTTCCAAACCTGGTACGGGGACCACCAATTGAGACATCTCGCACCATCCACCATCTCCTGGATCGGATCCTTGCAGCTATGGGTCTTCTTTTTTTCGGTAAGGAAATCACTTCTTGACCACGCGTTCAAAGAGCTCACGTTGCAGCCAATAGGGAGGTATCATTGGTCGAATATTTGACGCACGCGGTCCTCGAATGCTCATGCTATGCGGATCAGCGATACTCGTGGCTAGCATCATGCTGACGAGTATTTCCACTCGCTTCTGGCATTATATCCTTTGTCAGGGGATACTATTTGGTCTCGGAGTGGGTCTCGTGTAAATCTGACACCCACCTGAGCTTGACATGTTTGCTTATGTATCCGACCAGATTTTATCCATCAGTTGCAGTGGTATCAACACGATTCAAGAGATATCGCGCCACTGCACTTGGAATCGCCATGGCCGGCTCGGGCTTGGGTATGTGTCATCTTAAATCGAGTATTTGAAGCACAGCTGAAAACACTCCGCAGGAGGCGTCGTGTACCCTATAATGTTTCGCCGACTGTTCGATCAGGTCGGGTTTCCGTGGGCCGTACGAATATCAGGCTTTGTTTGCCTCGCGTTATGCGGTATAGCATTGGCGACAGTGACAATGCCATTGCCTCTGCGAAGAACTCGTAGACCCTGGTTCGAGCTCGAGACACTCAAAGACAGGCGGTTTATTCTTCTCCTGATCGCGAGCGTCTTCATTGCATTCGGTGCGCTCAAATGTTTGGGATGGTGTCCACTTGATGCTGAGAGTCTTCTAGGTCTATTTATACCCAATTTCTATATCGTGGACTATGCAGTTGCACACGGCATTTCCCCGACGACTGCATTCTACGTTCTAGCTATCATGAATGCCGGGAGCGTTCCAGGGCGTTTACTTCCACCGTTTGCGTCTGATACTCTCGGAAGATTCAACTTGATGGTACCGTGTGTCTTCTTGGCCGGGCTATTGGTCCTATTACTGTGGACGCTGGCGAAGAACCTCGCGGCTATTATCATGTTCTCGCTGCTTTTTGGTTTCTGTTCCGGTGGCTTCAATGCACTCATCATTTCCTGCGTCGCACAAATATCCGAAGACAGTCAGATTGGCACAAGGGTTGGCATATTATACACTGTTATATCGTTTCCGTGAGTAGTACAGCTCCATTCTCGCGCCATGTCTTGACTGAGGCGGTGCAATAGCTCTTTAGGGGGAGGTCCCGCAGCCGGCGCTCTGCTATCTTACAGCCACGGGTCGTACATTGGGACGATTGTCCTTTCAGGCTCGACAATTCTTGTTGGCTCCCTTCTGATGTTGTGCGCAAGATTAAAAATAGACGGACGATGGATCGCCCGCGTCTAGAACTTCGGGTTTCCTATACCTTACAGTACCTTACCGACAACGAATTGACGATCCAGCTATGAGAATACCAAATAATGTTTTATTACGACACTTTATGACCCACGCATCTAATAATACCACACGTTTCTCGCTTGATTATATTTTGTCATGACTTCAAATTCATACGGTCCGATTGAGAAGCCCCCAACATTCCAAATTTGGCAACTAGCGACTATCTGCCCGACGACGACGACGACGACAACAACAACAACGGCTTGTACAACCTCGACAACACTCACGACACATCTAACGACGACTTCATTAACGAAATACAACTACGCGTCGTGAGAGCGCTATCACCACGCTTGATCTTAGCTGCGGCGCGGTGTATCCTGCCCACTTTGCACAGCTTGCTCACCAACCTTCGACGCTGAGTCTTTCTTTGCAAACAGTCTTGCACAGCATCTGCACGGCCTCAGCTACGCAATCGCATAAATTCTGAGGAGCGCACAGAAAAGCAGGCAAAATGTCGCGTTACCCAGAGGTAGGTCGCCTCCTGTGAGTCTCTGCCCGTAGCTGACGCGTAGTGCAGGCAGATGAGGCCCAACATGGCCGCTATAACGATGGCTATTCTCCGTACCCAACATACGACTATGAACCATCAGCGCCGAACCCATATGAGCAACAAGTTGCGCCCAATCCATACGAGCTGCGGCCGACACCCAACCCATACGAACAAGAGCACCAGTCATTCCAACCCCTTCATGCGGATCCATTCGTCGGCTCGCAATCACCGCCCCATCCCAGTCTCTATCATGCACCCGCTCACGACCCGTTCACGAGCCCACCACTACAGCATAGTCCACCGCCTGTCCATCCTTCTTCCCCTCCAATTCATCCCAGATCTGGTGACTATTACAATGCCGGGTACGGCAACATTCATGGCGTGACGCCCCCTCCGCTGCAACATACCCCCGTATCCCTGTACGATCCAGGCCCATCGACCGAAACACTGGGAGAGCCGGAAGAGGGCATGGATGATATGGGCGATTATCCGTTGTTAAGACGCGACCAGAGTTCTGCATCGTCTTCGCGCATGCCTGGCGACTACGAGCCGGTGACAGGGGATGATACATCCGAAAGCAATATTCGGTACGGGCGGATTCCACAGCGCGTACCGCGCCGACTCAAGACAATCAAGAAGGTCGAGTGGGTGTGATATCCTCGGACTCGTGCTGCAGAGTACTTACCACGCTCTCAGGCTATTCCAGGGCAACTTCGTGCTAGACTCCGCAGTGCCCACGAAGCTTCTCGATATGTGCGGACAGCGTAACGAGCGCGAGTTTACGCACATGCGATACTCGGCGGCGACGTGCGACCCTAACGACTTCAAGGACTCTGGGTTTACCCTGCGGCAGGTGCACTACGACCCCCCGAGAAGGACAGAGCTATTCATAGTGATGACGATGTACAACGAGGACGAAGAGCTCTTCTGCCGCACGATGCACGGTGTGATGAAGAACATCGTGCATTTGTGCAAGCGTGAGCGCAGTATGACCTGGGGAAAGGAGGGCTGGAAGAAGGTTGTAGTGTGCATCGTGTCTGACGGGCGGCAGAAGATCAACTCGCGGACGTTGAGTGTTATTGCAGCCATGGGCGCATATCAGGAGGGCGTCGCAAAGGTGCGTTGTTCCACAACTTCGGATACAGATCGGTGTCTGATTGTGGGCACGGGTGCAGAATGTCGTCAACGGCAAACCCGTGACGGCCCATATATACGAGTACACGGCGCAAAGTGCGTTCTTGATGATCTGTAGCGAACCTAGATCACTCACGTTGCAACAGTCTCCGTGACACCGTCAATGAAGATCGAGGGCGCTGAGCGCGGGATCGTGCCCGTGCAACTCATCTTCTGCCTGAAGGAGAAGAACCAGAAGAAGATCAACTCGCATCGGTGGTTCTTCAATGCGTTCGGGCCGATCCTCCAACCCAATGTTTGCGTGCTCCTCGATGTTGGAACCATGCCGGGACCTACGTCCATCTATCACTTGTGGAAAGCCTTTGATATCAATTCTAATGTTGGCGGCGCATGTGGCGAGATCGTCGCTCTCAAGGGAAAGTACGGGCAGAACCTGATCAATCCTCTCGGTAGGAGCATCCAGACTTCTGTTGAGTTCGCGTGCTGACGTTCTGTGCATAGTTGCCGCGCAGAACTTCGAGTACAAGATGTCCAATATTCTGGATAAACCTCTGTGAGTGCGACTGCAAGCGCATTGGCAATGCATCCTCAATCATGATAATTAGGGAGTCGGTCTTTGGCTACATCACTGTACTTCCTGGTGCTTTCAGTGCCTACCGCTATATCGCCCTACAGAATGATGCGACAGGCGTTGGTCCGCTGCAGAAGTACTTCTTAGGGGAGAAGATGGTAGGCAATCGTAGTCTTGATCTGCTCGTTGTGCCACTGCTGACCGTCTCATTCACAAGCACGGAGCCGGGGCCGATATATTTACGGCGAACATGTACCTTGCCGAAGACCGAGTAGGTGGCCACAATCTGACACGGTAATCTGTCACCTGAGATACCGTCATGATTTCAGATTCTGTGTTGGGAGCTAGTCTCGAAACGGGGTGCTTCATGGCTCTTGCATTACGTGAAGTCTGCGTATGCAGTAACGGATGTCCCTGACCAGGTTCGTGCATATAACGGCTGCATTTCCGATGAATCCTGACTTCAGGATTGGCTGTGTTCTAGGTTCCGGAGCTTATCTCGCAACGTCGTCGATGGCTAAACGGATCTTTCTTCGCTGGCATTCATGGGACAGTGAAATTCCACTACATCTACCGGTCGTCGCATTCGTTGTTGCGTAAATTCTGGATACATATCGAGTTCATCTATCAGACCTTCAACCTACTGTTTTCTTGGTTCGCTCTTGTGAGTCTGATCATCCCGTCTTCATTCTACTGCTTAATGATGCCGCTGTATAGGGCAATTTCTACATCTTCTTTGTGATCTTGAGTGACTCGCTGGAGGACCCGTCGTTCAATTTGGGCAAACCCATTGAATACTTTAACCTCGTCTTGAATTTCTTCTACCTCGGTCTCCTGATCATGTGCTTCCTTCTATCGTTGGGCAACCGGCCACAGGGATCGAAATGGGGTTATACATTTGCGATGATCGGCTTCTCGTTGATTACGGTCTACATGACGGTAACATCCATATGCGTGCTGACCACGGATCATGTCTAATGAATGTTATGTATACAGGTGGCGGCATTCTTTTTGGCTTTCAAAGGCATTGAGAACGTGATCAAATCCAAAGGACCCTTGACTGCCTCGGATCTTTTCAGCAATGCTATTTTCAGAGATATCGTCTTGTCCTTGCTGTCGACGTACGGATTGTATCTTCTTGCATCGCTGGTCCATGTACGTGTCTATTAGCCCGAGTACCGGTCGAAGCGCTCTGACGTCTAATATACAGTTCGAGCCATGGCACATGATCACATCTTTTTTGCAGTACTTACTGTTGGCCCCCTCGTACATTGCAGTCCTCAACGTCTATGCCGTACGTGGTGGACTCCTTTAATCACTTACTGCTCGCTAATGACATCCACCAGTTCGCCAACGTTCAGTGGGTGTCCGCGTGCTATTTGTCACAGGACCTTCTCATCAAACCTCATTTCTATCAGCGATGTATCATGGGGCACTAAGGGTGATAACAAGGTCTCTACCGATCTCGGCGTCGTCAAGACTGGAAAGAATGAGAACCAGGTCGAGGTCGCTGTCCCGACCGCAGAAACCGACATCAATGCCGCATATGACGACGCGATTCACATGCTGCAAACGAAACCACCAAAAGAGGAACCAAAGCATGATCCACAGACCGAGCAGGAGGATTACTACAGAAGCTTCCGAACGAAGTGAGTAACCAATCTTCCGAATGATGACAACAATGACAGCTGACTTGTACTTTCTAGTGTACGTGCTTGCTACGCGGATGCCAGAATTATACTTATGCTGTGTATGCCTTCCAGGTCCTGCTCGCATGGACTTTATCGAATGTGAGTAGTGGCACTGGCGCACATAATCGCGACTGACCCGTCATAGGGCTTACTGGCAGCAATCATCATGTTCGTTTGTGATTCGTTGTAACGGTGATAGCTGATAGTAACCTGGTTTTGCAGCACTGCGACCGGTAAATCGTCGGACATGAGCGCTGAAAAGACTGTCGACGGTTACATGGCATTCATTCTGTTCTCTGTTGCGGGTCTAGCACGTAAGCATTCAGGTAGCGTCTATGTGCTTGCTCGCTGACTGTTACCCACTTGCAGTCGTTCGGTTCATTGGGTCAACAATATATATGATCGTCCGCCTATTTGCCCGCGAATAAACTTGTAACAGGTATCGACTGTTGTCATTGGTATACGGACAGTTGCCGTGCTTTGCTTGATATGAACTTGCTTGACATGAACCCTATATATTGATTGCTACATCGAAACTGCTACTGATACCCTGTAGTGACTAGCTATTAGCTATAGTACACACCTATCGTGACTGAACATGAATGCCGTGAAACCGTGACGAGAAAATAATCGAGAACAAAGCGACGTGGGGGACCAATCAATGGTACGTCTCATAATGTCATGCGTAACGCGAAAAATGCGTCCCAAGTCCGTGAAAATGATGCGTGAGTGGTTGCGTCTTTACGTCGCTCTTTTGACCTGTTTGGCAAATTAGGTGACTTCTGTAACACCAGATATAAGACTTACCCTGTGCTTCTTTGACATCATCAACGGAGGCTCCTCATCCTCGTTAGATGGGCACAGAGTATTGGGCGAGAACGTTGGCTTTGCCTGTCAAAGCGGTCCACGATAAACAACAGACTCTCAGTAGATGGTTTCAGAGTACTCACCCTCGAAGCAGCACCAGCTTCCTGTCTCTGCCTTGTCTTCTGCAAGGCCGAGTTCAGCTGTGGAGGCAAATGCCACTGGTGGTCAACAATGGAAACGTGGCGATAGCGGTGGCGTCTCACTTTGGCTTCACTGACACCCTTTGTCCGGCACAGTGTTCCGTAGTGAACCATATCCTTTGTCACCGAGGTCATCGTCGGGAAGTTGGACAATGAATGGGTGAAGCTGGGCAGCGACGCAATGGAGGGCGCCGGTTGCGACTGCGGGCCGGAGTGACGCGTCGACTGCATTCTCAGCTGGGACCTGGAGACGTATGCGGAAGAGGACGAGGGTAAGGCGAGGGTGCAGAGACTCATGGAGATCGTCGCCATAAATACTGCAGCAGGGAGGGGGTGGACAATGGCCTGTTGGGCCGCGAGCCACAGTCAGCCTATATGAACGGCGCCACCGCTTGAGCGTGTTGCTTTGCTTTGCGGTGTGTGATCTGGGGAGATATATGGAAGGATAAGATCTAGGCCATCTGGATACGATCCGGTGGTTGCTGACTATTGGTCAGTGCCATGCCTACAGGCCAAAGCGTTGGCTCCTGGTCTGACCGTTCTGGGCCTGGCGGAGTATGCCGGTGGTTGTTAGTGGCTTTCCGAGGCCGCGGTTGGTCGCAACACAATATCGCAGTGCACGGATGTAGATCCGAGATGTGAGATCAGATGCGTGTGGACGCCGGGCTACGCTGCGGTGCACACCGAGACGGAAAGCGGAACAAAAGCAGATATGAAAAACAGATGAGACTCCGACTCGCTGTCAGCTCAGACAGGTTCTGTTACTGTTAGCGATGTCTCAATGCAATCCTGCGCCCTCAAAGCAGCGGATGAAGCTTGGGTAGAGATTCTGCGCAAAACCTACTATACAGATAGCCTAGATACTCTACGATATCCTTGTAACTTAGCCGCTGACATCAAAGCGGACCACACGCCCGATCGCACAAAACATGAACCACCGCTATCGCTGCAGCCAGCTGCAATCTCCACGCTAGACTTATATAGGGCCCATGCTCCGTTTTCGCCGCTACCCGTGCCTTTGCCGCCTGCATCGCCTCGCACCGCTTTGAGGTGGGACGGACGCTGCGGCTGGGATGATGGCGCCCGTGATGCCGCCACATCCCATTGGGCCTTTACACTATACGCTTCTCCAGAACCTCTCGTGCAAGGCCGCGCGGCCGGTCAGCTGCCCGCCTATCCACTCCTCGTCTTGGAACCACCAGACAAGGTGGTGGTGGTCAACCCAAAAGCCAACGCGCTGCAAATTCGGACAATACGATTTCAGTTCTGCAGCGAGCATGCGCTGGAACATCTCGATCGGGCGCGGGTTCCACGACGTCACGTCGAGGTCGATGGTGTCTAGCTCAGGCAGAAGCATGAGATACTGGAAAAGTTCGTGGCGCTAGAAGTGAGGACGTGTCAGCGCAGTGCAGGCAGTAGTGTGTATAGTGAAGACATGCATTTTGGCAAGGATACGCCAGGGTGCCGAGGTAGCGCAGCCTGGGCGCAAAGACGGACGCCAAAACCAATTGAACCACTTCGAACAACATGGGCTCGAGAACAGAGAGTATGCTCAGGCTGCGGAGGCGTTTGCATGCCTTGCCTGCATCCGCAAGGAAGCTCGGCAGAATTGGCAAGACGACATCGTCCATGATCACCTGCAGATGCGTCAGCGGACACTGCAGCAATTCGCCCGCAACAGTCAGCGGGCCCAGATATTGCTCTAGGGCGGGCAACGAGCCTGGCGGGAGGGTGCAGATAGGGCTGTCTTCGGGTGCGTCATGTGTATACAGAACACGCAGCCGCGTCTGGCGCTGCAGGAACCTGACAAGATGCTGGTCCCAGGCGAAGATCAGGCTGGCGTCAACGAGCTGGAACTTCGTGTCGGCAAGGACCCAGCTGTTCTGCAGGTCGGGATCGCTTATCCAGAGCAGCTCGAGGTTGACCATCGCGACGAACGCTGCGTGGATAGCCTGCCAGAAATGCCGAGGCAGCGGCGTGGTGCGACGGCGTGGCTCGTACATGAACCAAAAACGGCGGACATACACGCCACGCGCCCCGTTTTTAGCGATGAGCGATTTGCAGAATTCGAAGACGATGGCAGGGTCTTGAAGATTGACCTCTTCGTAGATCTTCCTCTCCGCTGCGCGCTGGAGTGTCCTCGACGTACGAGAGAGCACAATTAGGTCAGCCCGTGCCGCGTGGTAGGTGATCGCGGTGCAAACTTCGCGTGGTAAGACGTGCATGTTGGTGAATTGTTCCCTGTAATTTCTGGTCAGATGAGGGTGATTGACAGCACGGTACAGGACAAATCATTTGGCAGCCGCGTCGCCAAAAGGCACGGTGATCAACATAAAAGTATTGTTATTGTGCTGCGGAGCATGGGAGGAAAGGGTTTCGGGATAGAGTCGGGACCAGGCACTAGGCCTTGAGTGGCTCACGATATTTCTTGTTTGACGGAACAAAGGGCCTTACAATGACCACGCGTGAAGTGGATAATACGAACGGCTACGCACGCAAGAAGGCCTCAAACGACTTGAGTCGGGGTTAGATATTGAAAAAAGTCTCTCAGGGCAGTCCCACCTGTACGATATTGTAAATGAGTACCGATCGCAAAGGAGGGATAATCCCCTTATATTCAAAGGACATTCATTCCACTGGCATGGCGCCAGGGAAATATCTACACATCGCTTCCTGCCAGTACTTACTTGTCTTTGCTGTACCTCACGACCAGGTATGTCTCCTTTCCGGCAACGCGCTTGCGATGTTAGTCGCGCACTAAATTGCACCAATATAGTAGCTGAACGACGCCACAGTTTCAATATGGTTGAGCCCCCACGTGCGAGATATTTATACCACAGAACGTTTCCCTGGGTATACTGAGGGCCCGGAGAAGAGTAACTGAGGAGTAGCTCGGGAAAGATGAATCCCGTTGCGAATCAGAGTGGAAGTGGAAGAGAAAGAGAAGTACTAGCGGCGGCATTGGGCATGGCCGGGCGGTCGCACGTGACCGACCGCCACAACGGACGCGCGCCGGCAGCGCGCCGGGTTTCTCGACGCGGTCCTTGATCTTCATCTGCCACCATCTTTCCCTCCGACGACCTGCACCATGGGCGAATCGCGGACAGAACTGCTCGCATGGCTCAACGACTTGTTGCAGATCAACTACACCAAGATCGAGCAGTGTGGGACGGGCGGCGCATACTGCCAGATCATGGACTCCGTATTCGGTCAGTCTCTTCCCTCTCTCTGCGCGTGGGCGACAGGGTCATGACCACGGCAGCATGCTTTGTACGCGATAGGCGACGTGCCGATGGCGCGAGTCAAAATGAACGCGAAGCACGAGTACGAGTTCATCGCGAACTTCAAGATCCTGCAAAACATCTTCCGCGCGCACAAGGTCGAGAAGGTACGCCCTTATCACCACACCCTTGCTCGCGTCATATTCCGCTCATGCGATCGCGTAGCCAATTCCTGTCGAAAAGCTCGTGAAATGCAAAATGCAGTATGTGATACGCTGCCTTGCGCGGTACCTGCTGCACTCACGCGTGGTGCCACAGAGACAATCTCGAGTTCCTCCAGTGGGCCAAGCGCTTCTGGGACACTAACTACGGCGGCCATGAGTATGACCCCGTCGCACGCCGACGCGGTGCCCCGACGGACCCGCCTGCCACCATCGCGCCACTTGCACCATCATCGCGCGGCAGCTCTGGCACTCTAAGTGCGGCTGGGTCTCGTGCTGGCGGCCGAACACCAATCACAGGCCGTCGCCCGGGATCTGCACAACCGAACGAAGCCGTCCAGAATCTGCAGGCGCAGTTGCGAGAGATGTCGACGCATCTTGAGGGTCTGGAGAAGGAGCGAGATTTCTACTTCTCTAAGGCATGTACAATCAGTCCTGTATGTTAAGATATTACTGACAAATCCAATGATCTAGTTGCGTGACATTGAGATTCTGGTGCAGCAGCAAATGGAAGTACTAGAAAGCGAAGGCAAGGACGACCCGCTGTTGCGTGACATCCAGAAAATCCTCTACTCTACAGAGGTGAGTCAGTTGAGATCTCATAGTTGCACGGTATCGATGACCATAGGGCCAGGATGGCTTTGAGGTGCCGGACCAGGTTGCTGAGACTCTCGACGAAGAGGAGACGTTTTAAACGTACATGTTTCTAGCCTCCGGCTAGATCTGCATCTTCAGAATCTGCTTCGCGTAATCCGTTAGCCAGAATCGTAGTTGGAAGTTGGAAGAGGTTTACATGTCTCGTACAAATCTCATCTCATTCGAAGTGTATAGCATAATAAGTAATGTCTTCAATCTCTGTGCCAGTTTGAGAGAACCGACATGGCCCAGGCACCGGCTGGATAACGCGCGCCCTCGCCGCTGCCTAGAGCTGATGTTGATGCGCCGAGATCGTGTGTTCCGCCATGTCCATCGCTACCATATTCACGACTTGTCTTTCCATTTCTCCCCGTTTCGTGGCTACTACTGTGACCGTTCCTTGACGCTCCTTGATTTCTCAACCGGTGGTAGCTGCGTGCGCCGCCATGTCTTTTAACACCTATGCTGTCTACGATGATCAGAGCGGCCACTTCCGGTACTCAGGGGCATGGATACACTATACCCTCAGCGGAAACGAGCAGCTCTGGAACTCAACACTCAGCTCAGCTCCTGACAATCGTTGCACGTTCAGTTTCGACTTCAATGGCAAGTCATGCTGCCTACTCTGCACTGGACACGCTAATGTGTCATTACAGCGACCGTGCTCGGTGTCTACGGGACCATCCTGCCCGCGAATGGAACCACGCGACCCATCTCGTCCTATTCCATCGACGGCGCGTCCCCGTCGACCTTCGAGCCGCCCGACAACATCACCACGCGGCAGGACAACCAGCTCTTCTTCGTGTCGGACGAGCTTTCATCAGGCCAGCACACCCTCACCGTCTCGATCAACCAGGTCAACCTGCACGACCCGGTTCTGATAGACTATATCCTCATCGCAAGCGAGACGAGTGGCAATGCAGGCCAGGCGACGGAAACGTACAGAACGACATCCCTTGCGGGGCTCCCGACGACGTCTGCCCAGGCGGACGCGCTTGCAGCCAGCAGCGGCCCACCCGCGGGTCCGATCATTGGCGGTGTAGTGGGCGGGGTCGCGGTGCTTGTGGCAGCTGCACTCGTCGTGTACTTCTTCTGGTACCGCCGACGACACAACGGGTACTACTACCACCCTGCAGACGACATCGACCACGGTACGTGCGGATCGCTTGGCTGGCGGTGCACGCTTGCTGACGCGGTACGCAGACGGGAAGCCGTTTGCAGCGACGCCTTACAACGTGGTAGGGGGAGGGACGTCCCTGCTATTCGAGGCATCAATCAACGAGTCCAGCCTTGCGACTGAAATGCCGTCTACAGCGAATGCGATGCTCATGCACCAAGTGTCTACTTCAGGCTCAGCCACCGCATCTCGTCGGGGCTCTGTACCTCCGCCTGCCGCCTCCTCCTCTACTCGAGCGATGAGCAAGGCAGAGTCCGCTGGTATTCAGTCGGCGCTCCCACGGACAGTATACCATACAGATGCCGGTGTGCGATTCCGCGCTGGTGGGCATGATATCCCTACGGAAGCGCCGCCTGTGTACACGGAGAACTGACCTAGGTGCACTGCCCTCGGCGTGGATTGGTGGGGAGTCGACCTCATCTTTCGTTTGAGAGTACGGGACCAGTCTATCTTCTCTATATGCTCGTATATTATTGGGACGTCTTTACTTCTGACGGTGGATTTGGTGTCAAGGACATTGCCAGCCTGTACCATATTCGCCCTACGGCTTGCGCGAATTGCACTCGTTCAGATTTACTTGCGTGGCATGAAACCACCTACGGTTCAGGTGCAACTCAGTAACACGACGCAACACACACACCCAGCAAAAACCAGCTATGCTGTGCAACCGACATCTCAAATTCGGGATGTAGAATACTGTGCAAGTAGGTGATATGACTTCCTGAGCGCTGTTCGAAGCTGATGTAATGACAAATAGAACTGGCAGATTCAAAGAAAGTCCACACCCTGAGACACTGCAGATAGAATTGAAAAGAATATCGGAAGGGCCCCTCACCCCCGACGTGTAGTCAGGATAGGTGATGTCACCGCCGACTCAGGCCATTTGCTATCACCATTATTAGGCAATCAACACACTGGAAAAACAACCTCTCATACACCCCAGTGCGGCGATAGCATGCCCACGTCCTAGAGACAGGAAGCGTACGGATGATGGATGCTGTGTTCTGTGGATAGTTTGGCGCTGTGGTGGCCGACATATATGTCGAGTCCTGCCGACTGCTGAACTGGCTCGCCCAGTCGTGCGGCCCACTGTCGACCGCTATGCTTGTCTTAGCAACGTCCGCCAATTCCGTCCTTGCTGCGCGTGCCCTCACAGGTATGTCGATCGCGTTCGACTGCTCCTGGCTATCTTTAGTCACTGATCACGCTATCATAGCTGTTTCCTTGACCATCTATGTTTGGGACCACTTACTGAACATCGCCGATGAGGTTGAATTGGTCTGGCGGCAACCCTGGTCAGTTGTGCCGGTCTTCTTGACGTTCAATCGGTATGCTGGGGAGATTGGCGTGATGTTTGTCGCATACGGTGAGACTCCAATGAACCCGTTTTCCCTCATTCGCCAATCTGCAGCCATGCGGAAGCCGTGGGATGGTGGTCCACAGAGTTGACCGAAGGAGTAGGTGGTTCATACATCACATGCGACTCACTCGTATGAACAGTTTTAACAGGTGTAAGCGGCGACTCTGGCGCTGGTTACGAATTCATTCTGACACGCACCAAGGTGTCAGGCCCTCGCCGCCATCATCAGCGTATATTGTGTCATCAATAGCGCCTCTACACAATGTCAGTGCAGCCGCTTACAGACGATCCCGCGCTAAAGCTGAGTTACAGTCACCTTACTGCTCTACCTCTATAATATCTGGGATAGCAGCAGAACCACGCGCCGTCTCCTCACGTACGGCTTCGTGGTTTGCTTCAGCATCTCCCTCGTGTTCGCCGCTGTCAGCCTGCATGACGTCTGGGGTATTGCGTCGCACATCTCCTTTTTTGCCGTCCAAAGCTCACGTCGTGCAGGATCCATCACACCGTTTCCGAAGCCCCGCTTTTGCGCAGTATCGCACATGCCGAAATACTCGATCGGGATGTGGGGCGGACTCGTGAGGATCCTCGCGCGTAGCGACGTACCAGTTATGCTCACCCACACATGCTCCGTCCAGATATTGTACGACTTCTACGTCCTTGTGCTGATCGTGGTGAACGCGCTGCAGAGGCCGCGCCGGCACGACTCGGAGATCATTGGGAACCTGTTCCGAGATGGCGGGTACATGTTCATGGTATGTGGCAGCGCGCGCTCATGCTCGTGTGTGCTGTTCTAAGCGACGCCCGCAGGTGTGCTTCAGTAGGTCGCGACGTCGGTCTATCGTGTGCAGTCCCTTGAAGTCTGTCCGCAGTGCTCCGGCTACTGCAGTTTATCTCCAGCATGCCTGCAAACGTATGTACTCTGTTATTATCGACGATACGATGGCTGAGGCAGTGTCTTGAAGAACGCGCCCTTGGACGTCGTGCCGGTGTGCGTTCAGCTTCCGTCTCACTAAGTACAGACGCTCTGCTGACTGCACAGCAGCGTTGCATGGGTTCTTGACAGCGTGGTCAGCTATAGGCTATTCCTCAGAACTAAGGCCATCGAGCTCAATGCCACCAAGGCCCCTGTCGTTGGCGCTAAAGAAGCTTCTGTCTATGTGTATGAGGAGGTTGATGTCGAGATGATGTGAATGTTTGCGGTCCCTTACAGTCTCGCCCGGAATTTGGACGTCTGAGCTCGTTGCCCTCTTGGTCTTATATATACCACGATTGAATGATCCAAGTCAAGCGTAACAAGAAGTCAGAAATGTTTGACCCAGTTGTACAATCAGAACATTATCAGAATCCCTTGCTCTGTATGAGCCAGGCAAGATACGCAGCAACCTAGCTGTTTTTGAGATCTTACAGCCCGTTTTCAGTTTCAGTCAGTCGCCAACGTTTCGGATGATGTTTATACAACACGCCGTTGCTTTTCGTTTTTTTTTTCGGAAGGTGATGTATGAGACGTTCAGATGTGGGTTCGGGTTCGATTGCCTCGAGCAATTGCAAGTATTTACAGCACTTGAAGTCGATGCTCTGCAAACATCTACCTCAAGGGCCGGTCCTACCATCAACAGATTCAAATTTCGCGAGACACTGCACTCATCATGTATCCATTGTCGTTTCATCGATACATGTGGCAGCCATCGCGCCGTTTCGCCCCTCCAGCACTGCCCCTTACATAACAGGATCTACAGCGCATCCCAGCATCAGCTACGGCACCCCTCCTTCGCGCGGTATACATGGACAACCTACCTCTCACAGGCTTCGGGTCGCCAGACGCACCGCGGCCCTTCGTGTCGAATGCTGCACACCGCGCGTCAGCCTCCGTTGTGTCGGCGCGCGCGACGCCCGCTCACCTGCAGGGTCTCGCGTCGCCGCGCCCGCGCGCTTGTTTGCGCCGGGCTCGCGCGCAGGGTTGCGCTGCGCCTCACGCTGCGTGAGGTCGTCGTCGTCGATCTTCTGTGTTACCTCGGGCGGGAACTGGTCGACGGGCTCGGTGCCTGTGAAGTTCTTCGTCGTTGCCATTGTGAACGTCGATGGGGATCAGGAGAGGGAGGAGTGCTGAGGTTGTGAGTGGGTGGGTGAGTGGTTGTGAGGGGGAAGGTCAATGCGGGATGGGTTATATGGAAAGAGGATGGGTGGGCGGCGTCATACCGAAGATGAGATGACGTCATGGCTGGCGTCGCAACTGCAAGAGGAAGCAGACGCACCAAGTTTAGTACGTCATCCATACGAGAACCGTCGGGCGGTTGCGGAGTAGTTGGGCATAATATCAACAAAAAGATAATGTTTTGTGCGTGAGGAGTCTTGGGCAAGCATGTGTCAGCGCCAGCTTCTTTGGCAACAGGTTTCTCAATGTTGGGGGCGATCAAAAGAATATGGGATGCGTGAAATTATATATCGTCTGGACTTGTCTGTTTTACCGTTTTCAACCATGGAGGTATGTGGTGAGGAAGGAAGCCCTGCTTCTCGGCGGGTTGCGCGGCGGCCTGATACAATGATATGACGGTATCCTGAAGCGGACATACAGACATGATGTAACTCTGTTGGTCGATAATTCATACATGAGGTTTGGGCCCGAGACAGATGTATATGAAGAATGCCTGAAGAGATTTCAGTAACGTCTACACACGAGCATATCGCCAAAGTAAGAATACAACCCACCTCTGTGCCCTGATAGCCATGAGTTCACGTCAAGTCTGCGATCGTTTTTCTGTGCAAGCTTTTAGACAATCCCAGCTATGAGCGCATCTAAAAAGATGAGGACGACATGCTTATGTATTCTGAGGAGCAGTACATGTCGAGGTCGAGCAAGGAGATCACAAGTAAATTGTCACAGAATAAGATAGGCACGTGATTTGTGACGGTCGCGTTGACCTCTGCGGTACTCATGGCTAGACTTGGAGGGTACCGTCCTGTCCAGCCAGCTCCTGCTTTGTCCCCTCACTCACCGTCATGCCCGCCTCTCTCCGCCCTGTCTGCCCCGCTTTGTCTCCCTCAGTGCCCATATAAAGCGCCCTCGCTTATCTTCGTGTTCCTAATCCCCCGCACTTGCAATGTCCACGAACATCGAGCTCGCCATCTCCTCCCTCCTCCAGCGCGGCCTCCCCATATCCGTCTCAAACGTCCTCCTGGCCTACCTCCGCATCCTCGGCTATGCGCCGCCCGACGCGACCGACGTCTCCGTCCCGCACGAGGCCGTCGTCGCCTTCGAGCACGCTCTCGACAAGGAGCCCCGCGCTACTGCGACCAGTAATGCGTTCCGCCCCCGCGCACATCTCCCCGAGATCACACAGCTCCGCAAGGACTACTGGCGCGAGCGCCTCGCCGCGCCCCCCGCCGCGCGCTGCACGTGCCCGTCCTGCGGGCACGTCGTGTCCTACCGCCGGGACATGCCCAAAGAGTCGGATGACGAGTGCGAGCCGATATCGGTGCCTGCGCCGAAGAAGCGCGTGAAGCGTTCTCCCCGTAGGTCGTGCACTGTTCTGCCCTCTGCGACGATTGCTGACCGCGGTCGGCACTGTAGGGAAGGCCCAGGCGAAACGGGCAGCGGCGCGCCGTGGGGTGGCGTTCGCGAAGGGGCCGCTGGATCCGTACGCCCCGTCGACGAGCACATGCATCTCATGACTCTGTGTTCCATTTCTGTTGCGCGGCATACCGCACCTGGCGATAACTATGAGGCTGGTGGCCGGCCGTTTCGGAGTCTGATGTGCTAGTCGTGCATGGCCACCGAGGGCGTGCATGTTAGACGAAGGCGAGCTGTCGAGTCGTTCTCCAGCGCGTCGTCATCAGATTGATTGAGGGTTGAGGCCTCTTCCATCATAGCCCGATTCCCTTCTGTCTTCGTCATAGGAGGACTAACCCGTCGGGGGTCATCCTTGAATTCGCCGATTGTGAGCCCTTTGATGTCTGCCAGCATGTGTCCGAAATCTTTCATCATACGCACGGCGACTTTATGAGCGACTATGTGAATGATGGGAGCGAGTTTCTCTTCGACGTGTCTGTATCGATCTTTCAATCGACGTCGCATCGTGTCAAGAAGATAACCGGCTGGCCGTACGACTGCGTGAAGATGAATCACTTCTTTTTTGAATTCCCCGTCTAGTGCGATCGCCCGTAGTCTCTCAGCTCGTGTCCAGAACAGCTACGATGCATAAAACAGCTGCATGTTATAGCTTCCCTTGAGTTCGGCATACATCGACGGCTTCACACCATTGACAAGGACGACCACTTTATTGAGCACAAAGTATGTGCACAACCACCAGAGAGACTCGACGTCATGCAGAGGGTTGTACATGACGTCCACTTCAACCGCCATGAAGTCTTGCGTACCCTAGATCAAGTAGATATTGTCAATTTTCGCTACATAAGTATCTACAGACCGCAGGATTACAGCAAAACCAATATTGATAGACCTCCCTCGCGAAAAGTACAGATAGGCGGCATGGAGCATAACGGCGCTTCGGCACCTCGGGGCGACGTGCACTCATTCCTCAAAGGTTGTTCGCGGCAGCCATATGAAGTAATCCACACCAATGCCTCAATATTCGTCTGTTTGTCGAGGTCTACCCCGTTTGTTTCCGCAAGCAACGGCAGACAGCGATGAACCCTGCACTCTACTGTGACGCGACGCGAGTAGCTTCTGATCATCAGCCATGGAGCGAGACATGTATACAACAATTCTTTCTGAGCAGGATGCATATATCGTCGATTACCGACCATGGTCGGCAGACGAGGGGGATAGAGCAAGCGTCTACTCAATAGCCCGTCTCTGGATCGGCTGCCCGTCGCCGTCTCTGCACCACTGCCGACTCCTGCCGCGAGCTTCTGCCCCACTTTGCCGGAATGTATACTTTGCGAGGGGAGGTCTATCAATATTGGTTTTTCTGTAAAGACGCACCGTACGCATCTCATGAGGCTCGCTCTCAGTATCGCCAAACCTCGTTGCATATTCGAAATCAGCCACCTTTCCTACAATTGTACCATCAGGGAGCTGTTCAGCGAGCACGTTTCCAGAACTGATGTCACGATGGATCCAACCGGCACCATGTATAATATTGAAGACTGGAAAGGGCAGCAAGATGAGACCAGTGTCCGTGCATAGAACGAGGACTACTCACCTTCAAGGGCGTCAATCAAGACATGGACTATATCTTCCAGTGACGTCAAGTCGTATATCCGAACGCAAACCTCCTTGTAGACTTAATGCGATAGTGCACACGCGGATGGTGCAAACGAGGCGCCGGAGTTGAGGGCCTCTGTTGCGGCGCATGTGAACGATGGTGCCCCGTGCCAGCATTCGATGGGAAACTTGATTCTGTGCTCTTTATATTCTCGCTACTGATGCCATCCTCACGCAGTTCTTGGAGCTTGAAGCTACCGTGGTCAGGCGAAACGTCGAGTCCCCGCCCAATATCCATCGGGAGTGATATCTCCTTTCGCTTTCAGCTTCTCGATCGTCTTGCTAACACTCAGGCCTCTGCGCACTTTAGGAACGAGGGCGCTTAAGAAGTATTCCACAGAGACCTCTGAGATTGTCTCGCCAATGTCTTCGATGACAGCTTTGCGTCGGGCATTGGTGTTGCCTTGAAGACATGCATCCGTGCTAGTGGCCTTTCGTACAAGAGGTGTTTCGCTCAGCTTAGTGTGCATAACTTGTCGATGAACAGGGGATTCTGGCTTACACTCCATAGTGAACGCGGGTCTTCGATTGAGGTAGTTTGCCGCGTCTCTTATATGTAGGAATCGTGGCTGACAAGAGGTGGGCGAAACCGCAATTTGCCACAGTGAGCATTGAAAGGACCCCGAAAGTAGGGTAAGGGTGCTGGGAGACAGCCACAAACGCGTCGGTCACGTGTCGGCAACGCAAAGCTGATGCGCACGCAGCGCCGTTATGAAACTTGACTACATGCACTCGGAGACATCTGACGCCGTGGGGTAATCATCAGACGTGAACGAGATCCCTGCCTCGTTGCTCGGATCTCGCGCGCACGGAGCGACTGACAACATAAACTCAATCATTATCGCGGGGAGCGTGCATCAAGACACTGACTGACAGATACCAGGGTGTGCAGCGACACAGCAATCCGAGGTCGTTCGCTCTAGGCGGCCGCACAAACAACTGATGGTGCCGTACGTCGATTCCGACCGAACGGCACAGCGCAACAAGCCATCCTACACGACAGGCGGCGAGGCAGGCGTCAGCTCCTGCAGCTCGTGATACTGCACGCCATCGGTGTTCGCGCGCCGCGGCTGCGACCGCGACCGCAACCGCGAGGCCGCCCGCTGGCGCAGCGTCGGGCTCGCGCTGCGCATCCGGTTCCACACGGCTCGCGGGGTCGCCAGCCAGCTCGACGTGGCAGAGTCCTCGGGCTCTGGCTCTGGCTCTGGCTCGGGCCCGTGGTCCGGGTGCGCCAGCAGCGCCTGCTCCTCAGTGGCTCGCGCACGCCCTCGCGCGCGCGCGCGCGCTCAGCCTTGCGCAGCTCTCCCGGCAGTCTGCAGAGCGCGACAATGATCGACCAGATGGGCGTGAAGGCAAGGAACGCGGCGGTGATCTGTGCGGGCGGGTCAGCGGCGCGCACGACGCGCGAGGGCGCGAGGCGCACCTGGCCGAAGCCGGAGAAGCTGTTCTCTCCGCTATATATGCAGTTCCACTGGATCTGCAACTCGGAAACTAGAGGCGTGTGGGTCGCGCGCGCATACAGACATCGGCGGGAAGACGCACTGACGATATATGACGTCCACAAGATCACCGCGACGACGTTGCCCCACATAAAGACCTGCCCGCGCACGTCGCGCCATGTCGGCACGGCCGCCATCGTAACCCTGTATAGCTGCACAGGCATAGGCGTGTGCGCGCTCTGCATGGAGCTAGCGATAGACGTGATCGTCGAGACCCTCGAGAGGCCCTTGTGCGTCCGCTCGCCGCTAAATACAGCGAGCGCGATCGCGTAGTAGAGCGTCACACTGAGGCAGAATAGCAACCATGCTGGCCATATGGCATAGTCGGCCTCGTTGATGTTCTGTGCGTTGAGCGGGAAATAGAGGATCCATACGATTGTGTCCTGATTGCATGCGGGCTGGCTATAGTCTGGGGCGACGAACAGGAACAGGCCCCACGCCCATTGAAATACGACCTGAGGCGGGGTTAGCGACAGACGTTACAGGCGGAGGTCGCGCGAGCGCACCTGCGATAGGAGTGCGAAGGTGATGGCTGCGCGTTGTCTGTTGTGTGTTTTCCGTCGTTCCTTCCGAGTAAGGTTCTCTTGTAATCCACGCGCGAGCACTGCATCTTCACTCTCCGCCAGGCTTTCCTGGCTTTGGAGGGTACGTGCTCTGCGTGCTTCCGACAGTGGCAAAGGGTGTTTCCACACGGGGAGCATCGGCGCGATAGCCAAAGAGCTGATGGAGGAGAGGGTGGCATAACTAATGCAGACGGCGTCAGAAACGTTGCTGAAGAAACACAGCGCAAACGAACTTTAGAATAAGCGTTGCATGATGCAGGGTCAGACTCGGAGGGGACGCCGCTTTCTGCACGAACGCGGCGATTACAAGAGCAGCGGTTAGGAGGGCGCCCGCCCAGGCACTAGCAGCGGCGTCTTCTGGCGATAGGATGACGAGGAGAGCTAAACAAGCAGGAATCAGAGCATTGCCCGGTTGGATGTGTAAAGCGACACCTACTATTGAAAAGACTTTGAATGTAAAAAGCAGCCCTCACGCCGACGCCTGCGATGTCGGAATTCGGACAAATAATACATGAGGTTCCAATCCCAGATTTGGACTGGCCCGCAACGCATTGCAGCGCCTGATACGTGTCATTGTTCAGGATGCTTTGGCTTACGCCGCATCGAGAGTAGTGTAGGACGAGTCGAGTGGCCAGCAGATAGCTTGTGTTATTCATAGGTAATCTCAATAGCGAGACTGCAGATTGTATGTGTACAAGAAGACCTACATCGCAATGCTTTTATCTCACATCAGTACAAGGGCTTAGCAGTGCACGATGCGTCCCACACAGACCTGGTCCAGTGCAAGGAATTGATCTGTCAAAGAGCCACTCTGACTCGACTCAGGTACTTAATTGTAATGGCGGGTACAGCGCCGGGCGCTGTTGTCGGGATCGGTCACGTCGGGGCGACATTGGCATGAAACGCGAAGATGATGAAGTCCAAGGTACACGTTCCAGGGTGTGTCCAATTAATCAATAGACTAACCGTATCACGCCCTCATCTGTCACCACTTTAGGTTCGTGTTGGCATTGCCGCGAGCGGTGTAAAGTCAAGAAGTTTACGTACCAGACATACGGCGTCTTGAAGATGAGAGTACAATGCGTGAGAGCGCACACCAAGAACATCGAACGCTTGGCATGCGAAGACGTTCTCGCATTATATTCTGAGGTCAGTGTGCGGAGAGAGGTTTATTAGCCAAGATAGAAAAGCCTGTACGCCGCGAATGCACTGCTGATATCTATAGCGCTGGTGTGGCTGCTGGCGCTGTCAACCAATGTCGCTGCCCCTAGTCCAAGTACACAGGATGCTGTATTGGTCTTGATTGAATTCAAGGGCGCCCCGGTCACTGACAGAACCATATCACACCCAAGCCCAAATGAGGCTGCGCCAGCGACTTGTAATTATATTTGAACCTGGGTGAAGGGGCAGCTCGCTGCACGGTTTCTGTGTCGCATCAGCTCCGCCTTTGCCAACCTCTACTTACCCTTGGTTTCTCATCCCTCTGCGACGTGGTCGTGGTCGGAGATCATGTCGGGCACGTCCTCCAGATCTGTGAGGCGTGTTCAGATCCACGATGCGCGGCGTTCGCCGAGTCGAGGACCTCCAATTTCTCGGCGCGTGACTATTGAAGACAAGCCGCCACCTCGTCGAGCGGTACCGCGCATCTCTCAGCGCGTGCTTGCGTTTCAGAAGCAATGGAAGAGCATCAAAGACGACCTTCCACCTCAGCTGTCTCGCCGACATAGTGAGTAATATCATTGAAGAAAGTGTAATTAGTGACGAACTTCACTATGCAAGTCGGCATGATATCTATCGGTTCGTGGTTCCCCGTTATATTTTCTGCAGTTGTTTTTATACTCTTACAGGCGGAGTAGTTGGTACCGGATTGTTTCTGGGATCTGCCGTACGTTCTATATTTACTGGAGAAACGACCGCGATTTAACGTGCCTGTTTTCCCGAATATACAGCAATCCTTGGTCTACGGTGGTCCTCTGGGCGCTCTCCTTGGATATTCGATTATTGGCAGCCTAGTGTACTGCTTATGCGTCTCTATTGGCGAGATGATTGCTTATCTGTACGTGAATTCAGCTGCCTGACTGGTGGTGCTGTCTGACGATTTACATGCGCCCAGTCCGAATGTCGGCGGTGTCGTTGGTATTGCCGACCTGTACGTCGACAAAGCTTTAGGCTTTGCTCTTGGTTGGGCCTCTTGGGTATGTTTAAGTCTTGACACCCGAGCATATTCTCACTGCGAGCATTCAGTACAACTGGAGCGTCACTCTTCGTAAGGGTCTTCGGCGTCCTACTCGTCGCTAGAATGCTCACGAGTATGACTACGTAGCTGCCGAAATCACGGCTGCAGCGCTTACTGTAGGGTATTGGACCTCGCCGTACGTCGTTACGTCGTAAGCGCAATCGTCTGATACTGACATCCCTGACTAGGCCTCCTACTTTGGTCTATATCTTGATAAGCCTCTTCGTAAGCTGTAGAGTTTCATGGCCGCCTCGTCCTACAGTTTCAGTGACAATATTCAACAGCTCGGTATAGCTACGGTGGTGAACATGTTACCCTCGCGAATGTACGGCGAGTTTGAATTCTGGTTCTCGTGCCTGAAGGTCGGAACAATCACTACTCTGTGTGAGTAGTCTTGATTGTATCCCACTGCGATTACATTCACACAATCCGCAAGTCTTGTCCTGTCTCCTTATCGATGTTGGAGCTGGCCATGCACAGGCAATACCACCGACAAGCTCTCACTTGACTCAACACATTCTGTTCAAGAACTGGGACCCACCATTTGCAAATTCCTATCTTGGTATCTGCGGAGTGAAGGGTCAATTCCTTGGGTTCCTAGCAGTGCTAAATCAAGCGGCCTTCTCGTTCTTTGGATCTGAGGTCCCCGGAATTGTAGGTTGCCTGGTTCATGATGTCTCAGGCTACGATTGACATGGATATAGGCAGCGGGCGAGGTTATTGATGCAACGAGAGTATGTTGAGGTCTACCAGAACTAGTGGGCGCTTTAGTTTCGCTGAATCTACTTTGACAGAATGTCCCCCGAGCATTAAAGCGTGTGTGGGTCAGGATGTAAGTATGTTGATGTGATTGATGCATATAATCGCTAAGTCTATTCAGCATTCTGATATACATCTTGAGCATCTTTGCTATCGGGCTCACTGTGCCTCAAACCTATGTGGACCTGAGAGCAAATGCCTCAAATGGGTTTTCATCACCATTTGTTATTGCATTGAGCAGAGCCAAATGGACAGTTGTAAGTGGATGTTACGATGTTCCTGAAAGACCAAATGGTAGTTAAATTCTCATTTTAAGCCTGCCAACTTCATCAATGCCATTATCATGCTTTCGGCCTTCTCAGTAGCCGCTTCTGATATCTATATCGGCAGCCGCTTCATGTTCTTCTTGGCCCGCAGAGGTCATGCTCCCGGGTTTCTAGCTTCACTTTTCAAGTATCCACAGGACAAGACACCAGCTCAAGAATTGGAGGAGGAAGACACTGATAGTGATGAAGAAGAAGAAGAAGACTGGCATTCTGCTGTGGAATCTTTCACTAATGCAGCCATCACTGAACATTCTGAAGAAGAAGCTGCTCAGCACCCTTCATTTTACAAACCATCAATGATTTGGACCATTCCTCTTGCAAGTGTTCTGGTGACAGCATCTGTAGGCTTGCTAGCCTACATGGCCACTTCCAAGTCTTCTAGTGCTGTTTCAGAAACATTTGCTTCTTCAGCTGCTACTGCTACAACTACAGTCATTTGTGGTGTCACTATGGCCTTGTCTACTGACACAAGTGACACTATGGGTGTATCTGAGGTAAATGGGTACCATTAAAGGTCTACAATTAATGATTGATCAATTTGACACTAGGCATTTCAAGTACTTGTGTCAATGGCCAGTGTTGCCTCATTGATCTCATGGTCGGGGATGTTATTCACATACATCAGGTAGGAATCTGTATATATGCTGAATCATTTGGTACTCACATCTGGTAGATGGTATCATGGAACAGTCCATGCAGAAAGAAAATGGTCCACTGGTGATCCCAACAAAGTGCTAGCTCAAATTGACAAGATCAAGGAGCATAGGCACAAATGCCAGCCATATGTGAGGATTTATCAATGAACCCATCACTCACAAACCTAACATCCTACTCAGTTAGCATACTATGCATTTTCCATTTGTGTCATTGTTTTGCTGACAAATGGATGGTATGATAGCTCTCACAATCTCAAGTATGGTCTAGCCACTCACAGCAATCAACATCCAGGAGTGTATTTATACACAACGACTGGAGAATTGGTAAGTATGGGCATATGTGTCTCCAGTCCCATATGAATGACTTAAGTGTCCAGCCACCACTGGCCCGAAGGGATCCTGGGCGAGTGATGAGAGGGTCAGTCAGCCTGTGGCCAAATTCATGGCTGCATATATTCCACTGGTCAGTATGTATATTATTGATTATAGCAAATCACTAACACGCTGTCTTTATAGCCATGTTTTGCCCTTTTAATCATTGGATATAAACTGATATATCAAACTGAAATGGTTTCCTTGGACAGAATGTCATTCCTACGTGGAAATGTACCCGAGCCGTTTCCCGATGATCCGCCGCCAACGACATGGTACGGCAGACTGGGGAGAATGGTGATATAGAGTGGTATCATGCACAGCGGTTTAGAGACGCACAGAGGGGCAGATCAAGTATGTTATATAGTCGAGTGGAGATGCTCTTCGCTACTGTACACTGTTATTTAAATCCATATCAGAAATGCTACCGCATCACACCCAATCTCGCGGCTTCCGGAGCACCTCGATGATCTTCCCTTCTTCACTCCCTTCACCATCGCCGCCGAGGTCGCTCATGTACTCCCACCGCGCCGTCTCCGGCAAGCTCATCAGCACGCTCTCGATCCGCGCGCCCGGTGTCAGCATCCCGAAACGCGTCCCTCGGTCGTACACCAGATTGAACTCGACATATCGTCCGCGGCGGAGCAGCTGCCAACGACGGGCGTGCTCGTCGCTCGGCATGCGCATGCGACGCTCGAGGATCGGGAGGTACGACGGCACGAATGCATCGCCGAGGCTGCGCAGCAGAGTAAAGATCGCGTCAGGGGTGCGGGGGCGCTGCGCGTCCAGATCGCCGAATCGCTTGTGCTGCTCGTCGCAGAGATCGTCGAAGAAGATCCCCCCGATGCCGCGAGCCTCGTTGCGATGGGGAATGAAGAAATACTCGTCGCACCATTTCTTGAAGGTTGGGTATATCGCGGAGCCATGTGGAGCGCATGCGTCCCTGAGTGTAGCGTGGAAGTGTCGCGCGTCCTCCTCGTACAGGTACGACGGCGTGAGGTCGGACCCGCCGCCGAACCACCATGCGACCACCTTGCCCTGCGCGCTTGCAGCCGTGGCCTCCTCTCCACCCTGAGCAGCGGGCTCGGTCACTTCAAAGTAGCGGTAGTTGGCATGCACGGTGGGCGCGTGCGGATTCCTTGGGTGGATGACAAGGCTGATGCCGGCCGCGAAGAACGGGAGACTGCCCTCGAGGCTCGCCATAGAGCCGTGATCGGCGCGCATTTGCTTGACGGCGGCTGGGGGTAGAGTACCGTGGACAATAGAGATGTTGACACCCGCCTTCTCGAGCACGGTGTTCTGCGCGGCGGCAGCGGCCTCGGACGTGGAGGGGTGTGGGACGGCGAAGACGCAGGAGAGACCGCGGCCGCCCTGCTGACGCGTCCAGGCATCGCGCTTGAACGAGGGCGAGCCGGGTTCGAGCTTCTCGAAAGCCGAAACGATTTTCTCCTGGAGGTCAGAGATGTACTCCTCGACCTGTTGGCGCATAGGTTTGGATGTCGACGCCATCGCGATTGGGCGTCGTGGTGGGTTCAAGCAGCGTTTGATACCTGCCGACGACGGGGATTTTTATGTTCGAATGGCGCTGCAGGCCTCGAGCTCGAGGACAGACGAAGTAGAGTCTAGATGTTCTCTTGGGTGGTCCACGGGTGACCAGGCGCGTAGTCGAGGCGCGACGCGTACTTGGCACGTGATGGATCTCAGTTGTCTCTGTGTCCGGTCTTTCAAAAAGACACATACTACCAACTTACAGGAATACTGTTCCAAATGTTATCATACAATCTTCCGATGGCACAGGCAAGTGATTGCACTCTTGTGTTCTCCGAATGAATGTAACTATGGCGTAAAAAGGCCCGAGTGTGAGTGCCGAAATACCTAGCAAGCGGGTGAGATTCTAGCCCCCTCCATCGAGGGTGATTATATGCTCGAGGCAGGCGATATCAAGATGTATGGGACGTCATGCAAGGCACGGGGCGATATGGCGTAGCTATAAGCATTTCAGAACACCGAAGTAGGAAAGCTAGCTACGTGGCCCGATCGGGTTTCTCTTCTTTTCTCTTCTGACATTTGTTAAACACTTAGTATACCGTCGGCCTAACTCTGAACGGCGGTAATGACGGGTTTCATTCACATTCGCAAAGACTTTCGAGATAGATACTCTTGCGGCCTCAGTCAGGCCGCAAACACATCCTCAGTGAAGAATGACACGATAGTCTCCCTTGGACCCAGTCATGTCCTCGGATGTTTTAACACCTCCGCGTCGATGCTCGTGACGCGCGAGGAGGCTCGCCATCAAAGCCACATGGCACAAGGTAACCAGAATACAAAGGACCGAACAATGTGGCGATTGCCACATTCGCCACGTTAGGTGCCTATAACAAAACCCCGCCGGTGGACCAGCCACACGATCATCTTCATCTCACCCTCGACCCACTATGCGCCTCGAGACTGTTCTACATTCCCTACAACAACCAGAAAGAGCAACGACGCCTAAGCCGCCACCCAGCCCGAAGCCGCCATTGGACCCTCTCAAAGTCCTTTCCGCGGTCCCACTACGCGTTTTTTGCGAACCTATATCGCCCGCAAGGCGACGGAGCCCTGTGACCAGACCGTCGCCTCTGCGGAAGGAGGTAGTACCTTCCTTTCTACCTGAACGGCCATTGCTGCCGACCCGCATTTCAAAGCGCAGCTCCTCGTACGTACCGCTGCGCACAATTTAGCACGACGGAGTGATCTGACATTCACCACCGTAGTGGCGGCGCCGGAAGCGAGACCGTCTCTCGTGCATCTCCCCTGCGCCTGAAGCTATCGAACCTCCCTCGAAGAAATGCGTCCGGGACCATAGGCCCTATAGAAAAGCCGGAGCTGACGAAGGCTTCGTATGAAAGGTGTGTGGCCAGTGGCGAGAAAGGAAAGAAGAAATGATGAACCCTCTTCATTGATGACCAGTAGGCGGAACAGACCGTATATTTCTGCTCGTGTGTCAGAGAGAGGCCCATACACTCGTCAACAGGCTCCATTGCCGCAAATTTCCCATTCTGTTTCAGATGAAACGGTGCAGCGATCTAGTGACAGGTCTTCAACGAGTGAGTGCGGAACCATCCTCCACAGCTGCACGTACCGCAAGACGCAAGCCACTCCTTGTGTCGAATCCGAGCAAGATGACGAGGCGTCCGATGACGAGCTGGAGAAGCTGCAAGCACAATTTGGCGCCTGGAAGATGGAAGCAGAGACGTTCACGGAGGAGTACAGAAAGACCCTCGACGAAGCGATGCGAGGCTTTAGCAAGTGAGTGCTGATTGTCTCATGTAAACTATGCCGGATTGCAGTACTCACCAACGACTTCCGACAGATGTGTCCGTCAGCTTCCGGGGCCTTTGAGTAAGTATGAGTGAGTAAAGATGTTCTGACAATGCTTGTTCACTACTCGCGCTATTCGCGCTGATGGCTTTGCTCGTCTCTCATTTCGTCGTCTGTTCGTGTATCTATTCCCATGTCTATGGTATCCCTTCCTTTGTCTCATTCAGCTGCTCATGCGGAGAGCGAGTACCCCAAGGCATAAAGATGCACACCGTAAGGGAAAACACAAGTGGCGTACGCCACCAACGCCACGCCACACGTGACTGACAACACTTGTGGAGTGGCTGGTTCGTGGCTCGCCCATATCTCACCTCGACCTCGACAGCACCCAACGATCGCCTGGTCAGCCCAAAAAATTTCCATCCTCGCGACACACCCTGTTACGAATTCAAGATATGACTAGTATGAACGTCCATCATGAAGCATGGCTGCAGGCACACCGTGAACATCCGTCGCGCTGTGCGTGGGTTTGATCTGCGCAGCACCATTAGCTGAAGTGTTTTTGAACCCCATTTGCAGGCTGCTGCATGGCGAACAATGCATCCCTTTTGTTGTATGATTGGAGTATTTGTTGAGCCGTCCTCATGGCCCGACACATCAAGGTCGTGGAGCACAGCATTTGTGGCTTGGGCAGAGGTGCGGTGTCTTCCCGTCATATAAAAGAGGTGCGTAGAGCATCCATACATCATTTACCTCTACTCTGTACATACAGATCCTCTCAATGTCTCAACCAACATCGCCTTCGCCGAAGCTGAAGCCGAAGTCGAGGCCGAGGTCTCTGTCTCTGTCTCCGTCTCCCATCCCGCCACACCTAGGCGGCGTGAGGAATACACAAAGGCGACGACCGTCCTCTCTGGGAAATTCGGCGCGCCGCCGGCCCTCTCCCCTCAGGGAAAGCTTCACACCCCCTGGCGAGCCACTTAAGCCTAGTCCCACATCGCCACCCCCTGGCGAGCCACCTAAGCCTAATGCCTCATCGCCGAGTTGGCTCGCACGTAAATTCGCGTGAGTTCGCTAATCCGCAGCTCGCCATTGAGGTTGATAGAGCAGGCTGACATATTGTATAGTCCAAGTGGGGCATCCCCTCCGCCGTCGCGAAGGTCCTTGGACAGGTTCAAATATGCAGAGACCCAGGATATGGCGGCGAATTTGGACACCTCCCCGGCTGCTAGTACCCTCGAAAGGTGTGTGGCAGCAAGGCAGAAGAGTGATGAACGCTGATATTTTTCACCGGGAATACAGTATGCCCATAATTGAGAGTCCAACGGAAATGACACCTGAGGAACAACTTAAATGCGACCGACAGTCGCGACCTACTGCGGACGGTCTAGCGGATGGTTCTAGGTATGATGGTGAGTGCTACATCGCGCTTCACAGCGACACAGCTCTCCAACCAGAAATACCACGCGAAGAGCCTGAGGAAGGCGAAAGATCAGGGCATCAGTGCTGAGCCAGGAAGAGAAGATGTGCGGTTGATAATTTGATTTGAGGCTGGCCTGATCTTGCTTGTCAGGATTTTGTTCGTGTGATTCAACGTCTCGCATTCTGTTATATTCATTGCGTATTTATTATGGCTGAGCGACTGGCGCATGCGCTGAATGTGCAAGCCGGATACTCTAATACTACATTCTCGATGATATATCTATTGATTTATTTGTGCTGATATATAACTTGTAACTCACATCCAACCATATTATCCCAACGCCTAGTACTCCACCACGTACTAGGTACAGCCCGTATTGTATGTCGAGGCACGCCAAGTCTCCAATTCAATCGCCCCGTGTGATCGGTGATCTAATCTCGTACTAGGCGAAATGCGGAGTATCCTTGGCGCGTAAAGTCACTTGCTCCTGAATCATCATGAGCTCGTTCCACTCCTCGAACTTATTCGATGTCTCGGGCAAAGTTGTTCTCGTTACAGGGGGCAGCAGAGGCATTGGAAAGATGGTGAGATCATCCGGCCCTTTGTAGAGATATCAACGTCAACGAAATTAGATTGTCCAAGGTTTCGTTGCGAATGGCGCCAAGGTGCGTTGTTGCCGCCGTTGATACCAGCGATGGGTGCATGCTGTGTGCACGGACGCTGATTGATACTGTATCAGGTGTACATCTCGTCGCGCTCGGCGAAAGACTGCGAGGCCACAGCTGCTGAGCTCAACGCGTCAGGCCCAGGCACCTGCATTGCCCTCCCCGCCGACATGCAGAAACTCGAACAAGTGGAGGAGCTACTTCGCACTCTTACTGCTCGAGAACATGCTCTACACGTACTCGTGAACAATGCAGGCGCAGCGTGGGGTGATCCCATTGATGACTATCCGGTACGTCTTATCCTTTGTCACTGGGAAATGCGAGTTTGTCCGGCCATAAATGATTTGTCCGAGACTCTATACGGTATAGCGCGGAGCCAGTCCCTGTTCTCGTTTCAGTCGGCATTTCTTGATAGGTGTCCATCTGGAAGTCTCTCAATGCGAGAGGTGGTCATTCATAACGTGGGATGATCAGCGCACCTTGTGCAGCATACGCTGTTCTACTGGATGCAACACCGGCTAGAAATGCTGTCCTCATGAATGAATCGTGTACTCATCCCTTCGCGTAAGTCGGACTTACGCCAGCATGAACAATGTCTCGTGTGGTCAGCTCATGCTCGTACTCATAACCTCATGGATAGTCAGAGATCGACTGATGTGCAGCTTACGGGGACAAGCACTCACTAGCATATTCCTACAGGACTCTGCTTTCACAAAGCTACTCACTCTCAACGCACAGCGTGTATTTACGCTCACGCAGAAATGCCTACCGCTTCTGCGTGCAGCTGCAGAGCAAGGTGGGAAGGACGGTGATGTCTTCCGAGATCCTGCTCGTATCATCAACGTGAGTACAGTTTAGCTTCCCCACTGTTGCGGACCGGATCTCATAATATCTATGAAAATGTAGATCGGCTCTGTGGAAGGCTTGATAGTGCCTAATCATGAGACATATGCTTATTCTGCTTCCAAAGCAGCACTACATCACCTTAGCAGACATCTCGCCGGCCGCCTGGGATGGGAAGGTATTACTAGCAATACAATTGCGTGCGGTACGCCGCTGTTCTGTTCGTGGCCCGGATCTCGAGTTCACAATACTCTCTACTGTCTTCAGGTCCGTTCGAGAGCAAAAGTACGTCTGAGCCCAGTCGATTCATGATTTCATACTAAACCATCCGATAGTGATGGCTCATACCCTCGACACGCAAGGTGAGATCATCAAGAAACTGATACCCCTCCAGCGCATCGGCACGCCTGTGGATGTCGCAGGTACGGCCCTATTCTTGGCTAGTCGTGCGGGTGCATTTGTGAACGGTGCGACGATCACTGTGGACGGCGGCCAAACGGTAGGCATGCGAATCATGTCACCGCTAGCAAGGCTTTAAAGTGGCTGGAGTGTCCCGGTGCTCATTTCTACCTCATTGCATGAAGCAGTATGGAAACATCCTTACTTCCCTACTCATTACGTGCCCGCTGATCGACGATCCGCAGGCCATTAGCAATTATGAATTACATCCCAAATGCTCTTGCAGTTGTGTGGATACCACGCTATGTAGAGGCACCCGAATCTGACTGTCCATTCATGCGCGGTCATTGCATACAGTCAGCTGACTACGCGCACAGCAAATGGAGATTATTATGTCTGAGCTTGAGCCTAGATAGTCGCGCAGTGTTTGCTAGGAGTGTCTGAAAGCACCGAGGCGGGGTGGTAAGAATTGCAACGCAGCATTTCACTGATTTGTAATATTTTTTATCTCACCAGCAGACTTCTAGCGTTGTGCTTTGCGAGTATTAGGCCCGACGCTAGTGGTCCCATGCCACATTAAGCGGCCAGTCGATTCTGCTCTGATTCCTGTGTCTATTTGTTCGACTCCAATCACTAAAATCATGCGCTGATATTGTTGGCTCCAGGGTTTCTATACCGGGTCGTCTGGATCTCAACGTGCAGTCGTGCATGTGTTATGCGATTGCATCTTCGTCCGCAGGGTGATCAGCCTCGTGTGCACTTGTGGGTCCACCCTATCACGAAGCGTGTTGACATTTACGTGTCAGCAGCACGAACATGCCCACATATGGTCAAGGTGACTTGTGTGAGTAGCTTGAATCGGGATGAATTGGCGGACGACTTGCGGCGTCCCACGGGGCATCTCCTTCTGATGAGAATCACAGCGGGTATGGATTATCGCCGTCCTCTGATCTACAATATCAATGCTTCTTCAGTCCTTTTCGAGAACGATGACTCGGTTTGAGTGCCATCCATTCCTGTACACGTCAAGAGACATGCACATAGTAAATCCGACAGTTCAGGGCATACGCGGTTGAGAATCTCTTGGAAGGACACGGAGAAGCGAAGTCAGTCCGTGCCGAGCTGTGCAAGCTCAATGTATATGGTACGAGTCATAGCACACCGTCCCTCTTCTAGGTGCTCGCGACATGCAGCTTGTGAACATTTCACAAGCGAGGACTCTGGTCAGTAATATTGCAGGCTCGGAACACCCCTGATCGGAGTTTGCGACTGTCCCGATTTGGTGAAAGGTCTCCCCGATATGGAACCATTGACTCACTGTGTGCCACTTCGTACCACGCCCACCACGACCAGCCAGTCCGACTGACCTGATTACAAGCATGCGCATCAGCGAATGATATATGAGGTTCTACGTAATATTCCCAGCTGGCTATGATACTCGCGATAAAAGGTAGAAGGTACGGGCTGCAGCCGTAGGTGTGCTCCCCGACTCGAAGGCGATATCGAACTTGCTACCTAAATCTACTACCTTTCCGAACACCTACTCCACACTCACCACACGCACAACGCTGAATATACGGTCAGCTTGTTCCCCAGGATGTATTCCGCGTTGCGCTAACAGATGCTTTAATGTTACAAGCACATTTAGAGCATTACCATGTCGCGATCTCTCCTCGCTAAGCAGTTGAAAACTCTTCGGTCGTGTATCCTCCATAAACCCCCCTATCGGAGCGGAATTGTTAGTCTACCTCCTGAACAATACCTACTTTTTTATGGAAAGGGAAGGGATGCGCGGTGAGTGGGATCCGCCGCACGCATTTAACGAGGTGTTGATGGTGATCATGCTGTAGTCGTATCGACCTGGCCAATTGCTCAGACGAAGAGCTGCTGGAGCTCAACGACACTTGCGATGTGGCAACTTTCGGGCGAAACCACGAGAACGTACACGACGAAACGTACCGAAGGGCAGGAAAACTCGATTCTGCGCATTTCTCTGTCAAAGTCGACCTTCTGAACTCGGGTCTTCTCGACCTGATTTGTGACGATCTGCTGGACGATGATTATGAAGAAAGGGGAATACGCGCAGAGATGTACAAGTTGAATGTCTATGGTTTGTTGCACGATGGCTACGTCTGTCTGTGCAGATCACTTACCCATCCATTATAGGCAAGGACTCATTCTTCAAGCCGCACGTTGACACTCCTCGTGGACAGTCGATGTTCGGCACACTCGTCATCGTCTTCCCTCCCCCGCACGACGGTGGATCCTTGATCCTTCGTCACCACGACGAGGAGTGGACGTTTGACTCAGGTCGCATGCTTAGTGAGCAACAAGAACCCTCCCTTGCATACGTCATGTTCTTCAGCGACGTAGAGCACGAGGTGATGCCCGTCAAGTCAGGTTATCGGGTCACCGTGACCTACAATCTGTACTTCTCCCAAGATCGCTACCCCGCACCCAGCGCGACGCCTCTGATGGACACAAGCGCGCTAGAGCTCAAGACAGTGTTCCAAACGCTCCTCGACGATCCCACATTTCTTCCTCAGGGCGGCCGCATCGCATTCGCTCTGTCTCACAGATATCCCATTGATGTCGTGAAACAGTCTATCGATACAGTTGCAAGACACCTCAAGGGAAGAGACGCGAAGCTTCGCAAGATTTGTCACCAGCTATCACTCGCCACTGACCTGAGGGCCATCTTCGACGATGACAACGTCCTAGTGATGACAGAGGAATGCGTCGCCTTCGATGCCTATCCATTGGAGCAGGACAACTGGTCGGAGTTGCGTGAATATGGTGGAAAACTCATCACAAAGGCAAGGGGCTCAAATCGCTACTCTGTGATTGAGCCAGATGAGATTGTTCATTGGGCGAACCCGGCGGACAAGAAGAACTATTTTCAGACTCCCTATGTAGCAGAAGGGAACGAAGCGACTTTGAATTACACTTACGTATTCTTTTGTCTCCTCGTAACCGTTGGGCCGCCTGGTCAGAGGTCCATGGAACCAGAGGACGGTGGCGACACGATCGAACCACTGACGGGACACCCAAGCGAAGAGGCTTCGGACGGTGGGCAAGCTGCAGACGAAGAATCTTTGGAGGACGGTGAGCAGTCAGCGGACGAAGAATCTTCGGAGGACAGTGGGCGGTCAGCGGTCAGCGAGGGGGATCAGGGTGCCATATCTGGCCATGAGTAAAATCAATTGTCGTCCGCGTAGCTTTTCGAATGTCCGCAGCAATCTGCACTGCACAGAGCCAATGATACATTTCTTCGCCTTATCATCTACAAGAATTAGAAGTTCTGCAACAGCATCGAGGATGAAAAGTGATGTTCACGCATCAAACCGGGCGAGTAGGTCGTTGGGAATGAGGCTCTCATCATTGATTCGATTGAACGCCTGTAATTCACCGTCCTGATAGACCAGGCTCAACCTTGCCGAGGGACCCCGCTCAACGAGGTACTCTTGTATCATCGCCAGGGTCGCTCGGAGACGTCTGAACCCCTCCTGTGCTTCCTCGTCGATCTTCTTCATCTCCACACTATCAAGACGGCGTTTCGTCACCATTTCGAAGTCGCCACGAGTGTGTGCCGCAAGATAGTAGAGCGTCGTCTGCGAAAGGTACAGCTGGGGGTAAGAATCTTTCCATTCATATTGATCGACGTAGTTTTTCGAGCGCGTTGTCATTTCGATGATGGAGCTCTGAGGAACGTGTTGGCCTGCGCTTATGACGTCGAGCTCGTTGGTCGAGGCGCCAGCGTCAATGAATGCAGGCTGGGAGGCTGCGCCGACGTTCATGCCGGATAACATGTCTGCGAGACTGTCGGCATCGGTAGAAGGCGCAGGCTGGGATACACTGCTGCCAGATGGGAGACAGGCGTCCACCTCGAAGCGCACAATCAGTGTTAAGCCGTCGAGGTCCTGGGAAAATGCCGTTCGTCAATTCTATCCGGAGGAGGGAGCAGATTGTCCTCACGTATTTCACAATGCGATGATGGCTCGTGCTCTTTTCACAGCCAGACGCTTGTCTTGTGCTCTCATGTTCAAAGCTGATCCCATAGGTCTTACGTGGGCCATTTACCCACCCCTGCGTCCGCTTTTCCCACCTACTGAAGAGTACTGTACGCTTCCCTGCCAGCTGCATGTCGATCCTAAACGGCTTTGCCGAGCCATCTGCGTCGTTGATCCACCTTAGGAGCTTGCGTAGCCCGTTGCGGTCAGTGACGAAGTCTACTCCAGGCCACACGATGCTCTCCCCACTCTCCTCTGCGACTATATCCACCGAATGGAACAGTGGGTATAGTGGAGAGGAGGGCATGCGGTGCGAGTTCGGGTCGACAAATACGAATCCGGCATCTGGGGGGACTCTGTACGGAAGTGGCCTATCGCGCCATATACGGGGTGAGCCTGCAATTTCTCAAGTCTCAGCACATTCGAGGACGTTAAAAGGTCAGGCAGGTGACGCACCAGGTATGATGATGGTCGGCTTCTTGGCGTTGATCCAGTTGTAAGAGCCAATGTAGGTGAGATCCTTGATTGCAATGTTCGCCTCATCCACCGGTTCCGGTTTGCTGAACGTCTTGATATGCCTTGCTGTAAGACCGTCTCGGATTTCCCTGTCGGGCTGAACCGACGCCCCAGAGTATGAGCCACCAGTAAATCCTCCGAGATCGCCATATGCACCGCGTGAGCCGCCACGCCATCCGCGGCGCTGTCCGCCGCCACGCGATCCACCGCGTGGTCCGCCACGCTGTCCGGAAGTAGGGTGACCTCCTAGACGACCATATGTGTTGAACGACATGTAGTAAGCGGGTTTTGGCTTTCTGCCAATGGGAGCGGAAGATGGGAGCAGAATGGAGAGGGCTTGTGAGCGATATCTACATCTGTAGACATGGCGACTATTTGTTAACCTTATACAACGTATCGCACCAAACAGGAAGGCATCTGGCAAGGACGCGCGCGCGCTTGATAGTGGTCAACTACTATAAGCATGACATCCGAGCTCCACGGTAAATCCCTCTCGTGTGTTTTCATATTGTCTCGTATCCGAGGCAAGTAATACTCAAGCCCAACCGGGATCGAAGAAGATTGTAGAATTGACTGGTAGCACGACCGGTGCTATCATTACTGTTGCAATACAGGCATTGGCCAGTGGGAGGCATGCGCACAGTCATGACCACAAACTCTGCATACGCGACGTACATGTATCAAGCAATAAATCCAAAGGTGCACGTACTTCGCAAAACCTCCTTTTTATCTCTATACGGGGCAGGTCGAGTTTGCGCCTTTAAAGTCGCAAGGAGTAGAGCTCAGACAATCCGAGACTCGCAAGTATCGGGTACACCATCCTCGTCTGCCCCCACCATGCTCTCCCAAATCGATGTACCGTTTGGCAGATATTGTGCGTCCTAAGTATTCCTATATTCATAAAGCCACTGATGTATTCACGTTGGCTTGAGCTTGGTCTCGATGGTTTCAAACTACCTGCAGCATATGCTGTCAAAGGAAAGCTGTCTGCGAAGAATTTCCTGGATGAACTGTGCTCGACTTTCTCATCTCGGTAAGCTTCGATATATACCTCTTGATTGATCGCCTAACTCAGCTCGATCTTAGGTACCGTGACATCAAGGACGAACAGGTAAAATATTTCGAATCACATTGCAGGAATGCCGAGATGGTGCCCCAGCTGCGGAGCAAACTCGAACTTCTTTCGAGCGGAACTCTCGGCCGTTCAGTCCCTGCGCTCGTCGACCTCTTTTGCCTTTGCTTGATTGAAGTGAAGGCCCCGTCTTCTCCTACCATTGCTTCCTTCGCAGAACAAAGAATCCGCGAGCCCTTCTAATTAAACAATGGTGCAACACATGGAATTATGTAGAAGAAGGTCGCCCAGTCTTCCAAAGGTTGGTGACCACTATATGCACCCGGCACTTTTGGGTCCTTCTCAGCTACTTCAGTACTTCAATGACTGATTGATTGAATACAAGGTCGCGATACGGGCATCTGAGCCTGGTTTCCTGTCGCATCGAACTGTGCCTTTCTTTGTCACCAATACTAGCGCTAAGTGGACTGGATTTCGACAGCCGTGGTGGAATATCGCGCAAGATTACGATGCTGCAATCTGTCCAAACTATAACTTTTCTGTGGAGTGTGTCATCTTCTCCCTCATAAACATGAGGTGATTCCGTACCCAGGCGCCCTTTCCGCAGTGTGGAGTGCGGATACAGCGGGTCTGGGTACGAGACTAACTATAGGCGGGGATTCAACGCCACTCCTCCCGGCGCTTCTCCTTATCGTGTTCTATTATTGATACATTTTACCAAGCTAATAAATGCACATACCACACGGAGAGATACCACCCTAACACCCTACTCCGAAACTGAGACACACTCGTTAAAGGTAGCGTTCCCGGACATGCCTTCATACCTTATAACCGGTGCTAGCAGAGGTATTGGCCTCGCCTTTGTCGCAGATCTCGTAAGCGCTGAACTTTCCTGGTGATGAGTTTCCTGACTCGTCTGTTTGAAGCTTCAAGCTGCGAGCAACTTCGTAGTTGCTACTGCACGAAACCCTGATGCCTCCCCAGGACTTCGACAGTTACAGGAGCAGTATCCAAAGGATCGGTTGGCGATAGTGCCAATGGACGTTGCAGACACCAGTAGCGTCCGGCAGGCGGCAGATACAGTAGCCGCGCTCCTTCCAAATGGTCTCGATTTCCTCATCAGCAATGCGGGAATCCTTCTCCAACCGGGAGCTGTCAGTTTCGAAGACTGGTATGTTGCATGATGTGCTCGCCCTTCACTTGTCTAACGTTTTCCTGTGTGATATCTCTTCGTGTAAGCAATCTCGACGCACTTGAGCAAGAACTACAAGTCAATACTATCGGCCCGATCAAAGTGGTCCGCGCCTTTCTACCCTTGATACGGCAGAGCGATTTGAAGAAGATCGCCCTAATCACGTCGGTGCTTGCATCACTGGAGATGGCACCCAGCTTTTGTGAGGTTGGTAACACATACTCCCTCACGAAGGCAGCTCTGAATATGTGCGCATTCAGCTGGAGGCCTACAGTTCTTCGGGCTGATTCCTTTTATGAACAGGCTGGGCCGCCGGTGGGGTACAATGCTTCGATCGGAAGGGATCACAATGATGCTCATTGATCCAGGTGCGAGAACAGTCACTGAATACAATGCGGACTCACAACCGACAATGCGCTGGCCCACTGACAGGATATGTTGCGACCGACATGGGCCATGCTGCAGATGACTGGATGCGACAAAAAGCACCAGATGTTCAGAGCTACACACCCAAACAGTGTGCAGTAAGATGCCTACAGATTATCAGTGACACCAAGTTGGAAAATGCGGTGGAGTTCTGCGCAATCGAGGGCGTCAAGATGCCATGGTGAGAGACATCATGAAAGCGTGTATATTATTAAGTTGTGCCCTACTGGCGGCTGCATACGTGTAACATGACTCAAATAAATAAATCACTGCGAAAGTTATATGCCGGCATAGCCTTATATTTGTGCTCGCACCTCATCGCTAATGATAGCCAGAGCAGAGTGGGAAGAAATCCAAATTCCATAGATTAAGCCCAGAGCGCGAGATATTGGGCCCTGTGTTAGTCTGGCGTGCAAGCGTCAAGCGTCTAGAGTCTCTCCGTTTCGAGTCTGTTGTTGCAAGCCACAGTCTCAAATGATCTGACTGCCGGTGAAAGCTTTTAAGACCATTTCATATAAAAAGAAGGGTTATTTAGAACGACTAATCTTTCTAAGGTTGGTGGCGTCACACGCCATATCATTTTTTGCGTGGGTTGGCGTATTCCATTCAACAGTACGGGCACTACAAAATACAAAAGTTATCACTACACATTGAACCGTACGAGGACATCATCGGGAACAACACCCTGCTGGTCATCTCTCTTGAATATCTCCAACTTCTTGTCTCGGTAAACAAGGCTCAGCATGGTCGTCGAGCCATGCTCAACAACCAAATCTTGGATCATTTCTAGCAACACTCTCAGTCGCCTGAACCCACCCTGAGCCTCCTTATGCTCTGGCTCGAGCTCCTTACTACCCAGTCGGTGCTTCGTGATCTCGTAGAATTCCCCGTTCCGGTGCATGGCGATATAGTAGTGAGGCGTCTGGGAGAGATACAGCTGAGCGTATCTGTCCCGCCATTTGTTCCCGCTCTTGGCCGTCATCGTGGTCATCGTGGTCATCTCGATGACAGAGTTTGGGGGAACCCGCTGGCCGGCTTTGATGACGTCGAGCTTGGTAGTCGAAGCGCGGATGCCGATGGAGGCGGGCTGAGTGGGAGTACTAACGCTTACACCCGAGAGCGTATGCGCTAGATTGTCGATATCAGAGGACGCAGGTGATCCAAGATCGCTGCGCTCTGAGATGCAAGCGTCTACCTCAAAGCGCACAACGATTATCAATCCCCCCAAATCCTGTGTGCAGAATGTAAGTACGAAGTCTAGAATACTCATGGGATCCTCTCACATATTTCACTATACTATGATGACTGGTGCCGTTTTCACAACCCGGCGCCTTCCGAGTGCTTTCCTTCTCAAATTGAAAACCGTATCCCTTGCCATCTGCCCATACGCGTGCTTGTTTCTCCCACCTCGAGAGCAGGACCGTTCGTCTTCCCGCCAGCTGCATGTCAATCCTGAATGGATCCGCGGTGTTATTGATCCACCTCAGCAGCTTGCGCAGTCCATTTCGGTCGGTGACAAAATCGACTTCGGGCCAAATGACGCTTCTTCCGTTCTCCTCTGCGACTACATCAACTGCGCGGAACAGTGGGTATAGTGGAGAGGAGGGCATTCGGAACGCGTTTTGGTCCATGAACTGTATCCCTTTGTCAGGGGCAATTGTGAACGGCAACGGTCTGTCGCGCCATATAGAAGGCGATCCTACCAAGCATTACGCGTCGGCTATGTAAAGATTAGAGAGTAGGAACATGGGAGAGCGCACCGGGCACAATGATTGTCGGCTTCTTGGCATTCGTCCAGTTGTACGAACCAACATGCGTGACATCCTTGAGTACAATGTCCTCTCCCGCCGTGGCTTCCGGCTTGTCCAGGGTCCCGATGGGCGGAACGATAAGTCCTTCAGAGATGTCTCTTCTCTGGATTTTCCTCTCGGAGGTGGACGTGCCTCCTGCATTTCTGCCATGCTGCCCCGAAGAAGAGCGACCGCGCTGGGGTGCTTTGGATGACATGTTAATGTGAATGATAAGACCTGGAGCTCCAGAAAGGGGGTCGAAGGGCGATCTGGGCGATGGGTGCAGTATATAAATGTCTCCTATATCACATGCCTGTCTTCTATCAGTAAACCTCAAGTATTCCACTGCGTACGAATACGTAACAATGGAAGATGAAAGGCGTTTGCACCTAATCTGCACCGAACACGCGAACGCCGAGAACAGCACATGATGTTTGTTAGAAGAGCAGCCGGACGCGCAGTCAGTGCGTCTGTACCAGAAGCAGGAGTACTCTTCCCTACAGCGTGCGATTGTACAAGAATGGGGATCTGGCCCCAATCCCTGTAGAATCCACCTGAAGCAAAATGTACATCCTGTTTCAATTTCCGAAGACACGAACACCGAGAGCAGCTTGTTAGAGCCGTCGAAGGCGGAACCATTATTTCCTATGGTGTCCAATCACACTTTTTAAAACATCCCTTCGAGGAGTCCTGCAAGTTTCATTGATACCCTGTCCAGGTTCCCAGAACTCTATCTACTTAACAATTCACTCGAGCTTCTCGAGCTCTTCAAGCCTCGCGAGCACGACGTCTTTGCTGGTTTCTTCAATCTCTCCGGCAAGGAAGACTTCGTCAAGGATTGCGTATACCTGCAACCGCCACTCAGGAGTGGGCTAAGAATCAGACCGCCTGAACTGACCTTGTAGAAGTTGAACACGAGGTCCAGCTCGCAAACGTTGTCGAAGAACGAATCTATCCCAATGAGTATCCAACTATGTCACTATAGGTCCTGTTAGACGTACCGAGCACCTCTACGAAAAGGTGGATTGCCTCGAGGTATGCAAGCTCGTTGTCGTTGGCATCGACGCATACGCAGAAGAAGAGGCCGGCATAGCGACGGTAGATGACCTTGTGGTTCCGGAACTGAGTCCGGAAGACGCGTCAGACAGCACCGCAGTCAAGGCCATCTGCTAGTATACCTCGACGAAATTCGATTGGTATTTCTGATCTCGCGGTGCTACGAGCCTATGCACTTCACCACGCAGCCGCACCTGCGATGTGGGCGTTCCTGAGATGCACCGCGCGCACGTACTGCCACTGACCACACACCTTCTCGTCGTCGTCATATGGAACATACCATTTCGACAGCCGTGTCTTTCCTTGCCGGTTCTGTACATTGTCAACCCTGTGTCCTCACAGCTGAAGTTACAGCCACTCACTGACCTGTACGAGGATAAACCTGATCATAGCGACAGCGTAAATGTCCGTCTTACCGCACACTAGTTCCTAGGAGATAGCTGGGCTGAGACCAGTAGCAAGCTCAGTTGAGCCGTCTGCCTCTCCTGAGTGGGGGAAAGACTACAGCTATATTGATTAAATAATAGCAGAGATGAGCGTAGGGTGGGTTCGCCACAAGCCTCTCAAACGAAACGGATAAGGGTCGGTATTAGGGGTTGGTATCAGGTGTAAGTGTAAGTCAGAGTAAGTATCAATCTTACTAGGGTCAATAATATTGGATTATTATCTTGTTGGCACTGACTGCTATCGTGGTAAAATAGTTTCTATACCACCCTGCAGACTTCTCAGACACCCGCCCCACGCATGGGACTACGGTGTCCGCCATAAAATGATGATGTCTGCATTTTTCACACCTCTTCCACATCGTTATTGTCATGAAACATTCCCATCTGCATAAGCTGTGTTCGAAGAGGCTGCGTCGTCTGAGCATTGAAAAAGCCCTCGAATGCAGGTGAGTCAGACAGCTCTTGTTCCCCGTCCGCCATGACTGAATACTCTTCCGACACGTTCAAGGCTCTACTCGGCAAACTCGTCAAGACGCCCGAGTACTTCAGTCCCGACGACCTCCGAGTAGCACTAGAACATGTGTTCACACCGGATGCGGTTCTCCCCGTGCAGATCGGCTCATTCCTTACCGCGCTGCACATCGAGCGCGTCGAGAGAAGACCAGAATGTCTCGCTGCTGCAGCGCAGGTCTTACGCGAGCGTGCCCTGAAGGCTGCAGTCGAGGACGTAGAGCGTGACTTTGTGGTCGACATCGTGGGGACCGGCGGGGACGGACACAACACATTCAACGTGAGTACAACTGCAGCGGTTGTTGCAGCGGGGGCTGGTGCTAGAGTGATCAAGGTACGCACCAAGCTTTGTTATGAATGAAATGAAAGCCAATACATATCCTACCTCAGCATGGCAGCCGCGCATCTACATCCTCGTCTGGGTCTGCGGACCTACTGCAGTCACTCGGTTGTCTGTTCGTGCCCCCTACCGCAGGGACACCTGTGCCCATCGCAACTATCCCGTTCACCTTTATTCTCGCACCCCACTACCACCCCGCGCTGGCTATGATTGCACCATACCGCAAGGCACTCCCGTAAGTATCATACACAGAGGCTCTTCCCTCCCTCACGCGGTTCTCTTCTGCAGACACCGCACGATGTTTAATGTGCTCGGGCCGCTCATCAATCCCGCGCGGCCGCGCGGCATGGTGCTCGGTGTTGCAGAACGCGAGCTCGGGCTGACCTTCGCTCAGTCGCTCCGCGCAGGCGGTGTCGAGCGTGCATTCGTTGTGTGTGGTGCAGAAGGCCTCGACGAGATCAGCTGTGCAGGCGCGACATATGCTTGGGAACTCGCCGCGGACGGGCGCGTGACGGAACACACGCTGCAGCCCGCTGACTTTGGGTTACCCGCACACCCTCTCGGGGACGTTGCAGGCGGGACGCCGGAGGAGAACGCGGAGACATTCCGGTTACTGCTGACATCGGGAGAGGACATTCCCACGCGCTTGGAGCCAGTGTTGCATTTTGTGTTGATGAATGCGTCCGCATTGTTGGTGGTTGCGGGCGTCGCGCGGGATTTCAAGGACGGGGTAGAGAAGGCGAGGCAGAGTATCACATCGGGCGAGGCGTGGAAGGCGCTCGAAAAGTTCCGCAATGTCCTGAAGGCAACGGTATGATGTACAGAAGAAAGCTATTGTGTACAATTCCTTGTATAGATGCGCGACTTGTAGCCCGTTAGATCTGCTCGATGACACAATCTACCACTGCACTTCTTTTCTCTTGCACTACGACCCGGACTGCCTCCTCGAGCACCGCGCGGATCTCATCTGCGTGCTCGACGCGGCGCCCCCATGCGCCACCGGCAGCGACCGCGATCTGAGCATAGTCTGGCATCTCTGGCTCCGGGCCAAACCCTACGGAAAGCTGCCGCCCGGATACCTTGCTCCCTAACCCGTCAGGGTGCATGCCTAGCAATGACGCGCGTGGGGACTAGAGGGCCGAGTCAGCGATCCTCAGGCGCAAATGAACACTACAACTCACTGCCCAACCTCCGTTGTTAAAGATCACCGTCAAGAAAGGCTGTCCCAGGCAATCAACATAGTTAGGCGGGTGACTTGAGCAGCACGACGCACCGTGTTGTACCTCCTCGCCATCCAGTACGCCGTGCTGGGTACGCCGAACAGAAAGGTCCCGTCGCCAACTACGGCAGCCACCAGGTCATAGTCGATCCCAGCCACCTGCGCGCCGAGACGAGCTCCCACTGCGGCGCCGAGCGCCCAGCCGAGGCTCGATGCCCCTGACGTGATCATGCTGCCGGGGTGCACGGGCTGTATATGATTCCAAACTTCGCCGTGCTTGCTGATCGCCTCGTTCAGCCAGAGCACCTTCTCACCGCGGCTCGGCGTCTGCGACACGACCGCGTCTCGCAGAGCGCCGAGGATGAAGTGCACGGAAGGTATACCACCTGCCACGCTCTGCACGGCCTCAGCGGCGGCAAGGTCGCTCATCCACTTGTCGTGCAAGGCCTGGATGCGCGTGCGGCGCTCGGCTACCTGGGCCACGACCTGTGTGTTAGCAGCGGACAGGTCGGCTGTGCGGATGGCATCGACGAGCTGCCCGAGTGCAGTCTCTGCATCTGCAGTGCAGATCATCTCGGCATCGACGTGCGACCAGCCATAGTTGTGCTTCAGTGGGTCCGAGTCGATAATGAACACCCGGGCGCCGTCGCGAAGTTTGGTGCCCGTGGCTTCAATCCAAGGTACACCGACTTCGAGCAGGATGACGACGTCGGCTAACTCGAGGAAAGCGTTTTTACCATCGACCGACGAGCCGATGAGGTACGGCTCATTGTGGGGGATACATAGGGCTGCACAGACGGATGTATACACTGCAATAGAGCGCAATTGGCAGAGAGCGGTCAAAAGCGGCACAGTGCGAGGATTGCGACCAGAATTGGCGGCGATGATGAGAGGGAAATTTGCTGACGATAGCGCTCCAACAATTCGCTCCACAGCTGTTGACCAGAAAACAGAGTACGTAAGGAGGGCACCTTAACAAAAGCTTGCGTAACCATACCGATTGGCGACAGCCCCCCGGGCTGGATACTAGGCCACTTTGTGAGATCTAGCTGTGACTTGAATATCGCATCGCTGACTTCCTCTTGCAATGTTTCGCGTCTTGCCCACAAATAGACCGGTCCCTGAGGCCCACTTGTCGCGCTGTAACGGAGTCAACACTGTTTGCTCATGCTGAAGTGTACGTGGCGTACAATTGCCATGCGCGCATAAGTTGCTTCGCGGTAGTTTTGCCACTCATGATCTGGGCAGTGTGTCGCATATATTGTCGCACGATAGCAGGTTGGTCCGGTACATCTAAGACAACGTAAGCATCACTATATCATTAGAGTATAGAAGACTTGTGCACCCTGTCCCCACATAGGCCACTCGTTCTTCGAGCCTTTGAGCTCACCGCTCACGGAGAATGGTGATGCCCCTGCAAAGATGATGACGGGGGCCTGGCCTTTATCCACATTGTGTACTGCACCGGCCAGGGCCTGCCAAATTATGCTACATCAGCATCACTTCCGCCAAGCTCGAGGTCGCAAGTTGATCTCGAGATCGCCGATCGTAATGACATAGTGATCGAGATCAGCAACAATACTCACCTGCGTCCCGACATCGACATGTACAATCACCGCTGCGGGCTTCCCTGTGACAGACGCATACCCTTGCGCTGCACTCAGCGCTACCATCTCGTTTGGGCATGTCACGACATCCAGCAGAGGTTTCCCTTCCTCTGCCCGCTGCCTCTCCAGCTCTTCGAGGAAGGCAGGATGGTCATTTCCCCAGTTCGCGAAAATGTGGGTCACTCCTACTCGCGATAGAGTGGCCAGGAACACTGACGCCGTTGTATACATAAGACTGGGTGGGAATTGCCGAGGTGCTGAAAAGGTTGTGGGGAAAAGAGGCAGAACGACCTGCGATTGATCAACGTTTTATATGCAGATGCAGGAAGACGAAGGGAAGGTCCACACATTGTATGATAGTGTCATTTGTGGCGGCGAGCTCGGCCGGGCAAAGGTATACGCAGGACCTACTAACAAGGCAATTGAATCGGCTGAACAAGCATGGCGATCAGATGACATGGGAGGATTCGTTCACAATCGCATGGATTAGTGTCACATAGCGGAGAAGAGCTACACGGATCTGACCGTTTGGAAGAAGGTCTTACGCGCATCCTATCAACCAAGGGCGCTTCGACAGTACATGTGGAAGGAGGGCGGCAGTATCGCTGTGTTGTTTTACCAAAAAAAGGTAAAGAGTGTACACACCGGGGGAGACTTGCATATCACTAAGGCACCATCTTCTCGCGTCATGATACCTCAGAACCTGGTCCAAAGCCAGACATACATTATCTGTGCGAATTAAATATTGACTACGACATGGAAGTTGCTGGTGTACAGGGTTGCAGATCCAGTGAATGGCTCCGTCCCAGATTCGACTGCCTGCAGATACTGTTCACTACTTAGCTAGCTACTTACGTCAGAGCCATTGGAGTCACTTACATCGGAATCAGAGACGCCATAGTTCGCAACGAGGTAGTCTGCATGATGCTACAGTCGGATCAAGTATAGATTTCACTGTCGCGAGAATAGCGTACCGAAGAAGTCCTTCAGATCGGAGCTAAAGTTGTTGAGGTTCCCTTCGGTAGTGACGAACGAAATGGTCTCCCAGTAAGTATTCGGGCCCTCGTATAGATTCCAGGTGTAACCGCCGACCGAGATGTCCGAAGCGACTTGCGAGCCCAATGGACCGGCACTGCAGGCATTTCACTGATGAGGTCCGCAGTTTCGGCTAACGTGGAAAGTGCACGCACCCGCCTTCGGTAGAAACCCAAATCATTCTGGTATCCGGTAAGTCAGCTGGAAGCAAGGATCGCTTTCACATGAGGCGTCAGCACGATGACCCACATTTCAAAGGTTGTCGTATTTGAGCCGGGGTCATCGGGTGTGGTACCGACCCAAATATCGTACCTGCAGACACCCATGATCGATGAGTCCAGCAATGGAATGGGGATACGCACGATACGTCTGCTACGAGATCAGAAGAGATTTCCTGGTACTCCCAGTCCCATGACGTTGGAGCAGAAGTGATGTCGGAAAGCTACGATTTGCCAATCGTTTGTGGCCGTGTGGGTACTCAAAGTGAAGAAAACTGACAAGCATGCCATTCGCTGAGAGCTGGTTCACACTGCTGTCTGCGTTTACATGTCAGCTTGCGAAATTCACAAACAAACCGATAAAGTATCCTACAGCTCTTCACGTCGTACTGGCCGCCCGACCAGGTGTAGGTTGTAGACCATGAGATTGAGTCGCCGCTAGCGCTGTACAGAGTGGCGTTCTGCGATCCAGTACCGTTATCTTGAAATGATGGCATCAACATACTGTACATGGTGAGGAAACGTTGGACTTCACCTTCACCCCACAAGTTCTGACAAAGTTCGTACGCGCCTGAGTCGACACAGGTCCACTGTCCGGTTAGCGTTTGCGAGGCAGCTGCACACCTAGCTAGAATGGCAAAGATCGACAACAATGTGAGCTTCATCTTGAACAAGGCGTCCTGCTTGGCCCGACTCGCTATGCGGAATCGCTCCTCTTATACGGACTCTTTCCCTACGTCATACGACTTTGTGAATGGGTGCTTTGTCTCACTCGTGACAATTCCAGACACGCATTGCAGTATAGCACCACGAGGGCAAGTTCTATAGTGCCGTCAGTCCACGCACTGGAAACGATACACTCCTTGTGAGACTCACCGCATATTCCCAAGGAGACCGGGCCGGGAGGATAACCTTTATTTTGGTGTTATGGAATGATAGGCAGATGACACGAAGTTCAAAGCCAACCTAAGCAGACTGCTCCGAAGACAGGTGGTCCATCCTGGGCTATTCGAAGGATGAAGATCATTTGGAACTAATGCGATCAAGAGCCCTCACGGGCATGCCCATCACAATGTTTTAATATGACCTTCTGTCGCACGTTGGCTCTGAAGTCTTGGAGACTACTTCGAAGTCCCTTTAAGGACTTTTTCTCATAGCGATAGTCGTTCAGCACATACACTCAGACAGTGTCCGCTGTATAACATTCACATGACGGTGCATCTCCTGCGAGTAGAGACCGCATGGTACACCTGTGAATGGCATACAGTCAGCCTTGATGGGCAGCAGGATTCGGGTTGCGTACCTGACACTTAGAACATGTCGCGCATATATGAGCTGCAAATGACCGAGATGTGAGAAGACTGCTCAGCACCGTCATCTACGCCCATCTCTGTGGTGTTCCCTGTTTATCAAAAGTGATCTCAAGGCGTTCACCCCAGGTCCTCCAAACAGGTAACGTATGACCACCTAGTCCGGACCGCCGACCAGGCAAGACACAGCATTCATAATGCGCTGGTGACGAGCGCCCAGCTAGACACCCACGAAACACTGTGCCTGAGTAAAGCTTTCTCATGTGCTCTGGGGGATACACTTGACATGGTGAGGGACCATTGCTCGCGTTTCACAGGTCATTCACGTCTATTGCAGTAATTATACTGCATACACGAACCGCATGTATCATCGTGAATGTGTTAGACCCCCCAAAACCGATCAACGCACCTGACTATTCGCCGCTCTCACAGTGTGACTTTGGGTGTTTATGTTATGAAGTGAAGGGAACTATCGCTGCAGCTGACCGTGATCACATTGACGAAGCGTCGAGTGTGCCTCGCACACCATGTTGGCAGTAAATATCCAATTTGGCGCATTGGTGTATTATGGCGAGGCTGCGAATCCCTGCATCCGCACATACTCGATGTCTTCCTTAAAGAATGTCTGCCCAAAGCGAGTCATGCCTCTCCGCTCATACCAGTTCGCCGTCGACAACCGCGCGTCGCACCACACCACATTGTAGCCCAACTCTGCATGTGCTATTCGAAAGACATACTGCAGCAACTTCGTCCCAATGCCACGACCCTGGTATTCTGGGCCGCATGCAAACTTTCTGAAGCGGGCCGCAGGAACGGTCCGGTCAGAGTCGGGCAGAGGTTCCTTGAATATGGATAAGATTGCGACTGGCTCGTCGCTGGTGGGCAGGAATGCGCCGTAGTGGAAGCCTAGATCGTCCTCTGCGAGGCGGACATGAGACACAGGATGGTTTGGCCAGAGCACGGAGTGTCGTAGTGGAATAGTCTCGTCAGCTGCGATGCGCTTGATTTCTGCGACAGGGTCTCAGAGAGCAGAGGCGTAGACAGCGTAGTTTAGACATGCCAGGTTCGCTCATCGCTTCAAGTGATTGCTGCCACAACAATATACTTTTTTCGATGGTACAGATGCCCTGTAACGGTCGTCCAGACGGAAGAGGCAGTACGAGGGCAGTACGGAAGATGGGAGTCGGGAGGCAAGGTGCCGCGCACGTGAGGCGTCTGCCACTGCGACATTTCTGTTCACATCCTCCACGACTACAATCCACAATCAGCGATGGCAGACCCAACCAAGGCTGAGACCGAGAAAATCTTCAAGGTCTTGAGGGCACAGAAGGGGAACAAGGTAAGTGTAAGTACGACGGGCCTCACGAAGTTGCTCACTCCTCTCAGATGTGCTTCGACTGTCATGCCCGCAATCCGACCTGGGCGAGTGTATCGTTCGGGATTTACATCTGTCTGGAGTGCTCTAGTGTTCATAGAAACATGGGGGTGCACATCAGCTTTGTGCGGTGAGCACGGCGGTGATGCTGGAGCACCACGTCGTTGTGCTCATGCAGCATCCCGCAGATCGACCAACCTGGACAGTTGGCAATTGAACCAGCTCAGGACCATGAAGGTTGGCGGAAACTCATCGGCAACAGACTTTTTCACGAAACATGGCGGTTCGATGGTCCTCAACGACTCAGATACCAAGAAGAAATACTCAAGCCGTGTCGCGGAGCTTTACAAGGAGGAGCTTGCACGACGCGTCAAGGAGGACGCGGCAAAGTATGTATTCCACAACTTGGTATCTACGCTGGCCTCATCCCTCTCCCAGATTCCCCGAGCGCGTCGTTGTTGAGGGTAGCGGGGACCTGCTCGTCACTCCAGTACCCGCTGGGGCTGACGAAGACGACTTCTTCTCCTCCTGGAACAAGCCAGCAACCCCCAATTCTCCTGCGTTCATATCTTCTAAGCCTGTGCCACCGATCCTCGGGCGCGCCGCTAGCGTGCCTTCCGCCAATGGCAGTACCCCGCCCGCTTCCCCGCGCACGATCAGTTCCTCTTCGCTGCGCTCGGCGCAGTCATCCGCTGGATCGCGGCCCAACTCCATGCTCGGTGCCTCTCGACTGACGTCGTCCTCGCCTGCGGTCAGCATCCCCACAGCCGCCCCTGCGCCGCGTAAGTCGAAGCTCGGCGGGCTCGGTGCGAAGAAGGCGGTAGCGCCGCTGGACTTTGCTGAGGCTGAACGGCGCGCTGCAGAGGAGGCCGAACGTGTGCGGCAGCTCGGGTACGATCGCGAGCAGGAGCGCAAGGAGGAGGAGCGTGCGCGCAAGGAGGCAGAGGCGGCCCCTCAGAGCGCAAAGGCGCCGCCGAAGTCGGCGAAGGTAGTGCCTACAACGCCAGTGAGCGCCCTGCCGACAGGGAACGCGCAGGACTTGGAGCGGCTGGGGATGGGGATGAAGCGGCTTGGATTCGGCGCCGTCCCCGCGGCTCCGAGCACGTCAAAGGCGAGGTGCGTACTGCTGCTGAACGTTCGGCTGGCTGGCCGATTGACCGATACCTCCGTGTTGCAGCGCGGCCGACGCCGACGCGCCGACGTTTGCGCGGGAGAAGTTCGGGAAACAGAAGGCGATCTCGTCGGACATGTACTTCGGGCGGAACGCGTACGACCCGTCGGCGTTAAATGAGGCGCAGTCGCGACTGCAGACATTCCAGGGTGCGTCGTCGATCTCGTCGAACCAGTACTTTGGTCGCGAGGAGGAGGAAGAGCTTGGTGGGCTCGGTCCTGCAGGCGACGGGAACCTACTTGGGGATGGGACATTGTCAGGTTTAGAGATGGCGGCCAAGGACGCGATCCAGAAGGTGTTGGCGAATCCGGATGTGCAAAACGTGGGCGAGAGCATCCGGGCGGGTGCACTCAAGGTGAGCAGGATTCGACGGAACTCAGTGTCGGAGTGCTGAGCGCGCCTTTGCCTATAGTTGTCGGACTACTTAGCGCAAATGTCGGAACGGTGAAGGACAACTTGTGCAATGGACTCGTTCGCAGTGGAGCTGTCCCTTCTCATACTGTCGTTGTTGGTTTGAATGTTTCTAAGGATAAAATTTAATAATATAAGGGAGAGGATATTTGACTGGGCATTTGCATAGGTTTGCTCGGCTCGCGCTATCGTAGAGCCAACCATCGGGAAGCTTTGTCTGCCAAGCTATTGACTCACAGTTTGGATCTGACATACGTTCGCGATTCAGTGAGGGGAAACATTCGTGAACATGTAAAATAGGCAATGGACAAGTGTGGGCGTGAAAGCGCGAAAGCAAGCCGTGAACGCATTCGTACAATGAGGCCAATCGTGCTAGGGATACATTATGATTTGATCAGTTCGTCAACAACCTTGTCGTCATTTATCTGCGCAACGTTCGCCCCCCGATAGTTGAGTCGCCGCAACACATCGATCTACGTGATCCAGAGATGAGCAAGGCCAGACTTCCGGACTGAGAGAGAATATTGGAAACAAGTGCGCATTCGCTTTCGACTGCTCTCACACTTGCCCACTGTAAATCCACTGTCCTTTAATTACAGTCGCAGATGGGAATCTTAATCTGCCCTGGATTTGCGTGACCTCACTCAGCAGATGCGCACTGGTTTCTAATATCCCATAGAAGATGTGTGATACGCACCACCTTAGTCCGATCGAAGCCCATTGCTTGGAATTTCTCCACATGCGCCCTCTCGAGCCCAGCCATGGCAATTTCGTCCCTCGGCCCGTCCGCCCTGCCCTTACCTCTGACCTCCTTGCCCGACCCGCCGGCATACGCCTGTGTCCAGTATCGTGCAGTCTCCTCAAAGCTGCTCTTACTCGTCATATAGTGCTTCGCGACTTCGGCGTCCTGCGGGTCGCGTGGCTCTGGAGAGCAGAGGAGCGACTGGAGTGAGATGAGTGTAGATTTCAGTGTGAGGACGGGGCTCCAGGCGTCCTTGAGGATGTCAAGGCAGATCGCGCCCGAGGCGGACGAAACGTTGGGGTGGTAAACCTTGGTAATAAATTTCATCTTGACGGGCTGGAAGGGATATGATTCTGGGATGATGATGTCCTGCAGGACCAGCGCGGTTAGCTACTTAGAGTGGCGAGTGGCCGAAGGGGGGGAAGAGCTTACGTACAACTTTGAAGTGTCCCCCTTCATACGGCGTTCCTTCTGGGCCATCGAATTCGCCTATTAGGTGAAATGGAGAATTATCGACAAGGTCGATACTGATGTTCGATGATTTGTCGTTCTTGCAGTCTATGCAAGCGTGTTAGACTGATCGCATGCCACAAAGCAGGTGACCTGCCTGAAATTTCTTTGTTGACGCGTCGTAGTCTTGCATCCATAATGTACCTTTACAAAAAATCAACACAAAAGCAAATGGGTCTCTGAGAGTCCTACAAGTTGACTGGAAGAGACAAAGGTGAAGGTGGCCAGAGGGCGCGCAACGTTAGATCCGATCTGCAGGCCTGAAGTGATCACGTGCATTATGCATCGGCGAGCGGCAGGCGCTACGACTTCCTGCTTGATATCCTTCACGAGCCAATTAGTTTAACGATACTGGTCCTCAAATTCAAAAGCTTTGATGCTCAAATAGGAGTTGCGCTTTGCATATAGATATTGACGGGGGAGGGTGGGTCCTGCACTGCTTTCTATACTTGGATTACTAACCATCATCCCGACTACGCGCGCTAAGTGGTCAGGATAAGAGGCGGCCGGGAGCCTTGCAGTTATCGTGCAGCCTTTCCCCGAACATATAGCTGCGATGAGCGAGACACCACAGGAGCACCCATCCGGGCGAACCAGCGGCGAAACACTTCAAGTGGTCGCTGATGGTGATACCATACTCTCGGTGGTCCAACCTGTATTCCACGAGACTTTCTCGAAGGACTTCGGATTTCTGCCCATTCCGAAACATCTCCGCTACGACCCCGAGCATCCCGCGCACTTCGGATTGCTTCTGAACGCAACTTTCGGGATTGCGAGTACATTTGGTGAGTCGACGCATTATTATTGTTCGAGTGTAGTCTAACGCACCAGTCACAGTCGTTGCAAATCTTTATTATTGTCAACCTCTGTTAAGTAAGTGTACACCAATCACGCATCCTGAATACTGTATATATCCAGAGAAGAAAGGTCTCGACACGCACTCCTATGGAGCTGTGATCAAATCACATCGAGACTGATAGACACTTCCTGGTAATTAGCACTCCTAGGTCATTTTTGGCGAAGCTGGTCCGGAGACACGAAGCTAAGATTCGCGCGGCATAGCTGAGGCTTCGCGAGACTCGAGATGTTTTGAGGCGTGTTGGTACCTCAAGACACCTCAACGAGGAGCGTCTTGGGGTACGTTCACAAATACCTCAGAGCCACCTCACGCAAGTACTACCAGCTACGCTAATCTTGGCTCTGGTTTGGCTGCTCTTCGTCTAGTATATCTGGATTTTGCGCTCAGTCCAGCACATACCTATGTGCGTTCTCAGTCTAAGGGCCTAACGAATTGGATGTACGCCCTGATTGTACAGCGACGCGATTACCTGGCGTACATTGCTTTGGGCACGCATAGGCTAAATGGCAACCATTGGATTGATGCACAGTCGAATTTATTTTCAATTGCTATCAATATCATGACTGATTTTCGACTCAGTTGAATTCTCAAAATCATTTAATGTCACATATGATGAAGTATCCAGGATACCTACTCTAGTTCAGGCAGGGCAAGTGATTGGTTAATCTCTCATTTTGTATGTCAACCTAACGAACCCTTTTTTTTTAAACAAACAGTTACGCTGTCGGTATCGTGTTCATCTCCACTCTCGGCGACCTCGTGCGCCGTCGCCCCCTCCTCCTTGTTCTCGTGACCATCTCCTCCTCGTTAACAATCGGTCTCGCAATCACGAAAAGCCTCGCAGTCTTCGAGGCATTATGTTTTCTCGTCGGTATGGTCACGGTCGTGCCACAGGTCCTCATGCCACTCGCAGCCGATCTTGCGCCGCCCGAGCGCCGTGCATCTGCACTGTCGATCGTGCTCGCGGGCCTCCTGCTCGGTGTGCTCTTTGCCCGTGTGCTTGCGGGTATCATCGCGCAGTTTGTGACGTGGCGCGTCGTGTACTACCTGGCGATTGGCTTGCAGTACTTCGTGCTCGTACTGCTATACTGGATGCTCCCAGATTATCCGGCGAAGAACAAGGGCGCGACGTATTTCGGAATACTGTACTCTATGGGGAAGTTTGCCGTGACGGAGCCAATGCTGATTCAGGCATACCTGATCAATATGCCTTCAAGCGCATGCTTCAGTAATTTCTGGGTGAGTTGCAGCATTCCTTTACGCGAGTTGTCTGTACTAAATGACAATCAACTTACAGGTCACGTTGACATTCCTGCTCGGTGGACCGCCGTATGGCTACTCTACGTACGTCATCTTCTCAGCGGTGTATAAAAACACATCTGACACGACCTAGGCTCGCCATCGGCCTCTTCGGTCTTGTGGGTATGTTTGGCGTCGCGATGGCCCCCCTTGTGGGACGCACCATTGATGGCCTCGTACCGTGGTTCGCGTCTGTTGTTGCAACGCTGGCGCTACTTGTGTTTCAGGCCATTGCGGTCGGCGCGGATGGAGTTAACATCGGCGCGATCGTCGTTGTCTGCTTCGGAATCGACGTGTTCAGACAGATGGTCCAGGTGTCGCTCACAACGTCCGTATTCGGCCTTGACCCCACTGCTCGCGCCCGGCTCAATGCTGTGCTCCTGCTTTCAGTGCGTGAATTTTGTATTTGTGAGCTGATGATGAATGTGAGTGCTCATGTAGCTGCTGCCCGTAGCTTTTTATCGGCCAGGTGATGGGCACCTCTGTGGGGACGCTAGTTTTTACTAAATACGGCTGGCGTCCTGCCGCTGCGCTATCTCTCGCGTGGACGGGCTTTATGCTCTTCATGATCCTCTTGCGCGGACCACACGTCTCACGGTACACATGGTTCGGTTACAGCGGAGGCATTGAGATACGCAAGAGCAAGCTAAACACGCGGGAGCGGAAGCAGGAGAACGACGCGGAAGCGGCGGTAGCAGCCGATATCAATGCGGCTGGGGAAGCGCAAGAGCCTGGAAACGAGAACGAAAAGAGTCTTCGGGCAGAGGCTGAACAGCGAGGAGTGGCCTCGAAGGCGGAGGAGGTAGAGAAGGTTGCCAGCCATGAATAACACAATGATGCCGCGCTAGAGAAAGGCAAGTGAGACTACTTGACGGGTCCGGACACAGCTGACCTCTGCCCTCTTCTCACAGAAGCCCGACATGCCGAGGCGGCAGTGTAGAGTGGTGCATAGAACTAGAGCTGTAAAGCAAGCACCTACGAACATTTTTCTCGGCGCGGAGTTTGCGCACGTTGTCGCAGATAAGCGGCGCCGATGATATATCACCAATCAAGCCGAGCGCGGCCGCTTATGCTCATCTTAGGGGCATATAACGTTCGTAGGCTGCAGATTTGCACGATGTCCCCCACGTCGACTCGGACGCTCCTCGCGTGTGGCCATGAGCGACCCAGCAACGAGCCCTCCGCCTGTCGAAAGCGAGGCGCGGGCGTCTGTTGCAAGTTCAACTAATGAGACGATCGCAGTGGTCCAAGCTCAGGAGGACGAACCAGATTTTACGCCTATCACGAAGGACTTCGGCTTTCTCCCAATCCCGAAGCATCTGCGCCATGACCCCAAGCATCCTGCATACTTCGGACTACTACTGAATGCAACGTTCGGTTTCGCAGGGACGTTCGGTGCGTTGTGAGAACTGCTCTTATTGCGCAATACCCGGTCTAATATTGCTTGTGCACGAAGTCCTAGCCAATTTGTACTATTGCCAGCCCCTGTTGAGTGAGTGTCGCGTTCTCTAATTCATGTTATGTCTGGCCATGCGTACCGGGATGCGGACCTCCGCGAGGACGCCAGGCTCCAGTGGCACTCGAGGCGATATTATGTGCGGCTAAGTCACCTCTGCTCGCCGAACCGGATGCCCTTCTGTTCCGTCTCAATGTGTTGCTCATGTGATTATCGCATGTTGAGTTCCCGCGCGCCCAATAGGCGCTACCTTAGCCGGAGTGATGGGGCGTGGATGCGAACGAAAAGACAAGGCGAAACATACAGCGACCATGTAGTGGTTCACCATAATAATGTCTCCAACGTTCTTCCCACAGGAGTACAACGGGCCTTTCATGACGTAATTGAACAGCTCATGCTGATGCATTGCTCCTTAGTACAGTTCTCTCACACGTTCAATGTTTCGTACGATACTGTCTCCAGGATTCCTACATTAGTGCAAGTGGGGTTAGTGGTTCATATCAATCCATTAACTGATTATAACAGAAACTGACGTCTGTTAATTGCAGCTATGCCGTCGGTCTCTTGCTCATCTCGACCTTGGGCGACCTTGTTCGTCGTCGGCCTCTTATCATCATGCTAGTCTTCATCTGCGCTTCTTTATCCATAGGACTCTCTTTCACCACCAATTTCGCCGTCTTCCAAGCACTCTGCTTTCTGACCGGCGTTTTCACTGTTGTCCCACAAATCCTTCTGCCACTCGCCGCAGACCTTGCGCCACCAGAGCGACGTGCGACCGCACTCTCTATCGTACTCTCTGGTCTCCTCTTGGGCATTCTCCTCGCGCGAGTTCTCGCGGGCGTGATTGCACAATTTGTCTCGTGGCGCGTCGTATACTACCTCGCATTCTCCGTGCAATATGTGGTGTGCGTATGGTTATATCTCGTGCTTCCAGACTATCCTGCGAAGAACAAGGGCGCAACGTACTTTGGTCTCCTATGGGGCATGGCCAAATTTGCCGTAACGGAACCTCAGCTTGTTCAGGCAGTCCTGATCAGTATTCCCTCTGCTGCATGCTATACCAACTTTTGGGTCAGTAATGTTCCCCGCCATTTGCACTGTGTGCCATTTTGAACCCATACTTCCAGGTCACGTTGACATTCTTGCTGGGCGGGCCACCCTATAACTACTCGACGTATGCTCCTCATTCTCTAGTAACGTCACCGTAGGGTTAACACTCACATGGGCAGGCTGGTGATCGGTCTGTTTGGCCTTGTGGGCATGGTCGGTGTCGGGCTTGCCCCTCCGCTCGGCCGCCTGATCGACTCCCTCGTTCCATGGTTCGCGTCCGTGATTGCATGTATCGCCTACATAATCACGCATGTGATCATGGTCGGTGCGGACGGTGTGAATGTGGCTGCGGTCGTAATCGTATGCATCGGCATCGATGTCTTCCGGCAGATGGTGCAGGTATCGCTTACCACTGCAGTATTTAGCCTCGACCCGGCCGCGCGTTCGCGCATGAACGCCATCATCCTCATCTCGGTATGTTGTACTCCAGTTTGGATAACTCGTGGTTTCCCAGTGTGGTGTGTTCTGATAAAATCATTCACGCAGCTGTTCATTGGACAAATTATGGGCACCGCAGTGGGCTCTGAGGTGTACACGCAGCATGGTTGGCGCCCAGCTGCTGCCCTGAACCTCGCATGGAGCGGCTTGATGCTTTTTGTGGTGCTTGCACGCGGGCCACATGTATCCAGGTACACGTGGGTCGGCTGGGAGGGTGGTTTAGAGGTGCGGAAGAGTAAAGTCACTGCGCAGAAAAGGCGTGATGAGGAGGCCGGCGCATCGGACATCCAGCAAGGGGGCGATGAGAAACATGCACTTGAGGAGAAGCAGAGTGTGCGTGAAGAGAAAGACGCTACTACGGTTGGTATGCAAGAGGTGAAGAGTTCTGAAACACGTGAGGGGGAGAAACAGGATGAAGATCAGCCTCCGATTGTCGAGGTAGCCACACACTCTGCGGAGTGACAAGGATAGACGACACTGAAAAGCGTACTTGCCAACACGCAACATAGATAGTACGTAGACTTAGTTTACCGCACTAGACAAATGATACCAGATGATTCAAGTGGACTATCAACGCGCATTCTTTCCCATGAACGCCAGTGATATCTAACACATTCCACGCGATTCAAAGCATAGCCGCATTACTCTCAGCGTGGGCCCGGCACCCCGTTCATCACAGCCGTAAGTAAGTATATATGTATATGTGCGGCTTCCCGCGAGCGCCGCAATGGTGTTACGCTGCCTTGCTGCAGAACGCCAAATCTACAGGGTGTTTAATTCATGGAACGTGGAACCGGAATCCGGAACGTTACACTCTTGTAGCGTGACTGCGCACCGCCACCTACCGCCACTCCTTCAGCTCGGCGGTTGAGTGACATCTGGGATCGTCCGCCACTCGACCGCGTGCTAAGCCCCCGCAATATGGCGGGTGAGTTCTCCAGAGACTGAAGCGAGCACATCTATGCACACGGCGTTAGTCCGTCACCAATACGCAGTGTGTCTCTTTCTCGTCCTAAGCTGCCAGCATCTCTGGCATGACCTAACCGACAGATTGAAAGAAAGATGCGTCGTTCGTCACGCCCAAAGCGTGAGGCTTTGACCCGCCGTGGCCACCTTTGGTCAATTGTCATTGTACAAGGTTCATCGATAGAAGATAGGTCACAGGGCCACAATGCAGGAGGCACTTCTTATATACGGCGGCATATGACAGCTGAGCATCCGAGTTGTCAAACCCTTACCTCTATCAGTCTTCGCCGTTCCGTCGCCTGCACCTGGGCGTCCACATCACGTCAGGACCTAAATACCGTGAAGAATGTCGGCCCATACCCCCGATACCGACAACAATCACACTTCCACACACCATGACGGAGGATCACGCGGTGGCCACCATGGTAGCGAACGTAGAAGACCTATCAGGGAACTGAGTGAAGGACTTCTTGCCCCGCCCATAAAGACCATAGATAAGCCAGAAGCCACAGGAGCGGACATTGTACTCAAGGATCTCACCTATCTTGGCTCGTACAACTGGACGGACGCAGAGAAACCGACAATCATTGTCCCAGGTGCGCTCTCCTATGCTTATCTTCTGATCCTCAACGCAGCTAACATGAAACGCTTGATAGGATCGCCGCCTATGTGGCGTGATAGACCGTTGCCATTCACAATCGTCCCAGACAAAGGGCTGCAGTTCGTCGACCAAAATGCGTTTCGGATGCCCTCCTCTCCACTATATCCACTGTTCCGCGCAGTTGATGTAGTCGCAGAGGAGAACGGAGGGAGCGTTGATTGGCCGGAGGTCGACTTTGTCACTGACCGAAATGGACTGCGCAAGCTGCTGAGGTGGATCACCAACAAAGCGGAGCCGTTCAGGATTGACATGCGGCTCGCGGGCAGACGAACGATCCTGCTCTCGAGGTGGGAGAAGCGCGCGCGCGTATGGACGAATGGTTCAGGATACGGATATCAATTCGAGGAGGAAACTACTAGGAAGGCGCCGGGCTGCGAGAAAGGCACCGGTCATCATCGTATAGTGAAATATGTGAGAGGATCTGATGAGTATACCACACTTCGTGCTTACATTCCGCACATAGGATTTCGGTGGATTGATCATCGTTGTGCGCTTTGAGGTAGACGCCTGCATCTCGGAGAGCACTTCTTCTCACACGGCCACAGCTTCTGATGTCGACAGTCTAACGCAGACGCTCTCGGGTATGAGTGTTGGCACCGCCGCTTCGACTACTTCGACCGAGCTCGATGTCACCAACGCTGGCCAGCAGGTGCCCCACACCTCCATCATCGAGGTGGCCACGCGGTCGGCAGGTCGCCCGAACAACTGGCGCGACAAGCATGCACAGATGTACTTTTCGCAGACGCCGCACCATTATCTGGCCACGCACCGGGATGGAGAATTCTACGAAATTACGAAGCACCAACTCGACAGTGAAGAGATGAAGCTATTGCAGGTGAAAGCGCAGGACGGACTCAGTCAGTTGAGAGCGCTGCTGGAGACAATTCAAGATCTTCTGGTTGAGCACGGCTCGACGACGATGTTGAGCCTCGTCTACCAAGACAAGAAATTGGAGGTATTCAAGAGAAACGACGAGCAGAGCATCATACCTGACGATGTTCTTGCACGATTCAATGCATAGAGACTAGTAGCCTTTGTATCGGGCAAGAAGCTGCCACGCCCCTAGAACATGAATATACACTATCCTGTACCTATCAAATTATGCTCCCGATTGAAATGCAGACCGATTTGCTCACCATTCTCTGTCACGTTATCGCTCGAATTCTCATCACTTAGACGCACGGCTGCCCTCGTCCTCTGGCTTTATGGACTTCTCTCCCATGCGGCCTAATATCTACGCGAAGACAGAAAGACGCATAGGTGCGCTCCACAGTCGCTTCATTGCCTTCCAGAACAGAATAAATGTCGCCGAAAACAAGCGACTTTTCAAGTTCGCTGTTACCGAAGCGCTCAAATGTGGCTGAAGGTCGCAGAAACGGCTGCTCATCAGGAAAACCCCCAGGCTCCTTCCCGCCGCTGTGGGAGTTATAGGGGACTTCATCCGAATAGCGTACTCAATGTTTTATCTTGTCCGAGAATAGAAGTCTTGCCACAGATCATGTGCCATTACATCACGTGCATATCATGTGACATCCCATTTGAACCTTAATCCCCTATAACTCCCTACAGCGGCTGGCACAAAACATCTACAAACAGCGGAGAACCGGCGCCGCACCTCCCATATGGGGCAGGATTGAGTCCCGGAAATGATAATAGACATCAAAACATTTCAATCTCGTCAATTGAGGTCATCGCAACCCCATGAGTGAATGTAACAACGATGCGCAGAAAGCCCATTGTTCGCAACACTTTGCATCTTGGAAGCCACATTATCAGTGCGAAAGTCGAGAACCTGGATCGCAGATGCATGGAGAGTGCTGAACTTGAAGTGCCAGCCAGGCCAAGGATGGGTTATTCAACGAAGGGGTGTTGCATGAGGCCTTTACCAGTCAGAAGGACAAAAATTACCCTCGACAGGGATGCGCACATCTGTGTCAAAGCCAGGTATAAATTTTCTATCAGAGGGGTGAAAGCCATGGTCACAAGGTTGCACCGAGGACGACGAGACGTGATGCTGGGACACATAAACGCTACTGTAATACACGGGACCGTGATGATTATGTAATGATAGGCCAGTATCCTGCCTTCCTAATCTAGGTGACATGCGCCGGTCCCCCGCTGCTTGTAGATGTTTTGTGCCAGCCGCTGTAGGGAGTTATGGGGGTTTAAGGTTGGGATTCGGAGTTTGATCTTGCCTCGGATGTAGCCGGATTGTGGCGCAAGTGTGGCGGATGGGTTTGCAGGACTTAGCTTGCGTCAAGTTTGTCGAATTGAGCCCCTATAACTCCCACAGAGGCGGGAAGGAGCCTGGAAAACCCCACACTCAGTCTCTGAAATTAAGTCAAGTAAGGAAAGTAAGCTGAAAATGGCCTTAGCTCCTGAAGTTCAAAATATAAGTAGGTCATTGGCGCTTATCTTGGTCGCTTGTTTCTCGCTTTCAGCGACATTTACGCGGCAACTTTGAATCGACCTATGTCAGCGGCAACTTCGAGCGCACCTACTTCTGTGTGTCTCCCCAATATGTGAGTCGATAGGCCAACAATGCGGTAGGCTTCGTTCCCTCATGTGAACCGGACCGCGCCGTCCTTGTCTCGGGAGTAAGTGATGCGTTCTGCTAGCAGCAGGCATGGATCTTGAATCATGAACCAGGCATACCAAGATTGCACGGGACATGTTTGTCTTTCAGCACAAGCACTAGCGTTTCAATAAAGTATGTGGCGAGTCAGCTTTGCGTCCTTATATTCAAACAGCGCACGTAGGATGTTTGGCATCCAGGCCATTGGGGCACTAGACGATTGCGAAACCGATCGCGAGGCTAACAGCGTCAGCCGCAGACGAGGCTGACATTGCTGACACTGGAGGCGAACATCGGGCAACTTCAAGATCAGGCCTATTTAAACCCCTCCGACACTCTCGTCTCTCCATCGAAACAACCACAATGCTCACTCTCTACATTCTCACTCTCGCACGCCGCATCTTGCTGGACAACCTCCAGCATATGCTCCGCGCTACTCTGCTACTCAACTCTCTTCTCTCTGGCTCCAAGCCCGGGGGCCAAGAGCTGCTGCTGCCTACACCGACGACCAACGATGGCATCGACCTCGACCCGACACCGACGCGTGTTGTGGTTGTGACCGCCGACACCACGCTCATCGCTGTCATCTGTTGGGTTGTGTGCGTCGTCGCTACCTTCGGTCTGTCTGTCGGCTGGCTGCTCTGGCACCCCTATGCGCCTGGCTTGGGCAACGGCAAGGTATGTGCCCGCTCAATGCTATATCCTAACCTAAGCTGATCAGACATCAGCATGTGGTCGCAAGTCTCGGTGCTGTGTGCTCGTCTGCAACTGGAAGGATGTCGGACCCTCCACGGTGGGAGGCTGACATAAAGTCGAGGAAGAAGGTCAAGATGCGCCCTCGGCCTGTGTCCGGGCGTCGTCAACGTCGTGTACGCCTCATGGAGCGGTCGAAGCAGTGTAGTCCTCGCAAGTCTCAGGCCAATGCTGAGTCTGCCTGGTCGCTCGGGTCTTTGCCAGTCATCAAGCTGCTCACTTGGTACTCTCCTGCTGCTGTCGACGAGTCTTCTCTGCCTGCTGCGCCTAGTGTCGAGGAGGTCAAGGCCGACGACGTGGGCTTCTACTTCTCGTCAGCCGACATTGGGTTGCTTGACGCCTTCGTCCGCGAGCGCTATGTCCTCGCCTGGAAGCTCGTCTACGTGTCGCTCGGGGACGCCTCTGCCACGCTGATCCTGCGCATGCTGTTCACGCACGAGGGCGCGCACCCGGACGACGCACCGACCGACTGTGCTGTCTTCCTCCCGCTCGTCGCTGCGCACGACCAGGAAGCACTGTTCAAGGTGTGGCTTGGCGATCACTTTGTCGGCGTGGGCCAGCCTGGGCAGATGGTGTGGAGCGAGTACCAGGTGTATGCTCGGAGCGTTGGACTGCAGCTCTGGAATCACCTGTGGGACTGGGAAGTGTCGGCCACGCTGGACGCCATCGACGCTGCGCTCGCTGGGCAGGATGGACCTTGTGCTGAGGCGGAAGTTGGCGTTGACGACTCCGGCTTTGAGGACGAGCATTACGGATACCACGGCGAGGACGAGGCGGACAACGCCTGGGACGACGGCGAAGACACGGACGGCTACTACCCTGACGGCGAGGTGGCCTATGAGCAGCAGCCCAGTGGCCAGGGTTCGGCCTACGATGCGCTGCTCGCTGCCCTCGACGATGCGATTGCTATGCATGACGGTGCAGGCACCGACATGCAGCATGGCGTTGACGATGGTGGCTATGAGGACGAAGCGCAAGGATGCTACGAGGAGGACGAGGCTTATCGCTCCTGGAATGGCTCGTACTACGACGCCGACGCGACATACGGTCCTTGCTATGGCGAAGACGCGTAGCGGCTGGGCGCGAGACAAGAACTGAAGGTTGCAATTTCCCACGACGAAGGCAAATGCTAGTGACTGCGAACGATATACACGCTCGTTCTACGAAGAGGAAGGTGAGCGCGCTGGCTGATTGTTCCGAAACATGGTCCCTGATCCTTTGTCTTCCAGGTGCGACGTGATGACGGGGCGGCTGGTATTGAGGATGAACATATGGCGAGAGAACGTGACAGGGTTCTGGGTATCTCGGTATCTTTGTGTGAGGATAGGAAATGCAATTCCGATGTCAGCTAGAAACTTTGTTACAGCGTGCCCAAACAAAAAAAGCAGAGATAAACTATCATGCGAAACCGGTATGAGAAGTGGGATCATTCGTTCGCAGGATCCGTGCCTATCAATCGTCCATTTCCACAGCCCCAACAAGCCTCCAGGAGTGCCGACTCAGAAGCCACCCTTGCCTCGTACCCGGGCAATGCTGCCTTGTAGACCTTTGAAAAGTCCTGTGATGCCGCTGGTGACGCCGGTCGAATCTGTGAGCTCGACACCTTGCGCATCGCGCCACACGCCGTCATGTCCAACACGGTGCAAGTGCGTATTCTGCACATGGTGGATTGCGTCCAGCCATTCTCGGCAGATTTGGGGGCTGTCAATCATAACGTTCACCTCTTGGCTGTGAAACCACGACTGGACGTCTGACATGCGTGATCTAATCAGCAGTATGTCCCCGAATAAAACGGCCCTGCATACCCATATTCCCGTTCCCAACGATTCCCAGCGCTTCGTCCACAATCATCAGCTTGACCTGTCCATATCTTCAGCATGTGGGATCAATCGTCTCGAGAACGTATACATACGTGACAATTCCGTTGCTGAAGGTGAGCATTAATCGGCTTGACCTGATCCCGCGCTGTGCAGAAGACAGTCAGCGTCCCGCACCTAGACCGTGATGGCCGCACTGACCCGTGTACCAGTGAAACTTCAGCCTGTCCTTCTCGTCCTCTGTCATCTGCGCATAGATCTTCCTCACCACTTCCTCGTTTGTCCCACCCTGAAGCGGCAGCGCTTCGCCCCCGTCGTTAAATCCGACGTCCACGTACAGGATGCACTCCACGCCGCGCCGCACCGCGCCCAGCACGCCCTCGACGACCGGGCCCGCGCTGAACGTCGGGGTCTGGATGAACACCTGGCGCTTTGCGTGCCTGAGTGCTGCGAGCCACGCCGAGTCCTGCGGATTCAGCAGCGCGCGCTCGTCGTTGTTCGGCTTCCCGTACGGCGGGCGGTTCACAAGCGCCATTGGCACCTCAGCGTGCGGTGCATGTAGGACGTGCGGCGTATATTCCTCATCCTTCGTCGGATCGTACGGAACGGTGGCCTGCGTAGTCTGGTCGCCCGCATCTGCGCGCTTCGTGAGTATGTACGTGCAAGCTGAAGTGCGCAGACGTACTGATGTGGTCCGTGATGGACTGATACCGGCCTGAGATGAAAGGGTGCTCGCCTTCCTTCCCGCCCACTGTGTTTTTCTCCAGCTCGCTTGCATCCTTGTCCATGGCCTCCTTGCCTTCGGCGCGTAGACTCTTGCATAGCTCTTCACCACGTTTGCCGTCGAGCAGATGCGTCGATGCGTACTCGTTCTCCATTCCGAAGCGATAGCCCTCACTGGGCACTGAGTATGGCTTTGAAAGGAGCGGTAGCGGAGGATGCATCGCTTTGTACCACGATATGAGTGCTGTGTCGTACATGCTATCCACGATGGGTCCTTCCAGATGAATCATCATCTCCACGTTAGGCCGATCCTGGATGTTGTTCGAGCACAATAGGGCCATCTTGCGGTCGACGATCATGAATTTGCTGTGGAATGTCCCAAGTACCGGCCTGCACGATCTGTTCAGCAAAACAAGAATCAACGGATTGAAGAAATATCCACGCACTGATGGAAGTTCACGAGCTCGAAATCCACCCAAGGCATCTCACTCCGCTGCGGGAGCTTCACCTCATCTTTGGTCCATTCGTCTTCGTCGACGTAGATGTGGCTCTCCGTGAGCATCTTCAGATTGGCGCGATCATACATGAGCTTCACGACGACTCTCTTTCCGCGCTGCTCTGCACGACGAGAGAGCTCGATGAGCGCATCGTTGATCTTCGTCGCGGACTTGGATGACTGCCAAAAATTGGTCGCAAGGAAAACCTCGTGCTCTGCCTTCACGATGCAGTCGTAATGATGCTGGATAATGTCGGGTATACTGGGGAAGCAGTGATAGTTAGCGCACAATTCATTCATGGGGAAAGTTAGAAGGACCATTGTGGCGGAGAAGGTATGTCAAGCATGCATATATGCGTCTGCGCGAGGGAATCTGCCATAGAAACTTAGGCATAGGCACAAGATACTCACACAGAAATGATTGACAGAGTGACAACTCCGCGCGAGCCAAGAAGAGGTGGAGAAATGGCACCTGCCCATGGATCAACGTCCAAGGTTTTGAGGACATCGTAATAGACCTGAAAATCAGGAGGTCAGTGGTCGCCGTTGGTTGATCATGAACAATATAGAACTCGAATAAATGGAAATAAACACGCGCGACAGTAGCTAATATACTCAGCGCATACACGCACTGCACAACCGAGCGCGCGAGAGTGTTAGTGAGTGTGGTATCGCCTAAGTACGTGCAAATAGGCTCGGCCCGACGCCCATTGCCAAGATCACGACTGTAGAAGGACGACCAATCATGTCTTCGTCTTCAAGTTCATTTATAACTGAGGGATTCAGGACGAAGCATGTACACGTTGGACAACCTAATGCGCCGTAAAAACTAACACGCAACATCACAAAGTGCTTTCGTGCGACCCACAAAGCCCGTAGTGGTCACAGATAGACCATGTCGTTCATACGCACAGGAGAACTGGGGGAAAGAACTGGGTCAATCATTCTCGAAGCGTGATTCAAGTTGTCCAGCGTACAACACACTATACGTGTTAACGCGACGCCCCGCACTTGCTCGCTTCGCATGTGTTGGTTCATGCTACCGCCAGTATTCATATGGGCGCACAATGCACCAAGCGCAGCCCAAAAAAGAGTAATACCGGATATGAAAAGACTCACCTTCAGAAAGAGGTCAGTCGGCCTTGTTCCAAACTGACCACACTCTGCTGCTCTGTCCAGATCTTCCGGTGTCGGATCATCCTCACGCACGGCTTCCTTGGCTTCGTCTGGAGCATGGCCGGTCTTGAGCATGTCGCGTATTGTCGCAGTGATACCACCTGTGGCATTGGGCTTGTGTATGCCATGGTGATGTTCAGCGTAAAGCGTCTTGCCGAGTTCGCCAGGAGACGAGTCGGGCGAGGTAGCAAAGGCGGCGGTGAGAGTCTTGTCAGAGTGAGTGAGGTTGTAAACGCGTTCAGAAGTCATGGTTGAGGTTCAATTGGTTTCCGTCTCCCCGGGGTGCTGCTGCATATACATACGCCCCACTATGAGCCATGACGCGACGACTGCGCCTGCAGCTCCACTTGCCCAGATGAGGACATGGCGAATACTAGGCTCGATTGCTGCGTGTGATGTTTTTGTTTCCAGATCGTGTATAGAGCACGCCGTTGTAGGCTCTTGAGTTGAACGATGCACCCGAATGACAAGACGAGCGGAATATACAGGTGAGCTGGCTGGGACGGTAAATAGGAAATGCACTCGATCAGGACTGATCGATCAAACGGATCAACGCTTTGCCAACGCACTTGCGTTTATTACTCATTACTCAAATATGTAACACCAATCCATGCTTAGCCACAACCCACGAGTCTAAGAAAAAGCAACGACGCAATAATATATAATTTTCCGCGCGATTGAAGACGAAGCATATCCTGGCAGGGGTCATGAAGCAGGTCAACCGAGTGGGAAGAAAAAAGAATGCAGCGCTTTTCACATGAGAACGTGTTGGTAACGAAGTAAGCATAATGGGTATCAGCATTGGCTTCAAAGCATCATTGGAGCGTAGGCTTTTTGTACAACCCAACCTTAAGTGGAAGCTGAGCCACGTTGCTATCCTTGCCAACCGTAGGGTATCGGACTCCAGATATGTTCCATTCGATGGGCTTATCGGTCAACTCGAAGGTGAAGTTCGAAAGTAAAACGGCGAGAACGACCTCTGAACAGGTAAAGGTGTTCAGGATTAGAACCTTGGATGACGCGGATGAGTTAACTTACTCATTTCCATTTCGGAGAACTTGAATCCGCTGCCAACGGAAATAGAGTTAGTGTATCCTTGCGAAAACTACCACGGATCAGATCCGGACGCACATGCAAGCTCGTCTTCCTGCCATGAATGTCATCCTGCAGACAGGGCAATAGGGTCAGAGGCTACCCGCTCGGCGCATAGCCAAAAACTCACAGATTAGAGTACACCCCTGGGACGGGGTTTTCTGTCACTGTCTTCGGAAGCGGCGAGAGCCAGCGTTCCGGCTTCCACTCATAAGAGTCTTCACCCCAGCGCTCCTTGCGCCCGTTGCTGCCCTGTATACCAATGAGGATTTCCGTGCCTCTTGGGACCAGAATCTCGCGCATGACGGTGCCGTCGGTGCCGACGATGGGTTCGGACAAAGGAAGGATTGTATCTTGAGTCGGTCTTATTGGAAACACTGTCAATACGAAGCCCACAACAGAAATGCAATGAAGACGTACGTGCGCGCCAGATTGGTGACACCGGGGAAACTATCAGACAGTGGCCGTCAGAGCTGAATATACAGATGTAGACGCTAACGAACTCACACTCGCAGAGTCTCTCTGCATACCCCATCTAGTAGAGGGAGAGCGTCCAGATCGTCATACGCCATGTACTCTTCAGCATTCGCAGCCAGAATTTCTTCGCGCAACTTCTGCTGTGTGTCTGGATGGATGGCGAGTTGCTGCAGAATGCGAGCCAGCGTGTTCGACGTGGTGTCAGTAGCCGCGAAAAGGAACGTTCTGTGTAGACAGTGAGCTTATGCCACGATGACGTTGGCAGTACAAAGAACACTTACGACATCTGAGCCACAAGCTCCTCCTCTGGGATCCTGTCAGCCTCGGAAGCCATAGAATTGGCTTTCACTGCGCCACGAATTAGTCTTATCAAACCAAGAGCGCATGCGTCACTCATACTCAAGATGCTCATGATATCTTTCCCTTCTCCTACTTGCTTCATAACCGCCTCATCGCCGCGTGCCAGAGCGATTTTCTTCGACGTGAAGATCTCCGAAGAGCAGCGTTGCATCGTGTCCACGATCTCTTTGGCGTCCCGCACCTGTCCAAGTGGGAAGTAATGCATGACCATGCGCCGGAACCACGCTGGTCCCAGCTTGTAGACATATGGGACCAGCCGTCTAAGGACATTGATGCGTTGCAAGGTTGGCCTGCGGCGTGCCATGATTAGTATCGGAAGCAAGTCCATGATGGTACGGATTGTGATCATACGCACTGAAGGTGTTTCATGGCACGGCCGTACTCGTTGTCGCCGTCCTCGACCAATTTATCAAACGAATAGCCCAAGCCACCTTGGCCAATAAGCTCCAGGGCAGTCCGGCCCATCCATTTAAGCATGTCGATCTCTTGGGGACCGTCTGAGACGCGCATTGTTATCGCATCGCGGACCTGGAAACCCAAATCAAGGATGCGTTTACAATGACAAATAAATCAAGCAACACCGCATTTACTAACCTTGTGTAAAACGCCATAGAATATCGGGAGCATATGACGCATATGCTTGATCGAGAATACTGGGTTCAGCAGTTTCCTTTGTTTGCGATGCTTCTCGCCTGTCAGTGTAATCCGACCGTAAATGACCATACGGCAATGAAACGACGGGAGCTTACCAGCAGTTGCTAGTAGACCCGGACCAAAGAGCAAATATGTCATGCTAAAAGGAAATTCGCAAGCAAGCCGAGTAACACATATTGTAAACTTACGCGAAGAACGCCTTAGTTTCTTGATAGACTTGTTCTTCCTTGACAAGGATAGTCTGCAGCGCTTTAGGGTCAGCAACGTACAAAATGGGCCGCTGTGACGTTACAAGAAACGTCAGTAAATTCTTGCAGTCAGACGTTTAAGATTGACACTTGCCCCAAGGAAGCCATGGATTTTCGCGACGGGTCCATAGTTGAAAGAAACATCCCGTTGGAAGTCTGCACCGTCACGCGCAAACCATTGCTTCAAGTTACCTAGGAAGATTTAAGCGTTATAAGTCATCTGGAGCCAACAGATACGATAACAGAATCACCTGTCCACTGGGATTGAGGCGGTGGACCTGGGATATTACGCAAAGTCGAGCGTGACGACCATCGGCGCAGTAGGAACAGTAGAACCGCGACGGCCCCGGCGATGCCCAACTGGGTCGGGATATTGTCGGTGCTCATGGGTGAAGACAAGAGCGGTAGATGAAAGTGAGACTTGGTCGGCGTCGTATCTTATATGAAAGAACGAGTCCGCGGGCCGCGTATGGTATAATATACATGGATGCTATTTCGTCGAATGAATTACGTGGCCATGACAGTTCAAAAACAGGGCAACGGCAGGTCATGGTTCCCAAGTCCCAGTCCCATGAGGCGACGACCCGTGACGCAGCCAGGGAACCCAATTGGGAGATTGACATGTACTATCAGATACGGGGTTTTGCAAAACCCATCAATTTTGCAGAACTGCGTGATCTCCACCGCACACCATGAAAATTATAATTTTAATCATTGTATATGCTAGTAGGCACTTAGTATACGCCATGTGCAAGACCGATTGAGAAGAAATGAAGGTGAAGTGAAATGACGGCCTGCAGACTGTTCTTGAGGTGTTCTGCAAACATGTGATGAGCGAGATCCAGAGACAATCATTATATTTCTTGACGATAAGACATTTGATCCGTTATATTACAGCTTTGAATGTTCTGGTACACCAGCCCGATTCACCCAGCAAGACATGGCTGGTGGGCGATGGTTGTTCTGGTTGAGCAAGCGTGACACTCGCCACTGTCAGCGTGATACGTTCACACTCCGCGGTCGATCATGGCACGATGCGGCAGCGCACTTTGCAGTCCTGCAACATCTGCCGAGCGGAGTTCAAATCTGCCGCTGTGGCCCAGGCGTGATAGAATTTGCAGAACTACTGCAATGCAAGGCTTCGAATGTGGCATCTCGCTACCACTGGGTGTCCTTCGTGTATGGACCCCAGCTTCATTCTGGGTACTCTTCCATGTATTTACAACAATGCCTGAGTAAAATAACAACGATCCTTGTGGTGGTTCAAGCAGAGCGAAGGGAACAATGCGTGAGTTTGCAAAACCCCGTATTCTGATAGTACTTTCCAAGGCAACTACCCGAAATTCGGCAAGCCTGTCTTAGGCCTGCGATCCGGGGAGTTGTGTCTCCGTGGGGTGAGCAGTGTTGACAAGGCGCCGATAGCAGCGGATTCAGAAGCTCGTGTTCGCGAGTATATATATAGTTCCGTAAGCGGATAATTGTCAACAGATGGAGCTCTCCCACACTGAGCTTCTTCGTGGCGTCTCGACTCACCGAACGGTGCTGGCCAGGGAACCACGAGGATTGCTGCAATATTGTGACTCTGCAATAACTAAGCACTTCACTGCTATCAAAATGACGTGGAGTGCTACATTCTTATATGCCCGCCTTCTCCTTCAACTTGAATGAGAGTAAACGGACGACTCCTTGAAGAGTCCGCCTCTCGAGTGATCTGAAAGCAAAGTCCTGCCCGAGAAGTTAGAACGCGATGGCACTCAAGCGGAGCCAGAAATGAACCTGTTGCAACTGATCGCCATGGAGCCTGGTAAGAATTCAGCCTCCGGCCCTGCGAGCGGACCTTCAAGACGGCACCGAAGTTGCATTGATGTAACAAAGTGTTACCTAAGGCTAATCTAATCGGCCACTGACATGTAACATCCAGGTCACACTCACGCAACGTCAATGCTGCCACGCACTGTCAGCTGCCTCGCCCAGAATCATATTGCTGTACTTAGGCTCTGTGCTAAGCTTTGAGCTCGTTACAAGAACAGATTCGATGGCAAGTAATGGCTTTTTGAGATGTCGCTGTCGTTCTACGCACAGGTAGCCACTTGTCCATTCCTTCGCAAAGGGACAATGAAGGCTATGCACTGTCATGTTATATTAAGTGCTTCAAACAAAGCAATCAACAGTGAGTACGTGAGTCCAGTCTCTGATTGAAGCCAGCCTCTTTGGATTTGGAGTCATGTGTCTTGATGCACCTGGGTCCTTCTATCTTATCTAGAGTTCTTACCACGAAGTAGGTTGATGCTCAGTATCACGAGTACAGGTAACCTTCGTTTCAACCGGAGCTAGTCCAGAGGATAATGTTCGCCAATATGAAATACGGCATGTATAACTCTTCGTCTACTAGTCCCACTTGCAGCTGAACTTCCCGCCTCCCTCCCCGCGTATACTTTGGTCCCCTTGCAATATGTCGTCGAGTGAGCCTAATCGCGACGGGTGTCATTCAAGTCCTGGAAGGCAGCGAGGCATACCACGCGGTAGATCGCGCGGCCGCTGCTCGCGTGGTGGGCCCCGTGGTATGCCGCGCGGTGGGTACATCAAGGACCTGCACGGAGGATACGCAGGAGGCGCATACACCGGAGGATCTCTCCCACCAGACAGGATCATCACCGACGGACTCGCCGGCAGGCCCATCAAGACATTATGCAAACCAGAGCCAGAAAGCGCCGGGGCAGATGTCGTGCTCAAGGACCTCACATATCTTGGCTCGTACAATTGGACAAACTCGAAGAAGCCCACGATCATCGTTCCAGGTGCATATTGCTTGATATTGTAGCTCCAAGAGATGCTAACGCCGAGGGCATGACAGGTTCGCCCTCGATATGGCACGACAGGTCATTGCCGTTTACAGCCCCTCCAGACAGAGGATTCAGGTTCATCGATCAAAGCGGGTATCGCATGCCATCCTGCATGCTTTACCCGTTGTTTCGCGCGGTCGACATAGTCGCGGAGGAGAACGAGACAGACATCGACTGGCTAGATGTGGACTTCGTTACCGATCGTAACGGGCTGCGCAAGCTGCTCCGGTGGATTCATGCTGATCGGGAAGAGTTCAGGATCGACACGCAGCTTGCCGGTCGGCGCACGGTCCTGTTGAGCAGATGGGAGAAACGAACGCAGGAGATGGTGGCCGGTCCTTACCTCCAGTTCGGGACCAGCTTCGAGAACGAAACCACTCGGAAGGCACCGGGTTGCGAAAAGAGCACCGGTCATCACAGAATAGTAAAATATGTGGGTGCACTCTCATTTATTTGCAAGGACGGTTAGCTGAAATCTAGGTAGGACTTCGGCGGTCTTATAATGGTAGTCCGCTTCGAAGTGGATGCCTGTCTTCCGACAGAATGCGATACGTCTTCAACCGCTCCATCTTCCGACGTAGATGGCTTGACAGATATGTTCTCTGGGATGGATGTAGGATCACTCGTCCAGCCTGTGTTCATCGATAGCGAGGCATCCACCACGGAGCTTGACGTTATCAGCGCAGGCCAGCAGATCCCCCAGGACGCGATCATTGAGATGACCACGCGCTGGAAGGCGGGGGCGGGCCGATTTAACTGGAAGGAGTCGTATCCTCAGTTGTACCTCTCGCAGACACCCCACCACTACCTCGCCATGCATGATTCTGGCGAATTCTACGAAATCACGAAGCGCCGCCTCGACTGCGCGGAGATGAAGGAGGTCGACGGCAAGACTCAGACAAAGTTCAGGCAACTGAGACAGATACTAGGCACGATACAGGAGCTGCTCATTGAACACGGTCAGAGCACGAGCTTGAGTCTCGTATATAAAAATGGAGAGCTGCTGGTGTTCAAGCGAAGCATGCAGGAGAGCCTCATTCCCGATGAGCTTTTCACACGTTTTAATCAGTAAACTCTGTCGAGTGTGGTTACTAACCCTCCTCATGGTGCGAGCAATCTGCCATATAGTCTGAGTGTGCTAAATCAGGTGCTATGTAGGGCGGTCTCCAGTTTGCCAAGGTTCTCTGGCCATATTCTCTTGATCGCATAGCTTACGGGCAACTTCAGACCCAACCAATGTTGACGTACTTGTCTCTGTCAGAAGTACAGTAGATCACAAACCTACGTATGGTATTTACATCGTCCGTTCTGTACTTGATGATCCCGTTCTGTACTCGATTCCTTACGTGTTTGTTGGCTACAGACTGAACCAGACACAAATTTGTTTTTATTGTCTCCAGTCTCGATCCCTGCACGGAATCTAACGCTCTCAATGGCACAAACAAATATTAAATCCAGTAATATGCATCATGACTATCACGATGCTTGAATAACCACAATAATGCGTAAGTGACGGTCAGTATCATGCTTCGAGCATGCCAACAGAGGAATTCATGTATGAGAACCTCATGGTCGACTTCGAAGGAATAAACAAGCTGCAGAAGCTGATGTAGGCAAGGCCCTCCACCATTTCTACCTGCTGTATATGACTTGTTCAGTGTCTTGATGTGTCTAGCGATGAGCCTGTGCGTGACTGCGTTTCAGGTGGGGGATGCCCCGGCGTATGATCTTACACGGAATCCACGCCGCGGCTCACCCCGCGAAACGCTTTCTCGCGACACATAGTGTGAATACTAGCAGCCACTACAGCTTATGATCTCGCAGGACATACTGTAGAGTTCGAAGGGGTCATGAAGCTGGTGTAAGCTGCATATACTACCATCAAATGACAACTCTCATACATTGCTTCATCTTTCCTTGCAGTGTCAGATAGAAGGTTCCTTGGACCTACAACTTAGGGCCGTCCTGCCGGCATTTCATCGACGGCCTTAATCAGGAGGTCAGTAAAGGTACCAAGATAGCATGGTAGACAATTCTGGTTTGGACCGAGCGGCATATACCGTCAGCGGCTGCCTAGTCAAAGGTGTAACAGGTGTCGCAGCTCCTTCGTTCTGCAGTGGTTTCGGCTACCAGCCTTGAGTCTATGGGACTCACAAGAAGAGGCACGTACTCACATGCCCTTGATACTTCCACATTAACTCTCCACAAGGAGCTCGGCAGTCAAGGTGCGTTCGATCGAAATCTTATCAATTTTCTGGACAAAGGGCACGCACCCGGCCAGCTAAGCATATGATGTGTAATGTGTAATAAATATATGCAACGAGCGCGGGCACCGGCACGTCATACGCGACAATTATCCAGGTTGAAGATCAGAATGTCCTCCGCACCGATCTTCACCAGCTCGTCCATAACGTTCGCAACACGGCTCTTTTCCACCATACTGCTTACCGCCACCCACGCCTCATCCTCAAGCGGGCTGATCGTCGGCGCGCGCCGTCCCGGCGTGATGGTCGTCGCGTCGTGTAATCGTACGCGTAGAATGTTGTACTCGCACACAACGTAGCGCCCTGCTGCGACGACGCCGGCAATTCGGCTTGTAATCAGTTTGATGACGGGCTCCAGTGCTTGGTGTTTCGGCGTGCTGGACTTGATCAGCACCGCCTCGGACTGGAGCAGCGTAGCGATAGCGTGCAGACCTGCTGCTCGCATCGTGTCGCCAGACTCTGCAAGGAGTCAGAGGAGAAGAGGAGGAACGAGAGGCAGCGTCTCTCACCGACTAGGTCAACTGTGGGCCCGGTCATCAGGGTCAAGGCGGACAGAAACAAAGGCTAGTCACACACCAATCCCGTCTGCAAGTCCAAGCGCACATGCCGCCTCCACGCTGCCACCCACGTACTCGATTTTCGTTTTTTGCTCGCCCGCCAGGTTGAGCTGATCATCAATTTTGTTGAAGTACTTCCCGGAAAGCACTTCAAAGCTCGTGACGACGCGCTTGCCCGCAAGCTGCTCGACGGTCTGGACTGGGCCTGCCTCGGGAACCTGCACCTGCAGGGCGCATTTACCGAAATTGAGCTTCAGGACTTCGGTAACATGCTCCTGCATCTGCGCTTCGAGGATGACGTCTTGGCCAGTGATGCCGAGGTCGACATTACCCTTGCCGACGAAAGATGGGATGTCGGACGCGGGTAGGAACACACTGTACTGTGTGAGCCCCTATATAGAGTGGAAAAATTCCTGCACTCACAGGGCGATCGGGTGGTTCTTGACTAGGCAGACATCTAGCCGGTGGTGTCTCCGGAATTGTATATCCGCACCTATTGAAGATGTTGTAAGGGTTCATAAGACTGAAACAGCTGCATGAATGCGCACCTGCAAGGAGCTCAAGACACTTCTCATGCAAGCGGCCTAGGAGATCGAGTAAGTAGCTCGATCAGAGAATCTGGGCGGATCTGAGACCTTTCTTCGGGATGGCGAACAATAATCGACCGTTGAGTGAGTCCGCGTCTTGAGTGTCTTTCAGTGCGTGCATAGTGGATGTAGTTGAGAACACTCACTCATGCTGGCGATGCTGGCGGAAATATCTCCGAGAGGGCTATGCGCAGTGAGCGGCCGGGGCAAGTTGTTTGATGTTTCGGGCTGAGGAAAGTTACAGCGTCGAGTCAAGATCAGATCAGTCCTTGTAATCTTATCTAATCTCCAGCTGCGAGCTTGACTCACTCAATGTGTATCTTCTCCGCGTTGATTGGCTACGCATCTCCACGATACAGTATGCTTACACAGAATTTGGTAGCCTCAGTAAATGCACGCTGAGGCGCATACGCAAGGCTTCCGGAAGATCTTCATTTTAAAGGCACAAATGAAGATGAAGGAAGGATGTTGAGGTTTTTCGGTACTTGAATCAAACGACCACTGGTGCATGGCCCAAAATGGCAACCAGAGGCTTTGGATCCTAACAGTGACAAACAACCGCCGAACATTCCGCCACACAGAAAGCTGGTCCTGGTCCGCTCGACGCATACATGGCCCCCGACGTACTTTGCATCTATGATGTCTGGACGTGGTGGCATTTAATAACTCATAACCTCACTGAGCGTACTTCGCGATAGGTTGCCAATCTGCGCAATAGTATAACCTGCCACTGAAGCCCGAATGCACCATAAAACCTCCTTCGTGCTGCTGGACTTTCAGAGCGGAATACCTTTGCTCACAACGCATCATTTGACGGTCGTCGCCAAGAAAAGCTTCTCATGTGGCGCTATTACTGAGTTCAGGTCTACTGATCAGACGTAATCAGGTGGTATAGCGTACTGATGCCCATTTCTGACTTATTCAAGGGTCAAAATGTTCAGGTCCCCTGCTATCTTGGAATGAAATTATTGCCGTGGATGACAGGGCTTTGGCCAGCGTATCTAGTAGTCCATCAGTATGCACGTCATAATCCTTCTGCGACTGACAATGTTTGTATCTCAACTATCTCAACTTACTCTCAGTCTCCATATTGGAACTTTAACTGATAAAGATACCTAGGACGACGAAAAAGGCTGACAATACTTCTATTTGGCTTAGGAACACTCGGAGACGTGGCGTTCTAGCTCACATCAGGCCAGCTGCCGAGTATTCATCGGTTCACAGAGGTATTACTTCCAATACTTCTAATTTGGGATCACACGCCTTCACAGATATATACGCTAAAGAGATTGGCGCTATACATATGCGGAAATATTAAGTCACGAAGTGGTTGTATCACTCAGATCCTTAGCATCTTTCAGATAGGGCAGTAGACAGCCGTCCACTTGCCGAACTGATTCCCATGAGCGGAAGGCTATAGAACGACCTGCTGCCGTATGGTGATGCTTGAACTGTTAAGGCTACATGGCTCACAGGACCAGAAGCTCAGCATTAAAGGCTCTAAGAAGGTTAGTATGCGCTGCTCGGTTGCGGATTCTAGCTCGGCTCCCAGCGACTCAACAGATGCTGGCCCCTATGGACGGCACACTGCCTGTCTTAGGCAATCCTACACTAGTACCCGTGGGTAAGTGCCGTCATATATTGCCAAAGTACTGATGCATTCAGTATCACGCACGTTCTCAGCAAGACCTTTATTACCGCATGATCACTGTGCCGTACCCGACGTTTGGTATGCCGCCAAACCGAACTTTGATAACGACACGGGGCACATTCAGTAGCTCGTTCCCCAGACTCACCCTTCGCGAACGGACTCGGACGCGCTATTCACTTCATGCGTCTTCTCGTGCTCATCTCACAGCTTCCTCTGACGCCCCGTACGTTTGGCCCTCTCACCCCACACTGCAGAAGGCGCGGGGCCGGACTTCGCATGACCTTCATGGGGGTGGGTGCGAGCTGCTTATCAGATGACGGGTCCGCTGCTGATATTCTCCGACGTCCTGTCTTCGGTGTTGGATTACGCTCGTAAATGGTATGGTTTCTGCCCCGAATGCAGATATGAGCTGCCTCCTGACCTATGCCTCCCGTAGATTTTCCTGGACGCGATACCGCATGCCGCTGGTAACATGAGCTGAATAGGTGATAATCCACACCTTGCGCTGCCTACAACGCGAGAGCGGTTTCTACATTGAAAGCTTAATACTTGAATGAGGCAAAAAGAACCCCCATCTCAAGCCGATCACCCCGCAGAATTACTGCATTCATTCTCTCCCATATCCTGGACTGCTGGCACTTCCTTGCACATAGAGTCATGAACGGTCAATGCTTCTAGCCGATAGCAAAGTCTCGGAGACAGTATCGCGGTAAGCGCCTACTTCATCTCTTTGTTCTCACCAAAGCTACCGATATTCTGCCTCTGCTCAGCTACGACGGGCGCGAGAAACACTTCCGCCATGCGTATACAAATCTTCCGGAATTATGCAGTCAGAGGGCTAGGCCCGCATGTTGATACTCACGACGACGCGCCCGCCGGATCGGCATGCAGGGAATTCGGCCCGTCTGCGCGTGCTGCCCGACGCATATATTCCTCTATTCACTGCTCTCAGGCTTACCAGGAGGCATATTCGCCTCGTCAATCTGTTGTGATCCTCGCAACCCCTAACGACGGGCATGCACGGAAGCATTGATCGGTACGGAGGCTGTTTTATGGTGTCTTGGCATCAGCATCTCTCCAATAGATTCATACCCCCGTCGTCCCATTATTCTTAGACCACAGGCACGCTGACATCACTGTTCCTCCACCTTTACTTCCGTCTGCGCACATTCAGCACACCGTAAGCATCACTGATCCTCTGCCAGCCACCTCCTTCTTGCTGACAACAGACAATACCAAACACGTCGGTCAGCTGACCGCGCTCCGCCCCTGCTTACGCTGGCTATATCATCGACGAAGCGTAGAAGGCTATCACATGGCGCGCGCCCTGTGTACTCACGCTCTGCACTTGCGTCCAATGCAGTATGCGATGCGCGGGCGCTGAGTCGACGCCAGGCACGGTTGCCAGAAGCCCTCCCTGGGAGTGGTGCGGGCTGACATAACCGTGGGGCACACCAGGACACAGGACCCAGAGCCAGGACCCAGGATACAAGATTAGAGGATCCAGGGCCCAGATGGCGCGGGTGCCTTCGGGTGCTGGCAGTGATACAGGGGCATTGTGGCTGCTACGCCCCTGCGACGATCTGCCAAAAGTGGCAAGCGCGCGTACGCGGGTGTGCATGGGCGGACCGTACAAGGCTTGGCTGCCTCCTTGCTTGCGCATCCGACGAGTCTATTACCAGGCTAGCTTAAGAGCGGACATACGGCGCGTCGATCTTACTTGTTCTAGCTAATGCTTACGGGGCAGTGCCGATAACGTCCTTGCAGTGCCGATGCCAGTTGCTTACTCGGTTCCATCGGTATACAGGGACCACGTGTGCGTGCTGCGCGTCTGGGGATAAATGTGGCAAGTCCGTGTCCATTTGTGGATAATTTGCGGCTAAGTACAGGTATAAGCAGCATGAAGGTCTGCGCGTAGCAAGGGTAAAGTTCTAGTAATGCCACTTCACGACTGCTTCGGTATCCTTTCGGAAGCATACTTACACTTCAAAATGGATATGGCGGTTGTGCGAGGTAGGGTACTATGGCAATGGCAATACACACCGTCTGCTGCGGCCATTCATTATCGTGGACACGGAAACATGCTACGCGCTACTGAGTAGGCAGCTACATGCGGTGCCGCGAAGCATATTTGTACACGTACTTGATACACGCCAGGAGGCGACAAGAAGGCTTCGAAGGGTATGTCCATTAGATGCGTACAAGGCCCATACGTCACGTCTACGATCGCATCCGCACCGCGCAACTAGTCTTTCTTCAATTCTCTCTGGATGACAAACATGCGGTCCCCGTCTGCGCGTGTCGTCAATTCCTGCACGCCCGCGACGTCTGCGAGCTCTTCTATACTGCGTCCCTTTGCGAGGACAACGTACATTTCAAGGCCATCTCCAACCTGTATGCAGAGTGCTAGTCAGCGCGACCGGCCATCGGAGACAAGAGTGGAGGCTGCGTACCTCAATATGGCGCTCCGTCGCGCTGGTAAATGAGTCGATGACAATGGCAAGAACATCTGGTAGCGGGAGGTATGTGGGGTGTGGGGTTCCGGGCGCCGGGGTCTGGTTCTTGAAATAGATCTATGGGAGGGTGGGCAGTGTGAGTAGCCACGCACGCGCGGGCCGAGCATATCACCGAGAGAAGACAGTTGGGTTGCCGTACCTGATTATCCAGGAAAGGTTGTACGAGCGAGGACGCTGCGCCTGCGGCACGACACGCCTCGCGCTCATACGAGCCGACGGGGTCGAAGGAGTAGACGGCGCCTGAGCCTACGGACGCGGACGGGTGAGCACGTGCACGTGAGAGAGGGTGAGGGGCGAGCGCACCATCTTCCTCGATGCCGCCGAGAATGTTGTTCACGTAGTATGGGAAGAAGCGCTGTGCATAGAGCATCGTCTGAATGAGCCGCGCGATCGCACGGAGAGGCATCTCCTTGGCGTGCGCGTGACGGTACCACTGGACGAAGACGTGACCGGAGGCGTACGCGGTAGTACAGATGGACGCACCTCGAGCCGCTGCTTGACCTTTTTTACGAACATGTTCCCGTCCGCTGCGAAGCCGTTCACCGCGAGCACGGCGCGCTCGGTTCTGGGGGTACGTCAGCGCGGGCGCGTGCGGGAGCGCGTAGAAGAGACGACGCACAGTCGGAAAACTTTGGGCGCATAGCGGGTCTGGATGCTGTAGCCCTCACTCTGGCGAGTGTCTCCGGCAATGACGGTGAAGTCTGCGCCGGCAATGGCAAGGATGGTGCCGCCATTCTCTGTGTAGGGGTAGAACTGGCGTTGCTGGGGCTGCTCGTGTGCGGTGTCTGGCATTGCGGGCGTGGATTGTGGTGGGCGTCGGGAGGAAGAGAGCGAGGAGGCGGGGGGCGGAGGGCGTACGAGGGAGGGCGTATATACGCTCAGCTGATGGGGCCGCGTCAGTTTGGTCGAGGACAGACGCCACCGTCGCGCGTCCAATCGGGCGGAGTTTTAAGTATAAATCCGAGATTTCTACCAAGGTTTGCTTCTTCTTCTCCTTCTCCATCTCCCACCTCGTCCTCTCCTCCTGCCACCATCTCTTCTGATCTACCACGCATCTTCTCGTCTCCTCGCCCGAGCATTCCCCGCTCTCAATTCTCCGCCGTTTCTCCAACCCGTTCATTTGCCAGCAATCTAAGCCGCATCCAACCAGATGCAGCACATCGCCCACGTCTTGCAGCTGCTCTTTGCAGGCCCATTTCAAAGGCTCTGTTATCAGGGGCCTCAAACTCGCCGGCGGTGCGTGTTGCGAGTGGTGATCCCGTCCTCCCTCTGTCCGCTATCTGTCCAACGCCATTCTCTCCGGGGAATTCCCGTATCTACCGTCGTTCTGTTACGACAATTCTCCATTCAGTATGGCTACCACTGTAACACAGATCCTCCGGTGGCACAACCTACGCCTGTCGCTTAAGGTGACAGACCATCTACATCCACCACTAATACGCGTCGACCAACGTATCCTTCGGGTCGTGATATGATATTCCGAGTCCTTGACGAACACTTGTCTTCTGGAAGCACCATGGCTATTCCGCCTTCTCATCCTTCCAGTAATTGTTGCACGGCTTCTGCATAGCTTCACGGATCGCAGCTCTACGGGCAAGATGATCCATTTGTCCGCGTCCGCACCTCAGTCGCGAATCCGCACGCCTGCCTGATTGAGCTCCTTCATTCTGCTGAACTCGTGAAACACGTCCGCTCATTATTGTCTCCCCGCGAGCGCCCTGCGCGTAAGCCATAGCGCGACGACTGCGCAGCGGGCGCGTGCTGACTGCTAATGTCTGAAATAGTGTTCAGCAAACCTGATCGGTGTTTTGGAGATAATTTCGGTTTTGGTTTTCGTCGCCGTGATAGCTTTTCTTAGCCCTTGATTGTTCCGTTGTTATTCCGCACTTCAGTTCGCGATGTCTAGAGCTTGATGACACCGACCACTCCTGACAGACACGCTACTTCTGGTGACATCTTGTCTTCTCCCGTCATGCTTTACACTGTTTTCTTGCCTTCTGTGGACGACGAGCTCCTACATGGTCAATTCGGGCCCGAGTTCTGCGGGCCAGCCTTCTCCCGTGGTCTTCGCAATCGGTCTCTGGTGCTTTCTCGGTATCCTCTGTCAAACATGACACTACATCATACTGCGCCTCTTGACCTGCTGATCGCTGCGCCCGCCAATACCCCGTTGCATGCATCTGCTTATCGCATTCTTCGAGTTACGGAACTCTTACCTCGGGGGGTCATGTCTCGACTTCGACTTCTTGATTTCCTTGTCCAGAGGCTTTCGTTACGGTGGTACTTTTGGGGCTGGGATCTACTCACGGCCATGAAGCGCCGTGATCATTATCTTGCTGCAAGCGCCGACCGATCGTTGTCCATTTGTAACTACGGAGTAACTAGATCTTCATGCTCGGGGGCTAGGCGCGCGTGCAGGCTACGACCATCGGACTCTCCGAAGCTCTAGCCGCATTTGTTAAGGATCAGCGGGACCGTGTCTGTGTTCGCTCTCTCTACGGGAATATGCTTGCCTGTCATGTATACCCATATGCCTTGTGGTCGGCTACTGGGCACCATCCAGGCCGGCTGGTATGGGTCCATGACCACATCGTAACTAGCGTGGATGCTTCCGATCGCGTTAAGAAGGAAAGTGCCTACCTCCACGAGGTATCGGTCTTCGCGGCCTCTGAGATTACAATGTCCGCCTTCTCCCGTTGCCTTCATGGGCTTGCCTGCGAACGCGAAGACCGCGTTACTTGACGCGCGAGCGAGCCTGTACGACACCGCGCTGTCCCTGCCCAGCGCCCCTGTCTATTTTTGCGCCGTTGACTGACATGCCTCCTCTGAGAATAGGCCTGTGGCGTACTCTGAGAACGCTCGCGCGCCTGCGTTAGTCAGTGATCAGGGACGCGCATATGCCCTGCGACTACTCAGAGCCTGGACGCGGGCGCAGTGCGGCTCCTGCAGCTAGTCAACATGGTCTCGCGCATATTCCGCGCAGTGTCGCAGTGCAATGTGTACCGCATGACCTTGGGTGTACATGCGCGCGCATGCTGCGATCCCACCGTTTCCTCCCCGGACCGCAATGCACACCCGTGAACCCTCGACTGACGTGCGGAAGGGAGTGGGTCCCGGTGCGGGACATAGCGAGATATGGCCTTGCCTTCAGGCGGGCTGCATAACGTCGTTCTCTCCGTGGCTTGACCGGCCGCCCGTGGAGAGGCTTTGGGGGTCGCTCGCTCATGGGCTGGGAGGCTTCCCAGGCGCGAGATCCGTGGGCTTCGATGGCTCGGCGAAGCCAAGTCAAGGATTGGCCTGCCCGTATTGGTAACCCCTGATAGGACACCGACTACTAGGCGGGTTCGGATTTGTTTCCCTATGCGGGAGCGGGGAACCGATGCACAGACGCAATAACATATCCTTATCTGATGCGGGCTAGAAGAGGGATGTTCTCACCCATCTCCAATGTCGTGTTACTAAGCGGCGTGGGTCGGGAATAATGGGAGTCCGCTAAGCTCGATTTTATGGCGGTGAAGCAGCTAGAGCGAAGCACAGCCGTTTTGACGTTGAGCGGGACGCGATCGATCTAAACCCAAGCTTGTGATTTGCAAATCACGTCTTTATCAATACGAGTTATATGCATTTTTGCCTGCATCCGATCCTTCGAAAACACTACGGTCTTCGACGGCTCGTAGAGTGGGCAATATCCTATTCAGGCATCAATACCGTTGCCATTGCGGCACAATTTTGTCACGATGTTACTATACGCTGTATGTTGCTGTGATGGTATTTTGTGTGCTATATTCCAAGCTAATATGTCCTTGAACATGCATTGACCAAAGAATCTGAAGCCTGACAAGATTTGAGTTGTCTAAGGATCTGTCGAGAATCCATCCCTGCCGTACCATGATATTGCCCAGATCGTGGCCGGACTCCAAGCATATCGCTGCCCGCTGTAAAGCCAAGGCTTGGTTTCTATTCGGCTGCACGGCCTGCCCGCCGGTCTCGGGGACCTCTGAGACAAAGTCAAGCCGAAGGTGATGGCATCTACTTCTCGCTAGCCGTAACGCCCATGTCCCCGGGCGCTTGCCTCCCTCTGATACGTTTTGGAGCTCATCGTGTTCGGACCTCTCGACGTCGCCGTAGACATGGAGCATAACCTATCTAGCAGACAGAAGCTTTTTAGTTTATTCACTGCTGCTGTAGCTCTTTTGAGTGATAACTGCTTGAGCGTGCTCGAGAACAGGTCGATCCTCAAGCGGATATAAAACTGGATTTAAATAAATAAATAAATAATAATAAAACAGGTCGATGACGAGCGTGGTAGCAACGGACCGATCCGAAGTGGTTACTTGTGAGGGTCGGCTCTTACGTACGTGCGAAAACAGCCGGAAAGGTCCTCCATATGACACAACGCTGCGGAAGACGCTCTTGAGCTTCAAGACACAATGATGGCCCATGACGAACGGCCGTTCACCATCTCTGTGGCTGACGCAGAGCTTGAGTTTCTCCAGAAGAAGCTTGCGCTCTCGCGAGTTCCTGACGAGCTCGAGGGTGCTGACTGGGACTATGGCGTTCCGCTTGCTGACGTCAAACGTCTCCTGTTGAGATGGCAGAATGGCTATGACTGGCGGGCAGCGGAAGCTGAGATCAATAAAATACCACAGTTTACCAGACAGATTGAAGTCGAAGGTTTCGGGAAGCTCGATGTCCACTATGTCCACCAGAGAAGTACGGTCGAGAACGCCATCCCTCTGCTCTTCATCCATGGATGTACGTGTTGTAAGTTCTTTGTCGGACGGATTGTTTCATGCCTGCATATTTAGGGCCAGGACACTTCCTGGAGGTTCGCAAACTCTTACCATTGTTCACGACCGCCTCGCCGGACCATCCCAGCTTTCACGTGGTGGCACTCAGTCTTCCGGGCTTTGGGTTCTCGGACGCACCCACCAAGCGTGGGTTCAACGGCGCGAAGTATGCAGAAACCTGCAACAAGTTGATGCTCGCGCTGGGCTACGACGAGTACGGTAAGACCGGACAAGATGAACTATGTTTCCCCGAGTCTGACAAGCACATCCAGTGGTGCAAGGGGGCGATTGGGGGTCTTTCGTAAGCATACCGTAAATGATCATCGAGGCTTAACTCATCTTGCTACATACCTAAGATTGCTCGCATTCTCGCCTCTAAATACGGCCACCAGAGCGTAAAAGCTTTTCACACAAACTTTCCCAAGTGGGTCTTCCTAGTAGACCTCATCCTCATCCCCAGGTCTCCCCTCACCGTGCTTACAGCGTTCGCGAGCCCCCCTCATTGTGGACGCACCCCCGGCAATTCTTTGCGCACCTCATCACGCCGTACAGTGCCGCCGAGCGCGTCGGCCTCGAGCGCACGCAGTGGTTCGTGGCACAGGGACGTGGGTATTTCCACGAGCAGTCGACGCAGCCACAGACGCTCGGGTATGCGCTCGCGGACTCGCCAGTCGCTCTGCTGGCGTGGATATACGAGAAGCTTGTACGGTGGACGGACGCGTACCCGTGGGAAGACGACGAAGGTGTGCCATTGTGTGCCATTGTGGCGTCTGGTAAGCTGATGCGTGCGCGGTAGTCCTGACGTGGATCTCGGTCTACTGGTTCTCCAGGTCGGGCCCCGCCGCGTCTCTGCGGATCTATTACGAGACCATCGCAGCCAACGAGTACAGCGCGATTCTTCCTACTAGCACAATCCCCTGTGGGCTCTCATTCTTCCCCAAAGAGCTGACGATTCCCCCTAAGACGTGAGTGTCTCCGCGGACTTCATAACAGCTTTCCTGACGTACAGCGGCCCGTAGATGGGCCCGCACGATAGGCAACGTTGTTTATGAGTCTAGGCACCAGAGTGGGGGGCACTTTGCCGCTCATGAGAAGCCTGAGGAACTCGCAGCTGATATTCGTGCCATGTTCGGCAAGGGTGGGCCTGCGTTCGGCGTGGTGAGCGGCAGGGCAGGTTATGACTGACCTTATTGTACTTCGCCATGGCCACGTAACGACGTGCTTCCGAGGGTTTCTTAGTCAAGAGAAAGACAGCAGGTACACTTCGACTTGTGTACCTTTTCGCCTGCCGACCTTGTCACTGAGCCAGAGTACGATAGCTGGGTGGTGCTTGTAGTGCACCACGACTAGCGGTTAGGGGAGATATATTTCTGTGCATTTCTGTCTCTTGTGAACGATGACCTCGAGGTACCAATGCGCGTTGGGCATGGCAAGAGGTTAAATTGGTGAACTCCGGCGATTGCCGAAATTGTACATCTGAGATTACGATGTTAGCAGACAGCGCACAGCCTGCAGGACCATCAGCTCTACTCTCAGGAGCGATATAACCTGCGCTTGCATTCTTGGATACAACGAAGTCCCCGACCACTTCGCGATACAGACCAGAAAGAACGCCATCGTCCTGCTTGACATCCGTGAGAGCATAGGAACTTCGCTGTTCGGGTCCAAAACATCTATGCGACATCCTGCTCATAATTAGGCTACATCGTGATGAGGTGTATTCCGTTGGTGCTCCTCATAGGGTGGAGCTATTGGTAACCCCGTAAGTATATAGCTCACTCATTGATGGTAAAATGACAACAGATATATCACAAGGACGAATAGAAACCGTGAACATCAGCACTACATATATACCACATCGGCGTATTAAGGCAAGGAAATCAATATAGATACGATAGAAGAAGACAGAAAACGACGCAGAGGCATCTAGTCATTGTCGGGTACGCCTTCCTTCTCGCTGATTGTACTCTGGGCCCGGACCAGCTCAATCGCGTCCTTATACGACATGTGGTGTTGAGTGTTGCAGTGTCGCCCGCGCGAGTCTGAGCGCGAGTACATCTTTAGACAGAGCGGACACCGCCACTCCTTCTGCTGGCCATTGGCACACCCGCTTCGCATGTGGCGATGGCGCTCGCTGCTGCGAGTGAACCATGCCTCACAGCGTCCACATTTATAATTGTAGGCGACAGGCTCCCTCAATCTTGGTCTCCTAATGACGTGCAAACGCTTTGCCAGAGTCTGGGAGCGGAGCTTCTTGGTACGAGGGGCGCGGAGGGCTGGAGCATAGGCGACGTTGTCGCCGTAGCTGTCATTGATATAATCATTGTTACTCGCAACCTGCCCTACGTACTGTAGGCCAGGTGTGGGTGCGGTGGTTATGCCATGCGGTATACTGCGCCACGTTGGAAAGACAGGGTGGCCATCATGCGTGTGAGCATGAAAAACAGGTGTGAACAATGGAGTCATCCACGTGTAGTTCGGGTCGGTGACGCTGGACAGTGGCACAAGCGGCAGATGGCTTCCTGTTGCCTGTATGCTCGGCGCTCGTTGCGTATACACAGTACTTGCAGCATACTGTCTGTTGATAGCAGTAGCTTGTGGGATGCTGAGTGTCCTCATGAGCTCAATGCCGAATTGTTTCTCGACCGGATACTGGTGCGGAGAAAGTGTGGCCTTTGTGGATGAGACGAGATGTCAGATGGTTTGTAATGGCTCGTAAAGGATTGACTCACCTCTGGTGACTTTTGAGAAGACAGGAGGGTTGTGTCTGTCGATTGCATGGACTCCCTCTCGCGGCTAATATTGTGGTCGTTCGCGGGGTCGCGTAGTTCATCGGGATTGCCAGGAATAACAGAGAAGAAAGTGTTTTCGTTGGCATCTATGAGTGCGTTGTCTTCAAGCCTGTCGTGGAATTGTAGGGACTGATCAGAAGGCATCGCGTCGTGAGTGTGAGACAAAATGGTCATGGAGCTAGGGTCAGAAAGCTATTGTGGCTGGTTAGCGCTGATGATAGAGTATGCGATGTGGGAGTTGAGATGCTGGTAGGTCTGCAAGGGTGGAACGAGCTGCTGAGGGCGAAGGCGGTCTAAATTTAAAGGGCATGCCGCTTGTATATGATTTCGGTGAAGGATCCAGAGCCCACCCCTTCCTATTATTCTTGTGAAGGTACGCCTTCCGATCTTCGAGGCGATGTGGCTGCTGACAGATCGCACCAGCATAAAAGAGCAAAGCATACGAGATTAATTGCGAGCGAGTGGCAGCGGCAACTTATTCTAAATCTGGTTCCGGCCTCACACAGTGTGCCTTTGTTCTTTGTATGCCGATCAAACGAAAATGGTGCTCTCTAGTTCTCCCGCTGATGCCGCATGTTCTCAAGTGAGAGCAACATTGTGCTCCTACTTGATTCTACATGCTCCGACCAGCCAATACTGACTTCGCAGACCCTTTGAGCGTCCGAATGCCTCATGGATCATGGTGCGTGCGCAAGACCTTGCATTCTTCCGAATACTCTCATCAGACACTGTCACTATGGGGAAGAAGCGGCGTCACAGTGGAAATCTCTACATATCTGTGGCGAGGATCACCTTTCCCACGAGTGCTAGACCGCTGCACCTCAGCGTTTGAATGGCTCGCCTTCTGCATTGCTCGTCTGGACCCGTGGTCTATTACGGAGCCCACAAATGTCGTGAACATGTGGCAGTATGAAAGGGCGCAGGATCATTCCTCTCGGGCTGTGGCCGTGGACCCTCCGGATGCCTTTTTGGGGTAGCCTGGGAAAATCGCGGATGTATCTGGTAGAGGCTTTGATGTGCTCGCCGGCATTGGGGATCAGCTTGAAACGCTGTGACATTGCCGCAAGGCGATCCATCTACAACACAGCCGTCGTTCATAGTATCTCAAATTTGGACCCGCTACCAACGAGACACGCAGGACCTCCACGACTATAGGGTGTGTTGAAACCTCTCGAATACGATTGTTGCTGATTAGCATCTCACAGGTATTGTTCTTAGCTGGCACCCGTGGAGGGACGATGGTCTATGCTACACTCTGTTCGACTATGCACGAAGTCGACATCTTGTTTATGGTCAATGCGTCAATTGCTCCCTCGTCAGTCCGTCTCATAATTTGTTGTCACAAACAATCACAGCCTACAATTTGTAGCAAAGGAATACATCATACGAATGTCTGAAAGACCTAGCCGCAATCCCGGTTGCGCATACTTGTGAGTAATCATCGGAATCCACCTGCAGAATGAAAGTATGCATCTCGCCATGCTCAGTCCGATCCCCATGAGCTCCGGTATGCCGGGGGCGGCCGCGGTGAGCTGGGCTTGGCGACTGCGATCGGGCCTGCGTCATAGTCTCGCTGCGAAGCCGAGACGAGGTCGGACGGTGAGGCAATGTGCGAGTTGGGAACGTCACTCGAGTTAGACGACCCTGCGACGTTGCTGGTATTCGGCACCGCCACGTAATCTGAGCTTGGCGAATAGCTACTTGGATTCGGCATCGTCGCAACCGGCCTGCGCTTTGGAGTCAGGCTGGGGGAAGCTGCGTTGTCTGGGCGCAGACCATGGACGTGAGAAAGCGGTCGTCGATGGACAACGACAACGCACCTGGAGGGGCCGCGTTGGCGATGAGAAGCGCCGCAGAGACGGTCTCGGGTCCACTCCCGCCGCTGTAGACCATTCCTTGTGTTACTGGGGAAGGCATTCCCGCTTGGCCTGGCGTCCTGAGGCGCCTGTACCACGCAAAGAACGCAACGAGCGCCAACACTATGAGTCCCGCTGCGCCACCGACCGCACCGCCGACTATAGCACCTGTGTCGACGCTTTTGCTTGAACTCGTCGTCCCGGCAACAGACCCCGAAGGGGCTGCAGTTGTCCGTGTCTGGCTTGAGCCTGTTCCTGTGCCCGTAGCGGCCGTCTGGCTACTGGCGGATGTAGTGGTGGCATTCGGGCAATGCGTGAATGTGTTATTGTCGGACTGGGCCTGGTCCAGCTCAGATTGCTCCCTCGTATATGTGCTAGGAAAGTCAGGACTGGTATTTGGCCTGATGTAATTTGAACTTACTAGAACCTGTCAGGTGCTACCCATCAGCACGACATTATGAAGATTGTTAAGCCATTAAGACGTACCAAGCACCATTATCCCAGAAAAAGTCGTACAGGAAGTTGTCTAGTCGGATACCGGTATTACAGACAGCCGATTGAACTTGCGCGGGGAGCCTGCAAGTCAGGCTGACGGTCAGAATATTGAATATACCCAGCGAAAGTAAAAGGATAAAGGGATACGGACGACTGGTTCGTGCCTGCACCACAGTAGCCAAATTTCGAGATGTTTCGGTACTGGAAGTAGGCACCAGCAGCTACACAAAGGTCAGACAACTGCTGCGTCCATTGAGAGGCACTCGCAAATCGTACGTGCATCGACATCTCCGCTGTCATTGCCTTTAATGTTTTGCTGGCAGCTAAGTATGAAGATGTCACCACACTGTACCGGTGAAGTAAGGTGAGGACACAGCTTACTTCATGCACAACATGCTGAGCGACCACGCGATTGAATTACAGCAGCAGGTAGCTAGCATGCTAGTCAGAGCAGCCTCAGATAACGTGAAGGACGTCTCACAGATTTCGTCGTTGCAACTGTCTCCGGGCACCGTCGTATTGAATGTACCCACCTGGTCTAAGACTAGGCTATAGAACGCCGACAGTATCTTTGTACGTTCCACTCACAGTAGCTATTGCAGATCTGGCGCAGTCGTTGATACGTCATGCCTGATAGCGCACAGCGATCAGTCACTGACCCCCGTCGCGACGCTGAGAGGCTTACATGGTGTCTCTCCCACAGCGTCGATATACCAGTCCAACGCACCGCTGGCGCAGGTGGTCGTGTTCGAGGCTTGAACTAGGCTGGCGCCAACAAGACCTATGACCCAATATCGTAGCGCCATGTATACATAAAGGACAAGTACGAGGGCTTTCGCAGATGAAGTCAGATGAAGAAGAACGAGTGTAATAGCGGAAGTGGGTAAAAGGACAATCTGGAGGACGGAGATGCCAGGCCGTTACGAAACCGGTGCTGGGCCAACGACCGCACATTCGCACATATAGTCTGGACCCCGGACAGGTATCAGGATGGAAGATTGGCGTAGGAGGCGCCGAGGCGGTGTGCGGTCAGGTTTCGGAGGTATGTACATAATGAGCGTCAAATAACATGATGAAGCGAACGAGAACGGGCAGCTGAATATGCGATGTGCCGTGTTATCGCCCTTTGAATGCGGAATCATGATGTGACTTGCATTCCTGGCGGAAATGGATCTTGTCGTTTCTCGGTGGCTCAATGACTCTAAGATATTGTCTGCAAGGAGCTGCCTCTGCATTCTGGCCCTTGTGTTCGCAGAGTGGCTGGTACCTTTGCGCTAGAAGATACACAACAGGAGGGCAGCTTCCGAACATAATCCCGTCTTCCGACCATATAATCGACCTTGGCGTGGCCTGAATGATGAACGTGCCTTACACACAATTTCCCGGAGTTCCCATCACTTTCCGAAGTACACATATACTTGCCCTGTTCTTTGGCAAGTCTGAGCCTGTACGCACCAAGGCTCGTGCATCTAATTTCTCGTATGAAAATGGCGCTACTGTTCACCCAAATGGATGACCGCCAAGACTCATGTCACCCAGCCGATGTCGTCAATTGTCTCAAGGCACCCGCGCGCAAGGGGCCAAGGGCGTGACAGCTCAGTTCAGTCCAACCAAAGTAGTAGCGTCTAGATTAGGTCTAGGTGATCCACACAAATCTTACCTAGATGCTATGTCTTTCGTGCTTCATGCACGAAAGCTCCTAGCCTTTTTTTTAAGCATCCTTCGGCGGGAAATTGACAGTGTGCTTGAGCTTGAGCCTCTCTTGAGCCCGCACGACTTAGTCGGCGGTATGATAGCTTCTAATTCTGCCATCATGACTAGCCATGGGATGACATCGGATGTTTTCGAGCTCTTAAGGGTTGTTTTGGCAGATGCCTTACTACTTCTCGAGAGTTCCGAGTCGGACTGTGGTGTCAAGGTAACGGTGCGCTCAGAACCATGCATGATCCTTCTGCGACCCGTTTGCGCTCTCAAAGGGCCACAACTATCAATCCGTTGTTGCTTGATGTTGTCCCTAGGGCAACATTGTTGTTCTGCGCCCAACTAATCAAAGATAATCTTGGCCTCTCCCTTCAACAAATTCTCGGCCTTCACCTCGAAATGTAACGATGGTGCACCTGGCCGGCTGCTCTGCAGAGCGCTACCGAAGCATCACTATTGATCTCTGCCCGTCAGACATGGATATCTGCAGCCAAGGGGCGTCAGGCAGCCGGACTTTCCGTGACTCCAATCCTCGGGTAACGGTGGTCGATTTTGTCCCCAGGGTCCTGATTCTGACTTTTGAGGAGTTCGGCCCCTTGGACTTTTCTCCGCTCTGTCAAAACATGCCTTCTTACTCTGCAGAGTTAGTGACCTAAAGCTAGATGACCTCGGCTCCTCTGGAGGTTGTTTCAGACCCATCTCTCCACGGAATGACAATCCTCAAATGGTCGTATGCATGTCGGCGACCAATACACCCATCGCATCGTCTCGTCTCGACCGCAGTAGCAATATTCATGATGGCGGCGCAGGAAGCGTGCCGCATATACATAGTCTACTATCTGATGCGGGGGTCGGTTTTTTCGATCGCCGCTCAAACCCGCAGGGGATGCATCAGCGGAATAGCAGATCAATGGGGCGTTTCGCGTTACGGTGTGGCGTCTTCGAATGGAAGGCTTGACCAAAGTAACTCACTCACACGCACCGACAAGGATACTTTCTTTAAGCCTCACAAAGACACCTCTCGGCGCGATTCTATGTTTAGTTCTCTCCCCGTTTACCTCACAGTTTACAACGATGGTGCACTCATACTCCGCCACAGCAAGGAGCGGACGTTCGATTCAGCCAGGATCCGTGTGTTGCATACGTAGCATTAAACAGCGGTGTCGAGCGCGAACCCACGCTCGTCGAATCCGGTTACCGCATGACAACCAGACATATGTGATGCTTCATGAACAGCCGTCGTCAGCATTACAGGGCGGGGTTAGCACAATGCTGGCCGCCCCTGCGGTCTAATTCGATCACTTAAGCACTGCCTTGTATCAAACTCATTTTGTCCATGATGTGAACTAGAGTCGTAAGCAGTACGTCGTATCAGTCGTACCCATCTAGAACGTGTAGAATCGAAATCGCCAGGTGCCATCTTGTAATTCGTCCTAGCGGAGCAGTATGAGGTTTTTCGAAGACCAGACACTTGGGAAGATGGGTGACGACGTACCAGCACTGATACGCCATCTTCGAGCAGCTCTTCCCGTGTTTGTTCCACTGCGCCGAATGGCTTTGGCACCCGTAAGCCACTGACAAGGTATGGCAAACACGTGCGGATAGGAATGGCAAAGGAGGGAACAGCTATATCGGTGGGCTTCGTGTTGATGTACGATGTGCCCGGGGATCCCGCCTTCAGACCTTGGATGACCTTGTGCAGCTCGCGTCGCACAAGCATTGGGTTGAAGTCGAGAACTGAGAAATGAACTGGAAAGTCATCACTAGGGTCTTCCAGCATGAGAAATCGCCAGCCGACGCCCGGGCTCATGTATTCTGCAGGCAGCATGCGTGTGGCTGATGGCCCCCAGTCCTCCCAGCGCAAAGTGTTCCGTCCCATGGCGTGTGCTCTTTGCAAACACGTGGCGAGACCAGATGCCAGGGCGACTATATTGTAATACGAAGGCGGAAGAAGTGGATTCAACTCCCCGACCTCCAAGTAAATATGGACGGTTTTGCTGTCATCCGCAAGACTAAACGGCACAGGAGAAACCATCTTCGAGGAACGCACATTGGCACAAGAGGTGTATACTGTGGACTGACGCTGTTCCCAGCCATCAGCGAGAGGAGGAAACTGCAGAATGCATGAAACGCTATCGTTCTCGGCAGAGCTTTCCGAATTCGCGGGGATTGATTGAATGCGTTCGAGTCGCAGACCGAATGAGTCAACGTCGACTGAGGCAAGGAACGCTGAACCAGATACGGAAAAGAAGCTATGGGGGAAAGGTCCGGGCGCGCGGATCTCACGATGCTATCATTCAGGTCAGCTCGGGTCGTGCGCCACACGTGGAACATTGGATTACCATGATTAGTGCTCCTGATGTCCAATCCCATATCCTGACCACCGATTTCTTCTGGTTTTCCATATGCATTTCGCAAAGCAGAAGTCTTCCGAGGACGCTGATATACCTATTGTCACATGGCCGATCGTGGGTATCGTCCCAAGCCGGAATGACTTCGCAGCATGAGGAGGGGTGCAACCCATTCGCAGAAGCCGACCGCACGTGCAAGCATAGAGGTCGTCTCTGCCTGCGTCGAATGAGCATGGAAAGCAAGCAGAACGTATTATGAACAACCGACCCCTCAATCTTGCGTCCTTCGACGGCCACAAGCAAATTCTGTTCATGGTCTACTTCTACATGGAGAGGCGGGAATGGGAACGTCCCGTGAGTTTCGGTCCAGTCCCTCCTCTTAATTGATTTCAGTCGTGACGGCGCTTGAATACAAGAGGTCATTCCAGGAGCTGGTTCGGAATATATCAATTGGAAAACAGTATCTCCTATGCGCTGGAAGGGATTGTGGCCACATGACACGATAAACTCGTTGCTGAACCGGGGCACGAGCCAGATTTTTTGCAGTTCTTTCAGCTTTCCTAGTTTCTCAGATGTAGATAGGCTGTTCTGTGGCTCGTCCTTCATGCCGGCAATCTCGAGCTCGAGCTTGTATTGAATGTTTACATTCGTTGATATCACCTCGTTGAGCAGCGTGCAGACCTGCGCGTCGCAGTGTAGCCTTGTCAGCATAGGTGGTGAGGGGATGGCGGTCATATGGAACTCACTCTTTGGCAAGTATATATGTCCCGTAGACAAAGTGTCAACAAGGTAGGTTCGAGTATCTCTTCTGGAAGCCGAAGGAAGCCCATGTGGATGGATGTTCAGGAGCTAGCTAGAAGCGCGAGTGGGTTGAAGTTACAGTCTCGCCACGATCGCCACCGCGCGACGTTTAAGTAAATCATGCCCATTACAATAAGTAAGAAATAGTCACAACCAAACCACAATAACACAATTGTTTACAGCGTTGGCCGGTCGGAGATGTACGTGATCACGTGCTGTGTAGGCACATGTGCGCCGTTATGCTCTTGGATCGCTAGAACTGACCGTCGACGTCCTCACGACTACACAATGCGCAACAGCCTTTAATTGTATCGACAAGTACATCCGCGAAGGAGGCCTTAATACGGGTAGTCATCGAATATGTCGAAATCGAGACCCCAATCCTTCGACGGGTTAACCACGCGCTGAGGAGGGTGGGACGTGGCTGCCTCCTCGAGCTTGTTGAAGAGATCCTCTGGGAGTACATGCACTGCGTGGCAGGAACTTCAGAAGCGAGTCCAATCATGACAACAAATATATTACCGTGGAAGTTCTCCTCGATACGTGAGGGCGTGACGCTTTTCGGAAGGACGATGGTCTACACAGTGCACATTTACCGTCAGCCATGATATACGCGGCCATCAGGCCGTTAGTCACTCACTCCTCGCTGAACGTGCCACGAAATGAGCGCCTGCGCGGGTGTGATCCCGAGCTTCTTCGCGATCGCCTGCACCTCCGGAACCTGTAGCGTTTCTTTCACCTGGCGCGAGCTCCCGAGCGGCGAGTACGCCTCGAGCGGCATACCGTGCGCCTTAGACCACTCGAGGAGCTCTGGCTGCGGGTTCCAGTAGTTGAGTTCCACCTGGTTCACAGCGGGCGTCACCTTGAGCGGGTTCGCGGTTAGGTTCTGGACCCTACAGAAAGGGTGGGCATTATGATCCCGTCAGGATACATGGCGAGTGCCTACCTCTGAATGTTAAAGCTGCAGCGAGTGCCAGTTAAGTCGTAATGCGTAAGCAGTGAGCGAAATCACTCACTTGCTAATGCCAATGTTGCGGACCTTGCCCTTCTCAACCATCTCTTCGAGCTTCTGCCATGTCGGGTACGGGTCCGCAGTCAGGTCCTCGTCGACCTCTGTTGTGTCCTTCTTGAATGCGACGGGCCTACACATAGTTAAGATCAGCGATTTAAGACTTTTGGACGCATGCTGACCAGTGGATCAGGTAGAGATCGAGGTAGCTCGTCTGGAGATTGCCGAGCGTCTCATCGAGGACCTGCTCGATGTCCTCTGGGGCATGGAAGGCGTTCCAAAGCTGAGGGGGTATGTGAGCACCTGCGACTCGAGATTTTAGTGCGCATATACTTACCTTGGACGTCAGCCAGATGTCCTCGCGCGAAATATCGCTATCGTTGATGGCCTGACCGACCTCAGCCTCGTTCTGTGGGTATCCGGTTAGTCAGTACCATGGCTATGGAAGCCCGAGCGCCACTTCGTCATAGCGATCTCGCACGTGTGAAGTGGAAGTCCCATCCATGGAGTGAAATGGACAATACACGTACACGGCAACCTGTGCCAGTCGCCAGGATTTCGACGGTAACCGCGCAGCGAGACTTGCTCATTCAGAGCCAGGGAAGACAGACGATCACATGTACACGTATCAAGGAATATGACATGCAATACCAGCACGACCATATTCAATGGCAAGGGCAGTTTCGCTCAATGAAGTAGATAGGCGTCCTGACGTAAACATTAGACCAGTAATGCTAGTAGACCTGCCTCTGCATCTCACCACAGTGGAGGTACCCATGTATGCAAGTCAAATGCACGGACGTAACCATGGAATACATACGTACCCACAGACAATATTCTACAACGGGAACTGATGGACGAACACGGACTTGCACATTATAGGCTCAGATATGCATCAAGAATATGACCCGAAGTGTATTACTTATCGGGACATTGTAACAAACAGAAACATTGTGTGCTCATCGATCAATCAGCAATCCCTCCGGTCAAGATCCTGAGCTCCATGATTGGCATCCGGATGTTCAATACACTTCGTGGTAAATGTGGCCTACGTTCATGCGGAGAATATAGTCGATTGCCCACGACGACCAAAGGAATGCAGTACATGAAGCTTGAAGCTTCGGGAAACCAAATGATCGCGGAGACTCACCGCATACCTCCACGCTCCGTCAATATGCCTATAGCCTGCGTCAAGCGCGGCTTTCACTGCAGCTCCGACCTCGCCTTTGCCGGCCTGCCAGACGCCTATCATCAACGACTCTCAACAAGTGCGACCGACAACTTTAAGGATTTACGGTACCGAGTGCGACTGAGGGAATCTTGTCGCCCGAAGGTAGGACATAATGCGTGGGCAGTTCTGCTTGTGCGACTGGGGCACCGTTCGAGCTGAAACACAAGCAAGGCTGGTCTGGACCTAGAATGGCGCAGCGTACGAGGATCAAGCAAGTGACTGCAGAAAGAGCAATGGCAAGGACAGTAATTGGACGAAGCGAATGCTGGCTAATTAATCGTTGAACACAGGTTTTGGATGTCGGTTTAGTCGCGTGCGCCAATTGCAGCTCGTCTACGTCCTCAGCGGGGAGGGGCGCATATATGACGGGAATTCCTTTATACAGAATGTGGTAATTACTCAGACTACCGACTACCATTTGGTGCAGACTCACGCGTTTTCTCGGACGCCATATGAGAAGAAGTAGAGACTGTCGTCGTATAAAGAGTGCAAGAATAAGTCAGGTTTCAGTATTTCAGTATCAGCTGCGGTCAGTATTGAGTGAGGCGGTGGAGCGCGCGTGGGATTCGTCTGCGGGTTTCTGCGGCGGTTGCCACCACTGTGCGAAAACAAGACCAAATAACGTTCCTTACCCTCCCCCACTCCCTCCACCCCCGCGCCCGCCGTCTGTGCTCGCGATGCCCTCGACGTTGACCCGCATCCTCGCCGTTCTGGCCCTGTCGCTCTCTGTTGCGGCACAAGACATCCAGTACACCCTTACGCACAACGCGACCGTTATCTACGGCACTTGGAGTTCTGGTAGCAATGGCGTGCAGACGGGATCAGTGCGTTTCATCTCCCTGCCGTCGTTTCGCGGAGGCTGACAGCTTTACAAGGGCTTCGCGAATCCTGCGGATAGGGCCTTTATATACCCTAACACGACCGGAATCTCGTATTCCTTGTGAGTATCCCACTCTTCCTTTGGTCTCGCAGCGAGATCTTCAACCAGCCGCCCGTGGTCTGGAAAGTATCCTAGGAGCGCGCTAGACTTGCTAGCGCAATTGTCAGAACGTTTGCGATAAACAACGGACGAGATCACCCGCTGGTTGTTACATTGATGCACAGGCGCGGTCGTTGCCAAACTTGGATCCTGTGCACGGCGATAGAGTCCGCCCCCCGTCCGTCGTACCGCGCCTACTATATATGCTGCGACGCAGGGATGGCTCATACCTCCGAAGCCAACCTGTTGCCCGCCTCAGCGCTTCCCCTACCATTGTTTCCTCTGCCATTGGGTAGCAGCGGATATGATGTTGGCAGACCCATAGTCTCGCGCCTCAAGACAGGACAGGAAGTACTTTCAGTTTCTAGTGGTGTTAATTCTCGCTAAACCTCTAGCTATTGTTCTTTGACGATTTCTGCTTTCTGCTTCTGTTAACATTCATTTAATGGAACAAAGAGCGTCATTTACCGTTGGCAGTCTTCCTCCTAGCTCCTTCGATGCATTGCCGGCGTTGCCATGGTTTATAAAACCACAGTTTTTCTCCTGCTGTTGCAGATACGGGGATTAGGCTTGCGGGCCTACCACTTGTATCACTCGCGATGACTGTATACAATGCTCGCTGCGAGATCTATTGCACAACCACAAGTAATCGACACTGACTGCGCATTATTTAGTACCGACGACGGCTACTACGAGATTGCAAGATACCGCTATACGAGTAACGGTGAGTAGATTTGCTTTCAGTCCTACATCATGATGCGATGCACTTGTGGGCAATCACTATGCCTAGCCTTTGGGTAGTGATTTCCTCGCGTCTAAGTACCCACATGTTCTAACATCTGTTCCTTGACGACCGTGTGCGTTGGACACATTCTCTCGGATGGTGCGGGTGCGACCCACTGGTACGCCCGACAGCGATGGAGTCGTTGATGTGAAATGCTTGGCCGTGCAAAGTATGGTTCTCAGACAATGATGCTAATGATCAATCGATAGGCACCTCACCACGCTGCATCACTGGTGTTATGAACTGGGTCCATGGGACGTACCAGCTACAACCGAACGGTTCGATTACCACGGTTCCGTTCGGCGACGGGTTCCAGCAGATCCAGGACGCTTGTGCTGCTGTGTCGAATTTCATCGAGGACTACAACGACACGGAACTCTACAGCTCGTGGACCATCTTCCAGGACCCCACACTTGGCTACCAGCTCCAGCTGTACCAGTACGATGGCACTCCGCTCGCGCAGCAGAACCTTATCTCGACGACGCCGAACATGCTTCCCACGCGCAATCTCCGCAACACAACGACGACGTCGACCACCGCGCGGTCGTTGTTGGCAAAGAAGAGCGCAGGTGCGCATACACGCAGCGGCTGGGGCGCAGGCAGCATCGCAGGGCTGGTTTCCACAGTCATGGCTGTCGGTGTAGCCTCGATGTTATTCTGATCGTCCGGCATGGTCGGTGTCGGCATAGTGGACTTGGGGAGTGTCGCCTTGTTCGTTCCGCATATCACTTCATTTCTCCTCATCTTCATCTTCTACTGCTCCTCGCGTTACGCACGTTTCCATGTCTGGCCGATGGACCGCCTCGTATGCATCGGACCCTCGACCCCCGATTCTCCCGTTCGCGCATTCCAACCTCACTGGCCGCAGCGGATACTATACGCCACATTACGATACCCGTCCACCGCTCTCCGTACACTCATTTGACTCGGACAGCATGCCTATGCCAGACGTGTGTCGTACGTGCGCACCGCTTTGTATATCGCGTTGATCACGGTCTTATAATAGATGCACTCTGTCTTTTGGAGAGCTAAATATGAACGTTTGTGTGAAGGTGATCCTTATCACATATTCGGGGAGCTCGACTTTGCCCATTTTGCTTTCGACGTCAATTTGGTCAGGTCGAGGTGATTACGCCTCGTTGGCAACGATCCCTTGGAGGATCACCGGGACAACGAGGATACCGGCTGAGATATACAAGCTCGATGTTTATGGTGTGTTGTAAATGGCTTAATCGTGATCTCTACCAAAATTTCACTCATATTTCACGATAGGGAAGGATTCATTCTTCAAGCTTCTAGACGTACGTCAATTCTCCCCACGGAGTCTATGTTCTGCACGTTGGCTGTCGTCTTTCATGTCTCATGAGGGAGGATTCCTCATTCATGACAATGAGTAGTTGACGTCCGACTCAGGCCATATCATCGGAGGACAACAGGAAGCTTCCTTGGAATTTTTTCAGCGACGTTGAGCACAGGATTGATACACGGGGGGACGATACCCCGACTTATGTGGGGAATCCTGTTGCAGGTGACCGGTCTGATGCCTTTAACCTTGTAAACCTGTACTGGCTTGATCTCGCACATAGCGTGATTGAGACTAGTACATATGATGTAGAAAGAAAGAACCTGTCCAGTAGTAACTCGTTTCTAGTAGATATCGTCTGCGCTGCGAGAGACGTTGAGCGGACATCGAAATACGTGCAGTTGGTTGCACGTGACATGCACAAGAACGCGACTTGAGCGCGACGCCGTCCTCGCCTCACACGTTCTGTACTCTTCTGCAGTCTAATCAACTCTGCTCTGCCCGTTCTAAAATGGCTGGACAATCTCACGCAGATGGACTGTGTCTACGCTATCCGGAAGCTCTCGGACCACAGCCAAATCTAACAGGAGAAATGGCTGTGAACTTGCTCATTCGTGCGGTTCAACTCGCGCACCACACACCTTTTGTATGGGGATACATTGATAGGCCACAAGGTGAGTCGTGTGCTGGATGTAACATACATTACATGTGACATAAGTCATACAAGTGCAGAGGGACAAATGTTCATCATATTCCTGACCCCCCAACTGCCCTTCCCTCCGGATGGCATCCGTTACCAGGAGCAAGAACAGAAGGCGTTAATCCCTGCTGGACCTGGTCGTGTGAGTCATCCAGCCTTGATCTTTCACTAGCTCCTATGTACATCCGAGCTCGGTGTGTGAGAGCATCAACACTCACAGGGATGTTCCGGTGCAGGAACTCGAAGTGATGGAGGTCAAGTACGGTTTCCTTCCCAACTCCTCAGACGGCACAGCCTGGCGTGTCCGCCGTCGTTTCCGGCTCACAAGGGGCGGACACCAACAGCTGGTCCTTATACATTACGGCCGCGGCAACCCCATACGTGCGTGCTACTCTTGTCCTCTCGTCACTACACCCCTTAGGCAATCTTTTCGCCACGACAGCTATCATCCCATCGCTTAACCAACCCGTCCGTGCATACCCCCTCCGTGCGATCAACGAGCCTGCTGTCTTCGTTCTCGGCGACAAGACCGGCCAGAAGGTGTATCCTAATACAGGCGCGCCAATCGGCATGGGTGAACGCCAGCCGAGTATAGGTTTCGGCGCGGGCATGGGTGCCCCCGCAAATCCACAGGCCTTGCTTGCACAGCAGAATAGCAACCTTGAGGCGCTAGAGCGGCGCAATCGCAGTGGAAGCATGAGCGCGGTACGTCGCACACAACATTCGTGCGGAGGAGATAAGGTGCTAATTGTGAGTCAGCGCCCGGCTCAGCCACAACCGCGGATAGAGGAAGACGACTCTGCCGGTGAGCGCAGGCCTGTCTGCATCCATTTGCAAGTCTCACGGGCCCTAATTCGCAGATGAGAGCGACATGATCTCGACAAGGACCTTGGCACTGACGCGGTACAGGCGGAATCACGAGCTCATGAACGAAGTGTTCATGTTTGCCGCATTCGGTGAGAATACTAATGGTCTGCTGTCACTTTTGTCTCACTCGCACGTCCGTGTCCAGGGCAAAAGGAGTTCCCGGAACCCCCGACACCATACTCAATATTCAACAAAGCTGACCTTGAAGCAAAAATGGTACGTTCCTAGCATTATCTGCTCCTCTCCCTGCTGAGCAAGCGTGTAAACTTGAAAAGGCGAAGTTGTCCGCTGATGTGGAGGAGCTGAAGTCCAAGACAGAGGCACGGAGACAAGCAAGATCCAATGCAGAGGCTGGAGCTTTAGGAGAAGAAACCGGCGACATCTCGATGGAGTCATTAGGAGCCTCAGGAGAGATGCTCATAACATGATTGACAAGATACTGTTTCTCTAGTCGTTATTCTGCCTTGTCTGCTTTACTGTATCCGTATTTCATAGTTGTATTGGTGAACCTGGCTTTTCATCGAATCAAGAGTGTTGCAGGATGCGCCACAGTGTGAAGTTCATAATTTAAGTTTCAGTTTGAGGAGAACACGAATATCTGCAGGTTTCCAACGCCGCTCTCGCGCACTTCAGGCAAGGGTCTCCTCGACTTTCCTAGGCACCACAATCTCATGCGTTCTAACTTTGATAGTGGCAGCTAGCCCACATTCCCACATTGAGGGATTAACGCGAGCCATGACCGAGTCCATGTAGTGGCGGCGCGTCTTTGACTGAAAGCGTGAGTCTTCTGACCGAGTTCATCCAGCTTCGTTACCTTGTTATCCTTCAAGATAATCCTTGCTGTGTACAGACGTGTACGACCACTTGCTAGTAAGGAGACCCGATTCGATAAATATGGGGGTAATACAAAATTTACACTGAGCAAAACACCATAAAATAACAGCAGCCCATGTCCCATAAAATATGAGACTTCTTGTTTACAATAAAAACTGAGGTAGACGTCCATAATTGCGAAACGCGAGGCATGGCGGTGGTGGCGAGGAATCCACGACCGCATAGGCGATAGCTGCATGATGGAAATTAGCAGAGACTCGAATGATCGTTAATCCAGTCACGTACATGGAGAACCCTGTCCTTCTTGATAGATGGGTATATCAGAGTGCAGCAATTTTAGGGTGAGTCGCTGCGAATTTGCTGATCAGTCACAAGAGGGTAGGCGCAGGCACAACAAAATACTCACCGATCACAGTGGATGTTTTGCGATGATATCGTACTTCGTACGATGTCCTGTTGGACAGGCGGGGTATAAAGGAGAAAACTCCCGGAATCACCTAAGAACATGTCAGAAACTGGCTCCAGAAGGTAACGTATTGTCGACATTACCTTTCCATACAGGATGAGGACGAGATCCACGATTGATGTTCTGTCTTGCGACTGAAAGAAAGCTGCTTGCTATCGCCGTTGGGTATAATGCGTCGCGTTGCGCTGCATATTGTTGAGTCCATATTGCATAGATAAGTTCATTGAAAATCCTTGACGCGTCCAAATAAGTTAGATCCGATTTGCCGTATTTCCGTAGCCTTCATTAGCCAAGAGCTTCGCATCAGTGAATGAAACTCGGAATAGAATAGCGATGACTTTACCTTAGACATAAGCATTCATGCCCGATCTCTGTTGATTACCGTCGTCGATAGCAAGCGCAGGTCCCAGGCCTGGTCGTCGGACATTTACAAGTGCCTCGGCGCACCAACGTCATAGGAGCCGTAGGGCGTGCCGTCATCGTGCTGTAAACCACAGGTGGTATCGCCATCGGAATAGAGCTTATAGCCCACTTTGGAACTGACAGCGTAGACCTAAGCGTCGGGATCTTACCAGTGTCATGGCGACGTCCACGGCGCACCAACACCACACAAGTCGTGGGACGTGTCGTCACCGCAGGTTTTATTACTGTCGGAAGAGGAGCCGTGGGCCATTTGGGGACTACCAACGTAGGCGCGGTCGTCGGGGATTGATCAGCGCTATGGCCAGTGCGCACCATTGCCATACCAGTCGTAGGACGTGCCATCATCTTGACCAAGATAGCAGGTGGAATCGTCGTCGGAATAGAGCCTGTAACCCATTTGGGGACTGACAGTGTAGGCCTGAGCATGGGGGTTTTACCAGTGTCACGACCACGTCGACGGCGCACCAACACCATGCAAGTCGTAGGATGTGTCGTCACCATCGCCGATACTACCGCAGGAACAACCGCCGTCGGAACAACTGCCGCCGGAATAGCTGCCGCCGGAATAGCTGCCGCCGGAATAGGAGTCGTAGGCCAGTTAGGAACCATCAGTGTAGGCGCGGTCGTCGGGGATTGATCAGTGTTACGGCCACTACGCACCATTGCCATACAAGCCGAACGACGTGCCACCATCTTGACCAAAATAACAGGTGGGATCGCTGTCGGAATAGAGCTTGTAGCCCACTTGGGAACTGACAGAATAGGTTCAAGCATCGGAGTGTTACCAGCGCCACGGCCACGTTCACGGCGTACCAACACCATACAAGCCTTGGGATGTGTCGCCACCATAGCTGGCATTGCCGTTGGGATAGGAATCGTGGGCCATTTGGGAGCTATCAGTGTAGGTACGGGCGTCGGTGATTGACAAGTGTCACGGCCACTACGCACCATTGCCGTGCGAGTCGTGGGATGTGTCGTCATTGTACTCACAACCACAGGTGGTATCACCGTCGGAATTGAGCTTGTAGCCCACTTGGGAACTGACAGCGTAGGCCTAGGCGTCGAAATTTCACAAATGCCACGGCCTCGTCCACGTCCACGGCGCACCAACGCCATACGAGTCGTGGGATGTGTCGCCACCGCAGTTGGTAGTACCGTCGGAATAAGAGTCGTGGACCGATTTGGAACCATCAGTGTAGGTGCGGGCGTCGGGGATTGATCAGTGCTGCGGCCGGTGCGCACCATTGCCGTGCAAGTCGTAGAACGTCTCATCATCTTAGCCAAGAAGACAGGTGGTATCGCCGTCGGAAAAGAGGTCGTAGCCCATTCGGGGATTATCAGTGTAGGCGTAGTCGTCTGAGATTGACAATCGCCACGGCCACGGCGCACCAAAGCCGTACAAGGCGTAGGACGTGCCGCCATCGTTGCCAAGGCCACAGGTATCGCCGTCGGAATAGGCGTCGTCGCCCACTTGGGAACGTTCAGCGTAGCAATAAACCTCGCCATGGCATCTTCGTTCCAATCGTTGTCATCGAGGCCGGCGTCGTATTCTGCAGCGGTTGTACCATGCACGACTGCCGCCGCTGACATTGTCGTCGCCATTGGTGTCCCAAGCCCGAAAGCATCATCAAGATCCTTGAAGTCCATCGCCGGCATCCCAAGCCCGAAAGTATAATCAAGATCCTCAAAGTCATGCTCTACCTCTGCGCAAAGGGTGGATTGCGCAGTGGCGTTCGCTTCATGTGAATCCGAGTCCAACTCCCAGTCCCATTGATATTGCGATGGCTCCATGTCGCGCCATTGGGGGAAACAATCGCTCCAGTGCGCCACGTCTGGCCTCGTAATGCCTACAAAGTGGTCGCCAAGCCAGAGCTTGAAGCACGCGTCCGGGTGGTTGCTAGCTTCCAGAGGGAGTAAGACGGCAATGTCCTCTGGCGGATTCTCTGCATCGGCGCCCTCTACCGAGAAGAGCATACGCAGAACGAGTATTGCAGATTCAGAATCGGCCATCACGGTGACAAACTTCCACGCGATGATATAATCGGAGTACTCCTGATGGAAGAAGGCGTCCAAGCGCAACATATCGACAGATGAGATGTAGAAGCCAAGCCCATTGTCCTTGATGATGTCCTCGATAGGGTCCTCGGAGGCGCCCTCGACGGCGGCCGCGCTAAGCACAGTAGGAACAGAGCGTTCGTCGGCAGGCGAGGGCAAGTACCAAGTAATCAATTGCGTTACCGGCTGCCATTGGGGTGAGTCGGTAGAGCCTATCTTCACCTGTGACTTGAGAGGACGGAGTCGCTGAAACCTCTTGTACAATCCGACATGAGCCTGACGTCGTTTAATTACTGGGTAAGAACGCGTCTGGACCTGTATCGTCGACTGCTGAATCACCTTTGTCTCCAAGGTCTCTTCAGTGACTGTTCTCAAAGATTCCGAGTTAGCAGGCATAACGTCATCGTACTGTTCACCGTCATGTGAGATCAATGCACTTGTTAACAAAAACAGCTGGCGAGTGCGTACCTTGTTTTCGTCCAAAGTATGGATAGATGTAACCCGGAGGACCCAGCATACCGTAAAACCCAAAGCAAAGCCTATGCACAGCGCCCAACAGAAAAAGGCCAAAAGCTTAGTGTCGGCAGTTACAACCACAGTGCGCGTCGGCGTTGGGTCCATGTCAATACCATTGTTAGTCGTCGGAGTAGGCACCAGTAGTTCTTTGTTCCCAAGCTTGGAGCCAGAGAAAAGAAAGTCGAGAAGCAGAGTGGCACGGAATACATTCTGGAGGTTGTCCCATGAAGTGTGGCGCACGAGCGGGTTGTCCAGCAGAGGGTGGCGCATGAGCGCGAGAAAGGGTAAAGCAGACATTGCAGTCGCTTCGATGGAGGAATGCCTAACTTTCTAGGGCTTTATATATGCGAGATTTGGAATTGGCTCAGTATACGCAGCTGGAGCTGTTCACTGTGAGGTCGAGAGGAGAGCCTCACACAGACCTCGTGGTAATCACTCCTGGAAACGCCCGGGAGTTTCAGACTCCGAGCGGATCTTGTGGCGATTCGTCCCTCCTGCCGGTCTCTGCCGGTGATCCGAGACCTCGGCAGCCACAGGTAGCAGAATGGAGAGCCGCAGAGAGCCACTCTGGCAGCGTGCCATCATGCAGATATGCATCATGGGCCTCGTGGCATTCACAATGCCACTGATTGGAGCGTTATGGAAGATCGTGGACAATGGGTGTTCATTTGATGTGAAGCAGGTGCTGAGGAGCTCGGCGACAAGCAAGCCAATCCGAAGCAAGACAAGATGAATAGTGTCCGCGCGTGTCGTACAGTCATGAGTGATGTATACACACCGAACAAGAGATTGTACTGGAATAACCGCGTTGATCAAGTCACCTAGGTGGAAAATGACGGACATGCGGATGAGGGTCTCAAATAATATCCTGCTAGCTTCTTTTGACCGCTCGCTGAGTTTTGTGCAGGCAGCGTGACGGACAGCGTAAACAAACAAGCTCAGCACTGCGTCATGCCCTGTGCTGCGAGAGCGCACGAGCGGCATTAACGGTCGCCTGAGTCCGTCGTCATCGCCAGCCAGCCGTAGTATACACGATGTTTGATATGCCGCACACAAACGGGGTCTTCATTATTTCAAATGGGAAGAGAGACATTCTACTGCGCAGCAGCCACAGAATCAACATGGGCCCTCGTGAGCGTTTTTGAAGTTGTATAGACACTCAAAAGATGAGAGTATACGCCAGGAATACTGGCTTTACACACCGCTTTCGGCAGAGGCTCGAGCCAGCGTTCGGTGTTCCGCTCTAACGCTTACGATACAACTAGTAGAGCGCCACTATCAATACTTTCAGCGGCGAATTGAGCGGACTGGAAAGACGTGATTAACAGTATCAGCAGTATTAAGGCCTCGCGTACTACGGGCATCTAGCACGAGGCGCATCACATCTGCGCGATGACATCGTGTTCGTCTCTTCTGACGCACGCATCTTTCCTTTCACTTACAAACCTCATAGTGACATTCGCCCGATGCGCCCGGGTGAAGAGTTATCCTGGAGTTCGCCTGAGTATCGCGTAGCCCAGTCAGAGCCGGTGAAATAATCAGACGACCATAGTTTACCTCACGTAACTAACACTCCAGGGCCCCATATCAGTATGTTTCTTCGAGTAAAAAAGAAGAGGAAAAGAAACGAAAGAAAAAACATCGTCGTTGGCTGTTTTCCTCAAACAACTCGGAATACTGCAACAACACAGTACGAAGCACATCTGGATTGCATGTGGCGACGCGCACACTGTACTGGCATCTACATGCGTGTGAGCACCACGCCACACGACATCAACCAAAGGTCGCACCGGAGATTGCTGAACGTGGTCCCATACTTGTCGAAGAGCTGAAAGAGATTCCCTGGAGCAGGGCGCGACAGAAATGCCAGCACACTACTATCGTATTCGCATTCATCGAGCAAAGAGTGACTATCAAGGGAGTATAGTCAAAGAATGCAGACTGCCGCAAGAGGCGGTACGTATACAGACCGAAGCTCGTCATCGGAGAACATCATAGTGTTGAAGCACGCACCGTTGTTCCAACACATAGGATTGTCAGTAATTGTTAGACCTCGAGTCTGGTGGCTCCACCATCTCGCTGCACTCTCAACACTGCAGTGGTAACATCGTCACTAAGCGCAATCGCCAAACATACCCTTGTCTCTCTTAGGAAATGTAGCGTCGTGTAGCCTCCAAGGATAGCGAATTGGCCTGTGCGGCACTCAGAAGGCAGTAGTTTTCTGGACCAATAGGCTGTCGCTACTAAGAACTTGAAGCTGCACCATATTAATAACGGAGTCGACTCCTGAGTTCTTAATTCGATCAGTGCTCACCTCTGTGAAAGAGCATACAGGAGTCAAACAGCGCGGTATCTTGTTTCTATGCAATCCGGCCTGTGTGTAGTTGGAAGAGGGTTTCTCAAAGCAAACTTAGCATGTTGGTAAAACAACTACCTCTTACGCCGCTTAAAGCGACTCGGCGCCACTTCAAGATCGGATCCAGAGCTAACGGGCCCAGGAGGAAGCGAGAATCATATATGTATACAGCTTGGCAGCCAAAGCTACTGTACATCCGCGTATACCCTATAACAATAAGAGGCGGGACACGTTTATGATACGCAGTACGTCGCTATAGCATACAAAGGGGAACCGACGAGGCTTTCGTGACAGGTCATAAGAGGCCGGGATACAAATGAGCAAGGCGTGCGGGATGAGCTGACAACGACGGAGAGGAGCTTGCGAATGAAGATGGTATGGAGACAACGGCAAAGAGGCATAGATAAAGGGCATCATTGTGCTATAAGTTAGCAATATCATTCGGACGACCTACGTTGCCGAGGATGAGCAGGGTGGTGGTGGTGGTATAACAGGGTATATACAAGACGTTAATGGCGTGTTTGTGTCGCGGCTTGTCTGGTTGACGAGCGCCGAGGACCTGATTCAATCTCTCTTCTCGCGCTTGGAGGTGCTCCTGCTCCAGTCGACACTACGACTGCGTGCCGTATGCGTTCTTCGCGGAATCGGCCGCGGCGTGGCAGCGGCCGAATACGTGCTCGACCCAGTGGGCGTCCACGACACAGACGGCATAGGCGCAGGAGGCACGCTGCCCGAACGCGCACTGCGCAGGATATCGGCCTTCAACACGCTCCACAGCTGTGCACGAGCCGACGGAAGATGAGACCCAGCGCCCGCTTCTTGAACAGCATCGTCTGACCGCCGGTCAGCCAAGCCATCCACCTCGCTACCAGTGTCGGACGTGACTGAGCCTAGTTCTTGAAGCGGATCGAGGTGGCCCGCGTCTGGGCTCAGCGCATTTGCTTTCCGCACCCCCAGACCGGCACGCACCGGGAGACCCTCGGCGTCGAGATCGCGAGGCGTGAGCGGCATGTCCATCGGGCTCACGGAGCGCGAGTCGCACAGATGCTCTTGCGCGAGCAGGAAGGAGCGCGGCCTCGGCAGGCGGCCACGCTCGCGTTCTTGCGCAGCCTCGTGAGAGTTGCTAGGTGTCATCAGGACCGCAGAGTCCCCCGGCACAGACGAGTCAGACGACGTAGACCCCGTCCGTAGGATAGCATGCGTGAGCGCGGAGAATGTGGGTTGCGTAGGAAGAGGATATACTTGTGGACGTTCGTGGACGTGGTGCTCGTGACGCCGTTGGTGATACGGCTCGTATGGGTGGCTGGGATGACGGGAGGCATTGCGGCTTGAGCGGCGCATAGACGAAGATGATCGGCTAGTCGCACGAGAAGACGATCGATGACTTTCAGCATCGTCAATGGCGACGCTCTCCAACTGGACACGGAGACGAGAGCGGGAGCGGGAGCGAGACTTCGCATCTGCGATTATAACGGTATCGTCTGGCGTCTCGTCTGAACCGATGCACCACGCCAGGTCGTCGACCACCGCTACCGTCCAACGACTCGGAACAGAGCGTTCCAAGCAGCCCCTAATAACACGCTCTGCGCCACGACCAATGCCTTCGGGCATGTCGTACACGCCTTCGATACGTCAGTACTCGACTTCTCACACGTAGAGTCAGCCAATCAGACGCACCATGCAAAATTTTCATCTGCAGCCGCGGATCATACGAGTCCACGAAGGGCAATCGCCCAGACAAGAGAGTGTACAGCATGATGCCCAGCGCCCACATATCCTGCGCAGGATGCGGTGAGTATGGAGTCGAAGACGGCGGAAGAAGGAGCTCGGGTGCAGCATAGGGCAGCGACCCTTGCTGTATCCGGCTAGATAAGCTAGGTGAAGGAGGCGAGGAGCCAGGAAGCGGGCTCGAGTTGCGATGGCGCGGGCCGCTGTGATGGCGAATCAAAGATAAGTGGGCGGGAATGGGACCCTGCTTGCCGTGCGATCGCCGCGAGTGCACCAGTGTCTTGCCTCGCACCCTGCGCGTTCTCGCCCCTTCGTCTTGTTCGGGCTGCTCACCGCTCTCGTCTGACTTGTCTGGCTCGCACTCGCCGATCTTGCGTGCCATTCCAAAGTCGGTGATTCTACACACACCCATCTCGTCTACAAGCACATTCTCCAGCTTCATGTCTCCGTGCACCACGCCCCCTCCTTCGTGCAGGTACCGCAGCCCCCGCACCACCTGCCTGAACATCATTCCAACGTCATCGCGCGGCAGCCCTGGCCGCCCGTCCCGCTTCAGGATGTCGAACAAGCTGCCGGCGGGACAGTACAGCGTGACAAAGTAGTCTGCGTGCAGTGTATGCGTGACTGAGAATAACGGCAGGACGTGCTCGTGGCAGAGGGTGCTCCAGACAGCAGCTTCGTGGTCGAGGCGCTTGCGAGCTAGCGCGGGGTCAGTGTGCTTCGAGAGATCGGACCTGCGTACGATTTTGATGGCAACTGAGCCGCCTTGACCTGACGTAGCGGCGCGAATGGTGGAGAAACCACCCACGCCAATGACGGGACCAAGCTGGTATCCCGAGATGATCGTCCCTTCACCATCTTGGGCTGCGGCAGGCTCTGGAGATGCGCTGAAAGAGGACAGGAAGAGGGCAGCTGGCGACATCGACAAGTCTGATTGCGAGGTGTCTCCCATTGAAGAAGGCGATGTGATGAACCGGGTGTCTTGTGCTTCCGGGGCAGATGTCGCTACGACATGGCTCGGGACTGCTCGAAGCTGCTGTTCATGTTGAACATCTCCTGGATGCCCGTCGTCCGTAAGAATATTGGACAACCTCGGGCGAGCGGCTGTGATAGGTTCATCGTGAACGTGCGGAGTAGACGATGTTTGTGCGTCACTGTTGTACATTCACTTTGCGTTGGAAGTCGCTTCGAGGTCGAGGAGCAAGCAAATTGACGACTCGAGGAAGAGAAAGTGAGCGCGCCGGCAGAGCTCCGCGGAGCTCCGTTCCAGTGCTTATGTCAGCTTACTTTCTCACGCTCAAACTCCGAGTCAGAAAGTGACAAGTGTGCTTAGCTTCATCCAGGCTTCATCATACACCGGCTCCGCCTTCATTTCGTGCGCTGCAGAGCTGGTTCATTCCGAACGCTGGAGGCAATGAGAGGAGAGAAAGAAAGCAGGGTCCACATCCAGCGGCGGTGCAGGCGGCCTTTATATACCTGAAAGGGCATGACGTCGATGCATCATCTCGAGACGACTGTGACATCATCGACCACTTGTGTCCGCAAAGTTCGAGTGGGAACAGAAGGTTTTCCTAAACAGGAAAATACCTGTATATCTGGTGAGTCTGCAACGTACCACTTGAAGCTTGAGCTTGAGCAAAGATACCTTATAAGACCAAAATGGCTCCGACCTATTTCCCAATTGCTGTGATGCAGACTAAAGCCTTCATATAACCAGAAAGTTAAATCCTCTACCTCTTGGCGCACGCTAGTCGGGGACATGCATCTAAGTTATCCCGAAGGAAAGGAATGAATCTACTGATTTGCCGTCCTCTACTTCATTATATTAGGACCAATTAGCTCGATCGTTGCTTGCGCAAATCCTCCATCATGCGCCAGCCGAAACATTTTGTTTCTGAAGCCAGCTGGAATCCTCAAATTGATCAGCACACGCATCCAAAGGTATGATACAGCTAGTCAGTGGTGTAATTGCCTGCTACGATCGCGAGGCTAACAGCGTCAGCCGCAGACGCGGCTGACATTGCTGACACTGGAGGCGAACATCGGGCAACTTCACAATCAGGCCTACTTAAACCGCTCCGACACTCTCATCTCTCCATCGAAACAACCGCAATGCTCACTCTCTACATTCTCACTCTCGCACGCCGCATCTTGCTGGACAATCTCCAGCATATGCTCCGCGCTACTCTGCTACTCAACTCTCTTCTCTCTGGCTCCAAGCCTGGGGGCCAAGAGCTGCTGCTGCCTACACCGACGACCAACGATGGCATCGACCTCGACCCGACACCGACGCGCGCTGTGGTTGTGACCGCCGACACCACGCTTATCGCTGTCACCTGCTGGGTTGTCTGTGTCGTCGCTACGCTCGGTCTGTCTGTCGGCTGGCTGCTCTGGCATCCCTATGCGCCTGGCTCGGAGTGCGGCAAGGTATGTGTTCGCTCAATCCCTTTTCTTGGCCTAAGCTGATCAGACATCAGTATGTGGTCGCAAGTCTCGGTGCTGTGTGCTCGTCTGCCACTGGAACGACGTCGGACCCTCCGGGGTGGGAGGCTGACATGAAGCCGAGGAAGAAAGTCAAGATGCGACCTCGGCCTGTGTCCGGGCGTCGTCAGCGTCGTGTGCGCCTCCTGGAGCGGTCGAAGCAATGTGGTCCTCGCAAGTCTCAGGTCAATGCTGGGTCTGCCTGGTCGCTCGGGTCTCTGCCGGTCATCAAGCTGCTCACTTGGTACTCTCCTGCTGCTGTCGACGAGTCTTCTCTGCCTGCTGCGCCTAGTGTCGAAGAGGTCAAGGCCGACGACATGGGCTTCTACTTCTCGTCAGCCGACATTGGGTTGCTCGACGCCTTCGTCCGCGAGCGCTATGTCCTCGCCTGGAAGCTCGTCTACGTGTCGCTCGGGGACGCCTCTGCCACGCTGATCCTGCGCATGCTGTTCACACATGAAGGCGCGCACCCGGATGACGCACCGATCGACTGTGCCGTGTTCCTCCCGCTCGTCGCTGCGCACAACCAGGAAGCACTGTTCAAGGTGTGGCTCGGTGACCACTTTGTCGGCATAGGGCAGCCTGGGCAGATGGTGTGGAGCGAGTACCAGGTGTATGCTCGGAGCGTGGGACTGCAGCTCTGGAATCACCTGTGGGACTGGGAAGTGTCGGCCACGCTGGACGCCATCGACGCTGCGCTCGCTGGGCAGGATGGACCTTGTGCTGAGGCAGAAGTTGGCGTTGACGACTCCGGCTTTGAGGACGAGCAGTACGGATGGGATGGCGAAGATGAGCCGGACAACGCCTGGGACGGCGGAGAAGACACGGATGGCTACTACCCTGACGGCGACGCGGCCTATGAGCAGCAGCCCAGTGGCCAGGGTTCGGCCTACGATGCACTGCTCGCTGCCCTCGACGATGCCATTGCTATGAATGGCGGTGCAGGCACCGACATGCAGCATGGCGTTGACGATGGTGGCTATGAGGACGAAGCGCAAGGATGCTACGATGAGGACGAGGCTTATCGCTCCTGGAACGGCTCGTACCACGACGATGACGCGGCATCCGGTCCTTGGTATGGGGAAGACGCGTAGCGACTGGGTGCGAGACAAGAACTGAGTGCTTGCAATCTCCCACGATGAAGGCAAATGCTAGCGACTGCGAACGATATACACGCTCGTTCTACGGAGAGGAAGGTGAGCGCGCTAGCTAATCGTTCCGAAACACGGTGCCTGATACCTTGTCTTCCAGGTGCGACGTGATGACGGGGCGGCTGATATTGAGGATGAACATATGGCGAGAGAACATGACAGGGTTCTGAGTATCTTAAGGTCTTTGTACGAGGATAGGAAATGCAATTCTGACGTCAGCTTGAAACTATGGCACAGAGCGTGCACAAACAAGCAAGCAGGAATCAACTATTGTGCAGAAGCAGGTATAGAAGTGGGATCATCTGTTCGTGTGGCTATCAAGTGACCATCCATACAGCCACAACAAGCCTCCGGAAGTGTCGACTCAGAAGCTGCCCTTGCCCCGTACCCGAACAATACGCAAGTGCAGACAGCGCAAGCGCCAATGGTTTCGAAGATCGCGCTGACCAATCAGGACCTCCTTGATCGATCCATTTGAGCCACACAGCAAAATCAAAACCTAACACTCGTCATCTAATACTACCATTGTATCACAAACCGCAATTTTCCAGTGTCTCAGGGTGCATGGATGGGTAATTCGCGTTCAATAGGTGGCATTAGCGTGATGTTCGCGTCCTGCATTTGATCCGCGACGACGTAACTTTATTCGTGTTATATTGCCACGAAGAAGGATGCTGTGGGAGACCTCGACCGCTCAGGTCTGTTCCCTGACTCTTATCAGCTTACAGATTATGCCCACCAACGTGAGGTTCTCCACCCGCTGCCATCGGCGCAATGTCAATGCTGCTCAGCAGGGATGCCATCGTGACGCGATTGCGCCGATTCCAGACAACTTATACACGAATTCAAGATGTGAACGCTTACCAGGTAGATCCATACTGGCACTAAGAAGACTCTAATGTATTTTCTTATTGGATCCCGCGCCCTCTAGGTTCGTCGGCTTGCATGCCGCCCGCCGGACCCCGTCGTGTAATTCATCCCTATTCTATACTGTGGTCATGACATGCGGTCCATCGACACATCAGCTCTGCGTGATGCACATTCTTGAATGTGTCGCAAGCTATATAAACAGCGACACCATACTGCTCATCTCTTCCCTTTGTCTCGCGCTATCTTCGTGTCGATGGATGCTCTCGATGTTCGTTCGCAGCTGTGCCTTGCTGGTGCTGTGGTCGTATTCTCCCTCCTGCTACTTTTCCGAGGAAAATCAAACTATGCATTGAACAACATTCCCGGACCGCCCTCTCAGTCTCTCTGGACGGGTACGTTAATCGTATACCCCAAGGGCAGAATGTATTCTGAATACCCATAGGGAATCTGAATCAATGGCTCGCACGCGACGGCGCAGAGTTCCAACGAAATGTGGCCTTCAATTACGGTCCTGTTGCGAAGATACATGGTTTTATAGGCGTAAATGACTTCTGTGGATCTGGAGCTGCAAGAGTTACTGACCTTTGTGGTTATGCAATAGCGGCCGATTCTGTACGTTGCGGATCCGAAAGCCTTACAAACTATTTTAGTCAAAGAAGAACATGTCTATCAAGAAATGCCAGCGTTCTTCGCGTATGTGTCCCACATCCGTGTGCCCTACCAAGCCCTGACATTCATTGAAGGCACATGAATCTGCTTTTCGGACCTGGCTTGCTAGGCACGGCTGGTATGTTCTGCTTCTCTAGAATTACGTCGAACTCTTATGCTCGTATTCCAGGCGACAAGCATCGTAAGCAGAGGAAGCTCTTGAACCCTGTGTTCTCCATCAGACATATGTGTCATATGTTGCCAATCTTCTACGGTGTCGTGCATAAGGTGGATACCAATATCCGTTTCGACAGCTGACCATTATAACGTCTCATCGGTCCTTTAGCTTCGGGATGCAATTGCCATGCGCATTTCTGACGGCCCCGCCGAGATCGACTTCCTTCACTGGATGGGCCGGACAGCGCTCGAGTTAATTGGCCAAGGCGGCCTAGGATATTCCTTTGACAAGTTGGTAGAAGATGGCGACAATGAATATGGGCATGCCATAAAATCCCTCCAGTGGGTGTCATCTCTGCTATTATTCGCTCGACATCGTTTCTGAAGGTATATATTTGCATTTTCAAGGCCGACTCTACAACGAATCAACATTCTCAGGCGGCTGCTTCCGTACGTTCACAAGCTCGGACCCGTGTGGTTCCGGCGCCTAGTCATGCAGTACTTCCCCATCAAGAACGTGCGGGAAGCCAAGATGTGCGTCGATACAATGCACCGCTGCTCTACGGAGATATACAAGTCCAAGAAGATCGCTCTTGCGAGGGGCGAGGAGGCGGTCTTGAAGCAGGTCGGAGAGGGGAAGGACATCATGAGTATCTTGAGTAAGTTCGAAATTGAGCAGTGAGAATATGCCAGTCATCAGTCTCATCCATGACACAGTGAAGGCAAACATGGAAGCTTCTGTGGCCGATCGGATCCCAGAGGAGGAGCTATTGGCTCAAATGTCGTATGTGCCGCGAATCGCTGAATGACGACAACGACATTCTCACTTTATCTGGCAGGACATTCATTTCTGCTGCTACAGATACGACCTCAAACACGCTGGCTCGCATTCTGGAGCAATTAGCGATTCACCCGCAGACGCAACAGAAGTTGCGCGAAGAAATTATAACTGCTAATGCTGGAGAAACAATGGCATACGACGACTTGGACAGCCTACCTCTCCTCGATGCAGTATGTAGGGAGACCTTGCGAGTGTGAGTGTTCATCTGTTCTCATTGTATTGCCACTTTGATGAACACTCCATGATAGCTTCCCCTCGGTCACTAACCTTGCGCGCACGTACGTCCTCATTCGATTTAGGAATCACGTATCTCAAAACTGAGGTTGCTTTCGATTACAAAGGCCGATACAAGACACGATCCTTTCCCTATCTGAACCAATTGTTGGTGTCAATGGCACGGTTATGCACGAGATCATGGTGCCGAAGGGGACCGAAATTTTCATCGGTGTTCAGGGCAGCAATGGAAGCCAGGCACGCTGGGGAGGTGACTCTTACGAGTGGAAGCCCGAGCGCTGGCTCTCACCGCTTCCCAAGACGGTCACCGGAGCTCCTGTGCCAGGGGTTTATTCCAATCTGCAAGTCGCTCTATGTATGCTGGTATGGCAAAATGATGGCTGAACACACTGTGTCACGCAGGATGACGTTCATGGCGGGAAGGCGGGCTTGCATGTGCGTGCGGATATGAGTTTGTCATCGTAGGTGCCTCATACACTGAACTGACGCTATCACTATTGTCGACAGCGGGTTCAAGTTCTCGGAGATGGAAATGAGTAAGCCGTGCTCGTCTGTGCCGTGATAACACCTTGGTGCTGAGCAGCCTTCTTTGTTCGTAGAGATCGTCCTCGCCGTTCTGCTCTCCAACTTCACCTTCGAGCTGACCGCCAAGCCGATCGAATGGAACGTCTCCGGCGTCCGGTACCCCACGGTTGGGAAGGAGAGTAACGTGGCTCAACTCCCGCTCAAGGTTGGATTGTACAGCAATGGCAAGACATAGTTATGTGCAAACACACCTTATATCAGCCGTATTATGTCGCGTAATCATTTTGCGGATCAGAAGCCCTTACCTGGACGTTACTATGCAGCTGTACTCGTTTCTCAGGCCCGATATATGGTGATCGTAAGTAAGAGTCGTTGCTCGAGGCCCACGGTGAGTGCTGAGGAATGCGCACCTTGAATGGCTCGATGAAAATCTCATTTCTGTGTGCTGGAGTGTTTGGTCCAGGGATAGGGGGTTCATTAGAATCCGAGTCGGGGCTGAGGCGTTCATTGATAAGACTGATGATGAATAACTATCAGTCAGAGGCGCACCATGCTGCATTACAATCACCTCGACTACTCAACCCGCGCGATGCTCACAACGAGACTCGTTTTAGTGGCCCCGACTAGCTAAATTACCCAGCCCTTGTATCACATAAGGGAATATGTTACAATACAGTGAAGGATCCTCACTCGCATCGAAGCTACTCTGCGATCAGCATTGAATCATTCATTGATTACATCGATATTCTATCATTTTGACATGCTTAGCGCTACAATGCGTTCATACATTCTTTGATAAGCTACACTTCACTTACATCTTGGAACCTTTAATCGTCAACCAACAGGAGCGAGTCCAGCACTGAGAACCCAGTAGCGACACCACCTTCATTACTGTCCTTTCCCTTCGTCCTGACCAGCCACCCAACTTCTTTCTCCCGCACAGCGCCGTCCTTCCCACCAAACAGCGCCCAGCCGAAGATACCTAATTCACTCACCACGTCCGTCTTCACCGCACTGTCCGTGCCTCCGCCGGCACGGACGAGGAAGTTGCCCAAGCCCTCCGGTGCAGCGATGAGCTCCATGGCGATCCATGCTTCACGCTCAACGGGCGGCAAAGTGTCAAGGAACGCGGGTATCGCATCCTTATAGATGTTGTTGCCGCCGCCCTCGCGCTGCGGCTTTAGCACGAGTGAAGATGCGAGTGCGCGGGCCTTCCGCACACCGGACGATTCGGGCAGCTGCGGCGCATCGCGTGGCGTATCAACATCCTCGTCGAGCCCCCACATGCCCATCCAGCTCGAGCGGAGCGCATCAATATCTTCGCGGGAAAACACAGCCGTTCCCCAGCGGGCCTCATCGCACAGGAAGCCCTCGAGAACTCCCGGATTCGTCAGGACCTGCTGAACCTTCTTGCCGCCAGCGAGCTGCAGTTGTATGGACGGACACTGAATTGCGCGTGAGCTTTCGAGGAGATAGCGCGTATCATAGTGCGCCGGCGTGGGGTAATCGACCGGGGTGTAGCCCGCACGGAAATAGACTACAGAAATCTCCACTCGTTGGGAGCCATAAGGAAGAAGTCCCGGCGCAAGCGTGACTTGCAGGGCGCGCGTGGTTGGATCGACTTCTGCAGAGCTCGTCAATTGGCTGAAGGTCTGGCGCACGACGTGGATCCCGTGTCTAAATAGTAGCGATCAGCGATCTGCGCCAACAAGGGAAGCGAAATCGCGTACTTGTCTAGGAGTTCGTATTCCAGCCAACGCTGGTCGAAGACGTTGCGCTCGTTGTCCTGGACCACAAATAGGATACATGCGCTAGCCATGATCACTTCAGCAAGGGCGAAATTGCTGCTGTTCGCTTGCTCACTTCAAGATCCCGTACGCCTTGTGCCCTTCTGCGAGCCCTTCTGCGAGTCCTGCAGTTGTTCGATTTGGTGGGAAGTTCTCGGCCCTGAGATGCGACGAGGCGCCATAGTACTGAGTTGATTTGTACAGATACCTGCGTAGATGCGCATTTGAGACGCAATCAAAAGTCAAACCATGGAGCTCACTCATGGAGATCGGCAGCCCGCTCCGATAACGCCCCAAACGACGACGATATTGTGTTGAATTCCACCTGCCTGAGCGAGATCGGTTCCCCATTGCCTGGCGCATGCAGCAGATAATCAGAGCGAAAGAGACCTAGTTGCAGAGGCTGTCGGTCGGAGATCACGCACTGTAACAACTCGTCTAGCGTGATACAACCATACCTGTACGACCCCCTCATCTCGAAGCCTACGCCAACGTCTCCAAAGCTGACCTGTGAACTCATCCACTTTACCCACACCATCCACCTCGCCCATGACTCGATCCAGGAAGCTCTCGTCGGTCGCGATTCTGGCGTACAGCACATTGTATATCCTCTGCAACCTCTGTGCGAGGTGGAACAATCTGCGCGGGAAAGGAGATGGGAAGAGGGCTAGAGGTGCATGTATTGTCGACGTCGGTGCTGGAGGCTGGGCCTTGGCCACTGGCAGGTAAACTAATCCATGAGACAGAGCATATGTAGTAGCCAGAAGAGTGAGAGCCTGCAATTGAGCCTCCGAAAGGGTCGGAGGCCAGTCCATGAAAGTATGGGTCGCCATCGTTGAGACTAGCTACAACTTGTTGAGTTCGCCACCTGGAAACACGAGACACCAGAGCTTACAAGTACTGCACTTGAAGTTCCAACTTGGCTTTGTGCGTCCTTAGCTTGTATGCGCTGGCACACGGGGAATCTGTGCGTATAAGTTGTGGGCAACCTGCGAGCATGTCCAAGTCGTAGAATTGGTGCGATCCTAAGCTAGGGTTAGGGTCTGCTGCTTATCGCTGCCCTATTGATTGAACTGTCAAACATCATAAGTAGCGAAGTCAAAGCTTTCCCTTATCAGTCGCAATTGCCGTTTTCGTTCTTTGTCTCTTACGTCTCTGCTCGTCTGCAAGCCAACTATGTATGCACTGTACTTTGTCTGCCTTGGACTGCTGTATGTGGTGTATGAACGTCTCGTTCTCTCGTCTTTGAGTAAAGTGCCGGGACCTGCGATTGCCGCCACCACCCGTCTCGTCTTGATGTATTATGAATTCACTCGGCGCCGACGACGCTGGATCCACGCCCTACACAAGAAGTATGGTCCTATTGTGCGCATAGCGCCAGACGAAATATCCTTTGCAACCTGGGACGCGGCGAAAGAGATCTATGTCTCGGAAGGCAGCGGCTACGATAAAACGCTGTTCTATAAGTTATTCGACAATTACGAGACAGAGTATGTCTTTGACGTCCCTTTTGTTTTGTGAGGGGACTAAATTTCCACTATAGATGCATGTTTTCGACCTTAGATAGAGCTCCTGTAAGCATTTCCTCCGGACTTGTTACCTGCTGACCGTATTGGATTATCGTAGAGTACCTAACGCTGACGTGGTTTATTGTTAGCATGGTGAACGCAGAAAGCGCATTGCAGACAGATACAGCAAGACGTTCATTATGCAACCTGATGTTATTAGCGGTGTACAAGAGAGAGCTGAACAATTTGTAGCCAAATGTACAGAAAAACCGGGATCAGAAGCAGTCGACGTCTATGTCAGTCTAACAGCTCGTAGTCTGTTCATTACTCAACCATTCTTCAGATCTATCTTCACTGTTACGCTATCGACTGCATCACGTACCACTTATTTGATCCTCATGGGTTGAACTCTCTGGCAGATGCGTCTGACCTCATGAAGGTCAAAGAGTTGTCACACCATGACAACCTCAAAGGTGAGTGGGGCGGTATCTCTGCATATTACAGGTGATTCAAGGATGTGACGTAGATTCATACATGCAATATTACTTCACCGAACTCTTCCGCTACACCGCCAGCTTTTCCCGGCGGGTAGATCGTTCGAAGCGCATTGCCGCACAGATCATCAACATCGCCCGGCGTAGTGATATCGCAGAGCATACGGTCTTATACAGGCTGCAGACGCACGAAGACAAGCTCGACACGCGTTCAATCGCATCGGAGCTCCTGGACCATACCCTTGCAGGCCTGGACACCACCGGAGACGGGCTGTGCTTCCTGATGCACCAACTCTCGTTACCCGCTTCTGCGGCAATCCAGGAGAAGCTGCGCCTCGAGCTGACAGAAAACACGAGCATGCCGATTGACGACCTGCCATACCTCGACGCAGTGGTGAAGGAGGGCTTGCGGTGCTTCTCGCCCATCCCAATGAGTCTGCCGCGCAAGGTACCGCGCGGTGGGCGGACGATTGGTGATATCTTCCTCCCGGAGGAGACGATCGTGAGCTGTCAGGCATACACATTGCACAGAATTGACGAGAAGGTCTTCCCCAACCCTGACAACTTCGTCCCCGAGCGGTGGTTGGAGTCTGAGGGCAACATCGAGCGCAATCAGCTCCTGCTCGCGTTCTCGACAGGCGGCCGTGGCTGTATAGGGAAGCAGTGAGTCTCGGATAGATCATATCCTAGGTTATTTCTGACACGGTCTCGCTTCCTAATAGCCTAGCCCTTCTTGAGATGAAAATGTTGCTGAGGGAAACATACTCCTCTTACCGAACGTCGGTGGCATCGGAGATGGCAGCATCGATGGACGTGGATGACCAAGTGATCGCCTCGCGACCAATTGGACGAACGTGCTTGCTCAAGTTCGAGAAGATCATGTAGAGATACAAGCTCCACCTACTTATGTGTGTACTATACACCATATCTAGGCATCACATCTTCCTACTGGACAACGCCAACAACAAGGCTTCTACCCCTCACGGCTATTCACACGCTTCATTCCGACCGCGAAACCTTTTCCCACACCGCTGAGAGGCTTAATGGAGCATCGGGTATTTCTTCGGGCGGTGATAAATTACTTTCTGTCTCCTTTGGTTGTCATTTGACCGGCGCGCGGGTAAGATTATGCGTACCCTTCGCTATACACATGCTCTTAGAAGCAACCCCTACTATAGCAGACTTGCTCCTACAACGTACTCGCTCCTAAATACTAGGCTAGCTTAGTGTACTGTAGTGTGTAAAATACAAAGCGCGCGCTGTTTTCGCGTCCAGGGGCAAGGGCGGGCCTGGACGGCGCCGTTCCGAGTCTAGCGCCGTGAATCCACACAAGCCGAAGTGAACGGGCGCTTGATTAAGCTGAAACTCCGAGTCTTCACTAAACGTAACCGCCATGGCATCGAGCGCAAAGTCGGTATTGCCACAGTGTTCGAACACAGGTAGCTGACATAAATTGGGACAAGGACGTTGGCTACCTGCATCTTCTGCAAAATCGTCAAGGGTTCGCTGCTGTAGTTCTCAGAATTGATGCGCACGAACTCACGGACCCATCTCCAGGGGAGATCCCCAGCTTCAAGCTGATCGAGACCGAGACAACTTACTCATTCCTCGACATTAATCCGTTAGCGAAGGGCCACTCTCTGGTGATATCCAAGTGTAGGTCCCGTTGCCCAATCCGCTTGACGCCTTCACACAAACAGTGATACGTTGAACGACCACACAGATCACGCGGAGAAGCTGCACGAGCTTCCAGATGAGTCCTTGACGGACATTCTCCGCATTGCGAAACAGATCGCAGTGGCGACAGGCGCAGAGAATTACAATATCCTCCAGGTATGGTTCCTATCTCCCGACGGCGCAGTGGCTGATTTACCCCGTTCTCGACAGAACAACGGTCGCATCGCTCATCAAGAAGTCGATCACGTTCATTTCCACGTAATCCCGAAGCCGAGTACTTCCGACACTGAGGGTCTTGTTGTCGGATGGCCGCAGCAAAAGGTGGCTCTCGACGAACTCGCCAAGATCCACGAGGAGATCAAAGGAAAGTTATGATGAGATGGATGAGAACAACTGAATATGTCGCTCAGTCTACTCACATGTGGTGACCATGCATTCTACGTTTTATATCTGATATTTGGCGTGATCACGCCTGTTGCAAGATCCCCGTGCAGTGGCTGTATCAGCAAGTACACAATCACTCACAGTATCCGCCAAGTACTCAGCGGATCGGAGCCTGATTCATACACACCACAACAATATGATCCACAGCTTTGACGCTGTCAAACCACATAGCGCCTAGAGGCTGCCTTCGAAATGATGGTGGAATTGTCAGCTTGTTCGGACCCCTCAGGTAATCTACTATGTTCCCTCTGGTTGTCATGATTCCTTCGCGCTTGAACAATGCCTCTAGATTTACTTCGTGGACATACAGGTGTCTTGTCTATCTTGAAGGTCGGAAACGAAGCCAACATCTAGTACAGATAAAACGTACTCCATAAAGTATTTCTGCTTGGGAACAGGTGTTCGCTCGCTGTTGTCACAGCACAGCCTTGGTCTTATGCTTCATGCTGACAAGAATGCCATGTCGGCGCTCATCCATGACTTGCTATTCGAAACTTCTCGCCTACTTCTAACCCTGAACTGATCGTAACGGTTTCCACCGGGAAACAGCTAGACATGCGTGTCGGCGCTGTTAGCCGTGTTCACTCATGTCTGGACCCGGGCGTATGTTCCTTGCCTCATGTACCTGAGAATCTATCGCACGCACGAGTCGAGGAACATTAGGTTAATGGGCGTCCCGCAAGCTTCCTATATAATGCCTATGGGCACCTGCGGACGCTCATTCATTAATAGGCTCGCGTGACAAGGCCCTACTATGACGCTTCCTCGACTTCTTCGCAGGCTGAGCCGCAAGAGCATCGATAAGTTGTCTGCCTTTGATGCCCCTGTCCCTCCTGTTCCGGAACTTTCTCCTACACCGGACACCCTCTCACCTACCTCGGACGTCAATTCGGAGCGTACCGCGGTCAATTACTTTTCCTCACCCCTCCAATCCCCTACTTCGGTGGTCAGCGTGCCTGAGGACATCGTCTCGCAGAGCATTACTGCCGCCGCTAAAGTGATTACCAGGCACGAAGAAGAGTCGAAGAATGACCGACTACTTGGAAAACTTGGTGAGTCTGGCCTATCCTGTAGTATTTACTTAAAATTGATCAGTTACCACTTTCTCATGGTAGACGACAAGATTACTGTGGTTACAACCGCGACGAGTTATGTAACGGCCGTTGCTGCTCCGGTCAAAGCTGCTCTGGATGCTAGTGGAGCAACGCCGGCCATCCAGCGTGGCATCCACGAACTCGCTGACGCTGCTCCTGTCCTCATGAAGATTCTCGACGAGGTTGCAGACATTCACCCTTTCATCAAGGGCGAGTAAAATCACAGCAGCATACAAGGTTCTCATGCTTAATCTCTGAACAGTCGCTGTCATGGCCTTTAAAGCAGTATACAAGCTGGAGGAAGCAAAGAAGTCTAACGATGACACCGTGAAGGCTCTGTATATCAAGATGAAAGATATGATGGATGTGCTACTTCAGTACGTGCATTGGCCCCCTCATTAAAAAACCAATGGTTTAATGCAAGAACAGGTTGCGCGACGTTAGAGATCCCACGTTAGTTGGCCCCAACGGGCTCACAGCTAAACCAAGGATGCAAGAACTAGTGGAACATATGGCCGGTGATATCAAAGACTGCGGTAACGCTTGCGACGCATACTCAAGGGTCAAGCCCGTGACGAAAGTCCTTTTGGGACCAGTCTGGGTAGGACGGCTGAGCAAGTTCATCGACGTCTTCGCGCAAAGACGACAAGATTTCGAGTTCGCGTTGTCCATTCATACAGGCCGTGGAGTAGACGAAGTCAACCGGAAGATGGACGAACTTAACGAGCAGACGAAGCAATTGTCAGTGGGCTTTTCCTTGCTACTTCGATGAAGCTAATGTCCATTCACTGGGCTAGCGCCGAGATGTTCGAGCACTTTATGAAGACATGTATCCCACCGGGGCAAGCCCAGCTCGTCGACTTCGTACAAGCAAAGGGGGGCCCTCAAGCAGTTCTCCAGGATGAAGAAGCCCTTCGACAATTAAGTGCACGACAATCCACCAGTACATCGAGACTTGCTACAGCCAGCGTGTCTACTGGACGAACGCGCCATAAGGAACACCTCGCGCGTATCACCGGAGAGGCTGCTGATCCCAAAGACGACTTCAAGCGCCTCCATGAGGAACTTGCTCTCGATCCCGAGGCTGTCATCGAAAACAACATGAAATTGTTCCAGCCTAGGTTCGAAATGCAACAGAAGCATCTTTTGGAGGAGATGGAAAGCATTGTCCACCGAGAAAGCGATCGCGTAATTGATGCAGTGAATTCGGGGCCACACGTGAAAGTTGTGGACAAGGTGAGACAACCGGTCGTCTCAGGAGTGACCGCACTTAATTAGTCTATAGACCATCGCTGAGATCTGGAAATTGATGGTATGGTGTCATACTTCTATTCCTCAAATACTCTTCACTAACTAATCAATCGACTTATAGGCATGGCGTGGGAGTGTCAAAGCACGACACTTGGCTCTTGCGCTTCGCGACCATTACCAAGAAAGGGCAGAGAAGAGAGAGAATGGTGGTCACAGACATCGCACGCGAAGCGATGCGGATGCTTGGGCACTAGAATGGATCAGCCTCAAGCGACTCCAACCAATCATAGACGCCATAGACGACGACGCGTCAGGGTTCATCACGATTTCAGAAGTTAATAACTTCACGACGTCTCGCCCGGTGAATTGGAGGTGCGCTAAGCTATTTCCGCTTGCGGACTATGCTAATTCAATGCACAGCCTGCCGCAACGGCTAGCATACTGGTCCATCGGTCTGCTCCCTTTCTCGTTTCTAATTTTCTTTGGCTTGACATGTTGCATTCACGTTCAGGTTGGCAAGCATTCTCTACTGTATACGCCCACAAAATCGAGGCATTACTAGGAAAGATGTTCGCCCTGAGAAATGCGACTCGCGGAGCTGACAATGAGGCCATTCGCGGGAAGATCGCGCCCGCCTTCCGTGAGGCGAATTGTCGCTCTGTCGATCACTATCTCGAGGTTGTGTGGTCGGGAACCATCATGCTGACTCGCGCACTACAGAAAGTGCACGTGGAGGATTCTTTGCTCGCGCGATTTCAAAGCTACATTGACAGTGAGGAAGATAGGATGAAAAGCAATTTGGAGCACATCAAATATCACATTGATGGCATGCACACTCTACTTCAGGTCATGGGTTCTGGCAGGATTGAAAGAGTAAGTATATCAATTTGTGTCTTACCTGATCGTTGACTCGGTTCTGATGTCACTCAGTATTTATTCCCGATGCTCTATTTATTCTTGAGACGGGATCTGGAAATCATTCGTTTATGCCACAAGAAAGTCATCCAGCCTGCTGAGTTGAATCAATCAGCGGCGAACATTATCTGGTTGCTCGAAGCTGTAGCTGAGCGTCACACTTCCCTGGAGGGTAAGTCTTGTCCGTTTGGATTTGAATGAGCGGTTGACTGAGCCAACGTCAACTTACAGAAACCTTTCGAGAGCAAAATATTGATGTGGCGCAGCAATTCAGCGCAACATCATGTGGCCTGGTGTGTTCCTGAGATGCGTATCTGTTTCCTGTGGCTACTGGCTCATGTCGTGCTCAGTTTGCATTTTGGCATGATGACACCGCGCTATTCGGCCGTGAACACATGCGCAACTTCCCATTCCATGACACACTACTCGAGGATTGGGCGGACAAACCCCATATGCCTCCGGAGGCTGTCTTGAATTATCCACTCTCCAGCGAGTATCCCTATGACTGTGCCACGGAAGCAATCCCTCCATTCGAAGAAACGAAAGAAGACATGACCGCGGAGCCGCTCATTGGATCAATGTAATATCGATTCATCCAGTCATAGTAGCCTCACTGATGGCATTGCAGAATTGGCCCTTGGACGGGTTTCATGGTGATGAATGATGAATTTCCGGCTCAACCGACGTTCCACCTGAACATCCACGCGTCGTCAGAACGCGGGCGGTTCGAAGCATCTGGTATCGCATCCGATGGTGCATTCTTCCGCGGATCTGGTACTGTCACCTTCCCATCGGACAGCGACGGACCCCTTTACATCTTCAAAATGATGTTCGACAGGTCGTGCGTCTCTGTCTGGACCCTCAATGGGTCTCTGAATGATGATGGAGAGACGTTGTCTGGGAGCTGGGGATACAATTCCTCGGATAGACGTAACGTTTTCGTCTTCTCCAGAACTCGCAGAGCTGTGGAAACGACAGTGGCACTATTCCTCGATATCGGCCTCAGCAGGAACCGTGCATTATGGCAGTTTGCAATCAGCAGTGTCGTCGAGCGCATTCGAAGGCAGGCTGCCTTCTGGAGATCATTTAAACAGCAACGTTTCAATAGGAGTAGATACATAGAGCTGATGAACCGCCGGCGTGGTTTTGGGCGTCATTTAGACTCCTATGAGGACCGAGAACTCGAGCGATGCTTGCGTAGCCTTTCAGCTCTGGAAGCGCGGACATACGAAACCTTCCGCCTCCATCGACTTCGAACGACCCCTTCTTATCTGTGAGTAGTCGCGAGCGACTTCGATGTCCCAGTGCATTTACAAGTGTCTGTTCTTCCCAGGGCACGATGGTGCGACAGTTGCGGAGGGAACATTCTCGGTTCTCGAATTGTGTGCATCGATTGCGACGTCGCAAACACTGTCGATCTATGCGACGATCCGCGATGTTCCCTCACACGAGTAGATCTAGAACGCCGACCAGACCTACCGTCGCCTCATCTATCATCACACTCCGTCTTCAAGGTGCGAAAGATGCTTCATCTCAAAGATTTCGGAAAGGTCGACTCCGCTGCCCGGGAGGCGCTGAAGAGGGCGACAGCCACGTTGAGAGATGGCAACGACATTGACCCAAAGGAAACTGAGAACGTCAGTGAGCCGACTACGAAACTGCTCACGAAAAGATTGGTCTGTATAGTATGCCACGAGCGCGTTCACGCGCCGTGTTGGTACTGTATTCGTTGCACAGGTGAATATCTTGACAACTTCTGTGTACATATGGTATGGCTGACATCTACTGGCAGAAGATACATTCATTTGCACAAGTTGCGACGCAAAGGGTGCCGTATCAATAGGGCAGCACCGGGCAGACCACGCCCTTGTGAAATGTGGCTCGTCGGGGATTGGCGGGCCGTCGCTGACTATAGAGCATCGACTGGAAGTCTTGGAGAGACGGTTCGGCGCGGTGGATCACAAGCTTGCGCAGCTGGACGTTCGTTTGGTACGGGTCCATGAGCTGCTTGTTTCAATGGCTACAAGGGACGTTCCATCCACCCCGTTACTTACTACCAATATCCGATGGTGATATAACGATGGTACTGACATTCTATTAACGGACCATTACATGTAATATAACCGTTCATTCTGATTCACTGTGTTCTTTGAGGGCGGTTGCCCCTCAGTCAGGTTGCTTGTGACTTGCTGCTGTGAGCTATGTAGTTGTTCTGAGTCCGCCGTTCAACCACACGAGATACAAGAGAATGAATCTAAGCGTGAGGGGCCAGTAATTTCGACCGCAAAGAAATATTCACTTTAAAGCTGTGAGATTGAGCTCGTCCATAATCATCCAACGGGAGTCGACTGAGGCGGAACATGTAAAACTATCTGGTTTTCTTTCAGGATTTCGCCAAATATTTTACCCCTCAGACCTAGTCTCCCCCAGGCAGCGTACAATAGAGCGCCCTTTTTGGAAGTTGGAGGATGGTCACTCTAAAGGTCTGCGTCAATACGCGCCCCGGACCGTAACTTAAGACAGCATTTCGATCGTGCTAGCACTTGCCGGCTGATGGCCGAGCCATGCCGGATGTTGGCCGAAACGATCTCATCAGTCCTACCGCTCCTCTGGTGCCAGCAACGCCTCTCTGAGGCTCTCTTCGCTGCTGCTACCGCTCTCAACATCACTCAAGGAGAGTGGACAGAAGACATAATTATGTTGCTAGTGAGCAGATGCATTTTGTGTATTCCCCGTCTCCGAGTCAGAGCCTGCGTTCTCGAATCCCTACTACTCGACTGTCTTACAAATCGTACAACTCCCTCACTGGCTACTCCTAGCCTTCCAATAATTCACAATGGCTACCAATCCGCCTGCAGTACATGGTGAGGGAGTTGCCACACCGAGGTTTTCAGCGCGACGTGTCCGCGTTATGTATAGATCGCGACGACGCGTTTCGGAGATGAAACCACTTACGTAACTCCGACATCGTGTCTTACTGTCGGGACCCCCCAAATTGAACCAGACTACCTCAGACCCAAATATGAATCTCTTCCGAAATCCATTTGTGCAATGGGCCCCAGATTGATGTGATACATATGTAATTGTCTCGATGATAGTCCTGGGTACCCTGAGTGGTACAAGATTTGGTTGAAAACATTGTTGACCTCACCTGTCCGCAACAGATACATCAATAAAATCCACACTTGGAATCCATATGCTATCTTATCATATCTTGCTTTGCTTCATCCTTGCATGTCCAATAAGCTACTCATAACTTGATTCTCTTACTCATAACACCTTTGACTTTGACATCGTCAACAACCCTTGGACGCAGTGAGCAAGTTCGTTGGACTCGTCCTCGACTAATCGCTCAACAGGTATGTGCGACCTCTTGCTTTCCGCTCGTAGTAGTAATGAATCAACACGAAAGACTTCAGTCATGCCGAATGAATACGGAGACTCATTAAACGAAGCCATTGCGCCCCATCAGATCACTCCCTCACCCAACCCAAACCCTCGTCCTCGACGGATATCCATGGCTGACATCCTCGACGATGTTCTAGTGCTGATCTTCTATCAAGTCTTCAAATCCACAGGTCAACGTAGTCATAAGAAGGGGATACATTTCCCAGAGTCAGTTGCCTCGGTTTGTGCGCGATGGAGGGCAGTGATGTTCTCCGTATCGGAGTTCTGGAGTGTTCTGCTCATTGGTACCTCGGACTGGGATATGTCGACACAATTGCCAGTTGTCAGTCGATATCTCGATCTGTCGAAGGATAGGCCTCTTGATATCACCATCTGGACTCCTAACGCCGACAGGGATATTTTGAGTCCAGCCGGCGTGCACGAGAAGGCTCACGTCGCCGCTGTCATGGCGCTCCTCATCCCACACCAGGGGCGCTGGCAAAAACTATACGTCGATGTTATATACAGCACATCCCTTCCGCGACCTCACCTCGATTTCTATGGCACCTTGCCACATCTCAGATATCTGGTCTTGAGATGCGCCTCTGAGATATGCCAAGTCGAAACTGTTACTCCGACCACCGGGACTCTAGAGGCACCCATCTTGGAGTCGATGGACATCCATGGGATGTCCTTGCGCCAAATGTTCGACTGTGGGACCCCAATGCTCCCCAAAGTCAATGAGATCCGCATTGATGGCTATGACTACCACGAATTCCCTCCATTCCCAGTGGCCGATTTCGTTAGATTGCTGTACAAGCTACCGTCGCTACGCACGCTTCGTTGCAGCGACATCGAATTGACTCCATCTGGCGATGAGCTTGCCCCACCCGACCTCGGAAATCCTCCAGAGATCAAAGTGGTGGAGTTCACGAGAATGGACGGCGACTGTATACAGGAGATCAGTTCACGCTTAGGCCGGCCCACAGTCCCCCTTGCTCATTACACCAAATGCAGGATCTTGGAGCCGTTGGAACTGTTTCGCACGTCAGGATCATGCATTCTGACCGACATGGACACGGATTGGGATATTCTGAATATCCTAAAGGACCAGAACGGCCCACAATGTTCGACACTCCACATCGAGGGCAGCCCATTCTGGGAGGACATGGTCGAACTCCTGGCCGGGCCTTTACCTGATGGTAGCTGGATATGCCCGAACTTGACCGAGCTTATTCTTTCAGGTTGCTGTGAGGGATTTTTCGACGACAGGCCGGCGCAGCGAGCCCTTGTGAACATGATCAAGGCTCGCGACGCTTTGTATAACAGCACAGGACTTCCGCCCCAGGGACATCCTGACCATGTCGTCTCGTCTTTAACGAGGCTGACGGTGGACGCCAAAGGACGTTTCGGGCGTTATATCGAGGCAGATGATCTTGAATGGCTCGACGCTAATCTCGCTTCCGTACGTTGGGGTGATTGGTCAGGGGGTACTAAGGAGCATGGCGAATCGGAATCCTCGACTGAGGAAACTGACAGTGAGACCAACGACTCGTGCGAAGAATAGTTGGATGTGGGTGAGTCACGATCATCTTTACTACTATAGTCTACACCATACTGAAGACGCGACTAACTGCAGTGGGTGACCCAGCGTTTGCTGTATGTATATTGAAAGACGACGATTGATCCACACTCGTACCCGACTCGCTGTACGGTCAGCATTGGATCGCACAGGAAGCTCTCGAGGACTCCTGGGTTCGTCAGGACCTGCTGCACCCTTCTTGCTGCCAGCGAGCTGCAGCTGTATGGACAGGCACTGAATTTCAAGCGAGCTTTCGAAACGGAAGCCCGTAACGTAGTGCGCTGGTGTGCAATAAGGGCCTGGGTGGTTCTCAGGGCGCGCATAGTTGGATCGACTTCTGCAAAGCTCGCCACGCGTGACGTAGATCCCGCGTTTGATCAGTAGCAGTCAACCATCTGCGCCAACAAGAGAAGCGATGTCACGTACGTGCAGAGTTCGTACTTATTCCGCCTTGTTATGTCGCAGGTTATTTGCCATATGTAGTAACCCTAACCTCATTTGAACATCTTTATCAAACGCGAAACGGACATGTATTTGCTGTCTCAGATCCCAATTGCTTCCGGTCCTACCACTTGTCATGGCCAGTCAAAATGCCCATCATCCAGTATTGCAGACGTAAGGCTTTGGAGATCCGCTCTACTAGTAACATGCAGGATTTTGCCCTACGACCATACGGCCGCCCGTTGATCCCTATGGTGGGAATCCAGAACGCCGCTATCGTGCACAGGGTCCGCGTTGGCGTCATGCCTGCATACCGGCCAAGCGCGGCATTACATCGGCGGGTTATAAACCTCTGCAGCCTGCGCACGCTCAGCCGAGCCCCACCGTAGCTGCACCCCCCCGACGATCGCGTACGGCGTACATGTCATCCGCCTCCTACAAACTTATATCAACCCGCGACCCGGAGGAGGTCGAGGAACAGCAGTCCACATTCCAACCGCACCGCAAGAGGAGCTTCTTCGGGTTTGCTAAACTCGCGCGTATCGCTGCAGTCATGGTGCTCGCGTACGTCGGTGTCCGATTCTTCGCTCGTACGGCCACGAAGCTGCGTGCGCCGTCCGCGCCCGGGTGCCATGGGTCTCAGCGCAACTTGTCGTCGCTCCCGTCGCACTACGCGCTGCCCTCTGGGGACAAGATCCCTGCAGTAGCCCTCGGTATGTAGTTTGCATTTTCTCATTCGCTTGCCTGGTGACCGTCGGTACTGACTGTGCTCAGGGGTGTGGCAGGCAGGCAAGGGAGAAGTAGGAGCAGCTCTGAAGACGGCGCTGGACACGGGCTACAGGCATATTGATGGTGCTTGGATCTACGGGGTGGGTCCATCGTTTGGCAAGCTCGACTCTTGGACGGACTTTCTAACGTTCTGGCAGAACGAAGCAGAAGTGGGAGAGGCGATCAAGGCGAGCGGAGTTCCTCGCGAAGAGCTCTGGCTGACCTCTAAGGTGAGCGGCTGAGCCATCGCCGTATTCCGAGAGATGCGTTGTACTCACTAGCAGTATAGCTTTGGAATACGTTCCACGCGCCAGAGGACGTCGAGTCCGCTCTGGACGACACGTTGAGCAAGCTTGACACTGAATATCTCGATCTGTATCTGATGCACTGGTGAGTTGGGTGGGTGTTATATCGAAGATTTCCTCAGTAAGCACTCCGCGCAGGCCAATCGCATTCAAGAAAGGCACAACAGAGCTCGACGAGACGCTGACGGCTAACCCGTACCCCACATGGCAGAAGCTGGAGGAGATGGTTGAGAAGGGCAAAGTTCGCAACATCGGCATTAGCAAGTGAGCACCATTCTTGCATCACTCATGATCCCGTGCTGACGATCGTCCCCCGCAGCTTCAACATTCCCCGGTGAGTCGCCCGACGCGGGCTCTGCGCCAAGGAGACTCACCTCGTGTGCAGCGTACAGAACCTGACGGCGAACGCGCTGAAGGTGCAGCCGGCCGTGAACCAGGTCGAGCTCAACTTCTGGAACCCCCAGCCGGAGCTGCTCGCGTGGTCCAAGGCGCACGGCCTGCTGCTCGAGGCGTACTCGCCGCTCGGCAGCAGCAAGCAGGTGAAGGAGACGCTGGACCTGCCCGTCGTGCAGACGATCGCGAAGCAGCTCGGCATCACGCCTGCGCAGGCGATCATCTCCTGGCATGTGCAGCGCGGGGTGCGTGCTCTGCGTGTTCGACGAGAGGGCTCAGACTGATGCGTGGTGACCGATAGACGATCGTCCTTCCGAAGAGTGTGACGCCGTCGCGTGTGCAGGAGAACTTCCACGGTGCGTGGGGCGCAGAGCCCTTGTTCGTGCGATGGTGCGGTGTGGCTGACGCGTGGTGCATCGTGGTAGTGCAAGCGCTGCCCGACGATCTCTTCGAGGAGCTGGAAAAGGCTGCGACCTCGCACTCTCCGCAGCGCGTTGTGAACCCGTCGAAGAATTGGAAGCTGTCGTTTGACGTGTTCGATGATTACCCTCAGTAGTGGAAGACAGTACTGTAGGTTATGCGGGCGGATTGTCCATGTAAGGACGCTGTATGTGGGAGTGCGTAGCGTCAATTCTTGTCTCCGTCAAAATATATGATGGCCTTCGCCCCTGAAGTTCCTCGGACGAGGTAACATGTAGCTACAAAGGAGCAATGCCAATTCAGTGGACAATTGATGACACATTGCACGTGTTTCATGATCTTCCGCAAGACGCCTTTGATACAATGCGAAGGCACGTCGCGTGCCCTCACAACGCCAGATCATGTTGCGTTCACTCCTTTACATACCACTTTCCGTCTTATCTGGCCTCTCACGTCTCTCACTGTCTGAAGATATTGCGGACGCCACAACGCTCTCATAACAGACTCAGTAATACAGTACTCTCAACATTTTCCGATGTGTCCGGAGATCAATCGGACAATGATCGAAACCAGGCACACATATGAAATAAGCCGCACGTCAGCGCTTTTACGTGTGCCATTGCTCATCCAACCAAACGCGCGCCTATCCTCAAATTCGTGCAATCGTGTGCATATAAAAACCTTTGACCGCAGGCAACAATGCCAGATCACTGTACACCCTCTTTACTTTCTCGGACTAGGCCAACACCATGTCGAAGAAATCTGACGACAAGAAGAGCGTCGTTGTCCTCGGCGGCGGCTTCGTGGGCAGCCTGCTCGCGCGCGCGCTCTCAGCCAAACTCGACCCGGCGAAGCATGACCTGGTTCTCGTCGACCAACGCCCCTTCACGGTGAACCTGATTTCGTCGGCTCGTATGACCGTCACGGAGGAGGGCAACATCGAGGAGCTCGGACGCATCCCGTTCGACAAGCTCTTCGTGAATGGCAACGGGTCGTATCACCGCGGCAAGGCCGTCTCCATCGAGGAGTCTAAGCCTGGGGCGGGCGGCTCAGTCGTGCTGGAGACCGGAGAGCACGTTCCATATGATGTGCTGGTGCTGGCGACGGGGTCGACATGGCCTGGCCCGCTGAACTTCCCGGAGTCCGAACGCTTTGGCGAGCATGTCAAGGAATGGCGCAAGAAGGTTGCGGACGCCAAGGACATCTACATCGTCGGGGGTGGAGCTGTAGGCATTGGTGAGTGATCCGACATGTTATCCTGCAGATGGTCTGTACTGACCAGCAATGCAGAATATGCAGGAGAGATCCGCGAAACATACCCCGTCAGTCTCCTCATTCTAGCTCTAATGTCTGCTTCAACGACAATCCAAACAGCACACGAAAGTCACCATCGTCCACAGCGGAAGTATGCTTCTTAGCGACGTCTACCCAGAGAAATTCCGCAAGGATATGGAGAGGCGCTGCCTCGCCCGCGGCATAAACGTTGTCTTCAGCGAATACGTCGACACCTTCCCCGAGGCAGGCACGGTCGGCTTCACCACCCGCAAGGGGACCCAGTTCGCCACGGCCGACCTCGTTGTGCGCTGCCCTTCCCTTCATCGGCTCTCCCTGGCTTGCTGAGACGTCACACAGATACCCGCATTCGGCGCGCGCCCCAACACGAGCGTCGCCGCCACGCTCGGCGACGACGTCCTCGCGTCTGACGGCTGCGTCAAGGTCCGGCCGACGCTCGAGCTGCCGGGACACCCCGGCGTGTTCGCGGTGGGCGACATCATCCACTGGCGCGAGTGCAAGCAGGCCGCGAAGGGGAACGCGCACCTCGCCGTCGTCGCCGCAAACGTGCTGAGCCTCCTCGCGGGCCAGCCGCTCAAGAAGGAATACAAAGGGAGCATCGAGATGATTGTCATCCCGATTGGGAAGGTGGGTTTTCCGTTGTGTGGGCGTGGGCATGGTGTGCACTGGGCTGACACGATTTTCAGTCGGGTGGCGGCTCGTACTTCGACGTTCTGTGGGGTATCATGCTGGGGGACTGGTTCACACGCCTCGTCAAGGCAAAGGACTTGTTCGTAAGCAAGGCCAGAGCGGACAGGGGCCTTCCGTCTTGAGCATTTCGTTCATTTCGGAGAACAAGCATGGTTTTCACTGTTGGGTCTTTTGTTAGTCTTGTGGATCTTGTTTGCTATCATTACGACATGTTAGAGTGCATGTATAAGGCTAAATTATACATAATATGCACCCGCTGCACGGGAAGTGGCTCGCGAAGCGCTGAATACTACGTCGCATTACCGTTAAAAATGTATTGATAAGACGTCTAGCTATGTCTAAATCAGTGAAATTCCCAAGAGAAAGGACTCAGGTTTCAGAACATTTGACGAAGTTGTATGGTAGCGGGCCAGAGCGGGCCCCACCAGTGACGGGGGCGTCTAATCGCTTTTCGCGTAGTTATGCTTATTTCGCAAGACATTTTCACTTTTATGCCAATCTTTTTGCATATAATCATTTGATGCATGCTTACGCGTGTTTTTAAGTCTTGATAACGGCATTTGAGGGATGTTTGGGTGACTTTCTGTCCTTTCAACGTAAAAACACCTCGGGCGCTTGCATGTATCCTTTGTACTTGTTTGTTCCAACTGAAAGCCCGGCCTCAGCCCCTTTAGCCGAAATATGCTCGCTTTGCTCGCAATCAGCAGGGTATCCTGAGGCGAGGAGAGCAGATCTCAAAACTTTGTTGCAATGATTTATTTTAACAAGGATGATACTCTGCATGACACAGAAAATCACAACAAGCTGCGTCAAGGAAAACTGCGCGACACTAAAACTGAAATATGGATATCAGGGACAGGAGGTTTGCATCCCAGATCTGTACGACTATCGCCGCAGTCCGTGGTGGAGTACTATGTCGCGGCACAGGCCGCGCAGTGGCAATAAGCACCGTGTATCAGCCACAGACTGATTGAGAAGGGTTCAAGAACAATGCATGACTGAGGCAGATATAACATACCAGGTGACCTAACTTGGAGTTCTTTTGCATTGTAGAGTCTCCTCGTGGTACACTAAAATACTATTCGCAGAGCGTAAGCTGCAGGTTCACATCACTTGCGGGAGTCGCTTCAAGTGGCTCGTGTTCCCTTCAACCATCACCCTCGAACTCATCAAAATCACATCGCCGCTAGGGTTCAAAACTGGTTCAAAATCTTCTTGATAGCGCGCCGGATCTGGTGAATTGCTGTGCTAGCAGTGTGTGCGATTGAGACTGTCTGAAACACGCCCGCGTCCAAATAGTACGTTCGGCCTCATCTTCCATCCGCTTCTTCCTGTCTTGATGCGTCTGATCAAGTCATGGCAAACGAGCCAGTCAATGTAGAAAGCAACATTCCGAGCACGCTGCCCCATCCAACGCTTGTGCCCTTCCAGCCGCACCATGCATCCATCTCCGATATGCCAAACGACGTGCTAGTGCTGATATTTCACGAGATATTCAAATCCGTTATGCCCAGTAGACGATGGACACGAAACGGATTGGAGTTCCCAGAGTCAGTTGCGTCTGTCTGCTCGCAGTGGAGAGCAGTCATGTTCTCGGTGTCCATATTCTGGGCCGCCATGCTCATCACCGTCGACGATAACCCCACACCGCAGTCTGTCATTCGCCGATATCTTGCCCTGTCAAACAAGCGGCCGCTGAACATCACCATTTGTCGACATGAAATAGAGTTCGACCTCTTAAGAGCGCGCGTCTCTGAAGATCCGGAATATCGTGCAAGGCTGGCCGATCCTGTGGAGAAATGGCGGATGGCTGCTGTCATGGACCTCCCTGACTCCGCACCAGGATCGTTGGGAAAGACTTTCCGTTCACGTTGTACACAGTACGTCGCTCCCGCAGCCATACCTCGATCTGAGCGGTGCCTTCCCGAGCCTGAAGTATTTATTCATGCACTGCGTACTTGACGAAGGTCCAGATGAACGTCTCGCTCCGACGACCGTGAACATAGATGACCCTATTCTCGATGAATGTTTCGCTCCAACGACCGGGATCATGGATGTCCCTATTCTCGAGCTGATGGAGGCTAGCGGTCTCTTTCTACGTCAAATGTCCGATACTACATTTCCCAATCTCGACGAGCTCATCATCGAAGAGTATCCGCGACACTACCCTCCTTGGACAACGACTGGTCTCGTTAAGTGCATTCGCAAGATGCCTGCACTCCTTACACTGCGTTTGGATAATGTCAGCCTTGAACTCCTTGACGACGAGCTCCCCGATGATGACTACGCATCAAAGCTTAAACTGGTGGACTTCAGACACATGTCGGGCGATGTACTGGAAAATCTCAACGCTCTCTTGGATTGGCCTGTACTCGAGGCTGTGGTGTACAACGACTGTTCGATCCCAAGGCCCGCTGAGCTGTTCCGCGCCTCTCGATATGGTGCGATTAAGTGCATGCAGACTGAGCAGGATGTTCTCAATGTCCTGCGAGATTGGGACGACGAGGATTGCACGCGTCTTCACTTCACCAACAGTGCATTCACGGAGAATATCATCAATGCCCTGTCCGAGCCACAGCCCGATGGCAACTGGATGTGCCCGTACTTGACCGACCTCGTCCTTTCTGGCTTCTGCCAGGGCTTCTCGAACTGTGAACCGGCGCAAGTCGCGTTCATTCGCATGGTCAAGATCCGTCATGCGATGCACGCCAATATCGAATCTGCCGATTCAGAACACGCGGACTTTGCTGTTTCGTCTCTCCAGGAGATCAAGGTGAATATTCAAGGAATTGGCCAGGAGGTCAGCACGGAGGCTTTGGAATGGCTTGATGCCAATGTCCCTTTCGTGACATGGGGTGATTGGTCCGGGGGAACGCAACAGTTCTCCGATTCTGCTTCCAGCTCTGAGGATGCGGAAGACTCAAGTGAAGAATGAACTCGGTCAATGTGTTACGTGTGATCCTGGTAAGCATGCTCTCTCCACCAGGATCACACTCCTAAGCTGATTTCATAAACCCATATTGCTAGTAGCAGCACCCCATGCAGTAGCCCTTCCAAAAACCCATGTAGTAAATCACATCCAGTGAAACATTTGTCTTTCCATTCTATTCCTTGTACTACTAGCGCCCATACTGGCGCCTGTCTTAGCGCTCACCCGCAGGTTGAACATTATGTAGCTTACATAATGGGGTCCGTGCGCACTTCGTACTCGGCATCGTACCACTACATTTCTTTCTTCACTAACACGACCACATAGACACAATGGTCCGTGCGCAGTCGGTACTTGTATAAGTAGTTGTACCATTAGTCGGTTGAACTCTAAGTTCGACCTGGTTATTCATTCAAGTCTCTGCTCCTCTTCGCTTGGAGTAGTGGTCATTCTCGACTTCCTTGCTCGATCTTCAGGACAACGTACTGTCCATAAGTCCTCGCTCGTCACCTACGAGTCAGGCATCAATATAGGAGTATAGACCGTTGTATCAAAAGGTCGAACTTTCTAAGCTACATTCCTAGTTTTACCTAGTCGAACAACTCATCCACCATCACGTCAAACAACGCAGTAAACCCAGTTCCCTTGGGACTACCAGCCCTCGCAGGATCTCCCCTTCTCCAGTACGACCGAGCAGACCGTTGCTTCGTCACCACCACAAGAAGGACTCCCATCTATCCTCGAGGCGGCTCCTGGGTTCGCGCAGAAGGTTCCAACCCGCAGATCGTCGCCCATCAACAGCTTGTCAGCTATTACCAGAGACACCCTCCCACTCACCCAGAAGACATATTTGCCACCCTACGAATCAACGTTGAGCCAGCACAAATAACAGAGAACCTACAGTCACCTGTTAACGAACAATCGTTCGAACTCCCGGACGTTCAGTACGTTCCTATTGAGGCTCCAGACACCGAACCACCACCTGTTTCATTCGCACCAACCAACACACCGGTTGAACCTCTGATGACAATGTTCACTCAAGCAGACATCGATCAGCGCATCGCGGCTGCTCTCGATACATACCAACTTCAACAATCAACCGCCAATCGACCCCTCCGCCTCGACATCCCCGCTCCGGAACCCTTCAGCGGAAAGGCAGAGGATCTTAGACGCTTCCTTCAATGCGTCCTTTCCTACTTCGTTGCCACCAACAACACCAGACTTAGCGATGAAGCAAAGATCACCTTCACGGTAGCATTGATGAGGAAGGACCTAGGGAAGACGTGGGCGGACGCATACTACGAGAAGTCGGCAGGGGGAGTCCAGGTCTATCCCGATTTGGCAGCCTTCGCCACCGCCCTTGAGGAAGCGTTTCCTGAGCACGGAACGCAAATCAAGGCACACCAAATCCTGATGAAGCTGCCCGAACAACAGAAGAACAAGAAGACGGCGCTCTCCCTTGGAAACTACGTCACCCGCTTCGAGCAGCTAGTGTCGAAAGCCCAGCTCAAGGACGCCGAAGTCAATGGCGTCAACCGCACCGAGAACGACTATCACACTCTCCACACCAACTTCGTCAAGGGACTTCCGAAGGAGCTCTACGTCTCTCTTGCAACTAGGGTCGCTAGAGACCGACCCAACACCATGAAAGCCTGGTACAATGAAGTCCGAAACACTGGTGCTGCTGAACAAGGGGCCCTCACCGTCACAGACACCAGGGACTATGGTGAGCCAATGGATATCGACACCGCTGCAGTCGCGGCAACCTTTGCCTCCACATTGGGAGGAAGGAAGTGGGAACTAGGAGCCGTTCTCAATGAGGCCGACCGGAAGCTCCACAGGGACGGGAACCTGTGCTTCTACTGCCACATCAAAGGTCACAGCGCCAAGGATTGCCGAAAGAAAGCGGCCGCACGACAAGGGGGTGGGAGGCCGAACCAGGGAGGATCTGGGAAGGACGACTTCCGCGCCAGAATCAAGACACTCTCCGCTGACGAGAAGCAGGAGCTGTATGAAGAACTTACGATGGAGGATTTTTGAAGGGGCAGGGTGAGCCGACGCAACCACTGCCCGTATCCGTTTCACTGTCCCGTGTAATTCTAGTAGTCCGAAATGAACGCGCTCTGCACATTCCGATTACTGTGGGACGAAAAGACGTCGAGGCGCACGCCTTCATCGATAGCGGCGCAACAGGAATCTTCATCAGCCCGAGATTCGTCCGAGAACATCGACTTCGCACAGAACCCCTTCCCCGACCCATCCCCGTCTTCAACGTGGATGGAACCCCGAACAAAGAAGCACTCATTACGTGAAGAGCTCTCTTATCTTACAAGATAAGCGGAGAACCCTGATTTGTCAAAGCCTATGTCGCCAGCATCGGCAAGGAAGACATCATCTTCGGCCACACTTGGCTCAAACTCGAAAACCCCAAGATAGACTGGAAAACCAGATGAGTGGAGCTGAACCACCGGTGGACAAGAGACGAGACCAGGGCCTGGAAGATGGACCTGTACCAAAGGCAAGTGGCCCGGCTAGAACTAAAGAAGGCTGTAACTACCCCACTCCCAGAACCAACGGAGGACGAATTCGTCGTCATCCCCACCTCAGAGCATGCAACCCTTCCTGAACGGAAGACTAGTGGCGCAGCAGGATACGATATCTCTGCTGCGCACCACCTCATCATCCCCGCCTGACGACTAGGCCTGGTCGGCACTGACCTTACCATGACTATTCCCAAGGGACACTACGGAAGAATCGCACCTTGGTCTGGTCTAGCGCTAAAAGAAATCGATGTCGCTGCAGGAGTAATCGACTCCGATTACCGAGGCAAGGTCTCAGTCCTGCTGGTCAATAACTCTGACCTCCCATTCACCATCAAAGCCGGCGACCGAGTTGCCCAGCTCATCCTTGAAAGGATAAGCACTCCATGTCGCGACTTGAGGTCAAGCGACTTGTGGAAAACCTAAAAGCTGGGGGCGTCCGACTGATTCTCACCGAAGCGATGGTGAGCGATGCTCAAACCTAAGGCTAGGGACAAGATAATATATTAGTGAGGTAAGAAAAGGAATACAAAGGATGCTTACTGACCTAGGGACAAGAGGTCGAAACTGAGGTCCCTAGGGCAGCAGAGGCCGGCTTATATACAGGGGAAGTTTAGGGGAGGCTGTGCGCACTGGTCCGTGCACAGCTGGTCCGTGCGCAGCATGCTGACGCGGCCCCGGGGGCCAGTGAGTCAGAGAGGCTGTGTCAGCGGAGCCCGAGCTGTGCCGCGCACTGCCGCCCCATCTAATCTAATCGTACAGTAGATAGCGATGTGTCCATATCAGGCATGTAGTACAGAGGTCGCGGGTTCGAGCCCGCAAAAAGGAAAAAATTAAAAAACGGCTAGATGCCATACCAACTCGTGACACTCCACCAGTAACACTAACCGACTGCATCGACGAAACTGAATGTGGGGAGGATGGGTTTGGGTCAACGGGTATTGCGTCCATCGAGGAACAAGCGGAGGACATCGACGATGATGAGTTCATCATTTCCTACTTATCTGGAGCGCCGATGATCACCAAGTACAAGAAACAGGAACCCCTGGCAGTGAGGGACGTTCCGCTCAAGGAGCGACTCCCTGAACCCTCATCTGGCTACAAACGAC